CGAAATCAGTAGAGAAGGTACTGGTGAAAGAACCGGTCCATGGAATCGTCGTACCTGAAGTCACATCCACGATTGGCGTCTCGACGTAGTAGATCGTTTCAACTGTCTCCTTGCCATCCTCGCCAGTCGAAGTGATGAAATCAGTAGAGAAAGTACTGGTGAAAGAGCCAGTCCATGGGATGGTTGTGCCCGAAGTTACATCCACGATTGGCGTCTCTACGTAATAGATCGTTTCGATGGTTTCCTTGCCGTCCTCGCCAGTTGAGGTGAGGAAATCAGTAGAGAAGGTGCTGGTGAAAGAACCGGTCCATGGGATCGTGGTGGCAGATGTGACATCCACGATTGGCGTCTCGACGTAGTAAACAGTGTCAACTGTCTCCTTGCCGTCCTCTCCAGTCGAAGTGATGAAATCAGTAGAGAAAGTACTGGTGAAAGAGCCAGTCCATGGGATGGTTGTGCCCGAAGTTACATCCACGATTGGCGTCTCTACGTAATAGATCGTTTCGATGGTTTCCTTGCCATCCTCGCCAGTTGAGGTGACAAAGTCAGTAGAGAAGGTGCTGGTGAAAGAACCGGTCCATGGGATGGTTGTACCCGAAGTCACATCCACGATTGGCGTCTCGACGTAATAGATCGTTTCGATGGTTTCCTTGCCATCCTCGCCAGTCGAAGTGATGAAATCAGTAGAGAAGGTACTGGTGAAAGAGCCAGTCCATGGAATCGTCGTGGCTGATGTCACATCCACGATTGGCGTCTCGACGTAATAGATCGTTTCTATGGTTTCCTTGCCGTCCTCGCCAGTCGAAGTGATGAAATCCGTAGAGAAAGTACTGGTGAAAGAGCCCGTCCATGGAATCGTCGTACCTGAAGTCACATCAACGATTGGAGTCTCGACGTAATAGATCGTTTCGATGGTCTCCTTGCCATCCTTGCCAGTTGAAGTGATGAAATCCGTAGAGAAAGTACTGGTGAAAGAGCCCGTCCATGGAATCGTCGTACCCGAAGTCACATCAACGATTGGCGTCTCGACGTAGTATATCGTTTCAATGGTTTCCTTGCCATCCTCTCCAGTTGAGGTGATGAAATCAGTAGAGAAGGTGCTGGTGAAAGAGCCCGTCCATGGGATAGTCGTGGCTGATGTGACATCAACGATTGGGGTCTCAACGTAGTATATCGTTTCGATGGTTTCTTTCCCATCCGCGCCAGTTGAAGTGATGAAGCCCGTAGAGAAAGTACTGGTGAAAGAGCCCGTCCATGGGATAGTAGTGGCGGACGTTGTTTGGACAACTGGGGTAGCCACGAAGTAGACGTCACTTATAACCAGATAATCGCTTATCCACACGCTCGACCGAGAGGTAGAATAAGTGGAAGAAAATGTATTTGTCCAAGGTGAGAATATGGTTGTGAGCATCGATGGCACTGGTGTGCGAACGTAGTAGGTTACTTCTATTGTTTCCAGATTGTTATTCCAAACCGTCGACGTAGCGGTTGAATAAGTAGTGGTGACTGACCCTGTCCAAGATGTGTAAGAAGTAGTTGAAATTCTGGGAATAGGTGTTTCGACGTAATAAACTGTTTCCAACATCTGACCATTATTGCTCCATATTGTCCACACGTCAGTCGAATATGTTGACGTAATAGTGCCGGTCCAAGGTATTACGGATGTGCTTTGGGTTCGGGGCATTGGCGTCTCGACATAATAAACAGTTTCGATAGTTTGACCGTTGTTACCCCATATTGTCCAAGTATCCGTGGAATAGGTGGAATTGTAGGAACCCGTCCAAGACGTGTATATAGTTGTCTGAGTGCGGGGCATTGGCGTTTCGACGTAATAAACAGTTTCGATAGTTTGACCGTTGTTACCCCATATTGTCCAAGTATCCGTGGAATAGGTGGAATTGTAGGAACCCGTCCAAGACGTGTATATAGTTGTCTGAGTGCGGGGCATTGGCGTTTCGACGTAATAAACAGTTTCAATAGTTTGACCATTATTGCCCCAGATTGTCCACGTGGCGGTCGAGAAGGTCGAAGTGACCGTACCGCTCCATGAATTGAAAACAGTAGTTTGTGTTCGGGGCATAGGCGTCTCGACGTAAAACACAGTCTCAATTGACTGGCCATTGTTTCCCCAAATAGTCCAGATATCGGTCGAATAAGTTGAAGTGACAGTGCCTGTCCAGGAGTTATATTGTGTAGATGTCGTTTTTGGTAGAGGTTGCTCAACCAGGTAGATAGAATCTACGGTAGTCAATCCATCCCAACCTTTCGTTGTCGTTACGATCGTTGAGTAGGTTCTTGTAGAGTCAAAATTTCCCGAAGTTACCACGGTTGATGAAGTTGTGACTACAGAACCTGTGGATGAGAGGGTTGATGTGACAGAGGAAGAGGATGTCTTTTGCGTTGATGTAGTCGAAGAGGTTGTTTTGGATGTGGAGGATGTTGAACTCTTCATGGTGCTTACAGACGACGATGAGATAGAAGACCCACCAGAACAATGTAAAGACCAATAAAAACCTGCGGAGTCAGTTTGCGAATGTCCTTGGTTATCGTAGTTATTACATCCGGTGATCAGGTCAAAAGTTGTGGTGCCGTATGTCCAGCCAGCTGCATTAGTAGCTGTGGACCCTTGTAGATATTCATACTGGATTTGGAAATTGGGCATCCAAACCTTTGAAGAGTCTGTACTATCAGCGACACCATATACCCTGAAAGTCGCAAAATAGTTTGTGGGGTCATCAATCAAATAAACATTCTCATTGTGGCCGTACAGTTGGAAAGTTGAGCCGTCAGGACTGCTGACGCCGATGATTTTAGCAGACCACAAATCTTCGATGGGGATGCTCTTCGCACCGGTTACATGTATTGTAATCGCGTAAATGTTATCGACCTCCCAAGAAACGGAGGTGACCTCTATATTGTATACCATTGTACCTGTGTTCGCAGCATGCCAGGTAAAGTCCAAGTTGGGACACCCATTGGTGGGTGTACACGAACTGGCGGTCCCAGCAGCTGAAGAAGGGACAAAGTTAACGGATGAAGTACCGAGAACGCTCCTTGCCAGGAAAAGCAATAGCCACAAAGGCCAGGTTCGCAGCATTTAGGTAGTTAAGTTGTCTAATACTTGTTATTGAAAGGTGTCTTAGCTTGGGAGAATCCAAAACTGGGGAACAATTGAACAACTTCCCTGCCATCTCTATTCAAACATCTGCTTTTCTAGCAGCATACAAAATATTTCATCGGTATCATGTGCCTACGGGGTGACTGCTTCTTTAGAAGCTGTGCTCTCCCAGTATTCTGCATTGTAGAATCATTTTTCTCGCTTCGTAGCATTGACCTTGCATAAATTGGCACGAAAATCTCGAATTTTTCCGCAACAGGCGACATCCCATATGACAACTCTCGCCTCAGAATAACCCGGATGTTCTAAAATCAGGCACTTCACCTGTAGTCACGGGTGCGACGTCGTTGTGGTGTCAATATGTTGTTGGCTGTGCGTTAAAGATGGGGACATCGTGTAAGCTCTCTCATCAGGTGAAGAGCTAAATGCGATTGATACTAGAAGACATCATTCCCCGGCTGATCCTCTTTCTTTTACCTTTGAATGGGCAATGTGAAACTCTGGAATGATGACGAGCCGTCAACATCCCATTCAATTCTTTGAACTTCCCGAAGAATCCTTAAAAGACTCCTCAGTTTAACTATCTTCAGCCCAGCCAGTCTTAATCCCCGACAGTTTATTGATCAGTCAAAGCGGTGCCTGACTAACTTTTAGTCTTGAAGACAATGAAAAGCCAACGTCAGAGTAATAGAACGTGGTCTGAGCTAACACAGCTCGCTTGTTGCACAGCCTTCTGAGAGAATCATCTTTCCCCTTTCGTCCATGCACTTGTAGTTATGCATTGTAACGACTAGCGACTGCTTTCATGTATGCAAATGATAAATTACGGGAAAGGCATTTCAATTTCTGCAGAAAAAAAGAAACGCCGTTCCTGAAAGTAAGAAACGGCGTGGAGATCAGTCGGAAAGATAGGAAAGAAAACGAGGTCTTTGAGCACTTCCGCTCGACCATAGGCTAACTATACAGGCAGTGTGCCTCAAGGCATTTCAAACCGTTTGCGTATTGCCTATACACCACTCAGGAACATAAAGAAAGTCGAGACTAATGCAAGCGAACCCAATGGAGCTACGTACAAAACTATGGAAACTAACCAAGGCAGCGCATCCTGACTGTTGGGTGATTTTTCTGTGTCGAAAACATCGGTTAAGCTTGGCGTTAGGTAACAGGAACGGAATTTATGAACGTGTGAAGTGATTAATATAATTGTTCAGGCAATCTACCGATAATATTCACAACGAGCGCACTCCATCCGGTAAAATGGCGAACGCCTGTCCCATTGCCAGTTCTGTGGTTATAGTTCTCGTAAACGAAGCCGTCATGAGCCCACACACGATACATGTTGGAGATTATATTTTCTCTCAAGGAGGAATACAACGAACGAGCCTTCCCCAGCGTTTCCATATCGGTGCACTCGTTTTCTTGAAAATAGTAGACCAAGGCGTCGAGGCATAAGTAATTTATATTGATCCAGACCGGGCCTCTCCAGTAGACTTCACCAGTTTCGAAGTACTCATCCTGTTTCGACAATGAAGCCAGGCCAAAACCGGTAAACAGCTTGTCAGAATCGGACATCAAGTCAACCAGATATTTCAATTTGGGGGAATCAGGAGTCATGAGTTTTAGGGCAAATGGTAGCAATGAGATATAACCTTGGTGACAGACAAACTCTCGCACATCCTCACTTTCGTCATCTATAGTTATATCACAGTAACAGTTATCATCTGGATTCCAGTGTAAAATATCCAAGTTCTCTATAACGTTTTTCTCAATGGCAGCAAACTTTTCTTCCTCTTCTTTGAGACTCAACACAGCTGCAATCTTTCTCATCGATCTTGTCATGACACCGACCCATGCCAATGTATCTACATGCAACTCTGCGACATCTGGTGGCTGTGCTCTAGGGTAGTCATCCATGCCACTAGGTAAGCAGTGCGTAAAGGTTCTTCCTATCCACCTAAATGCTTCCATGGGATGAACTTTTTCATCCACATAATCTACGTACTCTTCAACCATGCCGCGCTGAGAGTTCGTAAACCAATCATAATGTTTGAGTAATTTGGGGAAGATCTTCTTGGCTCGTACAATCAAAAGATCTGGCTGTCTTTCTAGCTCTTCTGTGCTGAAAGGAAATGTATTTAATTCTTCTCCTTGTGAGTTGTGATCATCCTGTTCTGCTAATGCTCGTGACAGCATCTCACTGAATGCTAAGAGTAGTGTTGGTGGGTTTGCGATATTCGGATTTTGAACACGGAATTCCTCGGGTACTTTACTTCTGGCCTCGTTTCCGAGTATTAATTCACGAGCAACCCAACCGCTATCTTCTTCAATTAGTTCAAACCAACTTTGCATGATTTCAAATGCAAGGTCGAAATCATACTCCATAACTTGTAGTAAATGAAACCCTTCATCCCAATAAAAACCACGAGGGAAGAATGCTCTGCTTGGGACACAACTAAACAGTTGTAATGGTCCTTCTTCTTCAGGATGACTGAGCTCTATTTTTTCAAACTGTTCATCGTCGAATTCTGTTGTCCGGTCGACTAATTGAGTTCCGTAAAAGTATCCAATTCCGCCCATTAAATTTGAAAGAGTCTCCTGAGCAAATTTCTTATGCTCTGGGTGCTGAATATGAAACTTATTATCAAAGCGGTTATTAATTTCGTTTAAGCCCCATTCAATCATAGCAGAAAACTCTGAACTCGACTTTATTTGCTGTTTAGAAGCCTTGTTGTTGAATATAATATCAAACTCAAATGGCTTATCTAAATCAAACGTTTTTTGAATGAAATGAAAGTTACCTGGTGGAAAGTCATGCATGTTTCTGATGGTAAAGACGGAGGGAAAAGACACCGGATCGATTTTGTTACTTGAACTGGTAATCGTTTGTATCGATTCGCCAACCAATGTCTGCAAGATGTCACGAGCAATCCAAACTTGATCATCAGGAACAGTTAAAGACATATGAGCTGTTTTCGAGCTATCCAAATCAGGATGTAGGGGAGCACCTTTGCTATAGTATAGACCAGACAAATCGTTAATCGAGATGTCATATTCACCCATTTCGGGTGCAAGACCACGGAGCTTAATGTTTTCGCTTCCATAGCTATCAGGTTCTGACCTGACAAGATGACTATTTTCTCTGCCACCGTTTTGATTCATGTATAGCACTAGAGATGTGGTGCTGAGCTTCTGCGAATCAATAGGTTCGCCCCGAATACGAGCTCCCCAATTAGCTCCATCACGACTCTTAAAGTAATATATGGTTAAGTTCACATTATTATCGAGATCTAAAATGGTTTGCTTCCCACCGATTCGTGGATCATAGACCTCCCAGCCATATTTATCTAATTTATCATTCTGATCAACAAGGTGCCTAAGTTTGTTCATGGCTTCCAAGTGTGTTGAATCCATCCACATAAGTCCAAACATAAATGGATGATCATTGACATAACGTGGTCTGATTCCAAAGTAGCAATTGGATCTGTAAGGAGCCCAAAATAGTGACTGATTAGTGAACTGTTCATAACCATCGATATCAACAGATTGAGAATTGCGACCTTCTTGCAAAGCATATGCTAATAGAATACTCAGAGCCACATTAAGTAAACGGATCAGCATTTTTGGTTACTTACGTGTAGTCAATCGCTTTGTGACGGAAGACAATGACGTTCAATATATTGAAGTTTGATCATGCGCACAATTTTTGAGTTGCAATATATTATCAAGAAATGTCGTAACACATGAACATTCGGGTAATATTTAATACAGTTACAGCGAGTCAAACCTCTTCAATTATAGTATCGCCTCTATTGTTACTTATCGTTGTTTATTATACTTATTCAACTTTAAGTCGCAATCCAAATTGATCGTCCTCTTAAGGTCATGATGAGCTATTTAACAAATTAAACAAGGAAAATTAGTAGTCATTAATATTCTGTGAGTGATCACAATGCAACATGTGAAAGAAGGAATTATCGCGCTTTTTTGTTGATGAATTGCTATTTATTATTTATTTAAGTTTTATGTCTTTATCATCGTTCTATGAATTTATTCTGAAAAAATTCTATGCAGTGTTAGGTGAGTTACATACATAAACATTAACCAAATCCCCGTACTCTTTTTTTCTTTCTTTTATGATTCTGCGAGGCTTGGGAATGAGAAAGCATTGGAACTGGAGGCTGTGAAGAGATCGGCAAAGAAAATGCAGGGGCCATTGTGCTCGGCAGGCCATTAGATGCATTAGATGCATTAGATGCTTGTGAATATCTGGAAGATGAGAATGCAGGTGAATCCCTTGAAGAAACTTGTGAGCTATGAAGCGGAGTTTTGCGCCGCAGCCGTTGCCCCTTTACCTTTTTCGAAGGACCCTGAGAAGATCTTATAGTGGGAGGAATCTGTGAACCCTGAGAAACCGAATTAATCAAAAATGATTCACTTGTGAGGTTCTGATCAAAGGTTTCAAAATCTTCATCCCAAAGATCTGCTATTTCTCGATAGTTTTTCGAAAGGCAATCGAGTGCCTCTAAATTTGTATCTGCTAAATTTGAAAAATCACAGAAACTCGTAGTTGTGAGAGCAATGTCCTTCATAATCTCACGCGCCAACGCTTCTTCGTCATTACTTCCAAAATCCCAACATTGCAACAATTTATTATAAAATGTTCCCCAATTCTCCACTTGTTCGCTTACCAAAAGATTTGTGATAGCTTCAAGGCCATTGAACGAAAATCCATGTCCTTGGTAGTATTCCATAAACTGCAGAAGAAAAGAGCTAAACTCATCAGTATTTTCAAAGTAATCTAGATCGTTTGATATTTGATGCAGAGTGTGAGGGTAGTGGCTATGATTATCCCTTTTATCATCGTTCCAGGATTCGATAAGTTTGTTAAGCCTCTCGGAAAGCTTGTAACCGTAATTCTGAAAATTCGTGAAGTCTTGAGTGATATCGTGACTATGTACTAACACAGGAAGGCTTTGGGTCATATACTTGACAAGGCCTCGTGGAACAACATCTTGTGAAGTATAGGTTAAAAGGCCCTTCCCAGTTTCAAGTTGGTTCTTTCTAGGTGAGCTTATCGTACCATCTACATTTGTCACAGAGTATTTTGAAATTGATAGCGTATCAGAACTTCGGACAAAGAGAGAGCTCCAAATTTGGTGATTTGAAGTGCTTGTTCCTGAAAAATTGTTTCCTTTGGAAGAGGAAACAGGAAAACCGATGGCATTTACTCCTTTTCCACAAATTCCGAAATCCATTACGAACGAGTCGCCAAGGGATTGAATTATGCTGCCACGGGATGCAAAGCAATGGACAAGAACTTGAGAGTGTAGATGGGAAAACACATATATGTAGTAAAGGTTTATTTCGGTCTTAAACTTAAGAACCTCTTGTACTGCAACCTTTAAGGTTGTATCAGAAGGTTCTAAATCATGTTTCCAAGAAAGAACCCGCTCAGCTACATGCCCCCTACTGTTTATGATGATGATTTCTTTCGAAGTAAGCAAAATACAGTAATCATCGGAAACGCGTTTAAAATCTCTCAACGATGACCAAGATTTAGCTTGAACAAGCTCAAATTGAGAATCATCTTGAAAATTGAGCTCAATTAGTTTAGACCTGTCCATTGCAAATAGTTTATTGTGATTGCCTGACCACTCTATCTTTTTCCAAGATGAAACTTCCTCTGGGTCAAATATAGTGCCTTTATCGGTTAGAGAAAGACCTAGCTTTCTACAATTACTTTTAGATAGCATCCCTTTGCACCAATTTCCTTTTGTGTCGATAACAGCAAACTCATTTATGTCCCAGGGATTGAAAGTAACGTCTGCTATTGGAAAATCTTCTAAGGCAGAGAAAGGTAATGGATCTGGCCTTGAAGTTATAATCTCGCCGGTCGAAGTATTGATATTTTCGATCTTTATAAAGTGTACTCCATTGTCTGTGATTGCTGCGAGTAGATTCGAAAATCTATTTAAAACTGGAGATAGAGTACCGATCTTGATCTTCTTGATTGTAGACCTGAGATCAAATGATGTCACTTTTCTTTCTGGGTTGAGTTGGAAGCTGTAAGATTTAGAAGTTTTCACCTCTTGGTCTTTCATTTTAATAATCTCGAGATAATGGCATAAAGTGGCGACGTTTAGTATACTGTTTGTAGGGCCTGAGGCAAAACATATAATATTTTGATGGTCGTAATTCAAACGTAAGTCCTTCGTAGTGTGTACTCCTCCAATGCTGAAGAGCTCTGCATCATTTGGGTCAACAACTTCGAAATCTCTCAAGTTATCTGCTGAACACTTATTAGAACTGCAACCGGCAAATTCTTCGAAAGAACTACCATTTTTAAAGGCTCTTGCTGATCCTTCTTGACTCTCAATTCGTGAAAGTAGTTCTTCAGGAACGAAATCTCGAGGTGATATGGGTGTATCGGCCATCGTTTCATATTGACAGTCTATCGAAAGTTCAACACTGCGAAAAGGTCTAATCCACATTGGTGTATCACTCAAAAATTTATCAAGATCATCAAAAAGCAGCTTCGGGCTTACTAGCTCCTGCCCCTCTTCAGTAGAACTGCTCATTAGCATATCGTCATCGACCGAAGAAGTAAGCTCTTCAGTTTGCCTATTTTCAACAGGACATACGACTTCCTCGCGAATAGCGTTTATTATTACTTCTTGAGAATCCCTTATCAGGTGTAATTTAGTCGATTTAGCAGACTCATAATCATTATCAAAGATCCACTTCCTCCCCAGACCATTATCATCCCTCGAAGTAGAAACGTATGCGTTTGAGTCTCTGATTCCAATCCCAAGCTGAACTCCAATTCCTTTCTTTCTGGGAAGAAAGCTGGAATTGAACATTAGGCTTTCTGCTGTTTAGTCGCAACTTATCTTAAATCAAAGCTCTCTATGATGCAGCTCATCGGGAACAATTTGCAAGTCTACCAGACTAAGTATCTCTTTTTACGAATCTTCAACTACTGCTGATTAAGAGTTAACAATATTATTAGAGGGACATCTTTCGTACTATTTAAATTGCGATTAAAGTTCATCGAAAACTTAGCAAAAGTTTATAAAACATTGGACTCTTAGGTAAGTTTACATTTATTTCTGGCCATAATCTGCAGAACGGAAAAACCATCCAACTGCAAATTGGGTGAATCAGGCAGTTGGATCTTCCTCAAATCTCAAATCCCAGCCTATCTGAGGTCCTAACTTAGGCAAAACTTCAGCAACACTTTGAACATCTTTGTCACCCCTACCTGAAATGTTGATAACGATATGTTGATCTGGTTTCATAGTTTTAGCCAACTGAACAGCACCGTAAACAGCATGGGAGGATTCCAGTGCTGGGATAATACCCTCTAATTGAGAAAGTAGTTTGAAGCCTTCCAATGCTTGAGCGTCAGTCGCAGCAACAAACTCGGCACGACCAGATGCTTTCCAAGCAGCTAATTCAGGACCAACACCTGGATAGTCCAAACCCGCCGAGACGGAGTGTGTATCATGAACTTGACCATCGTTATCTTGCAAAACGTAAGTTTTGACACCGTGGAACACACCCGGTCTTCCTACTGTTAAGGTTGCCGAATGGTGAGCGGTATCAACACCATCACCACCTGCTTCCACACCCAGCAATTTTACCGACAAATCTTTTTCAAATGGAGAAAACATACCACTTGAGTTCGATCCGCCACCTACACATGCAACAACTGCGTCTGGTAATCTACCGTCGTTCAATTTTGCAAATTGTTCCTTCGTTTCGTTACCGATAACGGACTGGAAGGTCCGAACAAGCGTAGGATAAGGATGTGGGCCAATGGCAGATCCTACGACATAATGTGTAGTCTGCAAATTTGATACCCAGAAACGGAAAGCCTCTGAGGTTGCATCTCTAAGCGTCTTCGTACCATTTGTGACGGCAACAACTTCAGCACCTAGGATACGCATTCTGAAAACATTCAAAGCTTGGCGACGGACGTCCTCGGCACCCATAAATACTGTGCACTGCAAACCGAATTTAGCACAGGCAGTTGCTGTCGCCACACCGTGCTGGCCTGCACCAGTTTCTGCAATAATTTTTTTCTTACCTAGCCTTTTCGCAATCAACACTTGTGCCAAGGCATTGTTAATCTTGTGAGAACCAGTGTGGTTCAAGTCTTCTCTCTTTAGCCAAATTTGGGCACCACCACAATGTTCGGTCAGTCTTTCGGCCTTATGTAGGGAGGAAGGACGTCCAATGTACGAATACAAATCTTTAAATTCCTTCCAGAAGATAGGATCAGCCACTGCGCTCTCAAAGCCTTGCTCCAATTCCCTCAAACACGCATGAAGAGCCTCTGGAACATACTGACCACCAAAGTCACCAAACGTAGCGCAAAACTTGTGCTTTTCTTTGAATTCATCACCATCCGATTTTCTGTTCTTGCCCTCAATGATGGATTTTTCCTGCAGGGCCTTGAACTCCTCTGCAGTGAATATATGATGTTTTTTACCGTCTAGGATTTCTTCGACGTATTTTTTGGCTGCATCGTAACGTTCACCTTGCTTGGCCTCTCCCAACAAGCTCACAACCTTGGAACCAATTACAACACCATCAGAAACACTTCCTACTGTTGTAAAATGTTCTCTGGTAGAAACACCAAACCCAACAGCCAGAGGAGTTTCTTTGGCGTATTTCCTCACACGATTCACTAGAGCAGCTAAGTCCGTAGAGACAGCGTTCTGAACACCGGTGGTACCCATTCTGGACACCACGTAAATGAAAGAGTCCGCAATACGTGACAGTAGCTCTAATCTCTCGTCGGTAGTAGAAGGAGCCACCAATGGGATCAAACTTAAACCGTTGTTGCTCACGTAGTTTCTGACCTTGATAGCTTCCTCAGGAGGTAAATCAACAATAATGAAACCACTTGCACCAGCATCAGCAGCCTCAATGATGAATTTTTCTTCACCGTAACTTAAAATTGGATTGTAGTAACCCATTAAAATTATTGGGACTGTGACACCTTCCGCTCTTGCTTGCCTCACCATGTTCAACGTCTTGGCCATTGTAACACCATTGTTCAATGCAGTAGTGTTTGCAACTTGAATGGTAGGCCCATCAGCAATGGGATCTGAGAATGGGAGACCAAGCTCAATAATATCGACACCACCGTCTTGAAAACCTTTCAAAATTGGAATTGTATCTTCCACGGTAGGGTAGCCAGCGGTGATAAACGTAACTAGCGCATTGCGATTTTCTGCCTTTGCGTTGGCAAATGTCTTCTTAAGCAATTCAGCCATAATTCAGCGTATTAATTTCTTGTGACTAATACCTGAATCACTTGATTGATAAAAGCCATATATAGTTTTATTACTTGTCATTCTTTTTTGGAAAAAAATTTGACTCACAAACATCGTAGATCATTAAAAACGTAGAACACGTGATATAGTTTATTGTAAGAAATCCATATTAAGGCTCGCGAGATCGATATTATTGAGATCAAGGCTATTCAGATCGAGGGAATTGCTGCTCTGGTGCTGTGGCTGTGACAACTGTGATTGCTGACTCGACGGGGCCTGCATCGGGTTCTGTTCCATCATTGACATATTCAAAATATTAGCAGGAGTTATGTTGTTCATATTTAGTTGCTGTGATGCCGATGGAATATGTCTTTGGGGCTGAGATTGCGGTTTTGGAGCTGTTGATATGCTTGCACTTCCATTGTACGGCAAATTCATGCTACCGTTGACCGGGGACATTGTACTCATGGGGCTGCTCATCATGTTCATAGGGGACATATTCGACAAGATTTGTGACGGGTTGGTTGGAGGACTAGCCTGAAGAGGGATACTGGCGGCACCTGGGATTGAGTTTTTCTTCTGGCGAGGTTTTCTCGGTTTCTTAACAGCCACATTTCCACCAGCAGAAGGAGTGGGTACATTGCTTGCCGGTGTATTCACGTTGGATTTGTTCAATCTAGCATTCGAGGGCGAAGTTGCGTTGGGGGGTTTGCTTTGTGTATTGATAGTAACTTCATTAACGTGTCTAAGGGTCTCGAGTGGGGTAAATTTCTTAGAAGTTTTTCCCTCTTTAGAGTACTGTTGCATTGCTTCAAATACGGGCTGCAACTTATGGTATTCCCCACAGAAACTTTGAATTTCTGTGCTCAGTTCTAAGACTTTGGCACGAATCATTGTGAACTTTTCCTGAGATGATTTTCCTTGCGTCTTATCTATGGAAGCAATTGTGTTAATCAAGTCGTTAAAGCGCAGGCGCATCGGAAGTATCGAATCTTTTGCCTTCCTTATGTCTTGCAAAACTGAATCTTTGTACATGCTATCTGACCCTAGTTTATCCTCCATTTCTTCCATTTTAAGTCGTACTGCCTGCTTTGGCTTGCCCTGGTTCATTGTTTACGGGTTATCTAGACTACAAGATTTCTGTTCTGATGATTTGATTTCTTGTTAAGGTCAGCATGAAAGCTGCGTAAACAGTGATGTCAGTAATCAAGGCAATTACGACGAGATCGATGAGTAATAGGGCGATATATTCAAGACACTAGTTGATCCGTTGTTTGAATTTAACAATTTTTCCGCTTCGAATTGTCTGTTCTACTACCCATCTTTTAGCAACAGTTTCTTCCAAATTTTGGAACATGTTGTGGAACCAGCCCACTTCCATGAATGTCAAGCCCAGTTGGTTGTAGCATTTACTGATCGTGACTATCGTCTGTTCCTTGATATATTCAAATGCAGGAAGAGCTATCAGAAACGTTTTCATGAGACTGCTATCGCTCAATTGTGCAACAGTCGAAAACCAAAATGAAAATGGCTCGCTTCTGCAGCAATAGATAAGAGCCAGTCGTTTACAGGTATTGCGATAGGAAGAGTTAACGAGCAGTTTGGAGGACAATTGAATAGATTTTTCCACGTTCAAATCAATGTGGGATGTATAGAGGATGTAGCAGCCCACTAGTTCCTCATATCGCGAGCCAAATTCACGTAATTCTGGTGTTTCAATCACAAATTGTAAACTTGGGAGAGTTTTTGAGATCTCATTTCGGTCTACATGGTACTTTACGGAGACGTCGAAGACTTTCAATATAAAAGCGACGAACGAAGAATCATTCTTGTTGAGATTGTAAACACTGATGATAATTTCTCGTAATTTTCGCAAACCGTAAGCTATTTGATCACTTTCAGGATCAAGTTTACGGATGTCAAGAATCCTCTTGAAAAATCTGATTCTTGCTTCTTGATCAGTTTGTAAAACCCTGATATTCCCATGTATGCCCTCAAGTCTGCTCAAGAGTGCACCATCATTTAAGGGATCGTTCAAAATTCTTGAACGAACTTCATCAGAAAACTTCTCCTTGCGTTTCCTTACTTTCTCCGAATCAGCCATATAAAGTTGTCCTTTGCTTGTCATGAACCGGCTCGCGTTCAAGTTTGTTGTTTTTTCTGGAATACCTAGCTACAGCATATCATCGGGTGTTATGAAGCACACATTGCTTGCCAGGGTACTTTCACTCCGTAGAAACTACTCTACCAGTGGCAAATCAGTTCTTAATATTCTATTTTTTGGATCAGATGAATTTAGTGTGCACTCATTGGAAGCACTGACCAGAATGAGAAATGAGGAGCCAAATGTAATTAATACCCTACAAGTTGTGACAAAACCTCCGAAACAGTGCGGAAGATATCTGGCTGAAACAAAGGAAGTTCCAATTGCAAGTTTTTGCCCAAGGCTGGGCCTGCCGCCGGCATTGAGATGTGATACAGTCGAGGACATGAAAGGTCCAATAATGGATGCCGTGAAGAGACAAGAGATTAATATGCTGATCGCAGTGTCGTTTGGGAAGTTAATACCTAAACAACTGATTGACGAGGTACCTTATACACTTAATATTCATCCTTCACTCTTGCCGAGATACAAGGGTTCATCGCCAATACAATATACCCTCATGAACCACGATCAGGAGACTGGTGTCTCCATACAAACTCTACATCCGAGCAGATTTGATCACGGTAACATAATAGCACAATCCGCTCCGAGAAATGTTAAGGAGCTGTTAAAATTGGGCGCGGTGAGTAATTTTGAATCGAACGTGCCTCCTAAAGTTGCGATTTTGATGGATCAGCTTGGCATCATTGGGGCAAACCTTCTGACAACTGTTCTACATAAAGAGCTCTACGCAAGGCAACCAAGTTTTATTCCTACCTTACCTGAAAGCTACGCTCCCAAGATCAAGACGGAGATGAAGAAAATCAACTGGGCTGAAGAAGACTCGAGCCAAGTCTTGGATAAAATTGACGCGCTAGGAACCGTTTACGCCTATAAAGAAGCGAAACCAAAGAGAGGTGACGCAACGCAGAAGCGGGTTATTTTTTATAATATGCTCCCCTATTATGGAAACCATTCTCCAGAGGCTACTGGATCATTTTTATATGATGAAGATCAAAAATGTTTGGTGATTCGATTCCGCAATGGAATCAACCTCCAAACAAGAGAAATTCAATTTGAAGGTTTCAAAAAGGAGTCATGCGAGCAATTTATGAAAAGTCTAAAGAAACGCTGTGGGCCTGAATACTGCTCGAAGCTGGTGTTTACTTGATCGCTTGTGCTGCCAGAGGCTTTTACAGAACTACTTCATGAATATTGCACAGGATTTAAGAGATAATCCAATACATAGTATAGCCGTAGGTAGATTAGCAGCATAAGTGACATATCAAATATTCGCTATCGCATCCAAAGTGCATACAGATTTGAATATTTCAGCATTTTTTGGAATAGTAAAGTCTTCCTGACTGATGAGAAATGCAAAAAATCTCCGCGACGGGGAATTGAACCCCGGTCCCGCGCGCGACAAGCGCGAATTCTAGCCACTAAACTATCACGGATTTGTTCTTTTGTTGGAAGAGAGACATTAAGTTCAATACTTACCATGATGTATGTACGGCGTGCTCTACATAATTCTCCTAACATATTGTCAATATGTCCTTTTCGCTTAACATATTTTGGCCATTTATCACTTTCTTCATTGTAATTGTTACCCTTGAGTTGTTAACGAATCGGTATTGTGACTATTTTTAACGCAATTCATTTCTGAGCCGCATCAAGCGAAATATTTCAACAATTTTCTCAATAAATAAAGGTAAGAAAATAAAGGGCATCCACCTCACTATAGTTCCGAGAAAAGGTAAGCGACTTATGGAAAAAAGATTGGTGACGAAGGGGACTGAAGTCGGTAATTCTATTCAAGTTGAAGAGGATTATAATTCCTACACATATGAAGAGCCTCCTACGTACCGTAAAGTTGTTTATGATGTGTTTCTGTGGTTGTTGTCCAACATCTTCGATTGTTTCTTCCGCGAAATCCGAAGCAGAGGTCGTTATAAGATTCCTAGGCAGGGGCCCATTATTTTCGTTGCTGCTCCTCACGCGAACCAATTCATTGATCCGGTCATTCTGATGGGGCAGGTCAAAAGGGCGGTCAACAAGAGGGTGTCGTTTCTAGTGGCCGAAAAATCCTTGAAGCGTAAAGCAATTGGTACTTTTGCTCGGTGTGCCATGTCAATAGGTGTTTCAAGGGCACAAGATAATCTCAAGCCAGGCACGGGCAAAATCACAATCAACATGGACGAACCGCGGAAGGTCATCGGCCATGGTACCAAGTTTACCAAAGAGTGTAGTCCTCAAGGCCTGATTGGCCTTCCTCGGTCGCTGGGTAATGTGACCATTGAATCTGTAGAAAGTGATACAGAATTAACGATTCGGAAAGAATTTAGGATGAACAAATCGGAGGTGAAAAGCCTCTTAACAAAGGGAACTTCCTTCAAATTTGCTCCTAAGGTTAACCAAAGGGAAGTTTATCACCGCGTATTTGAGCATTTATACCATGACCAGTGTGTAGGAATTTTTCCCGAGGGTGGATCGCATGACCGCACTGATTTACTTCCGCTCAAGGCAGGTGTAGCTATCATGGCTCTTGGCTGTATGAGTAAGCACCCTGATATCAATGTGCGAATTGTTCCTTGCGGCATGAATTACTTCCATCCACACAAATTCAGATCTAGAGCAGTTGTAGAGTTCGGAAACCCAATCGAGATATCGTCCGAGCTGGTCGCAAAATACAACAACTCAGAAACGAATCGCGATGCAGTCAAGGAACTGTTGGACACTATCAGTGAAGGCCTACGGGCTGTAACAGTTACATGCCCAGACTATGAAACAATGATGGTTGTTCAAGCTGTTAGACGACTCTACGCCGGACATCTTTCTGCGAAGCTACCATTAGCTCTTGTAATAGAAATGAATAGACGTTTGGTACATGGATATACCACGTTTAAGGATGATCCCCGCATCATGCAATTGAAAGAAGATGTCTTGAAATATAATGCAAATCTCCGCCACTTCAATATCCCTGACCATCAAGTTGAGACAGCTAAGATTAATTTTACGAGAAATTTGGGATTACTTATTTTTAGATCTTTGAGATTGTTGGTGTCTGTTATTTTGGCTCTTCCGGGAATAATTATGTTTTCACCGGTTTTCATCGTTGCCAAGACAATTTCCAAGAAAAAAGCCCGCGAGGCTCTAGCTGCATCAACTGTCAAAATTAAGGCTAACGATGTTATTGCCACTTGGAAAATATTGATTGGAATGGGTTTTGCTCCTCTGTTGTATACATTTTGGTCTGCGTTAATCACCTGTTATTTCCACGTTTCCATCACCGAAAATAAATTTGTCAGTTTTGCTGCAATTTACATACTATGCTCCATGTTGACGTATTCTGCTCTGATTATCGGTGATAATGGTATGGATGTTTTCAAATCCTTGAGGCCACTTTACTTATCCATCACAACACCAGAAAGCTTGAAAGATTTACAGAAGGAAAGATGTGTTTTAGCTGAAAAAATAACTGAAACAGTCAATACTTTGGGCCCACAGATATTCCCCGACTTCGATGCAGGAAGCTTGTTCGATAAGTATAAGAATGGTTACTCTCAGTTTGATGAGGAAGAAGAGGACAGAAAAACTTCAGAATTGAGGCGCAGAAGATTGCTTAAGAAGAAGAAGCAAGGTATTGAGCGTAAGAAAGAAATATCTTCAACTGAAAGTGAGGAAGAAAGTGATGCTGTTTCGATGATCAATAGTGATAATTCCTTATCCAATATTCCTATTTTTTCAACTTCTGGAGCTCGGTCAGGTTCAGTATCGTCTTTAACATCATTGAGCTCGGGGTTTGAAATTGTGGAAGACATGACCAGGGAAGACGAGCTCAGCCGGAAAATTGCACACGCAGTGCGTGAAAAGAGATTTTTAGACTAGATTTATATTCAAATGACATTCGTACAATAAATTAAGTATCAATTTATTCATAACACCTGTAATGTGGAGAGTCCCAATATAGGGAAGTTGTGTTTCAATGATGCCGTTCAATATTCGAGTTGTCGGCATTCAACTAATTCACAATGTTTGTTTGTTTCTTCTCTGTTTATGTTTTTGATACTTTTCCAGTTTTGAGCATGAGCTTCTTCCCCAATGAATGATAATAACAAAATAAATTAGACTGGCATTCACGAGGGGAAATGCTAATGGGAGAGCTATTGACGCCTGACCGAGGTCTAATGCAATTCAAAAAAATCTTGAGCTTGTGGAAATCCAGGCAATAGCCTCATGAATATCATTAACACTAACTAATCAATATCGAAAACAAATACTAACACAAAATAAATACGACATGAAGGCACCTGGCCTTCATCGGGTTTCCGCAAATTTGATTGCAGTTCTTCTTTTTATCGTTGTTCCAGCATAACCTAAAAACTACTCCAATTCCAATCAGCGGGAACACTACCTACAATACTGTCCATCCTCTCTCTTTGTTTGCTTTCTGGGTTTGTGGGCTCAGCCTGTTCCAGTTGCGTATCGATGCCCGGCATAGGTGACGGCGTGGTTTCAAAATTATTCTTCTGTGGTGCTGCATCAGAGGATGGACCTCCTCTGACCAAAGTTTCATATTCTTGCAGACAACCATCGCATATTTTGGATAAAGCACCTATACCAGCACCTCCAATCACAAACTGAGCATTCGGATCTAAATACAACCAGTGCCGTACATGCTGAGAACAGAAAACGTCCCCACAATGTCTACAATGATGTTTGCGCTCCCAAAAGCTGAAGATTTTATGGCAATAATGGCAAGCATGACGTTTAGAATCAGGAACCCAATGGTCTTTCGTAGGAGGCGTGATTTCTGGTGTCTTGATATACGAAGGCGATTTCCCCCAACGCGAACTGAGTCTCTTTGTGTATTCTGATATTATCGAGGATGTTGTGGACTGCATGCTCTTAACACTGCTACGCGACGTGAGGCCTGCTGTAGTATGAATGGGTAACGGTTGCGGAGTTTGTGCGTTCAACTCCGCATTCGTTATATTCGTCTCTGACACATCCCGCAAAACCGCAGGCGTATACAATGGTTTCTTAGGCATATTAATCTGTCTGATGGGTCTTTTAGACTTGCTTCTCATCGATGAGTCGATGGTAGGCGTCATAATATCACCTGGATGCTTCACAGTTACAATTGAGCCACGCTTATTGGACGGAATTGAAGAGTCAAGAATTATATTCTTGCCACCAAAAGGAATCTGCGTCAGCTCTTCTCCCACCAAGCTGTCGTCAGATGGTTGTGGAGTTGGGAAAGTGTGTGCTTCTGTGTTGATTCGCTTGAAAGCGGACAGCTTTCGCAGAGCATCGGTGGTGAGTTTCTTTTGCTGCGCGGGATCGTCGTCCTCCGCATCATCCTCGTAGGACGAGACGGCTGAATTAACATCAGTGGCAACAGGGTCACTAGAATCTATCTTATCTTGCGCGTGATCCGCGAAACTGCCCTTTTTGGTACTGACCCTCTCACCCTCTCGCACACAAGGTACTTGTCTCGAGCCAAGCGTTGCAACCTGAGTGGAGCTCTGACCGCGTTTAGAAAACCTCCCTTGCCCAAGCGCCTCAAGTTCCAGTTGACGGCGCTTGTCGTCTGTGAAGGGTAACTTCTGCCCGATTCCATCACCATTGTTGAGACTTGTGGTTCGCTTGCGTACTGAGGCCATCGCAGGAGACTGGATCTGCTGCGTTGCGTTCAGTCCGGCGGGCACTGCACTGCCGACGTTTGAATGCTCACTCTGCTCCTCTTGGTGTGCGCCCATCATGCTACGTAGTGATATGCTGCTAAGAACACTCTGAACCGAATGTGTGCGCATTCGGGGCATCACCTTCTGTTTCTCGAATGTTATCGTAGATTTGTTGCTGTTATTGGACGATGTTCGCGTTGGAGTTCCCATGCCAGAGCCACCGGTTTTGAGCTGCTTCTGAGCAGACTCTTCCGTTACCACGTCACTCTCCTGACTATGGACGCTGCTCATTAGCCTTTAGTTCAGTTTCGTTGCGTATTTTACATTTCTCCTTGGAGGAAATTTTTATGAACTTCGAGGCTGTTACGAGTGAGAAAACCACGTGAGTTAGAAGTACTAGTTATCAAAGCCCATAAAGGATAGTTTTGCAGGGCCATATAGTATTTATATTAGGCTGCTATGCTTTGAGAAGCTTCATTTCGTTTTCTTGCACCTTAATCGTGAGATATACGTAAATTATGCATTTCACGTGACTGGCGCTCGCTATTAATTGATTTTGCTCGTTGTAATTGCCAGGTATGAGTTTAACAAATATACCGATAAATAAAGCCATATGCCTGAGGCAAAGAGTTATAACCTGCAATGGTTGCAGATTCTGCTGAAAACGGCGATATTTTTAGCGATCACTGGAGCAGCTGTTTCGTCGAGGTTGTTTTCAGTGATCCGTTTCGAATCTATCATTCACGAATTTGACCCATGGTTCAATTTCCGTGCAACGAAATACCTGGTATCGAACGGGTTTTACAAGTTTCTCAATTACTTTGATGATAGGACATGGTATCCCCTGGGCAGAGTCACGGGTGGTACCTTGTATCCGGGACTGATGACGACCTCTGCTGCAATTTGGCACGCGTTGCGCCACATTGGGCTCCCAATCGACATTAGGAACATCTGTGTTTTGTTCGCGCCTGCATTTTCAGGTATAACAGCATGGGCAACCTACCACTTTACGTGTGAGATTAAGGATAGCAGTGCAGGTTTGCTTGCTGCCGCGTTCATCGCCATTGCGCCAGGTTATATTTCGCGTTCAGTGGCGGGATCCTACGATAATGAGGCCATAGCTATCACATTGTTGATGGTTACTTTCATGTTTTGGATTAAGGCTATGAAAACAGGTTCCATTATGCATTCAACATTCGCTGCCCTATTCTACTTCTACATGGTGTCTGCCTGGGGTGGTTACGTGTTCATTACGAACTTGATTCCATTGCACGTGTTTATCCTTCTGCTAATGGGCCGCTACTCAACCAAGCTGTATTCTGCATATACGACTTGGTATGCCATCGGTACAATTGCTTCAATGCAGATTCCATTCGTGGGATTTTTGCCTATTAGATCTAACGATCATATGGCTGCGTTAGGTGTCTTTGGCTTGATTCAAATTGTGGCTCTTGGTAGTTTCGTCAAGTCACAAGTATCATGGGAAAAATTCAAAACTGTCATGGTGTTGTCATTACTGCTACTTATCGCTGTTGGTGTCAGCGGTTTGTTTGTGCTAACTTATTTCGGCTATATCGCACCTTGGACCGGAAGATTCTATTCATTGTGGGACACCAATTATGCCAAGATTCATATTCCAATCATCGCCTCTGTATCTGAGCATCAGCCTACTGCCTGGCCTTCTTTTTTCTTTGATACGCAGTTCCTTATCTGGCTCTTCCCTGCTGGTGTTTTCTTGCTGTTTTTGGAACTTAAAGACGAACATGTCTTTGTTATTGCATACTCCGTATTGTGTTCCTATTTTGCAGGTGTTATGGTAAGACTAATGCTAACTTTGACACCAATTATTTGCGTATGTGCCGCTGTGACTGTCTCCAAGCTATTTGATGAGTATTTGGACTTTTCTTTCCTATGCAAAAAGGGGTCTTCAGAGGGAGTTTCGCTCAGGGACCGCACTTTGACATTCATAACTAGGGTAACCGTTTGCGGCTCCATGCTTTTCTACCTATACTTGTTTGTGTACCACTGTACTTGGGTGACATCAAATGCTTACTCTTCCCCATCCGTCGTTTTGCCATCTAGAAACCCAGATGGTTCCCCCGCGTTGATTGACGACTTCCGCGAAGCATACTACTGGTTGCGTATGAATACCGCCGAGGATGCTAAAGTTGCAGCCTGGTGGGATTATGGTTACCAAATTGGTGGCATGGCTGATAGAACTACTTTGGTTGACAACAACACTTGGAATAACACCCATATTGCCATTGTTGGCAAAGCAATGTCTTCTCCACAAGATAAAGCCTATGAAATTCTAAAGGCACATGACGTCGACTATGTTCTTGTCATTTACGGTGGTCTAATCGGATTCTCTGGTGATGATTTGAACAAATTCTTGTGGATGGTCCGTATATCTGAAGGTATATGGCCTGAAGAGATCAAGGAACGTGATTATTTCACACCCAATGGAGAATACCGTATGGATGCTGCCGCATCTCAAACAATGAAAGATAGTCTCATGTACAAATTGTCGTACTACCGCTTCCCATCCTTATTTAACGGCGTAGAGGGCGTCGATCGTATTCGTAACCAAAGAATTAGACAAGAAGACATTGGCGAACTTGATTACTTCGAAGAAGTCTTTACTTCCGAAAATTGGATTGTTAGACTTTACAAGCTAAAAAATCCTGACCACTTGGGAAGAGATCTACGTGCGGTTGGTGATTTTGACAGAAATACTGTCAAAGGGTTGAAGAAACGCTCAGTCAAGAAACCTAACTTGGATCCCAGAGTCTAGAGGTTTGCTCATTCATATAATGTACATCATCCTACGTAAACTTAAAGAAAACTAGATAAACGCTATCGTACCCACCTGAATTTTCTGCCATGTTTGGAACTGCGTCCATGCTTCTTGTTATAAGCAGCTATCTCGTCACGCCGCAACCGTTGTGTGTGTCCCACCAAGTTGGTGACCACATCCTCAAATGTGGTCTTGTCAGCCTCTAGCTCATTTTGCAGAGCCAATTGCTCGCGCAAATCATGATATACGCGGTCTATCACGCATAGAAGCTCATCATGTATACTCTCCAGTTCATTCGCATCCAGTATGTCAAGTTTCAGTGCTGTGAGTTCGTTGCAAGGCCGTGGCTCACTTTTTACATCTTTTGCAACGGGGAGCAGGCCAAGACTCGCAGTAATACTTCCAGCGTCAATAGTCTTCTCATTCTCGCTCAGATTGCCCATGATCTTTACAAAAAGGCTATCATCGAGTGCCCTGACGCCTACAGGCTCCTCGTGTGGCTCTTCGATCTGCAGCGTTTTCAACAGCAGCGCTCTCAAATGCGAGCGGCGCCATGCAAATGGCTGCAAATGTGTATCCCATAGCACTAGATGCTCGTAGACCACTCGTGGTCTTTCTTCCTCCACAAGCTCCGCTAGAACATGAGACTCATCCACTTGTGCTTTAATTTCTTGCGCGGGGCCCAGCAAAACATCCAAAAATGCATCCGTTGAAGAGCTTTGGGAGAAACCCTCCTCATCACCGCCCGCAAAGTCTCCAAAATCACTATCGCTATCGCTCATAGTTCTGGAAGATCTTCTTTTAACATTTTATCGATGGTATAACAGAGCGGCCTTTAAAATAATCGCATTATTTCTCATGAAAGCACGTGATGAAACAAAATAATCACCACGTGACAATAACATGCATTTTCAGAATAACAGGAAAGTTTTTGTTTTGATTTGTTTTGTTTACTTTGAACCATCATCCGACAAGCAAAAGAAGGTATGGAGCTAGATAGTTGGTTCGATGAGTACGCGGGTGGACCGGCTGGTAGTAAGTTCATTGCTTTAGAGGTATCAGACCATGAAGACGATTACGATTCTTCGACAGAATCTATCGCACCAGCCAAAGAGGTGGAATGCGAAGCAGGGGTGACTGCAGAAAGTGTGCAAAGCCCTGTACAGAGCCCAGTGCAAACACCAGTACAGTCGCGCAACGTATCACGCACACCATCTCAGAAGCCCGCACGGAGCAGTGAGCCATCTCTTCTCAACTCTGCGTCCGCAAAAACATCCAAACGGTGGTCGCTGATCTCCAACAGCTCCAAGAAAAGGTGGTCATCGGTGTCGTTTGCAAGCGAAGAGCGACGTGTAAGCCCGTCCACGTCATCTAAAAAACGACGTTCTGTTATGTCAGTGACCAGCGAGAACGAGAAGCGGATGTCAACGGCGAGCGTGCAATCGTCGATCGCCTCGCTGAAAAGATCATCCACGGGCGCCTCGTTGAGACAGATGTTTGGAAAAATCGCCATAGGGGATGAAGAAAAAGAGAACAACAGCAGTAGTAAGTTACCGTCAGGTCGCTCCACGTCTCGTCCCAACTCGCGAGCGTCGTTGCAACCACTCAATGCCAACGTTTGCAATACAATGAGCCAGAGAAAGTCATATTTGGCAAGCTCTCCTTCTATGGACAATGTGAGCGTTATTTCCGGCGCCAGCGTCTCATCAGTGTCTTCGAAGTGGAAATTCTGGAAGAAAAAGTCCGATTCGGAAAGCAGTGAGGTGTCGCAGGCATATTCTGGGCCTACGATTAGACATCATGGATCAAGATCTTCGCTCAAGCATAAGTCATCTCACTCATCGCTACAGAAGCTTAAATCACATCGCAATTCAGTCGCTAGCGAGTCCATCTCTTTGCCCATGCCCGATCTACTTTCGCGAGACAAGCTTCGCATGAAGCTAAGGAACTCGACATCTTTGATGTCGTTAAACTCTAGCGTGATCACGGAAGAATTCGATGAGTTACAAATTTCACAACTATTGGAGCTCTGCGGTCAGAATCACCCACTCCCGATCGAGCAGGTTGTGCCCACCTGGTCAACATTGCAAAGACTTTCAACACATGTCTTCCAGGGGACGGATTCAATATTCAAGATCTTGCCGCTTGGCCAAGATGATTTCACTCATAGCAAGAACATGCGCTTGAAGGAACTCAAGCTTTTGAGACTTTTCAACGGTACACCGGGTTTTACCCAACTGATAGCCTGCCACTTGGCATTAATTCACGGCGAACCAACCCTTGTTTGCGAGCTCAGACATGCAGGAATTTCTCTTGCTGATACCAACTTTTCGTCTTGGGCTAAAGTTCTGAACGTTTGGTGGCAATGTGCCGTGATTGTCTACGCAGGTGAAACCAAGTTTCAATTCGAACACCGTGATTTACAGCTTGAACATGTTCTAGTTGATCATCACGGAAATGTAACAATTTGTGATTATAAACTTTCGAGGGCATCTCAAGGTTCTTTCACCTACTATACACGTTTGGATCACCCTCTATTTTTCCAAGGACGTGGTGATTACCGTTACGACGTTTACAACACAATGAGGCACTGGAGTTCCGATTCGCCTGCCCGATTCAACCCTCGCAACAATTTACTCTGGCTGCATTATATTGGCGTCAAGCTTCTCAAGCAACTAAGTCATGTACCTTCAGATCAAAGCCATGCCGAGTTGAGAAAACTAGTTGCTTTGGTAGATCCATACCGCCGCAAGAGAAGCATTTTCCGTCGCAGTGACGATATCTCCAATTGTGGAGACCTCCTTAGATTGAGGAGCTGATTGTGTTATTCGACTTTATACTTATAGGCTAATTGCATAGATTACGTACAACAAATTCAGTTGTATCAATTACTCTGGTGAGGGCCCATAGCCAAATGGCCAGGCAGACGGTTGTCTCTATGTGCATCTCTGTCACTTGAACAGGGCCTTTCAACACATAGCGGATTGGACCAAGTGCAGCTGCTGCCCAACCCTGAGACATGATACCTTTAAGCATATGTGGAAACAGATCACTAGGCAGTGAAAACACGGGAAGCTTCCCTTTCCAAAACTTCAAAACAGTTAGGGGAATGGTAAACAGTAGAAGACGCAAACGAGATAGAACCTGTATACCCGATTGCCTCTGTTTGACCAACTGAGAAGTGACATTTGTAATTTCAGTATCTAGTTGAGAAATTTGGCGGTTGAGCTTTGTCCAACGGGCATACTGGTCTTGAGCACTGACTGATTGTTGTTCGCGGTGCAATTCCTTACGCTTAACTGTCAAGGTTTGTAATTTAGTGGCATGCGACCGACACCAAATAAAGTCTACAACTGCCTCTTGATATGCAGCTAACCATTGAAATAATCTTAGCGTCAAAATCAGCACTATACTTAGAGTAAATGTCGAAGCTATCATCTTTCTTATTGCTCGTTACAGATATGAATTATTCTAAAAATTTTAACACGCAGAGAAATAAAGAACAGCCTTAGAACTCAGGGACAAGAAATCAATGAGTGAATTCATAGGAGACAACTCTCACACAGGTAGTAGCGATGAGAGTGGCACATATGACGAATGGATTCCATCATTTTGTTCTCGATTTGGACATGAGTACTTTTGCCAAGTGCCTACTGAGTTTATCGAGGATGATTTCAACATGACCGGATTGGCGCAAGAAGTACCTCACTATCGGAAAGCACTTGATCTCGTATTAGATCTAGAAGCTATGAGCGATGAAGAAGACCCAGATAATGATCAACCTGTCAGCAGAAGTATCATTGAGCATGCCGCAGAACAACTTTATGGCTTAGTTCATGCCCGTTACATTCTCACCAAGCCAGGCCTTCAGGCTATGGCAGAGAAGTTTGACCACAAAGAATTTGGCACCTGTCCACGTTATTACTGTGCTGGAATGCAGATGCTACCTTGTGGGCTCCACGACTCTTTGGGTAAAAACACAGTGCGCCTATACTGCCCTAGTTGCCAGGATCTTTACATTCCTCAATCTTCTCGCCACCTATGCCTAGAAGGAGCATTCTGGGGCACTTCATTTCCAGGTGTTTTCCTAAAGCATTTCAAGGAACTCGAAGATTACGTAGATCGCAAGGCCAAAGAAACTTACGATCTTCGTGTGTTTGGATTCCGGATCAACGATGAAGCACCCTCGGGCTCACGCATGCGTTGGCTAAGACAGTATCCTGCAACAGAAGATGAGCAACGCGAATACGAGCAATGTGAGTTCCGCATCCCTAGCCTATAGACAAATTATGTAGTAATTCTATTAATGGTTCAAATTTACTGCCTTTCCTGGTTCCCATTCCTTGACTGCGCGATCTAAACTCGTCCAGTAACGAAGTTCCACGGTAAGCTGTGCTGCAGTTTCCATGTCGTTCTGCTCGAATGCCTTAGTCAGCTCTTGTTCAATCACCGCCATACGCTCTCGATTCTCTCGAGATATAGCTTTAACTTCTTGTTCGCTAGATAATCCTTCTAACTGCTCGTGAACATCTAGTACTTTCATTAATAATCCGGGGTCGTGCTGAGCAATCGTCTGTGCCATCTTTTCATCGTTGAGATCAATGCCACCCTTAATGAGTAATAAATATTGTGCACGAAGAAGTGGTTGCCTCACCGTTTGATATGCATGATTAATGTCGGAGCTACGGCTCGTATGAGCATTGGCGTTAGCATCAGGATGTTCATGCGCTTGCAATTCACGATATTCCTTTCGCAAACATTTTAAATCTACCAACCAACTTGGGTTTCCATTGGGAAAACTCTTGGGAAAGTACTGAAATACAGTTTTGCTGCTGTAAAACCTTCTCGATAGTATCCTTAGCATGTTGTTGCTCTGGTAAGCCCGGTGAAATAGTGAATTTACCTCGCAAAAAAATCAAAGGATACTTAACATATTACTACAAAAAAAAACGGCGATAAAGAAGATCGAATGGAGCTGTCAGATAGACTGATCATCTCAAAGCCCTTATATTTCAGCGAATCTACCGAGAAATGTGGTTACTGCAGAGGTGAAAAGGCCCAAAAGTACGATTATTTCGCCACCAAGTCATGGTGGGACTTGCATAAGGAGGACGCAAATCTGTTGCAATTTAACAATTGCACTTTGGGCCTGCAAGTAGAATTGATACCCGTTGAAATTTACGATGAACTTTGTAATCTGGGTTTTAGAAGATCAGGGAACTTTCTATATAAGGCTGATATGTTAAGAAATTGTTGTCGACTGTACACCATTCGTACAACTCCTGCAAGATGCAAGATTTCGAAAGAACTGAAAAGCTGTGTCTCAAGATTTCGCAAGAGAATATCAAGCCCTAATGGGGGTCAAAGCACAAATAGCGCAAACGGCGTCGTTAATGGGAAGCATAGTTTCATAGACGAGATTTTGCAGGCAGAAGAATCTAGCACAACCTTTCGGACTAACTTTGAGCCTCCCACTTATACTCCTGAAAAGTATCAATTGTTTGTCAAATATCAAGAGCAAGTGCATCATGATTACGGTAATTCGGTCAAATCGTTCAAGAGGTTTTTATGCGAATCACCTTTTCCAGAAGACGTAGTTGCAGGTACGAAAGAGGAGTGGGATCAACTCAATAACTGGAGAAAGCTGAAGAAAGGTGAGCATATAAAGAGAGTAGGACCCGCACATGAATGCTATTATTTTGAGGATAGACTGATAGCTCTAGCAGTAACGGACTTCCTTCCCAGTGGCATATCTTCGGTTTATTTCATCTGGGACCCTGAATTTGCACGGTGGTCGTTGGGCAAATTGAGTGCCCTACGAGAAATGAGTCTGCTTGCAAAAATTAACCGGGACTATTACTATTTGGGTTACTACATTGATGACTGTCCCAAAATGAAATATAAGTGTAAGTTTGGAGGGGACATTTTGGATGTCTGCAATAATGAATATGTTCCACTTGAACAAGTGGCGTCTCTTATCCGAAATGGAAAATTCTTTGTTCTTGCAAACGAAAAGACACCACAAAACGATGACGAAGATTATGATGATGATGAGGAAGACGATGACGGACCTCTGAGCGAACTGCCGCTCGATGACACACCTAAGGTAGACACCAGTCTACCCACGAAAAACATAGTCGAGAGAATATACGGGGAAAATGGAGGAGCATCCCAATCTGCTAATGACGCAGTAGATAAACTTGACGATCTTGGAATTGAGTACACCCCTCAATTATTCAATGACCTGTATAAGCTGAAACCACTTTTCCCCCATGAGCAATCAGCTGAATCAGAAGAGCATTACGAGGAAGACGATGGCGACGTGCCTGGGTACACAAATGCTATATACCATCTGCCAAATGTTGTTCCAGGATTGCTACCACTCTGGCAGATTTACCAAATGGTCGAGTCTGGTGAAATACACCGTCTGAATAATAAACTGATGCTCTACAATACACGAACTGGCCATATTCGCTTGGTTGTAGACTTTCAGCTAGAGTCCAAGCGTACTAAGCGTGTTATATGCAACGTAATCCGCATGATTGGTCTAAGAAACACTGCCAAATCTCTTATCATCATATAGTCTAAGTTAAACCTCTTGATTTCCGTTCACATGACTCTCAGACGGTAGCGCGATACTTCAGAAAATTTTTTAATTTCGAAAGTATATCAAACCGTATAGTGAATTAACTGGATAATGAGTAGTATTCAGGGGGTTGTGGAGGTATGTATACCAGCATTTAGAACCAATTCATGAATAAAAAGATTATATTTACAGAAGTTGCTAACCTATTGATGTATAATAGCTGATTGAGTCGCTTTATTCGCCTCATCCTCCGCCTAATGTTAATCAGATACAACAACAACTCCAAACGATACAGAAGTCACAAGATGGTTTACGCTTGGCTAATGAACTCTTGTTGCATAACGAACTTTCCAATAATGTAAAATATTTTGGGGCTTTGACGTATGCAGTTCAACTCAATACATCCGGCCATGATGACGACCTGTGGGAATTATTCAGAGGCAATTTACTTCACCTAACAAGCATTTCTCGTACCTATGCATCAGATCCTTCTGCCAATAGCTCCCTATTGGTAATAATCAAGAAATTAATGTCTAACTTAGCCTTGATTTTCTTTAAGGCGAATGACCGACAACCAGAGGAGTCTTTTAACAGATGGGATAATCCGATCGAGACCTTTATAAATCTGTTCTCTTCTCCAGAACTCTCTTCTGATAAAATCGATGGCTTACTGGCTGATATGTTGGTTGCTTCTGTGAATTATCAAAATTTGATCCAGTTTGTGGAATCTTCTGAAGCCTTAAACTTGCTTATTCTTCTATTTAGCGAAGTTATAGTTGAAGATCTAACCAAAGCTCAATCACAGAAGTTAAACTTGTCACATTTGCATAAAGTCGTGCACCAAAATCTGTACATATCAGCGATGTCAGTGATTAATCATAACCTGGAGAAAATGCTGTTTACGTATGACCAAAACTCTAGTAGACCGACACTGACTGAAAATGTGTTTCGGTGCGTGAATGCATGGATCTCGTATACATCTATTTCCAGAAATCTGTCGGAAGGACGTATGGATTTGTCAGAGACCTTCGAATTGCTAATCAGATTGATGTGCACTTACAAACCCCCACAAAGCTTTCCATATTCATCAACAGTTGTGGCAATTTTTGGCGATATTTTTGCAAACGACCCAACCTTACTAAACTACGAATTGCGTTCTTCCGTCGAGGGATTATTTCTAGGAGTTTCGCAAAATTCAACCTCCGTATCAGGTGGACACGAGTGGATGTTGCAATACATGAACTATTTGGTCACAAATGAGATCTATGAAGATTTAAAAGATTTAGCTTTATGCGTCGTAGATTTTCTTCAAGTAAGCAACCTTAATGTTTGCAACAAGTTGTTTACTTCAGTCCCTAATTCAGACCAACGAAACCTTCAGCAATACGTGAAAGTTTTATTACAGATGACTAATTTTTCCTTGACTCCGGTATTGGAGGAGTTTTTTTCTGTAAGAATGGTGGATTTCTGGTTAGATCTTTGTGATGGGTATTCTAACTTGGTTCCAGAAACTCTGAAACCAGAAACACCTGAACTTGCTGCAGACATATTCGGACAAGTTATTCAAATATATTTGCCAAAAATAAGCCTGTCAAACAAACAAAAAATTCTTCAAAATGACGAGGAAGATTCCTTAATTCATGAATTCGATGATTTTAGAGTTGCGGTTTTAGATCTAGCAGAGTCTGCGTGGTCCGTACTGGGAAATGATAAATTGACTGATAAACTCATTGCGAGTATTGGAGAGATCAATCCATCATCCGGAGTTGATTTATTTCAGGTTGAAGCGCTATCATATTTACTTCAAAAACTATTATCTGATATGACTTTGAGTGAGTGTCCGTGGATGTGTGACACCTTGGGTTCCAGTTCTTTTTTTTTGCCAAACATATTGTTGCTTATAAAGACTGGATGCCAACAAGAAAACTCCAATGGTAGCAAAGAGGCCCACATTTTGAGCACTGATTTCGTAAAGACAGGTACCTCTCTCATTGGTACTATATCGGCATTTCTCAAACAAGACAGCCAGAAACTTGGCGAATGTGTAAATACATTATTTCAATGCCTTGAATCTTGCACAAATCCTAGTGCGAATGACTCAAAGGTAGAATTACTAGTCACTAAATGCATTTCTGAGGTTTGTGAAATGTGCCGTCAAGAGTTGACCTCATACTTGCCCACTTTCACGAAAGTTCATCGCGCGATGTTGCAGCGTAATTCACATGTATCAAATTTCACTCGACAAAAGTTTACCCGAGCACTGGGCTATATTATTCAATCCTTCATCAACGATGGGCCGGAACCCCAAGCGCAGTTTTTGTCACAAATCATAGATGTCATTGCTGATGGGATAAACGAAGCAAATTCCGATAGGGATCATGTGCTATGCCTTCTTACGTGCTTTTCTGAACTGGGATCCGCAATGGTACAACCAGGGGAGCCTGACGATCTATTATATCTGTCCCAATTATCAGTTTTCCTGAACTTCTGGACCCAGGATCCGTTACAATTACGCTCTAAGACATCCAATTTACTCGAGCATGTCATGTCTCAATATGGGAAGGACCCGGAATTCATTGAAGTTGGATGTCTCATTATGGGCAAATCACTATCTCTTCCAGAGGAGAAACCTCATTTCTTAAAGTTCCAGATGCAAGAAATTATGGATTTTATGGTCAGACGGTCCTCAAATTGCGAACCTACAACAGGTCTTCCTTATATTGCATATCACTTGGAAAAAGTTGTGAACCAATACAAGTCCACCCTTACTCCACAGGACTTCGACTTTATGCTTTCCGAGTTTTTCTTGGGACAACACGGCCCTGCAGTGGCCGCAGACCCGGATCTCAGCCAACTCATGGTCAATTTCATCAATTCAGTCATGGATACACGGCCGGGCCTAGCCATACACTGTGAGCATTGGACCACGTTCATCATGCCCGAACTTCTCAAACTTCTTCCTTCCAAGGAGCGCTTTACGATCAGCGCTGTTACGAAGTTTTGGACAAAGGTCGTTAATAACAAGAAGTTCACTCGTAATGATGAAATTACCATCCGCGAGCAAGTGTCATCCGTGGGGCTGCAGCTGACTCAACAGACGATGTACTCATTGTTTCATACCCAGCGTTCAGACCTTAACTTCTACTCTGATCTTCTCCGTGCTCTTGTGGCCCGCTATCCGCTCCCCTTCAAGCAATGGCTCATGCAGGTTCTCCCACAACTTTGTGATAATCAGCCCGCACATCACTTACTCATAGAAAAACTCTTTATCACCCGAGGAAGCCGTGCTGCTGCCAATGCAGTCCTTGAGTGGTGGCTAGACTGTAATGGATTACCACACGTGTCTCAATAGTCCGTAACCCTTATTGACTTCAGCGATGGGTTGCAACTCATTTTTACTTCTACCGGAGTGATTTCCTTCGCTTACATAATATAAAACCGCTCCGACCGAGCATGCATGTCATAATTCCGAAAATCACTGAATAGCCAGTTATCTCTTCGACTCTATAAGTGTCTGCGTGGACATGAAGCAGTTCAGTGCTTAAGGACTGGCTACACCAGTAGTAGATAGGTGATATTTTGGGCAGGAGGGTGGAGCCAGACCTAGGTTTGATCTCGATATGTACATAAACAAATCACGTGACGCTAACGGGATCATAATTCACCCGTTCCTGGAAAGTTAAATAAGCATCTCGATAGGCGGTGTTATAAGCTTCAGAAAGCACAAATGGTAAAAACATTGGGTATATAAACGTTTGATTTTGGTAGGTTTGCAGATAAATCATAAGTCTAAATAATACCATAGATTCACAAGTACCATGACTGTTGATCACCCAGCTATCAAAGCCAAGGAATTTTCACATTTATTTTCTGATGAGGCGTTGAAAAGAAAACCATCACCCATCAAAACCACTATGGCATACTTCCAAGACCCTAGTGTTGTATTTCTAGGGGCTGGGATGCCACCAGGCGAGCTTTTTCCACTGAAAACGCTGTCGATGGAGGTACCAAAGCCTCCGTTTAAAAACGGCATCGCCGATTCCGAAGAAACAATGAAAGCAACTATAATGAGAAATCAAGACGAACTCTTATTTGCTAGCGATGTTCCTATTGCTAGAGCACTTCAATATGGAAACTCAAGGGGCCAAAAAGAGCTGTTAGAATTTTTGAAAGAGCATACACGTCGATTTCACAGAATTCCTTATGAGGACTGGGACATCATCACCACTACTGGATCGACGCAAGGCTGGGATGCATCGCTACGAATTTTTTGCAATAAAGGAGACACTGTGCTTTTAGAAGGGTATACTTATTCTTCGTCGGTTGAGGCCGCCGATGCGCAAGGTCTCAACTGCATTCCTATGCCCATGGATGATAATGGTATCATGCCCGCGAAGTTGGAGGACATGCTTGAGAACTGGGGATCTAGATATCCACAAATACCCATGCCAAAACTACTTTACACTATTCCAACGGGTCAAAACCCTACCGGTTGCACGCTAAGTGACGATAGAAAGCCGTACATTTACCATTTGGCGCAGAAGTATGACATGATCATCATCGAAGATGAACCCTACTATTTCCTTCAAATGGACAAATATACACCCCCAGAACAACGTTCAACCACTTCTCCAATGAACCACCATCAGTTCATGAACTCTCTATGTAGATCTTTTTTGGAGTTAGATGTTGACGGTAGAGTTGTTAGACTGGATTCTGTGTCGAAAACTTTTGCCCCAGGGTGCCGCTTCGGTTGGCTGGTTGGATCAAAACATTTACTAGACAATTATTGGAACCTACATGAAGTATCGATCCAATCCACTTGTGGGTTCGCACAAACTATTTTAAACGGGTTGCTGAATAGATGGGGCCAAGACGGCTACATCGACTGGCTCATTGGGCTTCGCCATCAATACACTCTCAAGAGAAATTGCTGCTTGGATATTTGTCGACAATATTTGCCATGGGAGATCTGTACATTGCCTGCCCCTGTGGCCGGAATGTTCTTCATGATTTTGATAGATGCGACAAAACATCCAGAATTTCATACTACTTTTGAAAGCAATTGTGATTTACTAGAGCAGCATCTTTACAATAAATGCGTATCTGCAGGAGTTTTAGTGGCTTGTGGCTCTTGGTTCCGCGTACCAGATCCAGTTCCATCTCCTAAGAGTGCAACTGCAAAGAGCAACATTGTAACCTTCAGAGGCACCTACGCTGCGGTCTGTCCAGAGAAAATGAAGCTGGGTATTCAGAAATTTGGAGATACTCTAAGAAGGGAATTCAACTTGAGTTAAATATTATTTTATAGTGTTCATTAATTAAAGGGTCTTGTTATGTTAATTCGATGCAGCGTCTATGTAGCGCCGCTCAGTGCCGGAACGTGACTTTGAAACGCGTCGTCAAATAATCACCTTTGAAGGTTTCATTTTAGATCATCAAGATTTTCTGCAGCGAGAGAAAGCACAAGAAAGGGCACAACATCGGATGAAGATCCTGAAGCTGCCTTGGGTAGCACATAAGGGTACGTGTGACTCTCTGTAGAGATTTTTTAAAAGGTGAATTGTGGAAATACTAACTTTTATCGTACCTCAGAGGAACATCGAAAATATGAAGTGTACACGGCAGATGTCAGCCCCGATGGACAAAGATTGGCTACTGGGGGGCTAGATGGGAAAATTAGAATATGGTCTGTCAATGATATTGTAAAGTTTGCTGATGATAGCCAAGCCCCGCCCGATGAGAGTATGAGGAGACCGCTAGCAAGCATGAGTAGACACACTGGTTCGGTTACTGTTGTAAGGTTCTCTCCTGATGGCAAATTCCTCGCCTCAGGATCAGATGATCGAATATTACTCATATGGGAGAGGGATGAAGAGCAAAAACAACCTGTGTTTGGGTCAGAAAATGATAGGGAACACTGGAATGTCAAGCGGAGACTGGTTGCCCACGACAATGATATACAAGATATCGCCTGGGCACCTGATTGTAGCATACTAGTTACTGTCGGGTTGGATAGATCTGTTATAGTGTGGAATGGTTCTACTTTTGAAAAGATAAAGAGATTCGATGTACATCAATCTCTTGTGAAAGGTGTCATATTTGACCCGGCTAATAAATACTTCGCCACTGCGTCTGATGATAGAACTGTCCGTATTTTCAGATATCATAAAACTGGTGATTCAAGCTTTACAATCGAACATATCGTTACAGATCCTTTCAAGGGTTCTCCATTGACAACGTACTTCCGTCGGCTTTCTTGGTCGCCCGATGGCCAGCACATTGCAGCACCTAATGCAACCAATGGACCAGTATCTTCAGTAGCAATTATATCCAGAGGAACTTGGAATAGTTCCGTAAGTCTCATTGGACATGACTCTCCCACAGAAGTAGTCAGATTCAATCCGCGGCTTTTCCAGGCTAGTCGATCAACACAAAAAGATATTCTAAATACCAACTTAGCTGAAGATACTCATTCTGGAAGCAACACTGGGGATAATAATGTAGATGAGCAGAAAGATAAAGAGAAAGAGAAAGAGAAAGAGAAAGAGAAAGAGAAAGAGTTGCCTAATGAACAAGATGCGCTGAAGATGGAAGAAGACAGCACGAACAGTAAAGCAAAAAAGCAAGCTGGGTCCGAGAACATCATAAATTCTGAAAGCTCTCAAAGTAAAAACGAAGAGAGAGTTGATTCCATAGTTGCTTCTGCTGGACAAGATAAAACTCTAGCAATTTGGAGCACAGGGAAGGCCAGACCAATCTTGGTTGCCTATGAACTTACAAGCAAGTCAATTACAGACATGTCCTGGGGCCCAAACGGGGACATTCTGTTTTTGACCTCTTTGGATGGATCAATCATTACTTTAGTATTTGAGAAAGACGAATTAGGTGTTGCTATTCCACTCGATCGCAACGCTGAACAATTGCATAAATATGGTGTTGATAAGGATTCACTTGAATTTCCTGAAAGTGTGCAGCAACTGGAGCTAGAGGATGCTGCGAGAAAATTAAAGAAACCAAAGCTAGATACTATACCAACCTCTACCGCACTCGATGAGCGAGTGATAACAGTAGGGACTGTAGAACAGCCCCAGGTCCTAAGTGTGAGGAAAAAGAACTCTAAAAGTCTTATTCAAACTTCATCAACTGCGCCTGGTACTGTTGGCCAAATACCAGCAGAAAGAAAGCAAGCTTTTAACAAAACAACCATAAAAAATGGAAGGAAAAGAGTTGCACCAACACTCATATCATCGGGTTATTCGCCAACCAAATCTACACCAACGAATGTATTTAAATTAACTTCTTTTGACACTTCTTCAAAAACAAAGGAAGAGGAAAACATTCTCACAGGGGTTGAACAAAAGATTTCAAAGAATTCCTTCCCCATGCCAAGACTCGGCGTGCACACTTTAATAATGGGCGTAAGGGAACGAAACATGGTCAAATTTTACAATGAAGAGGACAGAAAGAGCGAAAATGAGCTTGCTGATGAGGATGAAGAAAACATTCCGCATGATTACCCTTTAACACTGAATGCGAAAACAACTCAAGATAAAATCTGGACCGACGAAGCAAGTACAAGATATTTAGAGGTGTCGGACGTGCTGCCCGATGCAGATGTTATACTCGTCGAGTTCGGAAGCTTAGACGATTTATACATTCTCGAAATCCGCAATGGAGTAGAGAGAGCTCTACAGTTCGATCAGGACGCTCTATACGAAAATCCTACAAAGTTATTGGGCTATCACAAAGGTGAGAGAGTTATAAATGTTTTACTACCGCATGTGGTGATATGTGCTGTAGGCTCGTCTAAGTGCAAGTGTTGGGCTGTTGCTACGGCAGATGGCTGTATTTTCCTATTCACCACCAATGGCCGGTATAAGCTCCCCAAAATTTCCCTTGGTCACAAAGTCGTCAAAGTTGTTGCTAATGCAGAATACCTGGTTGCTCTCACTGAAACTGGATTACTATATGCTTGGAATATAGATATTCTTACATGTATTCATAATGGTGTTTCAATCCTACCTATCCTGTGCAACGAACCAGTGGACTCGAATAGAGTACGAATTTCAAAGAGAGTTATGGATATTGGAATCTCCTCCGAAAACTTCGACGTTACTGTGAAGATGATTAATCCTACAACCTCTTACACATGGCGTTATAGCCTTGGCTGTTGGACAGTGTCATAATTTCAACTGTCATAATCGTATTGCATGCTTCGGAGGTGATGTGTAATCATTTTTCCGGACCGGGCCGGTACCGGCAATTTGGCCTTTACCGGCGTAAATTTTTCAGAGGATGGAAAGAGTTGTCAGATTTTCATCAGTAGTCATCTAGCGTATCTAAAAGTATAAAAGCAGATATTCATCTTTGCCGTCTATTCTTAAATCGACGAATCAAGCTGGGATTGAAACCTAACAAAGCAATCATCCAAAATGTCGTTTACTTCCTCTGAGGGTCCAAAGACTCTTTACGATAAAGTCTTCGAAGATCACGTTGTTCATAAAGATGAATCTGGATCATACTTGCTATACATCGACAGACACTTGCTACATGAAGTCACTTCCCCTCAAGCTTTCGAGGGCTTGAAGAATGCTGGTAGACAAGTTAGAAGAACTAACTGTACGTTGGCCACCGTCGACCACAACATCCCAACATGGTCCAGAAAGAACTTCCAGAGCACCGAGACCTTCATTAAGGAACAGGACTCTCTTCTACAAGTTCAAACTTTGAACCAAAATGTTAAGGATTTCAACGTTCCTTACTTTGGAATGACCGATGCCAAGCAGGGTATTGTCCACGTTATTGGTCCAGAACAGGGATTCACCTTACCAGGTACTACTGTGGTCTGTGGTGATTCACACACGTCGACTCACGGTGCCTTTGGTGCTCTAGCATTCGGTATCGGTACTTCAGAGGTTGAACACGTTCTAGCAACTCAGACCATTATTCAAGCCAAATCCAAGAACATGAGAATTCTAGTCAACGGAAAGTTGACACCTGGCGTCACTTCTAAGGACTTGATTTTGCACATTATCGGAGTGATTGGTACTGCTGGTGGTACTGGTTGTGTCATTGAGTTCGCTGGTCAAGCCATTGAGGACTTGTCCATGGAAGCTCGTATGTCTATGTGTAACATGGCCATCGAAGCCGGTGCCAGAGCAGGTATGATCAAGCCCGATGACATTACATTTGAATACATTAAAGGTAGACCACTTGCTCCCAAGGGTGCAGAATGGGAAAAGGCTGTTAAATATTGGAGAACCTTGCATACCGATGACGGTGCCCATTTCGATTACAACATCGTGGTCGAGGCAAAGGACATTATTCCTACAATCACTTGGGGTACCTCTCCTCAGGATGCTCTGCCAATCAATGCCTCCGTCCCTGATCCAACTAATGTGACTGATCCGATTAAAAAGTCAAGTATGGAGAGAGCTCTTCAATATATGGGTCTAAAACCTAACACTCCTCTGAAGAGTATCCCAATTGACAAAGTTTTCATTGGCTCTTGTACCAACTCTCGTATTGAAGATTTGAGAGCTGCTGCTGCTGTTGTTAAGGGTCAGAAGAAGGCGCAAAATGTTAAACTAGCCATGGTTGTTCCAGGTTCCGGTTTGGTTAAGCAACAAGCTGAGAAAGAGGGACTTGACAAGATTTTTGAAGATGCAGGCTTTGAGTGGAGAGAAGCTGGTTGCTCCATGTGTCTAGGTATGAATCCAGATATTTTGGACCCCGAAGAGCGTTGTGCTTCCACCTCCAACAGAAATTTTGAAGGTCGTCAAGGTGCTAGATCTCGTACTCACCTGATGTCACCTGCAATGGCTGCTGCTGCAGGTATCGTGGGCCACTTCATGGACATCAGAGAATTTCAATACAAGGACAATGATGTGCCAAAGATTTCCATTGAGCAAGACGCCCAAGACAAGGCTCTTCAAGATGCTGTCTACCAGCACGAGAAGGAACCATTGCAACAGGGTGAGTCATTAGACGAGCTTGAAGATGATGAGCAAAAGGACATCCCTCCTGAAGATCACGTCACCAAGGAAATGCCTGTGAAAGGTGCCAAAGCCCCAGTTCCATCAGCAATGCAACCATTCTTGACTTTAACAGGTATTGCCGCTCCACTGGACAAAGCTAACGTCGATACTGACGCAATTATTCCAAAACAGTTTTTGAAGACAATTAAGAGAACGGGTCTCAAGGCAGGTCTCTTTTACGAATGGCGTTTTGTCAAAGATGCTAATGGAAAGGACCAGGAAACTGACTTTGTCTTAAATGTTGAACCTTACAGGAAAGCTGAAATTTTGGTTGTCACAGGTGACAACTTTGGTTGTGGTTCTTCCAGAGAGCACGCTCCTTGGGCGTTGAAGGATTTTGGTATCAAATCCATTATTGCTCCATCCTTTGGTGATATTTTCTACAACAATTCTTTCAAGAACGGTTTGTTGCCCATTCGTCTACCTCAAGAGGTCATCTTGGAGAAACTATACCCACTAGCTAAAGAAGGAACTCCATTAACGATAGACCTACCAAACCAAAAGATTCTAGATCCACAAGGTAACGTCTTGGTTGACCACTTCGATGTGGAAGACTTCAGAAAGCATTGCTTGGTGAATGGTTTGGATGATATCGGGATTACTTTACAAAAGGAAGAATTCATTCAGAAGTATGAAGCCATGAGAAAGGATAGATTTTCTTTCTTAGAGAATGGCTCCAAGCTGTACATCGCAGCAAGAGGTACTAAGAAGAGCCCATACGGTAACACCTCTCAAGAGTGGTAAGTTGACACTCATATATGCAATAGTTGTGTATTGATTATTTATTATTTATTTTGAACATTTACGCCAGATTCATCGTCAATGAAACGCTGAGAATTTTTGAAGTATAAATGGAGGACATGCGTAGTCAGACCATCTTAGTCAAGTATGTCTTTTGAGTGCAATTGCCTTTGATATATTCGATATCATGGGTTCTAGCCTCAGTTAAATGCTAGCACGAGTCACGAGAAATGACAACGATCAGATTTCAATGTAGTTTTCAATTCGATTATTTAAATAATATACACAATTATTTCACTTTAGGAGCTCAAAAACCAAATGGATTATCGGCCGTTGCGTTAAAAAGATTAGCTTGTTTACCTTGAGCTTGAGGTCCATTACCAAAACCAAAACCAGTAGGTTGTGATTGTAATGCTGGTTGTGAGATAGAGGTATTCTGGAACATGTTTGTCATTTGGTTCATTCCTCCAGTAGTCGATCCGTTCAAAGATTGCAAAGGTCCTCCCGTTGAAAAGGACGTTTGAGGAAGTGAACTCAAACCCCCTGTCCTCTGAATGTTCAAACCAAACTGTGATTGAGGTTGAAATCCTCCTGTTGACACTGAGCCAAGAGACATTGACTGCAATGGAACACCTCCACCTGTTCTCTGCATACCAACGGGGCCACCTGTTTGTTGAAGTCCAAAAGTGTTCTGTGGAAGCACATTTGCAGGACCGCCAGTAATTTGGGTGTTAAAAGTTGACTGTGGCATCATATTGGCCCCGCCAGTCATTTGGTTTCCAAAACTAGTTTGTGGCATCATGTTTGCACCACCAGTAATTTGACTCATGAAACTCGTCTGAGGCATGGTCATCCCCCCTGTCATTTGTGCACCAAAGCTCGTCTGTGGTATACCGGTACCAATAGTTGTGTTTTGAACACCGAAAGAAGTTTGTGGAAGAGGTAGTAAGCCCCCAGTCCTTTGTAAAGGCATTGTACCGCTCGTGGTTTGAGGAAGGATTCCCCCAGTTGGTTGCATACCAAATGACGTTTGGGGAATACCCCCAGTTCTCTGAAGCGGCATTAGCCCCCCATTAGTATTTTGTGGAAGTAAACCACCGGTAGGTACAGATTGCATAAATGGCTGCTGAAGAGGTAAAGCTCCTCCTGTTCTTTGTAATGGAACTAAGCCACTAGCAGGTTGCACACCGAATGTCGTTTGGGGCATTAGTGCACCGGTATTGACAGGAATAAGACCACCACTTGTCTTTTGGACAGGTAAAACACTCCCTGTCGGCTGAATTCCGAAACTAGTCTGAGGCATAACCATGCCACCTGTTCTTTGAAGAGGTAGGAGGCCACCCGTTGCCATCGGCATCATAACGAAACCAGTGGCCATTGGCAAAATATTATGACCACCAGTTTTAAATGGATCCAAAGGAGCCAATGACATACCTGTCTGATTAGGCAGCAAAATATCATTTGTTTTAGATGATGACCCCGTTTTCACAGCTTCTAAATCTTTCAAATTTGGTTGAGGTACGCTGTTACTAGACGCAGGAGCTTTTTTAGGTTCTAATGGCTGGAGATCCAGTAAATCTTGCATTGAACCAGTAAATTCTGATTTTTGTGGGGGTAGACTTGCTTCGGATTTAGCCGCAGGTCTAACAGTCCAGGCTTCGTCATCTGGTGCGGAAGCCGTCTGTGAGCTAGCAGGTGCTGTGTGTTGGGGCAGTAGTTTATCGCTAACTCCAGAATTCGCCACAGCGTTCTGCGTCTGAGATACTTTCAAAGAGCCATCTGGTTCAGAAAATAGACCTCCAGTTGCGGTGGAGGACAGCGTTTCTCTTCCAAACTTATGATCCAAAAATTTCATCACTCTAATGATGTCACCTTCGCGTAAACCAAGTGTTCTTAGCAGAGAGGGTTGAATATCGGGCAAAATTTCCTCAGAGATTTGTTCTCTTTCAAAGTTGATAGTGTAACGCTGGCAGTTATTGACGTCCACTCCGCAATTGAGGAAAAATTCAAACCAATCATACTCCGGTTGTTTCGACTGTGATCTCGACTGGTTAACACTACGGGACGAGTTCGATGTCGAAGTTGTGGGTCTAGGAGGTTTAATTGGGGGTAGTTCTTTACTCTGGGCAGACTTAAGATTCTGTCTTTCTTTATCTAGTAAGTCACGCGTTTTTCTAAGTTCTTCTAGTTCTTGCTCTCTTAATCTTCTGTCGTATTCTCTTTCCTCTCTCTCTCTCTCTTTTTCTTCCTGCTCCTTCAACTTCCTTCTTCTTTCACGCTCTTTATCTCTAGCACTGGCACCGCTCGAGCTTTTGGTTTTGAACTTGTCCAGCGACATACCCGTGGTTCTTTCGACATATAGAAGGTCATCCGGAGAAAGCTTATCAGCAGCGACAGCAATTTTCACACCATTAGCTTTATGCAAGTGAATTTTACCATCAACACAACCAATAAACTCTGCCTCGACTTTGAAAGTGCCACTTCTATCCACCCATATACGAGTCTTTTTTGGGTCAGGAAACTCTTTATCTTTCTTTGACGAAGATTCCTTGTCTTTTTTCTTCGAGTGTAGGAAGGAAGAGGCCCTACGTCTTGAAGATTTTTTCTTTGAAGGAATGTCTTGTTCAACATCATCTTTCCAATTTCCGGAGGGTGGACTCTTCTTTTTAGGCGATTTCCCAAACTTTTTGAGTGTACCCATCATGGATGACAATTGGGATGAGGGTTCAACGAATTGAGCTGGCACAACACCCTGTTTTCCAGTTTCTACCAATTCACACATCCACCAGTCTTTTGACTTCTTATCATTCAAAATGTAAACCATTTGTCCCTCTTTAACAGTTAATTCATCTGGAGACTCACCGACAAAATCATAAATGATTTTACCCTGCTTTTTGGAAGAACTTTTTGAAGCAGCTTCCACTTCCCGAAGACCACCAGCTCGAGAAGCTCCCTTGAGTTCGCTCAAAAAGAACATAATCTCGTTTGCAACGTCAGTGGACCCAGTATGGATTTCAATGTTGGCGTATGGATTAGAAAACTCCAGAAAAATATGCTTTTTTTCATTATCATAAGTGTTAAGGTCCTCGATTGCCCATTGTTGAGGAGATCCTTTTGAAGGTGTAAAGAAAATAGTGTTCTTCCCAATAGCAAGCTTTGCCTTGCGTTTTTTACGACCATCGACCTCAGAAATAGACCAAGTGTGGAAGGCAGAGCTATCCTCTTCCTCAATGAACCTCTGGTCATCCCGAGGGTCATCTCTGTACTCATCATCATAATCACCGTAGGAATCACGGGTAGTCGGCCTCGATCGTTGAGCGGGGGGAGCATCATCAACAGGCCTCGAAGGTTTGGGGGGTGGAATCTCATAATCATCGTCGACTGGTCTTGCCGGTTTAGCTGGGGGAACGTCATCGTCGTGCGCAATGTATCGCTCTGATTGGGCATTAGTACTTTCGTCTGGTTTTGGTGCAATTGCTTCAGGACTTCGACTAACATGCTGGGGAGGAGGTGGTAACTGACTTATGTCTACAGTGGTAAGAGGTGGTAACGGTGCAGCGACTGGTGCAGCAGGCGCAGAGGGTGCAGTTGTCGCAGCTGAAGATCCAACGCCGCTTGCACCCGAAGCTGACTCAACGTAGTTGCCGGGAACAAACCCAACTTCATTGCTAGTTTGTGACCGACACAAGATCCAGTCTGGGTCCCTGTCGTCGAACACGTCAAACACCTCATTCTCGTGGAATACCAGCTCCTCATCAGGATTTTGTACTTCAAGGTAATCGTAGATTGCCCGAGCCGTCGAGATCACGGGTGCTTCCTCAATGTAGTTATTTGGAACCAACCCAGTTGGTTCGTCTGCCTCCGGTCCGATAACTCGCTTTTTTACAGTCCACCAATTGTCAACGTCTGATTTTTGCAATAAATACAACAAATCATCTTCGTCGATGGCCAATTCCTCTGGGGATTGCGGATCATACTTATATATGGCCTTATAAATCCCTAGAAACGCAGTCATCCTGTGCCTTTCGTCGAATCTGCCTTTTTTTTAATATACTTCTAATTAGATTGGTGAATTTCATGAACCTACTAAGTATGCCCCTTTTTGCAGACAAACTCATAAGATCACCGTGATACATGACAACCAACGCACCCATATCAAATGGACATGCAGTATCAACCTAGAGGCTCTAGTTGAGGTTCATAAGCGTGGTGGATGCTATATATTGCAGCATTAACTATGTTGTCTATAAAGAATTTGCGGTTTGAGTTCACCGAAACCAATACGTGACATTCATCGTAAATAAGAGCATATATATTCCAGCCTCCTAGATATTCTCAGTAAACTGTAACTAGCTTATAAAATCATAGACCCGGCTTCTTTTCACCATCAATCCGTCTCTGGAGCTCTGCGTTTAGGTCAGGATAGAATCCAAGGTGAAATAACACCTCAAATAGTATGAAGAGTGGTGCAGTGACCAGACTCTGCACAAAGCTGTCGAGAAGTGCGGGCTTCCTGCCTTCAAAATAGCCATGCCCAATAAACTGAAATATCCATCCGAGCACGAACAGCATGTATGCAGTGCGTGGAGAAACCGAAAGCGAACCCGTGTCGATACCATGCAGGGTCGCGACCAGAATGCACGACAATAGCGACCCAACTCGCCGACTCAGCGCAACATAGTACATTACGAAGAGTACTGCGAGGAAGTGTGTCAGAGTGTACCCTTTGTACAGCTTGACTTGGTGTAAAATCACCATACCAGAATACAGAATCGTTGGTACAAATATCATATGGATAATCACATTTGCACGCTGCTTATGATATCTTTTGTAAAACGTAAGTTCTTCACGTAAATCTAGTGTAGCTGGCATTGCTTTGTGATATGTGTGTTTATTGTAGAGGGTTAGCTTCCTGTGTGGGGTTCATTTGACCCTAAGGGGACGAAAGAACGCAAAACACGTAACACACGCACATGAAGACTCAAAAATGATCTCAAACCCTATACTTGATGCTATCAGGCGTGGAGGGGTGTATAGGGGTTTCTATAACTACAACAGCATCAGAATTGAACGCCAGCTGTCTATTTGAGTAATCTTGTCAGCGTGATATCGTCTTGTACGTGTGGATCTGAAAGAAGTTGTTCATTCAGAACGGTATATGCTATTTTGCCACCTAAAGATACATCTAACTGAGTTGAGTTTTTAGTTTAAAGATATGTCTGCTGCCGGTTATGATAGGCACATTACCATTTTCTCGCCTGAGGGTCGTCTTTACCAAGTCGAATATGCGTTCAAGGCCACAAATCAGACGAACATCAACTCATTGGCGATCAGGGGAAGCAATTGTAGCGTGGTGATAAATCAAAAGAAGGTTCCAGACAAGCTACTGGACCCATCAACCGTTTCATTCTTGTTTCAAATCTCGAAGCACGTTGGAATGGTGGCCAATGGTCCTATTCCAGATGCCAGAAACGCAGCATTGCGCGCCAAAGCTGAAGCTGCCGAGTTTCGCTACAAATACGGTTACGACATGCCTTGTGACGTGTTAGCCAAGAGAATGGCAAACCTGTCTCAGATTTACACTCAAAGAGCCTACATGAGACCGCTCGGTGTGATACTCACGTTTATCTCGGTAGATGAGGAGTTAGGGCCTTCCATCTACAAGTGTGACCCCGCTGGTTACTATGTTGGTTACAAAGCAACTGCTACAGGACCTAAGCAACAGGAATTAACAAGTGCCCTAGAAAAATATTTCAAAAAGAAGAAAGGCGATCATCTCGAGGAAGAATCCTGGGAAAAAGTTGTCGAGTTTGGTATCACTCAAATGATTGATTCCCTTGGTACTGAATTTAACAACAAGGACTTAGAGGTCGGTGTTGCAGTGAAGGATAAGTTTTTCACCCTAACTCCTGACGAAATTGAAGAGAGATTGGTTACCATCGCTGAGCAGGACTAGATGCTATAAGAGACGTATTTTCGGTAGTTTTTTGTAACATACGCTGTGTAGCATATAAAGATATAGCCTCAGGCTCATTGTTCGAGAATTTTGCCCAGTCCTAATGCAACTACTGCACATATAATATGCATTGACTATTATTACATATAATCTGTTGTGAAACTATGAAATCTGGGACCATCATCCTCTCATACACATATGCTTTTTCATATTCGTGAACCTTCTGGGACCGCTGAATCGCGCCTTGCATCTTTTACACAAGATAACTTTCTTGACTCCATCGCTTTCCTTGGGTTTTCTGTGCATATCTTGTATTTGTACGTCGCCAAAGGGAATGGGTGTGGAGGGCGTAACACTGGCGGGCGGTGTTGGTGTGCCATGAGTGCCGCCTCTAGATTGATTTTGGTTAATGAAATGATCATACACTTCCAAGGCCTTTTCACAATCTAGCACCTTATGAAAATAATGGGCAAAGTCTGTGCTTGACAGTATTTCCAGTTGCGCTCGTGGAACATGGCCCCCCAGTAGTGTGTGTTTCAAATCATGATTTGCATTTGCCGCTGCAGTTGTATCAATTTTTCCCAAGTATCCATGAATTGGAATACGCTTTTTATCCTTCACTTGCAACGATTCATCTATATTATCACGCTTTTGTCTTTCTTCTGCATCTACGGCAACTAATTCCTCCAGCTGTTTTTCGGTCAGACTTACTTTTTGAGAGCATTCAAGTGCAGATAACCCAGCAATGGTATCATAATACCCTAACTTGTATTCAGCCATGATTAATTTTTTTCCTATTCATTGAAATTCTCAGAACTACCGAAAGTTGATTATTCTTTTGAATCCTGAAATGGTCTCGTTATTTACGTAAAGCAGTATTGTGCAAGGATATTTCACTTAGAGGAAACAAACAAAGCCTTACGACCGGGAACCGCTACTATGTGCAGAACTTTTGTTTTATTTAGGCTTATGCTTATATAAAGGTGAAATCGAGGCACAATCCCAATATCTTGATATTCATGGGAATTCGTAGATTGCGAAATCAGTACACGTAAGGAATAAAGACGTATGGACATTCCTTGCAGTACTTGTCCCAATCTTCTCCATACTTTTTCTTACACTTTTCTTGGTCACGGTGAGCTCTGTGAATTAAAACGATGAAGAAAAACACTGGGAAAAACCATGGGAAAGGAGAGTTAAAGCCGCAGGACAATGCCCACACCAAAGATTGTGTCCAATCGGCAGTGTAGTGGGCCTTTCTGGCGTATTTATACCAGCCATCAGTCAATAAATATGAGCCTTGCTTGGTAACCATGAACTTGGGGTTTTTCAAGATTTGTTTGGGCAAGTAAGGGAAAGTCTTTCTAATGGTTTTGTCACCAGCCATTTGTTTTCTGAAGGCATTCTTTTGCGCATTGCCAGTGTCAAAGAAGTAGTAAGCAACAATCAATGTGACGTATAATGCAGTGTTGTATTGCCAGGACCAGTTGTATTCACTTGGGTTGTGGTAATATAGGTATAAAGTACAGTGACAGTATGTGTAAGGCACACCGGCGATGTTCCAGAAGATCAACATGAAACCAAACTTTTCGTAGGCCATATCCCAAGTGGGGACGATAAGCTCCTCGCCCTTAGCACATCCGTTGGCGTAAAACCAGTGAGCTAGTAAAACGACACCCAATTGAGGGGTCAAGTAGCCATAACTCTCGTATTGCTTGAGACTTGCACCCAAAGTCAAGAAGAACAAAGTGAACCAAGGGAGTCTGACTTCGAAAAACATCTTCAAGTCTAGAATCCCCCAGCGTGGGTTCAAAGGAGCACCCATAAAGAAGTCGTACAGGTGATTGCCGGTCATACGGTGGTAATCGCCAGTGACAAATAGCGTCCACACGTACAGCACAAAAGAGAACGTGAAACCAGAGACGATTGCGCACGTCATGATCTCACCAAAACGTTCAAGAATGGTGTAAAGCTTGAAAACTCCGGTCACGTGTAATAACAGCACAATGGCGATCGACGTGTAAAAAGTCCACATGGCATTGCAGTAGTATGGCAGTTGCTTGTTCTTCAAGTGCGTAAGTGGTTGGCCTTTCGTCCACACGCCCGGCAGCGTGTAGTAGAACACGATCTGGGCCGCCCAAAACACCATGAAAATAGTCCATGAGTACCTGCTGGGTACACCATGCTCCAGGAACAGCTGGTAGAGGTGTTGAATGAAGTGCATCCACGATTCATTTGGTGCTGGCAGCGCTGGCTTCCCACCATAGAATTCAGCAGAAATCCACATGTAATACATCAATAATGGAAACCCAATCAGCATACCAAGAACACCCACAGTACCTCCGAATTCATACTCGATTTCTTCGGGTTTTAGATACTTGCCTTGAGGCAAAAAGTTGACTTTGGCATTCAACTGCTCTTTATCCTCTTTGCTCATACTTTAACTTTCGTCAATGCCTAGTTACCGTCAAGTTGACAGATGAATACAAGATTCTGTGCAATTGAGACACTCGTTTAAAAGTTGTACCTGGCTCGAGAACAAGAGTTTTGCTTTTTTTCCCGCAAAATAGGCTACTCGGCATTTGCCGGAGGCAACCAGTCGCAATGGGAAGCGATGTGACACGAATAAACACGTCACGACGCCAAAGTGATAATCAATAAGAGTCACCTGAAACGGGTAACACCTCTTCGCACCCATACCTCCTCTTCCTTGACGTTTATACGACAATTGTTATCATCACTATGTACGTGTTCGGACTGCTATGTGTTCTGTCATTTTGTACGCACATTCTCCATTTTTTTAATAGCTTCTCAGGATTCGATTAGGATCTTCTCCGGGGAATAACTACTTCACCTTCTGGTTTGGGTTCGGCGGCTTCATCAAAACGCAAGAGAACACCGCATTTCCTGGAAAAGCGACGTGGAAGGAATTGAACAACATTCCATGGATCTATGCTAACAGGTTCGCAGTTTAGAAGATCATGTAAGGCCCAGAATGTTCATGTTTACCGTATTTTTCCCCTGGTCGCGTTGGGCGGCTCCGCGGAACCAAAAAGCACGTTGTTTTGCTGGTGATGTACATCGTTTGATACGTGTTGATCCCAATTACCATGCGACGTTATTACGACAGTGGATGACGTGTACATGGAGATATCCCTATTGACGATAAGCGTCAGTTTACTCAGTTCGCATTTGACGGACGCGGGATCCTTGCGTTCAAAGTGATCCTTCTTGTGACGCTCATCTTAAATAGCAGCATTTGGAAAATTACGAGATGTTAGTAAGCTCGTCTCGTGCTAAGCAATGGCGGTTACTGCAGACTCTAAGGTCAAAAAGAAGCGCAGTAAGGTCACCAGAGCCTGCAATAACTGTAGGCGGCGTAAAATCAAGTGTACTGGCGGCAACCCCTGTCTCAACTGTCAGACCTATCAATGCAAATGCACGTACTTGCTCCCGTCGCCACCGTCATCATCGTCAGGATCGAGCGACAATGTGAGTACAAAGCAGTGTCTAGCGTCTTTCTCAAGCGGTTCTCTTCCCGATAGAGCGCCGCCAGATGAAGCACCGCTGCTTCAGCAGACAATGTGCAAAGAGGTACCCGCCGGTTCGCTGCTGGCGGGGCAGCAACATCTTAAAGAAGCGGTCCCACGCGCCGCCTTCGATAACATGGTTCCTGATGTGGGCTCTAATTCAAGCCATGGCCTCTATGAAGATGACTCCGAAGTACTTCTGCAAATCTCCCAATTACAAACTAGCATTGAAGCTTTGCAGTCGCTGAGGTCGTCGCAGAAAGTCGATGAGGCTCTTAGTTGCCTTCGTGAACAGATCGAGGAACTCCAGCTGCGATGGCACCCAAAAGTGCGCGCAGAGGCTTTCGAAGAAATCTCGGGCAGCTCGCGGTCGCTCGAGACCCAGCTAATGATGTCGAAATACTCCGACGACGTGTATCTCACTAAGTTCTCTAAGATTCAGCTCTCAGAGAACGTTTCGCGATCAAGTGTGTTAAATCAGCACCCGGTCGTCGACGACACATTTGGACTTTATAGTCCTGCACTCTCACTTTCCATACGAGGAATTGGGTTTTTATTCAAGAAGTTCTTTGATCCTAATTCCAAGATGACTCGGGAATCCAAGGAAACCTTGTATCTGGTGCTAAGGTTCTTTGATGCTTGTTTTTTCCACCTAGACTTGTCTGTGAAATCCTGGTCGATGCCCATCGAAACCTACTACTCGTTGTTTCCTAAACCGCTTGGGGTCAGGATCCAGAACATTAATCAGCTGATATCTGAGATCCCAAAAGATCTCATCCGTCTCGCACAGGAGCGCTTTCCTTCCTTCCCTAAACCACATGATGTTGAGGAAAAACTTCCAATGTTTCATTGGATTGTGCGTTTATCATATGTTTTCTACGACAAATTCAAGAAAGCCCTGATACAAATATCTTCTCCGACCGAAATGTGTGCTCCACTTGATAACTTCTTGCATGTTGGAGAAATTTTGTCCGTTCTAGCCTTTGACTATCTAAATGTTACCTCTTACACACCTTGCGGTGATTTGGACTATCTGGAATCTCTTCTTTTTCTCATAAAGCAGCAGTACTGGATTGCCGAGTTCCACGTTTTTTCACACCTCCTTTCCATGGCAGTGTGCTACGCCCAAAATCTGGGTATTCACCGGTGGGAGTTTTACGTGGGTATGGACGAGGAACTGGCGGAGAGGCGCAGAAGTTTGTGGTGGAGGTGCTATGCCTGGGATAAGCTATTTGCGGTTCAAACTGGTAAGCAGCCGTTAATCGAGGAGACTTATATGAATTGTTTGTCGACAAACAGCATTAGAAAGGCAGGATTCATAGATCGTCAAGACTTTATTTCGTCTGTTCTGACATTGAAGGAACCACCTGTCATGGAGTCAATTGAACAGGTGATGGAATATGGTTTTGTTGGTTTAGCACAACTAATCAGTGAGTTTTTCGAGAAAGTTCTTTACAACCGCAAGTATACCGATTTCAGGAACCATGCAAAGCCTAAGATTTGTAAAGAGTCGCTACTGAGGGAGTTAATTAAAGAAGTTGACCTGTTTGCTGCAAAGTTTGACGCTGTGAAAATTCAAAGCAACAGTATTTTTCTTCTGAGCTCTAAAGTTGACCAATTGTGCAGTCTCTCTGCAGAAGAGGTTGACCAAGTAACACAGGCAGCAGTTTTCGAGGTTTACTTCGAATTCTGTACAACTGTCTGTCTAACCTCCGTTGACCACCTTTTTGCTCGTTTTAAAGTTGTTCACTTTTCCAAGAGTGTTGGAGATGCAATTGAGAGATACCAAAAGCGCATCTATAAGTCATGGAAAACTGTGTTGCATATTCTAGATCAACAGCATTTATATCTCAGATGGCAAAGTATTGGCCCCGCATGCATTGTTTTTTTGACTGTCATTTCTGACTATTTCGCTTATTTCAAGGAAAATGCATCTGATGATTTGATAACGATTCTTAGAGTTGCGAAGAATTTAGAATATTTGGAGCTTTTTGGAGATGAGAGTATTTCAAGAATCAGCAGGATTCGCAGGCAATATTCAAAATCTCGTACTTTTTTTCAAATATTGGTTAGAATGAGCCTGCAGTTATACAAACGTAAAACGGGGATAACAAATGAGCAGTTGATTGAGCTTTTGAAGGAAAGGGATTCTACGTTAATTGCATTCACTACTCGCTCACTGAATGTCGAGTCAGATATATTTGAACAATGCTTTAAGGCAAAGGAAATGGGTTCCATTCATCAACAATACCGGCGTTCCTTGGAGCAGGAAGATGTTCTGGAGCATAAGAGTGAAATTCCCCTGGAGTTCAATGCCGATAAGATCAGTGCATCGCCGGTTGCTCCTGTTCCTTTATCTGCAAGTGTACCCTTTCAAGAGCCACCATTAAACAACATTACTAACGTTGTTGAAAATGCCTTTGGGAATGACTCGTCAATACCAATGTCTCCGCTTACAAATTTCAACTTGGGGTCACTAGATGATTTCTTGAATTATGGTGAGGATGATTTGTACAATAAACTATGGGGTGACATACATACAACCACACTCCCTGATTTTCTTCAAGATGTGGTAAATGAATGAGCGAACGATTAATGATAGGTATATAAAAAAAAATCACCAAAGGCTGATCAAAAACATGTATTAATAGATTGGACGATAGCATACGAAGCTACATATTGATATAGAAATGCACGGGAGAACGTGAATTACTCAACCTCCAATATACCCATGATCCTCCTTCCATGAGGAGTGTTTCTGATGGGGCCCACTAATAAGGGCTTTATAGCTTCAGCAAGGCGCTGATACAGATAGCTGTTTGATTCACGAGCAATATCAAGAGCTGTTTGAAGAACGTAGTTACCATATCCATCATGCAGCAGTTGCTCTATTCCGGTTTCACCTCCCCGTTTGAGCAACTCTGTAATCATAACCTCTGAGACGACAGGTGTACGAAGAGTTTTCTCAATAACGTTAGATCCAAACTTATGAAGCGATAACTCAATGATTCTTGGCTTCAATAGGTTTACTATCTTATTGGTGTATTCGGCATCTGAACGTTCTGTTTGCTTCGTCAAGATATACTGGACCACGTAATTGCCAAATGGATCAATAGCTAATTCATCGACATGAGAAATGATTTGCTCGCACAATTGTCTGCATTGCTGCTCATTTCCATGGTCCAAGCACCGTTGTAAAACGCAACAACCGTGCCTATGTGTGGCTATCTTCACGCACTCTTTACAAGCAGCGTCGAAAATAAACTGAGCATCTTCAGGTTTCAATTTTTGTAGACATTTTTGAACCACATGATTACCGTTCAAATCTCTACTCAAGTCCACAATTGAATCACGAAGAGATTCGATAATAATCTGTGCTTCCTCGTCAGTTCTCATACATTCGACCAATTTTTGTAACGCCCTCGTGCCATGTGGATCCAATGCGATGAATACAAAACTCTGCGCTGAAGATTTAACCAAAGTTAACCGTTGCTCATCGTTAACTCTCTCCAGTAATTTCTGAATCAAGTAATTCCCAAAAGAATCAGTCATTAGCTCGACCGTGTATTGCTTAGTCTCTTCAAAAATTGCAGTTGCAGCATTTGGGCCACCAATATCCAATTGCTTCTGAAGAAAACGGCAGCCATGTTGATCTTTGCAAAGAGAGTATATGTTGCCAAGATAATCTTCAAGCTTTGCATTGGCATACTTTGCAGGGTCTTCGCCCTTACGATGATACGGCTTTTGGCTCTGGCCGCCTTTATGCCTGCGCGCCTGTGATGAGTGGTGATTCCCGTGATGAGAGGGATGATAGTGAGAGTTGTTGTTGCCCCCATGTGTTAGCATTTGATGATGCGACATAGGAACCATGTGACCAAATGGATGATTACTGTACATCCAGGGTGCTGGAGGTTGAGAGGAGCCTTGACGTGGGCCTCCGACCTCCATGTTACCTCCAGACTTCTCCAATTCTTCCAAATTCGTAGGAGGTATGGCAGAGCCTTGATTCGCCAGGGGAGTACCTGGTATTGGAGAAAACGACTGGAATGGTGAGGAAAATCCGTATGCTGGGAAGGGTGATGGAATACCATAGGCAGGAGCAGACCCAGGGGGTGGGTGACCAGAAAGAACGGGGTTAGGTTGAACTAAAGGTCCGCCGTATGGGTAAGCAGCCGCAGAGTAGGGGACGTTGGAAGCTTGAGTTTGTGGTTTAGTTCCATCAGCAGCAGGCTTCGCTGATGAGCCAAGCGAGTCTGATTTTTCCAAAGATATGCTATGGTTCCGGATACCAGAGCTGTTCTCCAACATTTCATTGCCGGAGATTGCATGAAAGGTCTGTCTTCTGGACGAGTTCACCGGGTCCTGTGGCTTTCCAGAAATGAACTTGTAATCGGCACCTAGTCCTTCGGCTTGATTTGACCATAAGGGATCAACATTTCCGGATAGCCCTATATCTAAACCTCCAGCGGGAGGAGAAGAGAAGATTGGTGGGCCCCCAGCTCCAATATCTACGTTGGTGTCATTTCCATAGGATTCAGAGGCTCCTGGTGTATGGAAAAACCCTGGCGAATGAGGAAGGTGCATCATGTGGGGATAGTGCATAAATCCCATGCCCATCATCTGTGGAGGGGGGAACATGCCACCTGGTGGTGAGCCTGAAGCTCCCTGTATACCGCCTGGGTTGGCGGTTTCAGCTGCCACACTAGATTCTGGTAAGTCATCTAGATGTAGCTGGTCCAGCGCAGAGTTTATCGCCTCCGAAACTTGCGCGTCCACTTGAGGTTGTTGATCAGACATAAAAGTTAATGTACAAGGGGTTGAGTGAAAAATTCTCTAAAGTACAGTGTGTGATAATTTACAAATGGGCAATATGGCTAAAATACAGGAATAATGTACAGTATAGTATGCGATTTTTGCTGGAAATTGAGCTTGGAGGATTGCCTGCTCTTCATCTTTTGGCATGTGGAAAAATTTTCCAATGTGGTTCGTGCAATAAGATTCACCTTTTTTTTGGTATTTTCGTGATCACCTGATTGTATTGAGTTGGCATTTAAATTAAACTGAGGCAAGCCAAATATCTTGACATCGCATCCTGTTGGAAAGCTGAAATGCTTACTTCAGTAGCATTAATACTGTTTCCTGTGGCCAATTGGGCGCTGACCTGACTTTTTGAGTGTTTAGTAGGGCGTCACTCCTCCGATATTGAGTGGTGCGTCTGTGCAGATAGAGAGATTCGCTAGCCATGCTGCTGAACTTGTAGCCGGGACAGTTCAGCTACGAGTTCTCGCTTTTATGTATTTAATGCTATTGTGTAGAGATTTACGGTCCTACAGTGAGCCCTGATTTCCAGTGAGAAGCGACATTCTCCACTTGACATTCTGGCAAGACACTACGGTGCCAGTGCGGCTGTCAGGGCAGCTTCAAATCTTCAACTTTTGAGATATCTTGGTAGCTTTGGTGCCATTGCTCATACTTATGCACCACCTTAAACACAGCAGTGCCAACAAGTGCTGTCATCCGGCGCAATTGCGTATGCACCAAAGATGCAAGCGTACCAGACGAAGGAAGACGAAGAAATCCCTACCAAATAAGCCAAGTCACATCTCCATATCAGTTATTTTTGACTTGTCTACCTTGTCAAAACGGCAGGTCTCAACGATTTTGGATGAGACAGATGTCTTCTGCAGCTTGCTAAGGAGAACCATGTGGCTAGCTTCCTATTGCAGGGTTAAACGAGCTTCCAGAAGAACGTCTGGCAGCCAGCGTACCAACTCCGACATCGTTTTTTGACAGCCAAGAAAGAACACGCGCGTTAATACAATGATAAACGCCACCACTTGACAGAAGCTTACACTAAAGCCCCTGCGTGAGGTGAATGCACCTCCCGTTGTTTCAGTTAACTATTTTTACTTACAGATGCGCTCTATTTGCCACCTTTAGTCCGCTATCGTAGAGCTTCTATTGTCATAAAGGATGCGATTTTTTCCAGAACGGGCAATATCTGGTGATACTGCCTCGGAAAACCTTAATTTGCTAGATAATCAGAGAGCAACAACGGTACAGGCCAATACAGGATGTCCGAAAATGTGTCTTCCCAGCTATGAGAGGTCTGAAAAGTAGATAAATTCGGGGCCATCGAGCCCTGATTGGAAGTGTAACGTCTACTCGATGCCGCGAGCTTATTCTGATTAGTAATCTACGGACTCTGCACCCGCTCTTTAAAATTCTCGATGTCCCGGAGGCACTGCCTTCGCGGGACAAAGATATTCCGTTAGTAATCATTCGAACAATTTGTCACCCTATGCCTACACTAAATGCAAGGATTTGAAATTTGCATAAATTCTCGAAATTGCGTAATTGTAGATCTCGAAGTGCATATTTTGGGAATCAGTATATAACAGCGAAGCTCTCTTAGGTACCCTTCGAACAACAAAGCGTCAGAATTCATTATAATCGTCAAATAGCATGCCTTTTGTCAAAGATTTCAAACCTATTGCCTTGAAGGACACAAACCTTTTCAAGCCCATCAAAGTTGGTAATACTACGCTTGAACACCGTGTGGTGCTTCCTCCATTGACCAGAATGAGGGCACACCATCCAGGAAACATCCCAAACAAGGACTGGGCTGTCGAATATTATGATCAACGTTCCAAAGTTCCGGGCACCATGGTTATCACCGAGGGTTCGTTCCCATCTCCTCAGTGTGGTGGTTACGACAATGCCCCAGGTGTGTGGTCTAAAGAGCAGATGGTTCAGTGGGAGAAGATCTTCAAGAAGATTCATGAAAATAAGTCATTTGTGTGGGTTCAACTTTGGGTTTTGGGTAGACAAGCTTTCCCTGATACCCTTGCTAGAGACGGCTTGCGTTACGATTCCGCCTCTGATGACGTATACATGGACGAAGAGTCTAAGAAGAAGGCCATCGAGTGCAACAATAGACTACACGGTCTTACTAAGGACGAAATCAAGCAATACATCAAGGACTATGTTCACGCCGCCAAAAACTGTATTGAGTATGGCGCAGATGGTGTCGAAATCCACAGTGCAAACGGCTATCTTTTGAACCAATTCTTGGATCCAATCTCTAACAAGAGAACAGACGAATACGGTGGATCAATCGAAAACAGAGCCCGTTTTACTCTAGAAGTTGTTGACGCTATCATCGATGCTATCGGCCCAGAAAAGACTGGTATCAGACTATCTCCTTATGGTACTTTCGGTACTATGTCGGGTGCTTCCGACCCAGACTTGTTGGCCCAATATGCATATGTCATTGGTGAATTAGAAAAAAGAGCAAAGGCTGGTAAGAGACTCGCTTACTTGCACTTGGTCGAACCTCGTGTTACAAACCCATTCTTTACCGAAGGTGAAGGTTGGTACAAGGAAGGTACTAATGACTTCGCCTACTCCATTTGGAAGGGCCCAATTATAAGAGCCGGTAACTATGCTCTAGACCCCAAGGCTGCTGAAACTGATGTTGATAAAGATGACAGAACCTTAATTGGTTATGGTAGACTTTTCATTTCCAACCCGGACTTGGTGAAGAGGCTAAAGGATGGTCTCCCACTTAACAAGTACAACAGAGATCTCTTCTACGCGTTCACTGACAAGGGTTATGTGGACTACCCAACCTATGAGGATGCTGTCAAGCAAGGTGCAGGAAATTAAACGAGAACTTTAACTTTAAATAATGGAAGGACATAAATTATCAGTTATCTATATATTCGAGTTTTGCTGAAGTTTAATATGTATTAGCCAGTTTAACAAAAGTATTCGGGTAAGTGAATCATGAACTTTACTAAATGCTGACTGACTGGTTTCGTTGCAGAATATTAACTTCGGAAGTGAAGCTGCCGATTACACTCTTCCTATCCCATTATTTTTGAAGACCTGCTCTGCTTTCTGATAATAAAAATATTAATATGTTTCGATTTAATAAAATAAAAACAAAAACATTACATTAATCAAATTACTATAAATTACTGCTAGTGTGCGTGTTTTTACGGTAATACGTGTGTGTGTGCGTGTGTGCAAAAATACATTGTGTGTGTGTTGTGTGTGTGTGTGTGTGTACGATGTGTTAATTGTTCTTCAAGCCTTCGTTGTGTGTGTGTGCAACGAAGGCGTGTGTGTGTGTGTGTGTGATTAGAAACAAATAACAATTGTGTGTGTGCCAAAATTAAAAATTAGTAAAAAAAAGGGATATCGAAATGTTTAATTCATAGTTGTATCACGTCCCAAAGAAATGAATAAAAGAAAAAATCTTTATAGAATCAGTAAACTGATCTATAACTAGACGTAGTGGAAAAGAAAAGGAGGTTTTTCATATGATTAATAATCGAACCTGTAGATTAAAAACATTTTTAAGTTTAGTTTTCCTTTTCGTGTTGAGTAGAAACTCTTTGCATAGCGACCAAGAAGTCCTCAACGGATCTGGAAGCTGGCTTGTCCTTTAGTGGCTTACCGTTCATTAGTCTATCGAAAGATTCAGATAGAGACATCATGTAGTAAGCACCACCCATGACACAGAAGACACCGAAGGAGAAAATCCAGACACGGACGACAGTGACAATGTCGTTCCAGTTCTGAGACCACCAACCGAACAAAGTGAACATGGTAGCAATGATATCGACGGCGAACACAGCACCGGCCAATTGCCAAGATGGAATAGAGGACCAGAAAGGACCGACGGCTCTAGTGATGAAAATCAACCAGTTCTCAGTCAAGGAGATTTGCAAGAACAAAACACCGTCAATGGAACCGAAGTTTTGGATGATACCACCCTTTGGAACAAACATGGTAGTCAAGGTGATCCAAGTACCGATGGCCAAAATAACACCCAAAATGATGGACATACCCCATAATCTTGGTAGGTTCCACTTAACAGGCTTTTGAGAGAATGGAGCATTGTCGTAAGCAATAGCCAAGGTAGCAACATCGGCGAAAATGGCAATGAAAACGATCAAATCAATGTTCAAAGAGTTGTTCAAAATAGCAATCCATAGACCCAAGAAGATTTCCAAGTGCAAAGACAAAGCAATACGGTAGACAACATAAGAGTACATTCTGTGGAAAATTTGTCTGGAAGTCTTCAAAGCATCAATGATAGCAGACAAACCAGGGGCCAAGAAAACAATATCAGCAGCAGATCTAGCAGCATCGGTAGCACCTTCGACAGCAATACCGGTATCAGCCTTCTTCAAAGATGGAGCATCGTTAACACCGTCACCAGTCATGGCAACCAAGTAACCTCTTTGTTGCAAGATTTCAACGACAGCGTACTTGTGTTGTGGGAAAACTTCAGCAAAACCATCAGCGTTCTCAACGAAATCGGCCAATTCGGAACCTGGCATGTCACCACCACCACCTAGACCTAGTCTTTCAGCGTTGTAAATGTTGGTACCCAAACCTAGTTGACGACAAGTTTCCTTAGCAATACCGACAGCGTCACCAGTTAACATCTTAACTCTCAAACCTAGGCGTCTAGCTTCGTTGACAGTTTGAGCAGTATCGTCTCTTGGAGGGTCCATACATGGCATAACACCCAAGATTTCCCAGTGACCTTCACCTCTCTTTCTGGCAACACCCAAGGCACGGAAACCTCTGGAGGCCAATTCAGCAACCTTGTTTTCGTAGTTTTCGTGGACATCTTCAGGGATTGGGTGGTCTTCTTCGACGGTCTTCAAGACGAACAATGGAGCACCCTTAACACAGATAATTCTCTCACCTTCTGGAGATTCAACAACAGCAGTAACCTTCTTGGAGACAGGGTCGAATGGGTGGAATTCCAAAACCTTGTACTTAGTCAAAGCAGCCTTGGCTCTTGGGTATTGAGCCAAAGACTTCAAGAAAGCCTTGTCAATAGCATCCAAACCCTTCTTCTTTCTGGAAGCGGCCAAACAAGCAGTCAACATCAAGTCATCTGGTTCAACACCTTCGACAGTGTATGGTTCGTGCAAAGACAACTTGTTCTTGGTCAAAGTACCGGTCTTGTCGGAACACAAGATTTCGACACCAGCTAGAGATTCAATAGCAGATAGCTTTTGGACGATAGCTTGCTTCTTAGCCAAGTAAGCAGCACCGACAGCCATGGTGGTGGTAACGACAGCTGGCAAACCGACTGGAACACCAATAATGGTGATACCCAAGGTGTATCTCAAGATTCTGACAATCTTGTCAGTTCTGTAGAAACAGGCAACCCAGACGACCAACAAAGTGATGATAACCAAAACCAACAAAATAGTACCAATACCGTTCAAAACTTCAGTGAAGTGACCAACGTCACCACCGGCCTTGTTGACCAAAGCAGCGGCTCTACCGACGAAAGTGTTGTCACCAGTGGCAGTAACGATCATGAAACCTTCACCTCTCTTAACAGTGGAAGAAGAGAAAGCTTGGTCACCGAATCTCTTGTCAGCAGCCAAAGATTCACCAGTGATAGCAGATTGATCGATTTGCAAGAAACATCCTTCGGTGATCAAACGACCATCGGCTGGGATAACAGTACCATCTTCCAATTGCATGACATCACCTGGAACGATTTCGTTGGCAGGGACTTCGACCAAGTTACCGTCTCTGACAACTAGGGCAGAGTTAGCCAAGGTCTTCTTCAATTCATCGACAATAGAACCGGCTTGGTATTCTTGGATGAAACCGACACCAGCGTTCAACATTAGCAAACCACAGATAACACCGAAATCGACCCAATCTTCCAAACCGGCAGCCAAAATAGCAGCGGCTTCCATAACGAATTGAATTGGACCGATGAAGAACATCAAGAACTTAACGACCAAACTTTCGTTTTCTTCGGCCATTTGGTTCAAACCGTACTTCTTTCTTCTTCTTTGGACTTCGTCAGAGGTCAAACCGAAGGATGGGTCAGTTTGTAGAAGTTCCTCTGGAACAGGTCTGGCCTCACCGGCAGCGACGTTTTCGTCATCGCTCTCTTCGTCGGCGACACCACCGTGGTGAGATTGCAACTCATCGATCAAAGCGTCAATGTCGTCATCCTCCTCGTCAGATTCAGCTGGAGCGACTGGCTTTTCCTTGGTAGGTTCTGTTGCTTCTGACATTCTGCTGGAAGAAAGTTAGTTAACGTTCACTTTATCCCAGGCGAAATGCTCTTGGGACTATTAACACAGATGACTTGGTCTACACCACCCCTTGAACCGCGTATTTATACGTGGGCCACCGGTCTGCGAACCACCATGGCACGGCATCGAACTTAAACGGCAAAACAAAACACACTCACATGCACCGTAAACCGCTCATCGCAGAGACCAGCGCCGGGTTGAGCGATTTGCGTCGTTTGCGTCGTTACGTCGCGGCCGCCCTGGCCGCTCCCGCCTCGCTGACGTCGTCGGCGCCGGAACCATCCCGAAGAAGCAATACAACAACAAAGAAAAATTTGCCCGTTCCATATTAGGAAGCGCCGGTCTCGGGTCTCCAAAAAAAGCCCAGAAAAAATTTTTTTCTCCGGGCTTCCATCTCAGAACCGGCCCGAGTCAGGCGCATTTCACTTTGGCTGTCGCTTAGCATCGTATAATGGTCGGTCAGTGTCGTCTCGCACGGCGCCCGCAGGCCACGTTTTCGTCCTCAGTCCGTTCATTTCTCGCTCGTTCCCGCTCCAACCAAATGGGCTTCCCAAACCGGCTTCTCTCGCTCATCCCGAGCGGCCCACTATAAACGCTACCGCGACTCATCCAAAAGGTTCATCTGCATAATAAACTGTCAAACACATACTTGTTAAGCAATTACCCTAGCGTCTCTGTGGTACTTTTGTAACAAAAATATCAGCTAAAGGCTACTAAGCTAACAGATATTGAACAGAAAGAACCTCCATCATTACAGGGGCGCTCCCACATGCGCTTTTTATACTTGAATTGCGTGAATTTTTTTCTTTACCCTTCAAATTGTCCACACTGTAGTGCTTTCCAGCTAGTAACCTTTGCAGCAGCTCAACTCTGGAATGGGTTTTCCCCTGCGTTATCTCTGGGCCATACTGGTATGCATAACCCACTCATCCCACGGTCGGTTCTTCGTCCGGCAATTTGAGTCTGCGGGTTGTCCTGTGTTTACGCTTTTCCCATATTGGCCACGCCCGGTGCACTGTTTGGTATTTGCCCTTTCCAGAACAGCAGCTCAAGCTGTATAAAGCTTCTTTTTGCTTGACGTCACCGGGGTCGATTCTGAGCGCGCCCGTTTTGGAAGCCACTGCGTCTGCCTCGCACGCTGTCATGGGCGCTCAGAAAATTACTCGGATGCCATTGGCCGTGAGGACAGAAAAAAATTTTCTCTCGGGTTTAGGGCGGGAGCCACGGAGCCGCGGCTGATAAGCGGAAGCTGGCTTATCTAAAGGCGGACAGCGATCGGAGCCTTGGATAGAGACATGACGAGCCACAGAGCGGAGCTGGAGCGGCAGGAAGCGGCGAAAGAGCGAGAGAGAAAAATGGCGAATAGTGACGGAGGGAAAAAAAGAGAGTGAGAGAGAGAGAGAGAGAGAGAGAAAGCGAGCGAAGGCGCGTCAGAAAGCGCACACGGCGATAGCACGGGTCAGAAATTGACGTAGCGGGCTCGAGATAGCGCCTTTCTGCTCACACCGGCCGACGCGGATCAGGACGGAAGTTGGCTACGGGAACGGAAGCTACAGTGCTAGGACCGCCAGCGTGGTCTCCAACTTTGTTACTATCTACTCTTTTTACACGCGCACATGCGCAATTCTCAACTCTCTCCCGCCGAATATGTTAAAGGGGTGCGTCGTAGACAATCTATAAAATAAGCAGCGCGGCTGGCGTGGGCTGACGGCCGCGCGACGAGGGAGAAAGGTCGTCAGTGCCATCCCAATTTACACATTTTGGGGTATGTTCGTGATGCGCTTGCGACCTCGAAGTATATAGTACCTTTTTTCTTGCCTTCATTACGTAGCCGGGTTTTTGGGTACCATGGACGTGGAAGTGTCTGGGCGGGCCGGCCGGCCCAATTGGACGCTTCCGGCAATGTGGTGAGAGACAGCACGGCTAGCCCGCGAAGACGTACAAACAACAACCGTTGTGGGTCCAGTGATGGCGCTGCGAGATGGAGATGGGGTCCCTTTGCCCGCGGCTGGATCCATCGGGAGTGCTCGGGCCGTTGTGATGCGTGTCTTGTTGTGATTTTACCAGTTTAGTCCTGGGGCCCACCACCACGGGTATTCAGGGTGTTTGGGACCTTCGTCGGCGACCTTTGCACGCGGCCAGCGGGGGAAACGTCGCTCGAAGCTCGCCGGAACCTCGCCGACGGGCCATTGCGCAAGCTTCGACTATCTGGTTTCCTCGACGGGGCATTAGATGCGCTCTCGTCGGACGTGATCTCCGTCCCGCGCGATCTTGCCCGTTACAGCAAATCTAACCGTGTCGAGGTGGCGGGGCCGATTCTTGTGACATAAGCGTTTCTCGCCAAGGTTGCAAACCTGAACGATCCATATAAAGAGCCAGCTTCAGCCTCTCTCGTTCATTGCTCGAGGATTGTGACGCTACACGCATCAAACTCGCTACATAACTTCCAACAAAAATGCCTGTCAACTATCCGTCCGAATTTCAGGGATTTGCGATCACCGACCCTAAGGACTGGGCCAACCCAAAGCTCACGTCGTTCCAACCCAAGAATTTTGAGGCTCACGACGTCGACATCGAGGTCGAGTGCTGTGGTATCTGTGCCTCTGAACTGTTTTCTTTGAAAAACGAGTGGAGCGACGCGCCACTCAAGTGTCTGTCGTCCGCATACGGCCCCAAGTCGCAGGTTGTGGGCCACGAGGTCGTCGGTAAGGTCGTGGCTGTCGGGTCCGACGTCACACTGTGCAAGGTGGGTGACAGAGTCGGTCTTGGTGCCCAATGCTTCTCGTGCATGGAATGCCCTCGTTGCAAGTCGGGCAACGAGCAGTACTGTCCAAAGGCCGTGGGTACCTACTGTGCGAAATACGCAGATGGCTACGTCTCACAAGGTGGTTACGCGTCCCACGTCAGAGCCCACGAGCACTTTTGCTTCCCCATCCCCGCTGGTTTGCCATCCGAGCTGGTGGCCCCATTGCAATGTGGTGGTCTCACAGTCTACTCTCCAATCAAGAGAAACATCCAGGGCGTGAAGGACCCAAAGGTCGCCGTGATCGGTATCGGTGGTCTGGGCCACATGGCCATCATGATCTCTAAGGCCCTGGGTGCCGAGGTCACCGCCATCTCCAGGGGCTACTCCAAGAAGGAAGACGCAACCAAGATGGGCGCCCACCACTTCATCGCTACCAGCGAAGAAGGCTGGGAAAATGGCCTGGCCGACACTTTCGACCTGATCTTGAACTGTGCCTCGTCCACCACCGCCTTGGATTTGGACAAGCTTTTGCCATGTTTGAAAGTCAACAAAAACTTTGTTTCTGTGGGTCTTCCTCACATTGGCGAGGTCTTCAATGTGAGACCTTTCACATTCTTCAGCAACGGTTGTTGCATCGGCTCTTCCAAGCTAGGAAACAGAGAAGAGATCATCGAGTTGATGAAGCTGGCCGTTGAACACAACTTTAGACCTTGGGTCGAGACAATTAAAGTCTCCGAAGCTGGTGTTTCCGAGGGTTTGACCAGGCTAGATAAGGGTGACGTAAGATACAGATTCACCTTGACTGGCTTCCACGAATTCTTTGGAACTGGTAAATAGACGAAGGAGGGATACTCCAAGGCTTTACCACCATGGTCACGTTTCAGTTCGCATGCTACCTTCTCGAGCTTCGATCTAGCGAACAAGCGCAAGGTGCTGCGGGAAAGTTGATATAGTTTCAGCGGCTGGGTGTATATAACCGAAATCAGAAGCTGTTTAAATATTCAAACTCAAAGTTGACTACCTGCAAGGTTCGATTTACTGAGGCCAGCATCAATTATGATCACATGATAAGTTCAACAGTGTAGTCATTCTATACGCTCTTCTAACGTATTGAACGTAGACAGGCTGCTTCCAACGCGGAGCTTGGATGAGATGCCAGCCACCTGAAACTGTCAAGTTTTGTATATAGTTGTTCGAATTCAATAAATTTCCTCAAGATTTTGAGGCAACCGTTGCGATCCGCATGTCACTACATTCAAGTGGAACCAGCGAATTTCGCTATCTGTTCCATGATTTCCGTCCCGATAGAACGCTATTGCATTGAAAAAGGAACGAAGGAATTCGTATTCGGCAAGACAGAAACGTGGACCCTTGTGAAAAACTAAAGCCCCACCTCCACTCTTATCGTGAAGGTCGAAAAGAGCCTGCTAATGCGATAGCCGTCTTTCTGACGCGGCTCGCTCAAGGATCAACCTTAAAAAAGTTCTCCACGTTGCCCATGATTTTTCTACGCAGCGAGCAGGTACAGCGCCCTCTAATGGAAGCGGGCATCGATAGTTTTTTGCAAAATTATTAGATAAGGGCGAAACTCAGATTTCACCCAATTTTCGAAGTCGGCGAAGCGAGAACGTGGGATTCCCTTATCGTTGTGTTCTATTCTGTAATTTCTGTATTGGTAATTCCATTTCCAAATGCGGTGGTAAACCTCCTACCAAAATGGCTCGTCACATTTTGATGAAAACGAATTTTGCCGTGCATTTAGCGTCGAGACTGGGAGACAGAAGATGGCCCAGATAGCGCGTTGTGTCTGCGGTGTTATGTGCAATATCAAAAAGTGGCTAACTGAGTAAAAAAATGATTCTAATTATTAAAAAGGAAATAACGACAACTGCAGGATTCGAACCTGCGCGGGCAGAGCCCAAAAGATTTCTAATCTTACGCCTTAACCACTCGGCCAAATTGCCTTATTTCGAAATTACCTTTTTCATTTGGCTATTACAGCTCAGTATTATTCATTGACACTGTCGTATCTAATTACGGTGTCCTTGGTTATAAAGAAATGAGCGCTGAATCAGCTCTGCAGTCTTGTTCTTCCTCTTATTTGATCCCATGGTATGACTTGAACTTCCTAATATTTATAGCTATAGACTGGTGTGCTTATAGTGAAACTCATTATAATTGAGGTTCCTTTAAGTGTATTAGAATTTCTTGATAATAGTACTGTTTCATGACGGACACCATAATTCAGCCAAGACCGATTATCAGCTTCGAACAGTAATAGATGAATTTAAATTTCTTGAACTTTCTGGCTAGCCTTTTAAAAATTAGTATTGCTGATTTGATATTATAATCATCAATGATTTGGTATGTGTTACCTATATTTAGATTCTCATTCCAGATTTTACTCTTTCCGGTTAAATTTGTGAAGATAGTATGCTAAATGCATACAAGGCGTAATAAACACAAAACGGAAGGCACCCTGTCCATGACACCAATGATGTTGAAAATCAAGCATCTTTGTCAAATGCAAGAAATTTATGTACTACGCTACTCTATAAACTCCTCAGCCGAATCCAGCCCATTCTACTGAGAAAAACTCGATCTCTTCGTCGTCTTTAACACCACCGACGACCCAAAGCTTCTTGACGCCGGTACCTAGCCTACCTCCACTTACTAACTGAAGCAAATCTAATGGCTCGTGGCGATAGTCCAAACACGCCTGCACAGTCAGATGCGAATGGTACCTCAGCGGGTCTCCCGGGTAAGCGATGAAGCGCCCACCAAACCTTGCTCCGGGAGACAAAAAGTAGCCTTGACTTCGCAGCGCCCTATACATCAAGTAGTCGTTGTGGTTTTTACCATGCGATAAGAGGTTATCCACGATTTTTTTCTGCAATACAGCAATATCAAACTGTGCCTCTTTATGCTTGAGTAATGTTGACTCATTTTTCGTTTCCACGAAAAGTGACGCCTCTAGCAGCCTTGAATCCTCCTCTCCGCCATCCTGCTTCGTGATTCCAAGCCTTTGAAGTTTCTCGATATGTTGCTGTCTCTTGAATGCTCGCTGCTCCTCAAATGACTCCTCAGCCTTCTTCTGCATCATCGCAACATCCTCCGCCCCCAAGTTCCCAACAGCATCCTCAAGGAGTTTTCCCCCACAAACAAGATATGCAAAGCCTTCTTCTACTAGCCATGCTGCCTCTTCTATCATCAGCCTCAAAGGAATCCCGAGAAATGCATTCTGCTGAGTCGCTGCTGGTAAGGTTCCAGTCAAAATTCCGGCCACCCCAAGTTCCCTAAGCCTCTTAATTGCCGCGATGCTAAACACTAGCGGTACTCCCGAAGATCCAGGCGCTTGTACAAGACTTATCGGAACTTTATCATCCATAGGACCCTGCTTTTCCATCGTCCCTACGGCCCGCTTGAGCATTCGGCGATTTTTTCGTTTCTCACGGCCCGGCCGAACAATGATGCGACCCGATGGAAAATGCAACTGCTCTGGTCGAAAATCGTGGCTTAGCCCATAAAAGGAAGACCGTTACCTCGTTGCTACAGTTACTTGCCGCAATGGATACTTCTCCTTCATTACTAGTAACGCATTAAGCGGAAAATATAGGCGCAGAAGCTATTGCGTACAGGCATTTTATTAAGCATTTTATCCCGTCTAACTGGCCGCAGCTGCAGTTGGCTCAGTAAAAGACGTGAACCCTGGCAATATATTCAGCAAGAGTTTGAGAAGAAAAGAACGAAAATTTACTTTATAACTTAAAAAGACGCCACGAGCAGTTTTAAGATCCACCGCCTTTGCCAACAGTCCAAAACTTTTGAACACTTAACAGTCGTAATCTTCCCTTAGTATGATTAAGGCCAAAACAAGTCTTGATAGGGAATCTACCATTCGGGAGGAAGAGGAGCTAACCAGTCAAGTCCATGTCGGACCGACTTTCCCACTTACTCCGGATCAACTCATCGAACTACATGATCCGAAGTCCCTTATTGCTTTTAAGAACATATTCGATAATGATGCTAACAACCTGTACAAATATCTGCACACAGATGAGCACAACGGTATTAACCTTGCAGACGAAACTATAACAGAAACAGAACGCTACAAAATATACGGAGATAACAGAATCCCAGAAAGAAAACCCAAGTCCTTCTTGAGACTGGCTTGGGAGGCGTTTAACGATCAGACAATGATCTTACTTACGGTCGCTGCTGTAATCTCATTTTCTCTAGGATTATACGAGACTCTTGGTCAACCACCAGAATATGATGCAGAAGGCCATGAGATCACGAAAGTTGATTGGGTAGAAGGTGTGGCCATCATGATCGCTGTCCTCGTCGTTGTACTAGTGGGCTCAGCGAACGACTATCAAAAAGAGCTGCAATTCGCCAAGTTGAATGAGAAGAAGAACGATCGTGAAGTCGTGGTAGTAAGGAACGGAGACGAACATCTTGTATCCATTCATGACCTTTTAGTAGGTGATGTGATCAATTTGCAAACCGGTGACGTCGTGCCTGCTGATGCTGTCCTCATCTCTGGGTCATGTGCCTGTGATGAATCCGCACTAACTGGTGAATCTGATACAATGAAAAAGACTCCTTTAGGTGTAGCTATTGCCAAATTTGACGAAATAACAGCAACAGACGCAAGTAGGGATATTGGATCTCGTGGTGATCAAAAGATACCAGACCCCATGCTAATTTCCGGTTCAAAATTACTCTCTGGCTTGGGTCGCGCTGTAGTCACGTCAGTTGGGGTAAAATCCATACACGGCAGAACGCTAATGTCACTTAAAATCGAACCAGAAGCAACGCCATTACAGGAGAGGTTAGACAATCTAGCCGATAATATATCTATCTATGGTTCTGTCGCGGCAGTCATTTTGTTCATTGTTCTGTTTTGCAGATTTTTATCTTATCTCCCTTCTGGTAAGAAACTTCACGACATTACACCAGCTCAAAAAGGTTCTAAATTCATGCAAATTTTTATCGTAGCGGTTACCGTCATTGTAGTTGCTGTACCAGAAGGACTACCGCTTGCTGTCACCTTAGCGCTGGCGTTTGCAACAACACGGATGACCAAAGATGGGAATCTTGTAAGGGTACTGAGAGCGTGTGAAATTATGGGTTCCGCAACGGCAGTTTGCTCGGACAAAACGGGCACATTAACTGAAAATCGAATGACTGTAGTCAAGGGCTTTTTAGGAAATTCTGAATTTGACGATACCGCTAATGTGACCGATGAAAGCTTGGAATCTGATAGGGTATTTGCTGAAAAATGTTCCAAGTCACTAATTCATGATGTACTGACGAATATAACGTTAAATTCGACTGCTTTCGAAAATAAGGAGATGGAGAATGATGAGCAGACAAATGAGAATCCATACCACAAATCTCGAAAATCATTATTCCCTTGGAGTCGTAATAATAAGAAGAACTCACGGACAAGAGAGCTGATTGATAATATAGCCAATGCACAGAAAGACCGATTCATTGGATCCAAAACAGAGACAGCATTATTATCTTTGGCTGCAAAGTCACTGGGAATGCAACAGTTGCACGACTATCGTAACAATCCTCATTTGCTGGACATTGAGGAAATTGTCCAAGTCATTCCCTTCGAGAGCTCTCGCAAATGGGGTGGAATAATAGTGAAAACTGATAACGGACTTCATCGTGCGTTAATTAAGGGTGCTGCAGAGCTGGTTTTGAAAAGATGTGATAAGAAGAGATTATCAGAGGGGCAAGAAATACAATTTACATCTGAGCAATTCGATAAAGACTTTGGCGTGATACAACACTTGGCAGAAGGTGCTTTAAGAGCAATTTCTTTCGCCCACAGAGACTTTCCAGATTGCAATGCCTGGCCTCCCAAGGATTTACAAGATTCCTATGATCCAACTATAGCTTCGCCAGAACTACTCTTCGGCGAAGAAATTCCAAGGCTGTCATCTGCTGATTCAAAATCGTCTGAAAAGTCGAATCACATCAGTGAAAATAATCATGGATTTACGCTAGACGGTATTGTAGGTATACAAGATCCTCTTCGCAAAGGTGTGAAGGCCTCTGTTGAACAATGCCAGAAGGCCGGCGTTACTGTCCGTATGGTGACTGGTGATAACATTCTAACAGCAACTGCCATCGCCAAAAATTGTAGCATTTTAAATGCTTCTCAGGCCGAAGATCCGAACTGTGCTATGGAAGGTCCTCGATTCCGCAAGCTCTCATACAAGGAGCGGGTTCGTATTCTCCCCAAGCTAAGAGTCCTTGCAAGATCTTCACCTGAAGATAAGCGAATTTTGGTTGAAACTCTTAAAAAAATGGGCGACGTCGTCGCAGTTACCGGTGATGGTACGAACGACGCTCCTGCTTTGAAACTAGCAGATGTGGGTTTCTCCATGGGTATATCAGGAACGGAAGTTGCTCGTGAAGCTTCTGACATTATTTTAATGACTGATGACTTTTCTGCAATTGTCAATGCAATCAAGTGGGGGCGTTGCGTTTCGGTTTCCATCAAAAAGTTCATTCAGTTTCAACTGACCGTTAATATAACGGCTGTTATCCTGACGTTTGTCTCTGCTGTAGCCTCATCGGATGAAAGTTCTGTTCTGACTGCAGTACAGTTACTCTGGGTTAATTTGATTATGGATACCTTAGCAGCCCTTGCACTTGCAACAGACAAACCAGATGCAGGCATATTGGATCGGAAGCCAAAGGGTAGAAATACACCTTTGATTGCGGTATCTACTTGGAAAATGATCTTAGGCCAAGCAACATTGCAGCTGATTGTTACTTTCGTCTTACATTTCGCGGGTAAGCAAATCTTCTTCCCCCACGAGGACACAATTACTTCCCATCAACAGGAACAACTCAATGCGCTAACATTCAACACATTTGTGTGGTTGCAATTTTTCAAACTCATCGTCACTAGAAAGTTAGATGAAGCTGATGGTATATCTAATGTGAAAGACAGGATAACTGCTTCCAACCTCAACTTTTTCCAGGACTTGTGCAGAAATTATTATTTCATTGCTATAATACTCATAGTTGGTGGTTTCCAAGTATTAATTATGTTTGTTGGGGGAGCTGCATTCTCAATTGCGAAGCAGACCGGTGCAATGTGGGCAACCGCCGTTATTTGCGGGATGCTATCTTTACCAGTTGGTGCTTTAATAAGAATATGTCCAGATGAGTGGGTACTTAAAGTATTTCCAAGAAGACTCGTCAAAGCCATTTTATATGTGGTTGGATTTGAGTTTTTAAGAAAATCTAAGAAAGAAGAAGATGAAGAATCGCTTCTGGGTACTGATGACGCAAATATAGTCGGTTCTACTGCATTCGAAAGAGCAAAATCAGAAATGCTAACATTCAAAGAACACAGGGAACCTGAAAAAAGCTTACTGAATCCTATAAATGCTTACAAGAAATGGAGGCATTCTTCACTGTCAGACTCTGAATCTGAAGAAGATAAATCTTACATCGCTTCCCTAACCATGGTACCGACTTTAGTGGGGGGAGCAGTGGGTGGATTCTCTCACATATGTACAAATAAGCCGCCATCTTCCTCCAACTAGTTTATATACGCTTAGACATAGATTTTAGAATGATTCTAATCCCTACGAAGGCAAATATATTTAGTCTTAAGGTCCTGAACATCAACGAAGTTACGGAATTTGGTGTTTCCATGCATTAAATTGTGGAGAATGTGTTTAACAATGACACTTGGGATTGGTATGCGGTACTATATTATGCTCTTTTGAAATTTTCAACGATCATGTCATGAATTCAGCTTCAATATCTTTTCCCTGCAAGTAAACCTGCATTCCCGCTTTTATCTGCTCTACAAATTCGCTATAAGCAGGGTAAAACTTGGTCAGGCCCTTGAATATCGGCTTCATTTCAACGAAGAAGTTAATCTTCTGCAGAAGCTCTTCGTTTCTTTCATCTGAGGACTCATTAGTGCTAGCACTTTTCAGACTAGAATTAATAGCATCTTGCATTGTCTTCAGGGAGAGCTTAAAGTCTGTAATTGGAATGCTTGGTATATTTTCATTCTGTTTGTCCGAGCCCATTGATATCACCACAAGAGATTTGACCTTCTCAAAAACGTCTAAAACTTTTGATAATTTTAGCTTTACATTCTCAAGATCCTTTATTTTTTTAACAGTCCTTTGACTCTCTTCATTGATTACTTTCATGTCATTTAGTTGTTTTGTAACCTTCGAAATATCACCCTCCAGTGTTTTGACCGAATTGGCCAAAGTGTCCAGATAGTACTCCAATTTTGTTGTTTTTCCTGACTCAGATGCAGTTGAAAGATATGCTAAAGGCTCTGCAGGCTTCTGTAAATTTTCAATTGATACCTCTAGCTCCTGAGTTAGGCGACCAGTGTAATAATCAAGCTTTGACAATAGCGAAGACGAGACAACACGTAGCTCATTCAATTGCGTATTCTGAGAAGAAAGTAAAACGTCCACAAATGCTTGGGGAATAAAATCCTCATCAAAGAACATCTTAAGCATATCGTCATTCGATGCCATTGTTCGGCAAATGAGAAATCCCCTGTGTACAATTCAAGCGTTCATTTTCGGAAAATTAAATATCATTTTTTTTGAAGTCAAACTCATTTGAACTAAAAGGTAATCTGACTTGCAAATTTCCTATCAATGCAAAATACAAAGAAATTTATCTAATGGTCTTTATTAATTTGCACTTATCATGCTTATAAGCCCCATTACTGATAATTTTTGACACTCTTTTCACCTCTAAGGTACTTGCATCTCTGCAACGACGTAGAGAGTACGATATGCATCTCAACTTTCCAGTGATAAAATCATTTTCTGCGATTATGACTTTGCATTGAGAACTAATTTTCAGACATATCTACCACCAATGTAGTAAACAATGTATACAACTGCCTCAGAACTTAGGATGAATGATGACTTGACAGCTATAAGCTCTCGAAGAAATTCCAGAAAACGCTGATATATAATGGGAGATATAGAAAGTTAAGATCCATACCTGCAAATGCTAGCAAATGTCAATAGTGTTCCCGCTCTAGTAAAAGCGGTATTTGGTGATAGCCGTTGCATGCATATGTAACTCCTGTAGATACAAGATCAAGCTTTTTTTTATCGCGATTCGCTACCAAATTAAGGAAGTTCACGGCAAGGGAACCCCACCACAGGCTTACGTGCATCATTAATTTTACTTTTTTTTCATTATTCATTGTTAGCACGCTAACTAGTACACGGCCCAGAACCCCTGCTTACCCACAGCGAAAATAGCCCCATCATCACCTGAACTCTTGAATTGCGATACTTCACAGTCGTTGGACACTAAAAACGTGGGATCTCTCAGCCGCCCAGTATCTAAATCAATCTCGATTTCTGCAGTGGTGTCAACATTTGAGGATACATATAGGCTTTCTTTATCAAAGTAGATGTTATTTATTGGTGTCCCTTTGTTTAAATGCATGGCCTGGACCGACCTTTCAGGTTTCCTGAGATCCCACTGTGCCAGCGTACCATTTTCGTATCCTGCATATAGGTAAAACGGCGAAATATCAGAAAGCTGTGTATTACTTGCAGATAATGTAATGCAGGGGTTCATAAACTCGCTTGGAATTTGTAGTAGCTGTTCTTTGGAAAAAATGTCATGATAGGTAATGACCCCAGAGTGATGAGCAGCCAAGAATGTTTTACCGGCGGTTCCAAACTCTAAATCATGTGTATCAAATGAAGCGGCCTCTGTGCACAGTAAGAGAATATCATTAACAGCATCTCTTTTGTTTTCTTTCCTAAAGAAAGTGTAGATGACCTCACCACTTCCGCATTCCCAAAGTTTGATAGTACCATCTTCAGAGCCCGTTAGAATGTTTCTTCCCCTGTCTACTATACCAGTGCACGTTACAGCAGCACGGTGTTCAGCCAGAGTTCGTGGGTTGCTCCCGTCGTCAAGAGACCAAATTTTTACTTGCATATCACTTGAGCTGCTTAGCAAAACTTTTTGGCTGGGAAAGAATTTGACACTAGTAATATCCGAGTAATGGCCTGTCAACTGTAAGTTCAAGTTGAAATTAGAATCGAAGACGTTGATAAGACCTTCAGAGTCACCTAAAGCGATTTTCTCCTGCAAAACATCTATACATGTAAAGTGAGAGTTGGGTTGAATGTGAGAGTAGTCACATCTAGGGGTCTTGAATCGGAATTTTTGGTTATTCAACTCAGCTTCAAATACTCGCCCGTCAATTCTTTTGAAATAATTGCCATTTCCTGCATCATATCTTAATTGGCCATCTGACTGGCTGACATGCACAATATAGTCATTTACCTCATAAACTGAGGGCTCAACATTAATGTAAAATTTATCTTCTTTTGAAATACCTGATTGAACTTCTTTTATACACTCAGTAAAAGAGGGGTCAATATGGCAGTTGGTGATTTCTGACATCAGTGCGGTCCAGATTTGCTTAGATGACTTTGATCAAGTAATTCTCCAGTTTTGAACAACCAAGGTACTTTCGAACGACGTGCCAATGGCAGTATCTGGTAGGCAACGGCCTAAAAACCATGTAGAGCAAGATTCATCGATTAGCATAGCTCATCAATCTATACTGAACTCTATGTTCGTGTCTATTTTCTATATCTGTTTCGTTCAATGAGCCCATAATGAGACATAGTAATGCATACACCACGATACAAAAAATGTGTTTCCAGAGTCCATACTAAATCTATTCCTTCACTTCCTCGAGATATCCGACATAGATGTGTCAAATCATTGATACTTTTGAAGTTTTCCGTTTGAAACAAGGATCTTTCAGATTTGTTTTCACAACTCATAATTGAGGGAAACGGATTTCACTTTCTTGCACCTTACTTCTCAGAACGGCTTGTTACCAAAATATGATTGAGGATTGTGAAACATATTTTTTAAAAAGTATAAGATGGCTACAATAGATCGTCTCATCCATTGTGTGTTGGAGGAAAGTAGAGTAGCATGATCACAAACATGCGCTGAAGAAGTTCTAATTTTTCTAAAACTCAATTACTTTGGAAGAGATCCCTAAATTGGGACGTATAACAGTTTTCTTAGTGAAAGATTTCATTCATCATAGGTAAAGTCGATCCAACATGTGTGTCTAGCATAGTGATCATAGAAATGCCCTGCAATGTGGTCTAAGAAGCACATTTGAAACATGGCATAACGACGACCAGTAATATAGTGGGATCAGGAGACCGTGTGAACAGATAAGCGCTACTAAAAGGCGAAGTTTTACCTCAGCAGGGTGAACTATATGTGTTGTTATCTTGATGGGTCCGGGTTTTTTTCAACCCGCCAATTTTTCCATAACACTAATTCGACGTTTTTGCGACGCAACGCGAGACGCGTTAAATTATCGCGTCCTATTTGCCACGCCCTCCCCGCTGTTCATCACTACGTTGTAACAACGATCAAACAAGAGATTCAACTCTTTGAAGAACAACATGGCTAGCACGGAGCTAAGCAAAGGCGATCTACGCACTATCTTCACTAATGTGGAAAGATTCCATGATCCCAGTGGCGGTGTATATCAATGTGTTCGCACAAGGAAAAACGATCCATCAGCACATGCTAATAGGAAGAATTTAATTGTGATATCTGATGGATTATATCGCGTCAAAGCTCTGCTAAGAAATGAAGCTATTCAAAAGGCCCAGGAAGCTGATTTAAATGTTGGTGACATATTGCGAGTTACGCGAGGCGAGCCTGCCATAGTGAAGGAAAAGAAGAAATATGTGTTACTTATTGACGACATAGAAGTGATAGCCTCCGGTGCAGATATTGGAAATCCTAATAGTGAACTCATCGATAACTATTTGATCGCCCATCCTAACGAGGTAGTATCCTTCGATGAATCAGCCCCAGCGCCTGCCTCAAACATGAACTCAGACATGAGTGTGCAACAGCAACAGTACTCAGCGCAGCCACAGCAGCAGTATTCTGCTCCACAAAGACAAACTAATTATGGTGGAAACAGTTATCAGAACCCAAACTCGCAGAAAAACAGACCCATATTCGCCATTGAACAGCTATCTCCATATCAAAACATGTGGACTATTAAAGCTCGAGTTTCTTTTAAGGGTGATATTAAAACTTGGAGTAATCAAAGAGGCGAAGGGAAGCTCTTCAACGTTAATCTTTTGGATACCTCTGGTGAAATAAGAGCTACCGCATTCAATGACAACGCTATGAAATTCTACGAATTCCTTCAAGAGGGTAAAGTTTACTTCATTTCTAAAGCGCGAATCCAGCCAGCAAAACCTCAATTTTCTAACCTGGCCCATCCATATGAATTGCAATTGGATCGTGATACCGTAATTGAAGAATGCTTCGATGAGGTAGACGTTCCTAAAATGCATTTCAGTTTTGTGAAGCTAAACACTATAGAAAGCCAAGAACCTAATTCTAACGTGGATGTAATTGGAATTATCAGAACTGTTAACCCGCACTTTGAGATCACCTCAAAGGCAGGCAAAAAATTCGACCGCCGAGACATTGTCATTGTGGATGATTCAGGATACTCTGTTTCTGTTGGGCTATGGAATCAACAATCCGTGGACTTCAGCTTACCAGAGGGTTCAGTGATCGCCATTAAAGGTGCTCGAGTAACAGATTTCAATGGCAAAAGCTTATCCATGGGTTTTAACAGTACCTTACATCCTAGTCCTGAAGTTCCCGAGGCGTATTCTTTGAAAGGGTGGTATGACGCAAAAGGACATAATGAACAGTTCCACTCCTTGAAGCCAGAAGTTAGTACAGGAGGCGCTAATGCTATGAAATTCATTGGAAGTCGTATAACAATTGCAAACGCTCAATCTCAAAATCTTGGAATGAGCGAAAAAGGTGATTACTTCAGTGTCAAAGCTGCAGTAAGTTATCTGAAAGTTGACAGTTTTGCTTATCCCGCTTGCAGCAATGAGAACTGTAACAAGAAGGTTATTGAGGAATCAGATGGAACATGGAGATGCGAAAAATGTGACATGAATCATGCTAAGCCTCAATATAGGTACATGCTCACAGTATCAGTCATGGATGAAACAGGGCAGCTATGGTTGACTTTGTTCAATGATCAAGCAGAACAATTACTGGGAGTAGATGCGAGCTCTTTGATAGAACTGAAAGAAACTGATCCCGATCAGTTCACTAAATCAACTCAGAAAATTCAAATGAATCAGTACGAGTTCAGAATAAGAGCGAGAGAGGACAACTACAATGACCAAACAAGGATCAGGTATACGGTGTCTAACCTTCACATTTTAAATTACAAAGCAGAAGCTGACTTCTTAGCTGATGAACTTTCAAAAATTTTGCTAAAGTAAGACTCGAGTATGTGACAGGTTGTCAAAGGTTGGAAGTTCTTAGCTTTGTGTTACTCAGATACGTAATTAAATAAATTTATGGATGTACTTAATTTCGCGATTTTTTATGGCAGTCCCACTGAAATTCTTTTTCCAGGTTAATGATATCCGAAGAGTATCCATCATGAGTCCTATAAAACGACGCCGCACAATTAAGTCATGCAAATACTGTTATGAGCATAAGCTTAAATGCAATAAGGCCTCCCCATGTGACAACTGTGTGCGGTTAAAGGTAGAAGAACAATGTATATATGGTTTTAACAAGGGTAATCCTTTACCTGGCAAAGGACATCAGGGTTCGACAAACGATGTCAAAGTGGCTCATACGAACCGCACAGTATTCAAAACAAAAAGCTATTATCCTTTTTTTTCCAATTCGATCAATGAGAGAGTTCTTTCTGCTTCAGATGGAGACGAAGAGTATCATTTTAAAGGGAAGTTAAAGGGAAATGAAATCACCAATTTCAATAAACTAGAAATTGAAATGATGACTATGGCTGATATTATTAGTTTGATCCCCACTAATAAGGCTTCAATGTACTTGATTGTGGATACATACTTTGCCAGCGTTGACCCTATTTTACCAATATTGGGGCAGAATGATTTAAGTAGCACTGTGGAAGCAGTATACTTGAGTTTACAAAATGAAGTTATTGCAGAGATACCACAAATCTGTCTTTTATTTTCTGTGCTTTTCGCTGTTTCGTACTCAAATGTTGCTAAGGGCGAAATACCTGATATATTACTCTGTCGAAAATACTACTCTGCTTTTGAAGTATTACTGAAAGAGATGAATTTTCCCGTCAAACCATCTTTAGAGGCACTTCAAGCATTTGTGATTACGAACTTTATTATAGATCCAAATATGGTTGATTTTCTTACAGAATCCTCGATGTTAATTAGAGTAGCTCAACAGTTGGGTCTGCATAAAGAGTGTTTTTATCAGATGAGTGGTAAAGACCAACAAAGTTTACGACTATTGTGGCATTACTTACTTTATATTGAAGGATCGTCATCAGTGGTTGCTGGCCTTCCATTTTTAAGTTCGAAAAGGATGTATGAGGCGGTCCACATGGCCTCAATCGATAAATCACAACATGGTTCATACATCGCATTTGCAAATGGCAGATTTGCCATAAATAATTTCTTTCGCATAATAATGACTTTGGGTGATTTGGAAAAAGCACCACGCAAGAAGGTTCTGAGCGGAGTAGAGAAACATTTGAATCGTCTTTATGCAAACATTAGTCAAATATGCGCATCGATAAGATCCTACAATACAAGTCACGGAGAGTACTTTGCCAGCACTCTTCATATTTTCGTATTCAGGGCTCATTTAAGGTTCAGAGCTCTGTTGTCAGAAGGCTACCGAACTGAGCAGATCATTGTGAGTAAACAAACCAATCCGACCGTAAAAGCTTTCAATGTCGAAGAATTCCTGGAAACAAAACATTCATTCGATGTTTTAACAATACAGCTATCTCTAATCCTACTTTTCTACACATTGAGGAGGCTGATTGAACAGGACTGTGCGGTATACGATTGGTACACTCGGGGATCAACTGTTATGCAATATTTATTTGTGGTCATAAAGGACATATATCTATTTCCCAGTAGCAATTATGCATTCATAAACTTTCCACCTGAGCTGCAAAATTCTGCATCAAAAGACATAATTGAATGTCTCGATACGAATCCCGTGTTCTCAAAATTTGTTTTGATAGAAGAGTTAATGAAAGTACTGGAGATCAAGTTAGCACCTTTATGGCGTGGAGATGATCTGTACAAATTTTTCCTTGTGAGAACGATCAAGGAAAAGGTCTGGAAGGTCCATGAGAGACTTGTCAGGCAAAATGCTTTCGAGCTAGAAACCCTTCGTAAATGTAATCTATTCCAAGCCGGGCGAGTGCACATAGATTTGATCAAAAGTTTGAACTTCGATGAATTCATGAAACAGTGGGAATTTGACAAGACTCAATTCGATATGGAAAAGATTTTGATGAACTGGTTATCCGAATTTTAGTATGTAGACCCTGAAGAAAGTTACGTAAGTTTGTATTCATCTTAATTGATTGAAGGCATTGATAAGTACCGAAGTTGGATGCATTTTCGGCTTAGGCTTGTCAAACAATTTCCAATATCTTAATGTCTCATCACCTGCTCCAGAAACAACCGTTGTTCCATCCGAGGACAATGTCAAATGTAGAACTCTGAAGCTGTGACCTTTCAGTATTGCAATCGGGTCCATTGTTGCGCAGTCCCAGAGAGTTAAATTATACTTTGAGTAGCCATGTGAGGTTACTATTTCATCTGAATTTTTGGACCAAATCATATTACAAACCTGAGATGAAGTGTCCACGTCATGCAACTTGGCAGACGTATTGATATTCCATATCTTTAGCTTCTTATCAGCTGTACCCCCTCCACTGGCCAAAATTCCTCGGCGGTGCGGAGACCAAGCCAACGCTTTCACTGCAGCAGTGTGTTCATCCAACTTCAAGATTGGAGTTCTTAAAGTTCCATCATAAACATAGATCTTGTTATCATTCCCTCCTGAAGCCAGTTTGTTTTCCTCGACGTTCCATTTTAACCCGCAAATTTCCTGCGAATGAGTGCGTACCTGCTCAAAATACGGTTCGGGAGCACGAACATCTCGATGCAGAATTGAGCGATCTCGGCTGCCAGAAGATAAAATATGATTGTTCCAAGAAAGGCATGCGACGCGATCTGTGTGACCTGAAAGGGTGCGAATACATTTCCGCTTTACCACATCATAGATTTCTACAAGTCCATTACCTTGTCCGATCGCTAAATGAGAGCCCGCTCCCACCCAGCTTAAACTAGTGTATTCATTGTCGGTATCACATAATTGAACTACCTCATTCGTATTATTATCTGTCAGAAAAACAGACTTCCCTAACGCTACTCCAAGAACATCTGTGCTTGACCAATCTATAAGATCATAATAAAAATCGTCTGCCAGAGAAGGGGCGTCAAGGACACGGTACGGTACCTTCGCTATTTCCCTTAATTTCTTTCCTGGCGAAAGCAGAAGCTTCTTAGAGTCTGGTCGTACCGGCGAAGTTGAGTTGAAGTACTGATTTTGAATTATTGATGCAGTGGATGGCCTTGTAGCCATTCGCTCGCGGTATGTCAAAAGGGTTGCACCGCGAACACTGTTACTGCTGGGCTTCTGATAATCATCAAAAGTCAACTTCCTAGGAGTGATTGGAGCGGAGCGTGAAGGTGAAGTGAAAGATCCTCTATCAGGTAAATCGCGGGAGCGCGGTGGAGTACTCGGCTCTTCGTACGTGGATGAGCTTGTGTACTTGATTCTGTCGATGCTGTCCTCATTATCATTAGAGTCTCTTCCTAATTTTTCGCCAAATATTTCATTTTTGAGTACTGCATCAAAGGTCTCGTGTGCTTGCCGTTCCCTTTTGAACTCAAGTTGATTGTCCGAATTGGCAGGCGCCAGTCTGGGGAGGGTAGCGGGGCGGCCTATGGAAATCACAGCGTTCAGATCCATGTCAGTCCTATTAGGAATAAATCTATCTGTATACCCTAGATTGGCAGTTGCGTATGGTCTTCTGAGTGGTGACGAGTGTACGGACGATGCTGACAAGGAGGATGAAGAGACAGGCCTCTTTGAAACCTTGTGAGAGCCTGCTGACTTTGGTTTTATAGGTGATGAGCTAGGCGTATTGTTGATAAATGGATTTCTCATTTCATCAGACATGTTGCCCGTATCTTGCTCCGTTTTGTCCCTTTCTCTTTTGGTTTTACCGAGCTTTTAGTCGATCGATGTTGTTTCCCCATTTTCACCAAGTGAAACCACTATTGTTCGTACGAAGTATCAAAAATTTCGACATCAATTAAATTGCATAGTAATGAAGTGATATTGAGGTCCCATAAAGCCCATTGATAGCTCAAACAGATGCCAGCCCTACCATACCGAAAGCAATAAGTCTTTTTCTCACTTGTTGAAGTGTTTAAATTTTCCTAAAGTATTGCCAGAGAGCTTGAGAATCCGGACAATTAATTGACGGTGTTTCTCACAGGTGATCAGTGAAATTTGTATCGATCCAAAAAATGGTACAAGTAATTTAATGAGAATTTTGTACAGTTTCCTATTTTAACTACGTATTTACAAAGTAAGCTTTCGATCTTATCCATGCCGGCGGTGAATTCACACAGAGCAGGTACAAAAAAATCTTTACTTTACAATCTTTCCCACCTCTTTATCATCAAGATATCCTCATAGTTGATGGGTATTATAAATCGAGGTAAAGTCAGGTCATTACCCCTTACGTCAAAGTCCTCCTTGGTTTTAAGATCTATGAGAACCTCTTCTGCTTGATCTAACTCTTGTTGTTGTTCTAATTCATCAACTTGATCAAATTCATCCTCCTTTTCTTGATATTCCACATTTTCCTCAATTTCCTCAAAATCGGGTGCTAGTGCGCTCCATTTTGGTGGAATGACAATAGACCAAACGTAGACATTTCCAGTTTCGAGGCCATTGCTCGCAATGCACATACTATAGAAGTTCCAGTCGATATCTAATAGTTCTTCTTCAGGTCCCTCAAGAACTCGCACCAGAGTCCCAGTGTTTGTCTCCCACAAATATAGCTCATGAGCAGAAGATCCATGGGTAGATGCTACAAGATATTCCGCAGAATTGTTGCTGAAAAAAATACTGTTCCATTGTAACTTATTGATGACATCCTGATATTTGTGCTCTAAAGACAATCGGATAACAGATAAGTCGCTACTCACTTCAAGTGAATATTGCCTTATGGTTCTGTCTGATGAGTTTACTGCTATTTTGTCTCCTGCTTGTGAGATAATCATGTGTTTCGCATTTGAATTTGCAAATTTCTCTTGTTGAATCAAAAATATGCCATCATTGTTCATTTTATAGAATTTGATCCATCCCTTTGAGGTACCCGTTAAAATCAAATTCTGGTATCTTGGATGTATGCAGAATACCAAAGTGTGTCCATAGTCCCCACTATTCGCATTTTCCTCAATGCAACATAACTTTTTAAATGATGGTATATCATGTTGAAAATCTATCAACAGAGCGTTTGTTTGCTCAAAAGCAGTGGCAATACACTGCCAGGGATTTAAATTGTTCCACCTACAATTCCACAGTGGAGAATTGAATTTCATTTGCTTCAATGGGTGGCCAGGGGAACGTAAATCCCATACCTTGACATACCAATCTCTCGAACTTGATACCAGATATCGTCCAGAAGATGACCAATCCAAGGATTGTATAGATCTCACGTGAGATCCGCCTCTGTTTCCAAGCATTGTGATGGGGTTGCCTGTATCCATGTCATATATGATTATGGCGCCATTTGAGCAGCCTACTGCAAGATAATCACCATAAAGCGAAAACTTCACACAACTGCTCTGAAGTGGAGTCTCGATAACCTGTGAAAGCTTTTCGGGAAACTCTTTCAACACAGAGAAAGGATCTTGTAAAAGCAGATTGGCCATTCTTACCTATGGGACCTAAAAAAATCAAATACTAAATGAAACGCGTTTGGTGAAAGTTTTTTTTTCCACTTCACCAAACACCATCCAGTCAGGACAACAATGGAGCCAGCCAATATCTTGTTGCGATTGGTAGCTTTGATGCTACTGATCTTCCCAACCAATGCATTCTACTTCTACAGCAATGGCGGAGAACGGAAATGTTTTCACAAAGAGCTGTCAAAAGGGACTCTGATCCAAGGTAAATATGACGTCCAAACTTACGATGATAGTGCAGATGGCTACAGGCCTGCAACTCCTAATGAACTGAATGTAGTCATTGATATTGAAGAGGTTTTTGATGATAACCATCGTGTTTCTAATCAAAAGGGCTCACCAACGGGCGATTTTACTTTTATTGCCCTTGAATCGGGTGAGCATAAAATATGCCTACAGCCTCAAGCGCAAGGATGGCTAGCTAAGGTTAAAACTAGGATCAACATCGACTTTGAAATTGGCTCAGAATCTAAGTTGGATACAAAAAAGAAAAGTGCAGTTCAGTCTTTGCAGAATAAAGTGCAAATTCTGAATGAGAAGGTTGAAGAAATCAGAAGAGAGCAGGACTTAGTCAGAGACCGTGAAGCTATGTTTAGAGATGCTTCGGAATCAGCAAATTCTCGTGCTATGTGGTGGACTATTATTCAGATTATTGTATTGAGTGTTACCTGTGCATGGCAATTGAGACATCTTCGTACCTTTTTTGTCAAGCAAAAAATTCTATAAAAGTGCTACTTTAAATAGTTTATGTCGTGCTCTTCAGCTAGTATAACTTGAGTGTCTGGCTTATGATTTCCCTTCAAACACTAGATCTGGCATATTTGTGTCATATACGTGGCTTGTTGACGATGAAACAGAAATTCAAGCTCGCACCCATTAAGAAATTAGGATAATAAAAATTCACACTTTTTCCAGGTCTTTCTGCTTGAGGATCTCACCCAATACTATTTGAGCTCGATTTCAATTAATGATAGTTAATGCTTATATACTGAAACTTGATAGCTTTATTAACATACATAAAAATCTCAGTCCACCAGTTTCGCGTATAAATGTTAGCCTTTCATAGCTAATAGGATCTTAAATAGGGGCCAAAAATTGAGGACGTTATTTTATGAAATTCTGCAGAAATGACAGTGAAAATGCGACGCTGGTTCATATTGTAAACTCCTACAGTCGTACTTTCTTATGTGAATCTTTTCAGATGGTACTACCAGATTAATGTACCAAAAACAGATCGGGTTTATAGTCTCTTCAATTATTGCCAGATCTAATCTGGAGGATTCTCTAACGTACTTTATTGGAAAACATACAACGACTTGAATCTCTCGACCTGGCTTTCACTCACTAATTTGGGATCGATTTGAGAGTTCGGTGGTAGCCCAAAGTCAAACAAAATTGCTCTATGCTCTACAGCAGGATTTGCTAAATCATGTTTTTGAGGGCCAATCTTAAAATCCAATGTTTCATTCACCTGACTCTGTGGCTTCTCTGCACTTTGAGAAGGAATGTTAATATGTGATCCGTTTAATTTGCCAGTTTCCTCATTTTCAATAGAGTCTTTCTCGACTGAAAATAATGATTTCTCACCCTTGGTTGGATGACTTATAACATTGGAAGCACGTTGGACATCTTCTTTGTTGCCCTGTTTGTTTTCCTGAACAACGGATTTGCTCGGAATATGTTCTGCCTTAGACTCGCCAAAAGTAAAGTTGAACGAGGATTGAGGTACTGAGCCTTCGACATTACGAACTTGTGTGGTTTCTTCTTTCTTTTTGGGTGACTCTTCCAGTGAAACTGCAACACGAAGAGATGAAGATTTTGAAGGCTTGTATTTCTCGAATGTATGCATGCTTGCTGTATCTGCATTTTTTGTTTCATTCTTTGAGTTTTCAAGTTCTTCAAGTGCTCTTGATTTAACTGGTGTGGTATCAGAGGATTGTGATGGCGTCTTAGGAGTTCTTGGTTCGCCATGAAGCTTCTTATATTTCCGAATTTGTGATAACTGAGAAGAGTACGGGTTGGCAAGACTGGAGGACACATTGCCACGCGTGATCGATTTCTCGACTTCGACATCATCAAGCAAAGATACCAGAGCAGAAGCGGTATTGCTAAGCTTTTTCGCAATAGGTGGCTTCTCGATTCTGCTTGATTCGTTTTCGTCATTTATCTTATCTCTTACAGTAGCACTATATTTGTATACTGTTGTCCGATAAGGTGATGGTAGCTGTGAGTAGTCAAAAACTCGCCGCCTACTTGACGTTGAAGATGTTAGACTTCTCATCGAGGTATTCGCTAGTGTTGAACTTTCTTCGTATTTAGGCTTGAAAGATGGTGTTTTGAAAGGAGTACCCGATGTTGAGCTCTTAGACGACCTCAACATTCTAGTTTTCGGGTTCAGCTCCTCGTTGATAGAATTTTTTCTTTTCGAACGTGGAGTTGAGATTACCGATTTGCTCTTCTTCATTAGAGATAAGACACCCTCATATTCCACTTCAGATAGGGGCTCATCACCCTTCTCCCGGAAAAATTCGGCTAACTTGGCATTAGAAATATCGCTATGATCCTGAGTTTCGTTTTCGTCAGACAGCAAAAGTCTTTTCTCTTGTTTCGAACTCAAATTTGATGGAGCTGAATTTTCGAAATTATAGAAACCACCTGGAGCAATGAACTCACAAGAGGGTTTTCGATTCGCTGTAACTGTTGTCATGTCCGCAGAGGTTCCAGAAGTAAAGTACGACTTAAGTTTAGAGAAGAGTTGGTACTTCTTTGAAAGAATGTTAGTATCACTGAAGACTATGCAATATACGCACTAGAAGAATCAACATACACCTCTTTTGGAAGCAACTATTGGCCGCGTGTATGGGGCCATAGAACTCCTAGCATTATAACCTTTTCTAGCATTGGACATCGCTCGTGTAATGCTTCTTAAATCTTGAAGAGTGGAAACTCGACGAAACTTCGAAAAAAAAATACCCATTACATTGATATACATCAAAAAGTAAAAAGGGGCGAGCTGGGAATTGAACCCAGGGCCTCTCGCATACTTGTGGTGTTGTAATCCGAGTTTTAGCTCGAACTTCGCCCAAAGCGAGAATCATACCACTAGACCACACGCCCTTGAATTGAAAGACTTAGAGGATACTTTATTTATATGTACCCAGAACAATAGGCTGCTAGGTGTCATGAAACAATAAGATCTTGAGGTACCTCGGAGATACCAAACTGAACCTCAAACATAAGTGAGGATCGATACAAGTTCCCAATCTATAGCTATAAATATTACGAAGCCCTGAGGATACGATGAGACTAAATAGGAGAGGAACAAGGCTAAGTAGAACTCATTTCATTAGTTTCAAGAACGTCATAACTAGTTACGACACTAGGCATTAAACAGAGGTGAGAACTTGGTGAATATTGAGATAATTGTTGAGATTCCATTTTTGATTAAGGCTGTAATAATTGGTATATGGTTATACTAGAAGTTCTCCTCATCTTTCTAAGAATCCAGAAAGAAGAGTTGATAATTCTACTTACAAATATTCTTACTCCTTCTGTTCCTTTTATACATTTTCATTCATTATCCTATTACATTATCAATCCTTGCGTTTCAGCTTCCACTAACTTCGATGACCGTTTCTCATTCTTTATGTCACTTATAACACCGTGTATGATAATATACTAGTAACACAAATACTAGTCGATGGTCGATAGTAGTATTTCGTTCCAACAAAGGACTCCTTAATTATCTACGATAACCATGAAAGTCAAGGGAAATCAGGAATGATGATGCACTATAGCCAGATGTCTATTACTAGAAGTATTATGAAGCGCCAAGCTTGATATGGCATCAAATAGAGAGAAAAAAGCATAAAACTTTATAGCAAAAAATGCTCATGGCTGAGCTAGCCGCTTGCCAAATTTAATATAATTAAGGCCCCCATAATTAGACATGATGTCTAGATTATAGTGCCTCGGCTGTAGACAGTTTGGTTCTGCGAGCAATTTCGACAAAAAATGACTGCATAATGTAAACTGCTATATAATGCTTAGATATTCAACACTCGAGGCAAGTCTTCACAATGAAGTATACTGGAAAAGGGCATGTATCCAACTCAGAAAGGTTGGGAAAGCCTAGACTACATAAATTTTTAATGCTGACGTTTTTGCAGGACATCGAATAAACTTCTCCGCTACAACTTTTCAGAAGACATTCACGAATTTAACACCCTAAAGGTGGTTACATGTTTGATAGATTAGTAAAGCAATTACCATTGACTGGTGTCGTTAGGTTGATATCGGACATCACGCTGACTCAGAAATCCATCCGAATCTCAAGACAAATAGAATAAATCCGGATGACCAATACTAAAATTGATACGGCTGTTATACGATTGGTTATTATCATTCTCATGAAAAAGCTTTAAACCAGTTATCGTTTGCAATTAAGCCTTCAAACTCTATTTCACAAACTATGCTTCTAGCCAAGCACCAACTGACAATAGATTCGATATCTGAAAAAGAGAGAACCTTACGACAGCGATATGCAAGCATCTTCCTGGTGATACCTGGATTAAATAGTATTTCTTTCAAGCTTAAAGCGACAACTTTCTTCCAGACGTCAGGCCGCACATTACCTTCGAGGTCAATCCACAGGTGCGAGCAAGGTTTGCCGATTGGTATTTGAACGTGGTCTAGCTTAACATCTTGGAATCTTTTCTTTGCGATGAATACCAATGGTGGCGTCAATGCGCCAACTTCGTACTTTCTTGTGGTGTAATGCATCGGAATTTCCTTCGTGAAAACGGGAATTTCCTGTATGTTTACAGTCAGAGTTTCTATCAAGTGAAGGAATACTACAGCTGCAGAATTAGAGATTTCGCCACTAATAAGGCAAGCTTTTCGATTGCTCAGTATCAAGACTAGTTTCTTATTGTACTCCATGGCATTATCAAATAAAGAAAAGTCACCTTTGGTACTTAAAAAGTCCAAGACGGTATCAGTTAGTTGCAATTTCGACATTCCAACTAAAGAAATTTGCCGTTCTTTTGCCATATCTAGCAAAACCTTATCAACTTCTTCTTTCTTGAATCTTTTGAGAGCTTCAATATCATCAAGTTTTAGTTCGGATCCAGGGCTTTCAATTAAAAGTGACCTTGCGACAGTTCTTATTTTGTCTTCCGTTACGACCTTCTCAGTTCTGTTGGCAGCAATTGTACTATAAGTGTACGCTTTCCTTAAGAGCCAATGCTCTCTCTGGACCATCGAAGACATGTCCAAACCATGTGCCTTAATGGGGGCTACGCTATCCCTTACAAAAGTGTACCTTTTGAAGTTCTCTTCGTAGTTTTTGAACAACTTGAACGGCTTTTGAATTTGCTGAGCTTCAAAATCATTCCAAATCTTGATTAGCTTGATTAAATTCGATTTTTCCACATCTTCTAGTGTCGCTTTCCCTTCCTTCATTGCCTCAACAATAATTTTCCTCCATTTTTCTAACTGAGCTTTCCAACCGCTGTGACCCATGCGAACTCTTCTGATAGTCCACTGTTTCTTCAAGTTCCCAACTGAATTGTTGGGGAAGATTTCCGACAGAGTTTCCCAAACTATTTGACCTTTGATACTCTTTATGATTACGACCGCCATGACCAGTGTACGCACTCCGTCTTTTGTTCCAATATTGAATGTATTCTGATTACTTTTCTTGCCTTTCTTCACGAGTGTTGATGAGTCTAGTCCCTCATTATTATCAAGCTTTTGTTTTGTCGAGAACTTTTCTGATACTTTCGAACGCCTCTTTGGACCCTCAATGTTAATACTTGCTTGATTATTTTGATCGTTGGTTTTTCTACTCTTATCTCTGGTCTTCTCGAATTTCTTGACTCTTTCTGCAGACTTCGTGCCACGATGAAATCTGTTACTCTCTGTTTGATCAAAAAAGTAAATGTCTGTATTTTGTATCACATCATTGAAATATGATTTCTTGCTGTCTTTTTCATCACTCAAGAAGTGAAGAACCTCTTCTCTTGTAATATGAGGTAGAGTTAAAAGACGTCTACCAGTTCCGCGGTCTATTTCCAGGCATACCTTCTTTGAACATACTAGACGCTCGACATCTCCTTTGATTGTTTTCTTATCTAAAAGTGTTTTTGAGCCCATCAGTTTTGTCACATCCATGAAAAGCTGATCTCTGAAGAAGCTTATTCCTCCGCAATTCTTAATTGTCTCCAAAATTGCACGTTGGCGCTGTAATGATTTCAAAGAGTTTGCTGAAAACCCGTCTATACTAAAGAGAGCATTATTCGAACTCAAACTGCTGGAATTTTCACTTGGATCCGAAGCTGAAGTATTTTGGGGATGGCTGATATTAGAAGCGCTGAGGTCATTTGATAAGGGTTCATCTTTTCGTACACGTTTTGGTATGCTCTTGACGCTCTCGAGGACATTTTTTCTCTTTCTTCCGCGGGGCGCTGCATTGCCGTTGGAAGGAACTTTCAACTCACCATTCCAAAAGAATTGATCTTCCCCGTTTTTATTAATAAATCTTAAAGTGTTACTGAGTGGAACAAAATTACTGCGGCTAATTTCATCCAAAGTTTTCTTTTGCTTACTTGGTGAGCTGAATGCCTCCTCCTTCTGTGGTGGCTCCAAACCAGACAAGCTTCTAAAGTTATATTCCGTAAAGAGGCGATAGAACTTTTTTTTACCTTCAAAATCGTACACCCTCACAAGACCATTCCCACTAGAATTTTTAGTTGGCTTACCAACGGTATCAACGTAATACTCGCTGCATTTCGTGAAAGATCGCTTGTAGTCCTGGCCGGTGATGAGATTAACGGCTTCCATCGTTGAAACACCGGTGGTTCCATACCTAGCCGCTAAGGCATAAGTTTGATTTTGCATGGGGAAAAATCTATTTAACAAGAATTCCTTCTTCTCTGATTCTGGAGCATCTTGTAGAATTAGATTCTGTTCTTGTAACAGGTGAGTCGCATTGAAACTATCCAAGCATTCGAAAGCCTCTTCTTCGTCACCATTCTTGTCGTCGTTAGCCGCCTGCCCACTCTCGTCGTCACCATCAGTATCATCTTCAAAGTCGTTGGTTGATTTTTCTTCTGGTACGTAATCTCTCAGATACTTTACGCATCTTATTTTTACTGAGGGGCTAGAAGGGGAAACAACCAATACCTTCTTTAAGTACGCTTTTTCATCTAGCCACGCAATTGCAGCAATAAACGACTTCGAAAGTCTCTTGTCCTTATCAAACTTTAATTCTCTCTTTAGATCAATCAGCTGTCGTACGCCGTTTTTCGAGTTTTTGACAATACTTACAATGGTGGATAAGTGGTCTCTCATGCCCACATATGAGTTCACGACAGCATTTTTATCGGCGAACTTATAGTATTTCAAGTGTTTTACCACATGTCCCTTAAAAATGATTTGTGTACCAGTTACGAGACTTCCGAGTTTCTTTATTCTGCCCGTTATGCTTCTGGGATCTTGCGATGTTTGTCTCGCTAATTCCATCGTATTAATGCCAATCTCTTTTGTTTTCGTAACTTCAAGTAGAAGCTCAAACGCCAGTCCACCTATTGAACATTCTTTCTTCCTGTATCCTGTTAATGTTGACCATAGTTTGTCTTCGGTGATACATATCTCAACTTCACCCGACATTTGAGATATTTCAGCATAATCCAAATCTAGAAGCCTTCTACTCTTGGCTTGAACGAAGATGTCAGGATATGATGATAAACAGGAAAAGACAAATCGTTTTATTTGGTCATCTGAGGTATCGACGTCCTTCTTAATTAACTCCCACAAAAGATCAAGGGATATTTCTGTAACTTCGTTAGTAACATCCGAGAGATAAGAACAATAATCTAATCACAACTTACTCCCCTTCTGATACGCGATTTCTTGACAAATTTTCTGTATTAATTCGTCAGGTGCTAAGGTTGACATGACGATCGATGATTATTTATTGTTCAAGTTTCTCTTCATAAAACTACCCTTGAAAGATTCGAATCAAGGAGCCTTTAACTCCAACGTCATGTGTGATCTAAAAATTTTTTACTCGTTAATTCCCGGTAGAACGCTCAAAGGTTCAAACAGCTCTTTGCGGAAAATGTCCAATAAAGGCAATGAAACAGATTCTGATGATGAATTGTATGTTGTCTGTCTGATTTAGCAAATGAAAGTCTAGCTTAAATTCAAATTTTTATCTGTTGAATTCAAATACTGACATTTTTGAAGAACTTTATCGTCAAATGCTCTCGCAGCACTACAAGAATTTCGACTAGAAGAACAACAACGACAAGAGGAATTTCAGCAACTCTTTAATGCCGCTGAAAAAGAACATGAAAGGAGAAAACAAGGAATCGATCTTTTCAAAGAAGATTGGCAACTATCCCAATTTTGGTACACGAACGAAACTGCTGACTTGCTAGCAGAGGCCCTATTGGATGGAGCCGACGAAGACACCGTTATTGCAATCGTGAGTGCACCTTCTGTATACGCTGCCTTGAAGAAGAAACCAGATGGCGAACTTCCAACGGAAAATATTTACTTATTTGAATTTGACAAAAGATTCGAGTTGCTTGCTGGCAAAGAGCATTTTCGGTTCTATGACTTCGCTGATCCGCTCAATTTCGATGAGACACTAAAGGGTAAGGTACATAGGCTTTTGATTGACCCACCTTTTTTAAATGAGCATTGTCAAACCAATTGTATGTTCACTCTTAATCATTACTGTCTTGCGTTTCGTGTCTTATACTAACAATCATATTTACAGCATCAATTACTGCCAAGGCGTTACTCGCTGAAAACCTTGAAAATGGGCTTGCTAGCAAAGAGAATCCCCAAAGCTGTCGTTTGGTATCTTGCACCGGTGAGAGAATGGCAGAAGTTATTTCAAAGGTATATCCTGGGACAAAAATCACAAGTTTTCTGCCTGAACATGCGAATGGTTTGAGCAATGAATTCAGGTGCTATGCAAATTTTGAGTGGAAGGGTTGGAAATTTTCCAGCTAACACAATTTTTTGAGAACGTTGGTGTGTATATTCCAATTTATCTGAACTTCTACAGCCATTAAGAATCTGTATTAGATTAGGTATCAATTTGTGTACTAAAATACTGTTCACATAATAAGTGCTCTTTCTTCATATAATCATCATAACGCACAAATGCTTTTAGGTGTTCGGAAAAAAGGAACACTCAAACAAATGTTTTAATAAAAAAGGTTTTGTAAAAAATTTATGGTTTTTTTAGGTAGTTTTTTAAATGTAATATAATAAAATATTTAAAAAATAATTTTTTAAAATGTTTTTTGAAAATTAAATTCAATACCATAATGAGCTTTTTTATTATTTTTGGAAGGCACGTGATATTATAACTACTAAATCGTTATTTATTTTTGTTTTTCAAGTTGTCCTTTATTTTTTTATTTTTCCTTTTGCTTCCCAAATCCCTTGTAACTTTAGGAATTTATACTTTAATAACCTTTCGTGACTTTAAGTATATACTTGGTTTTTTGTTGGTAGTATACACGGCGAACATTTTTTGAGTAGGTTTTGTCACAGCAATTATTTCTTTAAATTTTGAAGGACCTATTCTGCTAATTCAGTATCAAGAGTCGCTTCACTGTAAGTTTTGGTAGTGTCGATCAAACCTTGGTAAAAACTCGTTTATTACAGTCCGCGGTGTATGGGTTCACACCAATAAGTTATAAGTAGTTCAGAGATACAGCTTTTATCTTGTCATAATGGAAAGCAACGAGTATTCTTCAAATGTCTGAACTGAGGTCAGTTTTACTGGTAGGCGGTGCAGGATTCTTAGGTCTTCACCTTATTGAACAATTTCACAACATAAGCCCAAGGCCAGATATACATGTTTTTGACGTCAGGCCACTTCCAGAAAGAATATCAAAACAGTTTACTTTCGACCCATCCACGATTAAGGTTCATCAAGGGGACTTAACTTCTGAAGAAGACGTTGAAAGAGCTATTAAGGAGAGTAATGCCAATGTCCTTGTGCATTCCGCGTCACCAATGCATGGAAATAGTCAGGAGATTTATGAAAAGGTGAACGTCAAGGGTACAAGAAACCTCTTGAATGTATCCAAGAGACTCGGAATAGAAGCATTTGTTTATACTTCTTCTGCTGGTGTAATCTTCAACGGACATGATGTTCATAATGCAGACGAAACTTGGCCAATCCCAGAGATTCCAATGGATGGCTATAACGAGACCAAGGCCATTGCAGAAGAAATGGTTCTTGAAGCTAACGATCCATCTTCCAAGTTTTTTACGATTGCACTAAGACCAGCAGGTATTTTTGGACCTGGTGACAGGCAGCTCGTACCTGGGTTGAGAAGTGTGGCAAAACTGGGACAGTCTAAATTTCAACTGGGGGACAACAACAATCTCTTCGACTGGACATATGCCGGAAATGTCGCCGATGCTCATGTTCTTGCGGCCGAGAAGTTACTGAACCCTTCGACAGCTTCACAAGTATCTGGTGAAACGTTTTTTATTACGAATGATTCGCCCGCATATTTTTGGGCTCTAGCTCGTACTGTCTGGAAGGCCGATGGGCACATCGATAAACATACTATTGTTTTGAACAGACCGGTAGCAATTGTGGCGGGTTATTTATCTGAGTTTTTCTCAAAGTTAACTGGTAAAGAACCTGGTTTAACTCCTTTCAGAGTTAAGATCGTTTGTGCCTATCGGTATCATAACATAGCGAAAGCAAAACGTCTCTTGGGCTACAAACCTAGAGTTGATATTGAAGAGGGTATTCAAAAAACTTTAGCTTGGATGGATGAAGACATCTAAAAACTGCCAAATTCCCTCAAGCTTTGAGATTTAACGTCAATTATAGAGCAGCATCTCTGTAAGATGAGTATAGATAATATACACTTAACAGCGGTTAGCAAGCATTCAAGATCCATGCCAAAAGTGTATAAATCGAGAATATATATATCCTTTTATTAGTGAAGTATTTCATCTATCGTCATAATTAGTATCCAATAAAATTGAGTACTTAATTGTATGAATGTTACTCTAGCTCATTCACATATAAGACAAGAGAATACTCCCTTCTTTTGCCCTAAGTTTTCCATGCATTTGACGTGAAATCCATGGTGGCATTTGAACACTACCAGAGCGTAGGCTTCTTCCTGTTCATTTACGTCTTTCGTTTGTTGATTCTCCCTCGCTTTTTTCCACAATGTGAAAGCATCGGAATCTAAACCCATTCCCCAGGCGACTTTGCCACAAATCTCACATTCAGACTTTTGTATTGACCATCCTGAGTCCAATTCGCCATGGTATTTCGATACAAGATCCAATGAGGAGTCATTAATAATCTTGAGAATTTTATTTCGAAGATTCTCATCCAGTTGATAAGAGATAAAAATATCGTTGAGAACAGGTCTCATATCTTTAACTTTCATCAGAATCAGTTCCTGTTTTTCTAATGCCGCAGTTAAAACCCCCCCAAGATGCTGTTCTTCTCCCTTTTGATTCTTAGAAGGTGGCAATAAAGCTAATTTATGGAAGACAACCTGAAGCGAAGTACTGCAAACCTCCTTCATAAGTTCATTATCACCACCATAACTTACAATCAAGAAAACAAGAAGTTTGACCCAACATTCTACTTGTTCTTTTCGATCCGATTCTGCACAAATCTCAATAGCCAGATCAATGTAATTTTGAATGCCTGCTTTTGTTATTGGCGAGCAATTCACAAAGGTTTCATTGGTGAAAATAATGACTTCATCAATTGCCTTGGAGAAATTTCCAAGACGCTTTTGCACTGTAATTACACCTTCAAGGTCTTCGTGTTCTTTGAGAATGCAAAGTAGTTTCTCGACTTCAATAGTGTTAAGGTCCAAGGAACACAGCCATTGATGTAGTTCCTCAAAAAACCCGCTCTTGCACATCAACTTCACATATAAGTATTTCATTTCTTTATTTGAAACGCGAAGGCCATGATCTGCTTTGAAAAGCTCTTGGAGATACAACCTTTGCGTTGTTTCGCTTTTAAATTCCAAAACACCAGCGTGAAGGTCTTCGTGGAGACTTTCAATAAGATTAACAACCAGTTTTGTTTCTTCATGTGCAATCATTTCTAAATTTTCACGAATTACACTAACAGTTAATGACCTTTCGATAGAATCGTGGTTAGTTGCCCTGATACAAACATCTAGCACTTCATAAAGTGACAACGGATATGATTTAAGCTGCGGCGAATGAACACGTAGGTCTAGCATTTTTGAATATTGATTGGATTGCCGGTAAACTACAAATAGAGCACGATCAAATCCCCTTTCCTGTAGAAGACTTATAAACCTTTTTGAAATAGAAGGCTTGTGAACAGCAAAAAGTGATTCTAAGCTGCGTTGGGCTTCTCCTAGGAGGGAAGCGTCATCACAATCGCATACTAGTGTTATTAAATCGTTAAGCGTCTTATTTGAAAGCTTGACGTATTGCGGATACTTTGAAATGTTTCTCATGATGAATATAGCTATTAATACCTGATGCAAATTAATGCAGGATTCACGCAGAATGTCAGTTAAAATATCGATAATGTACTGCCTGTTGACTTTCATTGCAAAGGTTGGTTTATTCAAAGCAAATTCATCTGGAGTAGTATTTTCATCATCTAAAAATGGATCCTCTAGAATTTCATTTAATACAGATAGAAAGTTTCTAGGATTATACGCTAACAGAGCATTCATGTAGGGAAAAGCAGGTTCTTCAGAGCTTTTCATGCAGGTGTGAAGCTTGTGGTGCGATTCAAGAGGCCAATTAATTAGTGTGCCGCTGAAGAGAATGTAGTTTATTCTCAGCTTTATTTCATTTGCTTTTCCAATTGGCTCTATCAATTGACTTTTAGGATACTGCCTGCCTGTCAAGATGAAACAAAGGTAATCATAGATCTGTTCACCAGAGGATAGTGAAGCATCCCTGAAAAGAAGGCAATTTGCATCTTGACCTGTGATCTTGTAAAGCAAATCAATAAACGGTGTAATGTAATCGTCTAAAGCTGTATTCCAAACATAGAGGAGGGTTTCATGCATTTCAAACTTTTTGGAAAGCCTTACTGCCAAGTCAATATTAAGAAATTGTGGATTTAGAACAAGAACCAAACGCTCTATGGTATCTTTGTCTTTAACTTCGGCATAGTAAGTCAATACTTCTGTCAAAAGAACAGGTGGTAGCGATCTCACCCGTCCCTTGAAAATCTGATTTGAAAGAGCATCGAAGAAGAATTTCTTTTGACTCTGACTGAGCAGTTCAATGATTTCCTCCGCTAAAGAATCAGATTGATATTCACCATCAAGCAAAATGATATCCACCATGATTATCAAATTGAACAATTTGAAAAGCTCATTATCTGAATTTTCTTTTGGTCTGTCGGAATTAAGAAGGAAACGAATACTAGCCAACGATACATTCTTGAAAGGTTTTTCAAGCTGCTGCTTACGGATCGTGACGTCTTCTTGTAATCCCAATAGAGACGCTAGTGCTGTTTGAGTTGACACAAAAAACCCAATTGCTTCCAGAGCTTTCATATAATCCACACGTTGAACATAATGCAAGATAATATCAGACCAAGACACAAACTTGCCAATTCTCAAGGAATAATTTGTCAGCAGAAAGAGCTGTTTGTTCATACATGAAAAATGTTTGTTAACAGGTGGAAGTGGATCAAACGGTAAAAGATCGATATTGTTTATTATTTTGAATTCATCAATTGGACTAACGATCAGAAATTCGTTAGAGACTGTTAAAATACCAAGGAGATCGTTTAGAACCCACTCAACTCTCTTAATAGACTCGGGACATCTCCATGTCATCCTTTGCACAACTGTCAAAGTCTGCCCCATTCTGTCACTAGATAATCGCAGGATAGTAAGTGAACAATCTATTCCGTAAGCAACTCCACTGGTCTTAGAATTCCAGCTAATATGTCCCTCTTCTCCTTGGTACGTCACAACTTTCTCCAAATAGTGTGTCATCAATTGGCCACTTGTTGAAATCAAACCAAATGTACGATTGGAGAGAATACCAATTAGATGCAAATCTGAGAGCTTCGAGTCAGAGAGTGGGGGAGAAACCGAAATATCGAGAAGCTTAGCTTCGGACGATGAAAAATGCATAACTGGTTTGCTGTTATAAGACATCTGCCAGAGATGATTTCTGAATCCACTATGATAAAGGACCTTACCAGAGAAATCCCCCACCACAATTGCAGTATGCCTGTGGCCAACAAAACCGATTCCCACAATTTTTTCAGAACAATGCTCTGTAATATGCAAAATAGATGCAACTTTTTGAGATTGATCCGAATTATCGCTATCAACTATGTTCCGATTAAGATCCCAAATTGCAACATCCCCAGATTTGTAGCTTGCTGCAATATGTGTCCCATCGAATGAAGTACAAATTTGAGTAACTTCAGATCGAAGATCAATTTCTGGCACTATTAGCGTTGTCTGTAGGAACTGTTTGTAATTGAAAATTAAAATCGATCCTCTAGAAGTTCCCAATGCAAAGTAAGATTGAGCTGGGTAGATATAGGTTGGCCCACCATGTGCACTTAGACTGGGGTAAACTTGTTGCAATGAGACCCAGTTGATGGGTTCCACATGAATATTTGAGGTGATATCAAACGGGTTGAAGCCCGTCAAAGGACAAAAGAGCTCATGCTCCGAAGAATCCTCGGATATTATATCACCAAGCCTACTATGAGATCTCTGATCGAGAAAGCTTGGTCCGTCGAGGGAATGCGTCGACATTTTGTAGGATTAGCGGTAATCGGCTGTTTTCTCGACAAAAAATGATATTAGTTTAAAGAAAACTGAGAAACCGAGATGTGAAGATTAGGGGAGTTACACACGTAAAATAACACTACATAAAGAAAATATAAAATCTGAGCATAATTTCAGGTGCTTACAACTTTGACATGGCGGCAACATCAGTAGATTGAACATGATCTTCATCTTCTTCGATGGCCTGTTGCAAGTCGTCAATAGAAACCTTAGCGTCTTCAACGACAAGGTTGATTTGTAGCTTCTTGATACCGAAACCAATTGGAATCCATTGGTGAGCACCCCAGCTCAAACCTTCCATTTCAATAGACTTGACATTAGCAAGCAATTCCTCTAGGTCGGTTTCGTCATCCCATGGCTTAACGTCCATGGTAACGATAGACTTAGCAGCTGGCTTTGGCTTGGCAGCCTTCTTAGCGTTGTATTCAGCCAATCTCTTGGCCTTCAACTTTTCAGCTTCTTCGTCGACTTCGTCATCATCAGAACCGAACAAGTCGACCTCATCATCGTCATCTTCTTCAGCAGGAGCAGCAGCAGAACCGGTAGCAGCTGGCAAAGTGCTGAATTCGCCGGCCTTGGTGGCAATGTGGTTGAACCATCTCGAGAATTCAGGGTAAGATTCCTGGAAGGCCTTGTACACGGCAACATCAGCTTGAGAAGCAGCAGTGCTGTGGAAATGTTAGTAAAATATCGACAATACTAAAAGCAACATAACCATTTTTTTATCCTTGATGTCAGTGTTGTATTTCGGTAAATACGTCTCTTTGTCACTCATTCCGGGGGTCTTACTTCCCGTCATAAACACGGACCAAAGAATTAGATCATCATTCTCAAGGATTTAAAACGATAAAAACCAGTTGCTCTTTGTATGATAGATAACATACCCTTCAATGTAGGACTTGTCAGCCAAGAAGGTGTTCAATTCCTTCAAGGTTTCAATCTTAGAAAAATCAGAAAAGGACATCGTTTTGCTAGAGTCAATAGATTCTCTTACATTTTGAAATGAAGTGTGAAATGGTAAGAAAATTTTTTCCACGCCAAATAATAAAAGTAGATGCCAGCGGAAAATTTTTCAGTCAAGAAATCTTCACGTACGATATGTGCCCATAACATTTGAAGTTAGGGCTCAGCTGCTCTAATCAACAAGCAATTCTTTCATTGAGCGGACGGTGGAGGCTGAAAAGATTCTGTTTAGAAAGCAATCTGACTATCTCACGATGTTTCGGTAATGTCTTAAAGCAATTGAAAATTTTATGTAGTTTGGTAGCGCTCTCTTGTTTCGTGTAAATACTAGTGTATCCGACCACGTGGTTGATTTCACTAGGGAAAGTCTATGAATAAGCAAAGAAAAAGCATAAGAATTCGACTGGGCTTGAATGAAGGAACGAGCCAGCTGTTTTGATTTGATTTACTGAAATTACGCTTGGAATTTACGATATCATTTTGAGATCGTGGAGCTCACAAGTGTTTCAATTTTCTATTGAGGCGGTGGCAGCAGACTCTAATTATAGTTATATACGAATCTTTGACCTAAAGGAAATTGGAACTGACTTTCTACAACGTACAGACAAGACAGTAAATAATCAATTTGGGAAAATCAGTAATGCCGCAGCAGCTACTACCCCAGGCATACCTTACAAACTTTCACAACAGAATAAGGAGTGATGATGTGGCATTCTTTATTACGGCACAGCCATCTAGAGGGCATAAACGAGCCAAAGTTGTGAATTATGCAGAATTCGAGACAGACCTCTTAGAAGAATTCGCCGAGGAAGACGGAAAAGAGAATAACGATCAAGAGGAAGAAAATGGTAAGCCAACACCATCAGCTGAAGAGTTAGCTAACGAAAATGCGCTTCCAGATCTGGAACACCAGGATGACCCAACTAACATTCTAAAATACCCGAGAATAAGAGAGACTTTTTTGCAAAGCAGAATAGCGTCTCCTTACAGATTGGACTTGAAAACTCAGCCTGGAAATCAATCAGCTGCCATCATGATACCAATTCGTCTAAATCTTGAACATAATGGCCATAAAATTATTGACTTTTTTACCTGGAACTTAAATGACCGTACGATTACGCCAGATCAGTTCGCTACAATTTACTGCCAAGATTTGGATTTTCCAGTAACCTCTGCAGTTCACAGCCAGATCGTATCTGCTATCAATGAGCAGCTTCAGGAGTACGCTACCTTGGCATCCATGGTGGTGCCCGATCTCCATGTAATTGTCAATTTAACTTGTAACTTGGATTCCAAGCTGTACGAGGATAATTTTGAATGGGATTTAAATGATAGCACTCTCACTCCCGAGCAATTTGCCTCAATTGTGGTTCAGGACTTGGGATTGATGAGGGAATTCACTCCAGCTATCGCTCATGCTCTCCACGAATCTTTACTCAGAATAAAGAAAGACTGGATTGAGGGTCACTTGAGTCCAGATCAGGTTATGAATGGGGCGGCATTCGGATATATATCTGGTGTGAGACTAGATATCGATTCTCTAGGTGCAGAATGGTGTCCTAAAGTAGAGGTTCTGTCGCAGTGGGAGATTGAAAAACGTGAAATTGAAAAAGAGAGAAATATGAGAAGATTAAAGAGAGAAAGCGCCAAGGTAGAGGATAGAATTTCTAGAAGGCGCGGTAAGAGACGGATGGATGACTTAGAAACAACGATGAGAATATGAAAAACTGGATTGCATTTGTAACAATTGTTCGCATGTAGTAAAATACGAACTAGTATATATCGCGTTTAAAACAACTCGAAACCAAGGAACCGGAAGAAGAATCATGCAAGTAGTACAATCAGAACAAATCCTCAATGATTATTTATCCAAAGGTCTTGTCACTCATCTCATGACCGCCTCAGAGTTCGAAAAGTTTCTTTCAAACTTAGAAATAAACTTGGACAGAGAAGATATTAGTAACACTTATAACTTACTGCAAGAACGCGACCATAAGATTTGCGAGGAAAAACTTCACAGGATCCAAGAGTTTTTTCAGCGAACCAGAAGAATATCAAGAAATGAATTCGAAGCTATTCAGCTCGACGAAACAATTTCAATGGAAAGATTAGTTAACTCCCTTTACGCAGCCAATCAAGTGTTTGATGAAGAGATATCAAGACTAGATTCAGAAATTAAGGTGCAAAATGAGCGATCCACGTCACTTGTAAGTTTTCTTCATTCGAATGCTGAAGATAAGACTACGAGCTTCTCATTTGCTCAGTTGACTATACTTTTGAAAAAAATGAAGGACATTGGGCAATCTGTCGAAGAGATATCTTAGCAACATGTATGTGGATCTATATGAGGTACTATAAACTCATTACCAGTCCATTGAAAAACTTCGTAGCTTGAGTTGAGATTGCGATTATTATGCATGCAGTATCCGTCACCACTGGCAGGAGTCAGACACCCTGTACATGCCATCGACTTCAAAAAAATGCATCTCTTGATGCGTGAATGGATTAAAGCCATTGCACACATGGAACAAGGTTCATGGGATGTGTAAACATCAAAGTCTAAGCATAAGTAAGTATCGGGGTCATCGCTTTGAGTAGGATCTTCCGTCCCACAATCCCTCCTCTGCTGCTCCTGTCTGGCAACTTCTTTGATACCAAGCATTATGCTATGATCTAGAGGAGATCCTTGGTGTCTGCCATCCACTGTGTAAATAACTCTTTTATTCAGCGGATTTACGAACGCGCTTACAGCTGGCGTTATGAGTGGATCTTTCTCATGCTGGGCGGCAGTGAGTTCACTGATTCGCTGCAATATTCTTTTTATCAGGCCCATATCAAATACATAATCATTTAAAATTTGATCATTTGGATTACCCCTCCAAACCAGCGGCCAATACTTCTCACTCCACTCGCTACTTAACTCTTTAGTGGAAGGGCCCAAACGAGGTACCTGAAACCTACCGCTTGTATTTTCATATTCAAACTCAGCATCTTTCAACAACCTCAGAAAATCTTCCTCGGTCTGTAACATCTCATGCGAGCATATAATCGCTGTCAATCCTGAGTGTGAGTTCTTTCTAATCCTTTTAATATGCTGAAAAGATACAGGTTCGTCAGCTTGGATGTCTTTAATGAAACTGCACAAGGTTAGTAATTTCGTAATGACTAGACATTCAAACAAAAAAAACATACTTAATAAGTGAGTGACTATCCCGTGGATCAATATCAACTGTCCATACATTTACTTGATCAATAGAACGTTAGTATTCCTTACGAAAAATGAAATATGAGGCTAACATACCAAGGTCAGGGTGATCTGCGAAAGTTGTATTCCGCACCTGCTGGAGGCGATTTTCAATTAAGCATTTCCTGTAATCAATTGTTAGTGGATTTTGCTTCTTTTTTACCATGATTGACAGGAAAGAACGTTTAGCATATAATGGCTTTTGTTTATTACTTGCTTTTTTTTAAACGTCCAGAAGTTGCATTGAGCAGGTAAAAAAGAACAATGCCAGAAGATGGACAAGATGATAACATTCGGTGAGTTCATTGAACTTCGGCTCAATTCGAACGATAGAGAAAACAAGTATGATCGATTCCTTAGCGCAGCTCACGCCGTTGGAGTACAAGATGTTAAGGAGCAGTTGCTGTCACATTTCATAATCCCAAATTCAAACCGCCTCAAAGTACCCGCGGGTCTCTCAGATTCCCATAGCGCAATAATAGATGAATGCATAGTTTTTCTCGTTGAAAATAGGCTTCTGGAAAATGTCTTGACTCATGGGTATAGAGTTGCGGGAAACCACGCTGTGAGTACCGGTCTTCATTGCTGCTTTACAAACTTAAACGTCACCATACTCAAATGCGGGTTTTGGAGACTAGTACACGAGTACATTGGCACCGATCGCTTCACTGATATTTTGATCAATCATTCTGTATTCCAGTATAATGGACGTTATTTTAGACAAATAATCGGAAACAAGATGAATGATCCGCATGTGCCGATAACCTGGAATCCAAAAGTAACCAATGAGCCAATTACGTCCAACTTCGCAAGTCATTTTTATGTCAAAAATTCAAGGTTCCTCTACAGGTCAGCAGGAGATTTTGATCTTTACCAGGTAATTCCCTCGAATGTTCAAAAACTCTTAGACGACATGTTCGGAGAACTTCAGATTGATTCGCAGATCAGCCCAAGAAGACAAAATAAAATGAAGGGGCCACTTTTTTCAATAATTCAAAATCATAGAAGAATCCGATATAATCATATTTTTAACTCAACTTGCCCAAGAACACATACTGCCTCTAGCCTTCATTCTGATTTTGGAACAAGTTTTAAAGATGTAATGAAATTTATGGTTGTCATTGTTGAAAAACTATTCCCTTCAACGCTTTTTGGCTCGAAAAGAAACAAATCCAGAATACTATCCGGCATTGCAACAATTCTAAAACTAAAGTTAGGAGAACGTTTGCCATTCCTTCATTTTATGAAAGGTTTAAAATTACACGACTTTAGATGGTTGGGTTTGGGGGAAGGGAAGCTCGATTTAGAGGAAGAAACGTTTCGTCTTTTTTTGTTACAGATGTTTGTCAAATGGTTTTATGTCAAGTTTTTGCCGCGTCTACTTTCTGTGTTTTTCTATTGTACTGAGGTATCTTCTACTGTGAATATAGTATACTTCAGGCATGACACCTGGAGAACCCTTTGTACCCCATTTTTGAGCAAGTATTTCAAATCTACTTTAAGAGAGAACACCATTTGCAGGGCTCACAACAGTTACAAGCTATCAAAATTCAATCATGGTGACCTTCGCATAATCCCGAAAAGATTGAAGGGAGACTTTCGGATCATTTTTGTACCTTTCAAAGGATGTGATCAAGAAGATACTACTGAATATAGAGACAACGAGTGGAACGTGTTGAAACCTACTATCGGCATTCTCAATCAGGTCAGAGCGGAGAGGAAGACTACAAGCAAAAAAGTTCTCTCTTCAGCCAAAATCCCGCTTCTTATCAGGGACTTCAAATCAATGGTTTTGAAGAAACATGGAGTATTGCCTAAGTTTTTTTACATAAAGTTTGACATTGCCTCTTGCTATGAATCAATACCTACAGAAAAGGCGTTGTCGGTAATTCTAAAAGCATTCAAAAATAATGAGGCGTTTTATGCGAGGAATCAGATACTGTACGATACCAAAAAAAAGGCTCTGAAAAGAATACTCGCAGTAAACGGAAGGAACGCCCTTAAACCAGATAACATCTTGATTGATAATGTCAGAACTGCTGTGTTGACCAAAGAAGATCTTTTAAAAGTACTGAAAACCGACGTTAGCAACACTGCCATTCGTTTCAACAAGCGATGCTATCTAAGGAAAACAGGCTTATTCCAAGGTGCTAGTATGTCCGCCACTATAGTCGATTTCATGTATGATGATTTACTGGAGTTCTATGATGCTTTTAAGGCACCACTTGGTACGGAATGCCTTGTTCTTCGTCTCGCTGATGACTTCATGGTTATAACAACTAGTGAAAATCAATTTCAAGAGATCACAAAATTGGTATTGGAAGGTTTCAAGGAATATAGTGCCAAAGCTAATCGTGATAAAATAGTCGTTGGCACGACACAGGGTGTCTCCAGCATTGTACATTTTTGTGGGCTTGATATCGATGTTAATTCCTTAGAGGTTTGCAAGAGTCTGGATGATCTCAATATTTTGCGCATTCACACCACATCCTCGAAAGAACTATACGCAAAAATGAAAGCTCTTTTTGAAATGAGAATGTCATATAACTTGGTGCGCACAGATCTTAACTCATGGTGCACTGTTCTTAAGAATATTGAAAGTATTTCTTCCAATATTGCTACATCAATAACACATGGCTTCGCAGGAGATGAAATTGGTCCAGAAGGATTTATGTATTTTATTGATCACGTAATATGCTCCATCATATCACAACTCAAGACCTATAAACTAAGCCCCAAACAAATGGATGTGATAAAAGCCACAATACTAAGTACCTTTTGGGAACGTCTGCGTAGAAAACATCACAAATTCAAAATTATCATCGATGGCTTGACAAAAAAAATGGGAGAGTAGATTCATCTACTAAAAAATTAGATCAAGTAAGGATAAAATCGTATTTAGTTTATACCAAACGTGGCGCGCATGTTGTCTTCGTCCTTTTGCTTTCGTATTCTCTCGATTTCCTCAATACCTCCTGCTTTTTTAAAACTGCCATTCTCCACAAATGAGCCCAACTCTTCTTCAAACTCATCACTGTCTTTGTAGTCTCTTTCCTTTTGTCTTAACTTTTCAGCTCTTTCTATGGCTTCGAGACGTCCATCATGGTCAGGATTCAAGGACTCCACTTCCATTAATACTGCATCTCTTATTTGGCCGAACGTCCCTGGTTTTGCGAGTGGAATAATAGGGTTCGATCTATTTTTTTTCGGATTTTTTTCTTGCTCTTCACAGCATAATTTCACCAATTCAAACGTCTCCAAAACTTTGTCTAAATCTTGCTTGAAGTCAAAGGCAAGATCTTCTTGTAATGTTAGAAACTGCTGTTCTTCACAAACCTTATCAAGCTCACTCTCCCAAATTTTCTTCCAATTTGGCTTCTCAATTGTAATATAGTCTTCCATTTTTGACAAATCAGTCAGAGCATCTTGTAGCTCCGTGCTCAGAGTCTCTAACTTCTTTTTTGTGGGTTTCGAACCTCTCTCTGCAACATCTTTTCTCAAAGCCTCAATTATATCCTGCAAATCATCAACTTTGCTTAATAGGGCATCTGAAATCTCAGATAGTTTAGTATGCGATTTTTCCATATAGGTTCTATTTGCAGTGGTAGACGAGTGAAAAGACAAGGATTTAAAGGTTTTGATTTTCTCCAAGATGCTTGAAATGTTTTCCTCTAAACTCTTCCTGTTGGTCCTTTGTAATTGATAAAGAACCGATAACTCGTGTTTAATATCATGTAGTTCCTCTGAAGACCTGAAATCAGTTGAGTTGAAACTCTTTTGGACGTTTGTAGAGCTCCCAGAAAGCTGAAGATTACGAATCTGGGAGATGATAGCACTATTTCTTGTCGTTAGATCGTCTTTCAATTTCTCAAACGCTTGAAGGACAGCTTGATTGCTGATGTCTGCATTTGAACTTTCAGAATGCAATTGGATGATTGACTTTTCTTGAATATATGGCAAATGACTTTCTTCAAGCTCATACGGTATCTGCTCGCCTGGGTCTTGGATATATATATCCGGGAATACTTCAGTACCGGGGGAGTAGGTAAATTTTTCCACAAATAGAAGACGCAAGCTGTTAAAGGTAAGCGGTAAGGTTACAAGACACTTCTTAACTCTACCCTGTAATTTTAGATACAAAACAATTTCTGTATCATGCGACTTACTTGCATCCAGTTTGCTGCTCTCTGAACTAATGCTAGTATTCGGATTGTTTGAAATCGAAGGAATTTTAGGTAAGATATCTGTTTCAAAGGTTTCTGTGTCATCAATGACAGGTGTACGAGCATCCGAGGGGAACTGTCCTGCTAACTTTGCCATGTGATAGGCAGAAAACCTCTTAGAAGCCCTTCTTTGAAGCGTATTACCTTTTTTCAATTGCATCAAAGCATCATTAGTTTCATTTCTTTGCTTTGGCACACTTAGTTGATGGTTGTTTTGAGATTTTGTGGGTGTGCTGGTAGCTGCAGGCTTTCGTTCAGACGACGCTGATGGCACAACAGGGATTATGTCACTTTCCTTGCTACGAGACTGTTCCAATGGGGCAGGATTCTGTCCAAGTGAAGATGTGGAACTGACATTTGATGTGCTAGCTTTTCGCTGATCTAGCTTTAATCCCTTTAGCATCGCCTGTTTAACCTTCAGTTTATCAAGCAAAGTGACTATGATTTCACGAATCCTGGGTAGGTATTTGTCCAAAGTTTCCTCTGATGGTGATTCTCGTAATGCCACTTCTAATACACGCCGCAAGTCTAAAGGAACATCGCCAAGGTCTGACACGTCCAAACCTGAATGTAAAAACTGCTTTGAGACAATCTTGAAGTCATTTCCAAGTTGTACGTAGGCGTCTGAAACACTTTTCTCACTTGCTTGACTCTTGGACCACTGTGTAAGCTTTTGCAGTAAATGTTTTGTTGACATCAGCAGCTTTGTTACACTACTTTCCACGCTGGAAATTGTTCTGGAAGATCTCGCAGAAGAGGTTCTTCTTGCACCAGGGATACTTCCAGGAACTGAAGACATGTTGCCGTACAATTTTCGATCTTTATCTCTTGAGTGGTAATTTCATTCGTATTTAGGTTTTCAAGAGAAAAAAGTTAGGGAACCATTTCATCATATGTGGTATGGATGATATTCACGATAGAGATCGCATACCAGATTCAGAAGGCGACGAAAGTGATATCGTATTTTGGAATCCATATGCATGCGGCTTTTCAAAGGGGGCACCTTCAAACACGCTTCGTACTTCGACTGCGGGTCAGTCATCCTACGCGACAGATACGCAGCTTTCACTGACTTCACCACCTTCAGAAGTCTCTGCAATTCAAAGTGGAACTACTCACAATCAAAGATCACTGAGGAAAAGGACTGCAATCCAAAAGATGCCTTATAGTTTGGACAGAATTAGACATAAGCAGTTACTCCAAGGTTTTGACGTATCTAACTTCAACACCATATCTAATGACATCGAGCTGCCGGCCAGCCCTACACTAGATAGTTTTGGTGACAAAATACGGCAAAACTCGTGTCATGACAACGGCGATATGACCGAAGGAGTCTGTGCTGATGACTCTTCTTCAAGCGAGCATATCGAACATTCTCGACACGACGAGTATTCTCAGGATCACTCTGATGTGAGATATCTGCCGAAACTTACCCTGGATCATGAAGTTGATTCAACTCCAAATAAAATATTATTCAGAGGTAAACTGGTTGATATTAAGACTGGATATCGTGGAGTTCTGCCGCGCATTATGTGGGAGAAGGCTATAAAGACGTCGTCCACTGAGCCAAGGACTAGGCGAACTCAAAAATCGAACACAACAAAAGGAATAGCGAAAAGGAAAACGTCTTCTGGTAATCGAAAACAAGACACAGAGTTACTTGATCAATTAATTGCCTCAGATGATGACTTGCAGGGAGATACATTCAACTACAATTATAGGCATGATAAACAAGATACCCTGAATTTACAACATATAACAGAGTACCTTGATAAGCGGTATTCTGACACATATCTCTTCGATCAGTTATCAGACGTAGAAAATAATTACTCTGAAAAGGCGGAAGCGGGCGACTTTATGTTGGGAGATGATTTCAAAGGGCCGACTGATTATTTGCTGACAAATTATATAAGCAGCGCTCAAGATGATGGTTTGTTCCAATCTGATTCAAACGAATCAGGAAGGGACGCGAGAGAGGATAATCATAGTACGATTGACGCAATGCTGCTCAAAACAACACCACGGAAATTGAATTCAAGGCAAAAAACTATAGAGCCATCTCAAAAATATTCGAGACAGGAACGCCAGGTAACCCGATTTCCAAAAATATCAAAGAAGTCAATTAGAAAAGACTATTTTAGCAACAAACACCTTTCTCGCCTAAAAAATGAACGTACACCCAATTTCAGTTCCCCAGTTCAAAGAAATCATCGAAGAAATCAGATATTAGATGACAAAGGGTTCGATTCCATCGAATCTCAACCAACGATTCAGACACAACTGAAGCCAAAGGACTCAAGCGGAAATGTAAAAGATAATATCGATGAAAGAACATCACAAAACAATCTGATAACAAGGAAACCCTTTATTAGCAGTCATCATGAGATCGCCCGACGGCCTCGAACCTTTACTACTGTCGTAGAGGATGTAGGCCACCAACTCGTCTTAAGAAGGACCAAGACTCCTAGCGGGTCATTAATGAGAGAAGGCCTCACGGGAGCCGAGAAAGAAAAAGATGTATTCGAGAGTTTTTATGCGGAGGCATTTGATGCGTATATATTTGGAAGATCAATACAATCCCCAGATACCATCAAGATCACTATTTCAAAAGAGCAGTTTGTTCTTTCGAAATTTGCATCTGATGTCGAAATTGGCATCAAAAACGTGTTGAATCACATTGTTTTCATGGGGGCATCGGATATGGAATTATTGACCGGATCGAGGTCTCTTGTCGAATTCCTAAATCTTTTAAATAAACCAGAATTATGGGAGACAATAGATGACTATCACAAGAATTTCAGAGCAAGGGTAAACTCACTTCGAGAACGGGCGAAACCTATTCATTTTCACCAGATTGCAGTCTGTCAAGTCATGTTACTTCAGATATCAAACTATTCGACATGTGCACCATACCTTAAACAAGAGATCGAAAGAAAGATACTTGATCATACCGTATCTTTTTTCAAGCTTCTCTCTAAGTGCTACGATTTAGTCTCAAAAAACAATGACCGACTCTTAGTCGAAGGGATTCACATCCTTTCAGCAATTTTAATTCATTTGAGACAAACGTCAGCGTTTCACGAACGCATTTTGAACCTTTCATTCCCACCTAGGGTAGCGTTATTATTGAATAATTATTTCTTAGAGGGAAAAGATGATTGGAATTTGGTCCAGCCCAGAAACGACTATGAGGACGCTTCGCATTGGGTAAGTTTCATCAAGGATGCTACTACTGTTCATAAGTGGACGGTAAATGATCAACTTGTGACGAACATTTATGAGTACTACAAGAAAAGGAAGTTTCAAGATTTTGAAGAAGAGGAAAGTTCCAATAGTTTGCCCCAAATAATGAATGTGAAGGATATGAAATTACCTGAAACTTCAATATTTAATTGGTTTTTGTGCATACTACATACAACTGATCTTTCCAGTTCTGCAATTGAAAAAATGACGCCACTGAGCAGGATAAATAAGCTAGATTCCCCGTCTCTTTTGGCAAATAGAATTAACTTGTTGCTGGTTTTATCCTCTAAAACTGGTGCTAGTTTTGAAAAAAACTTTGATGAACTTTTCGCTCCATATTTTGAAGATGCAGAACGTATGCTCATTTCAGAGCCTATTCTCGAATGCATGTTTAAAGGGTTTATTGCTTTACTTGAGCTTAATTCTTATAAAAATTTGACATCCAAAGGAAGATGTATGCTATCGTTCTGGAAATTTGCTCAACGGTCCAATTCAACACGCATCGATAATAAATGGAATATGCTTCTAGAATACGTCATCTCTATCTTCCCCCATCTGCAGAAATCAAAAAGCACTCTTCTGAGAACTTTTCATCCAATATTGTACTCTATCTTGAAAGATAAGCGGCGAATCAAATCGGGGCTACAACTGCTCAATTTGTATGTTGAAAATCTTCACATCCTGGGAATACCTTGGGTACAGAGTCATTTGCACCAAATAATCTCAGTTTCGGCCTGTGATAACGTCGAGCTGTTGAATTTATACTGTATGATAACGCAGTTCTTGGCGGACGGGAAAGCAATTACGTGGTGGTCAGTATTGAACTACATCAACATCAATAAAAATGACCCCATATGTCTATCTTTTTACACAATGGTTGTCACACATTGTGACAAGTCATCTTTTCAGCAAATCAAGCATATGCTCTTCGAAACAGCCGTTGATCTATTACTGGACCACAACAATGCCTCGCTTCGTAACTATCTCATTGCCTTGTCTAAGCGAGACGACAAATTTTCAGTTAATTTTTATGGAGCATCATCTGTTGGTCATTTTGAAACAATCACTAAATCATTAGTTGGATTTCATAAAGCTTCGTATGACGATCTTATCGAGATTTGCATAGCTAATATTAAAACTGCATATTCCCTACATCCGCACAAGCGACAGCTCTATCAAGAGATTATTGCATTTATTAATTCAAACTTCGTCGATAAGGTCAAGAAAAACCACGACTTTCTCTATCTCAAAAGGCAATTCGAAATATCGGATGAAGAGACAGATAAAAGCATCTTTCGTGATCTGCTCAAGTCCCTCGGTGATGATAGTATGAGAGCAGTCTTCATTCAGGAAGAAATAATGCGGTCAAACAGAAACAACGAGAATTCTGAATTATTCATCGAAAAATTGAGCTCTTCTTTAGGAACAGGAACCTTCAATAATGATTTCGAATTTTTCACCAAGATGATCGAAGCTAACACTGTTATTAACGCAAATAATCAAACTTCACTTCAATGGCTTGTCCTAGCAACATTAATAAAGATCATAAATCGAGCCCTAGCAAAAAGGTACTATCAGGTGACTTCCTCTGAGTTCTACGAAATTTGCAAATTGCATAGGCTGATCTGTCATTGCTATTGCGTCCGTGTGATACGCAACTCTTCCGATTGTAATCAACTATCCTTTTTCAAAGAAGCTTGCAATTTACAAATTTGGACACTCAAAATGTCCCGTGGTTTTTTGGAGCATTCGTTACTAATGGACTTTACAGGTGAGTTTCTTTCGTACGATGGCTCGTCGTTCAAATCAAAGCTGAATTATTCCTTTATTCGCCCAATAGCAGTGTTTCTCGAAGAAAATAAATCGTATCACGTCTATCGGAGCATAGATAATGATAGAGTGGCACAGTTTTTGCGTGACCAAATTGAGCATTTGACCCTAAAGCTATCTCGCCATGAATAAAGCTGAAAGACGAAATACAAATCCACTGGAAATTGCCTAAGTACATAATATATCGCGCACTGCATCTGTATTAAATAAGTAATTCCCCATTTATTTATTTAGTGATGGATTTTTCTGCCTCTAATTTGTCAAGTTGCTTTTTCAGATCCAGAAGTATTGCTATCCTTTTGAGCAACTGTTCTTGCCTATGAACAACTATAAAGGTTGGCATTGCTGGTCTAATAGGGAGTTCTAGTTCTTGAAGGGTTGCTTGGACCTTATTCTGAACTGCTGGTTTGAATGTCGATATTTTTGCAGACCTTAGGAAAACACCTGGAGATAATTTTTCGCCATGAGCAATGACCCCTAAAGCCTTTCTTTCTTCAGGTGTAAACCTTTTCAATAGTTGTTCCGCATATTCGCTATCAGCCTTTCGCTTTATAGCAATTTGCATCTCTTGTTTCTGCTTCTTTGTCTTTTTGTTCAAAGCTGAATTTTGAATTTCTCCTTTCACTTCCAATGGTTGCGGTTGTTGAAGGTCTATTTGCTGCTGGCGTTGCTGTTGTTGTTGCTGCTGCTGCATCTGGTGCCGCTGCTGAGCAAACTGCTGCTGTTGCTTCATCCATGGGTTTTCTGGAATTACTGAATCATGTTTGCGCTTCCTAGACTTATCCATCAATAGGCTATTATAGAGCTGAGACATGCCCTGGGATGTAAGATATTGGGAAATCGACTTTTCAGAATTTGGAGAATCTAATAAGCGAAGCAAAGATTCTCTTTCGTTGAGCGTTTTTTTAGCCGCCATTTCAAACTTTTTCGATTCAATTATCAACGCTTCCTCTTCTGCAATCTCTGCAGCCGAGCGAGATAGAAGTCTTGATAGATATTTCTTTCTCTCGACTTCCTTCTCAGTAGGAAAATTAAGAGATGAAATAAGAGGATTATCAGGCTCTTTTGCCAAAAAATACTGCTGACAGACTTTATAAAAAGTTTCTTTAATGTTCTCCAAAGATCGTACCTGCTTGCTATTGAATCGATCTTGAATAATAAACCATCGGAGATCGTACTTTCGACATAAATCAAACAAATGCTCGACCTCTTCAAAGGTCCATTGCAATGGATCTTCCCCTATGGTATCCTCTTTATTCATAAATGATTCAAATTCCTCCTTCGTGAAAGAGGGTATTGTAAGCTTCTTGTTATACTTATCAAAGGCACTCTGCTGGAGCTGCCCTGACACCAGCTCTTTAGATCCCTTTACCCAGTGACGAAGCTTTAGTGATGGAGTTGCTTGGAATTCCGTGTAAGTCCAAGGAGATGGCTTTGATAATGCATTGATTTTATCTTTAAACTTGTTTGCTTTCTCTGCCACCACGGGCGGGGTGTTATCGCCCAGTAAATTATACAACTCCCTTTGGATACCTGTTACCTGCGGCTTTGAAGTACGTGGCACACCTGGGGTGCCTGAGTTGGAAGGGGGCGAACTCGATTTGGGGTGTTGAATATTTAAAACATCGAAAATGTCAGATGATGACATCCTTGTATATTTCTTCTCTAGATGGCTTTCAATGCTACGTGAATTCTTGAATATTTTTCATGTATGAAAATATTATCGTGAATCGTGATGTATTGGTTTTTAAGGTCGCATGCGGGAAAGCTCAAGAATATGTATCGTTAGTCTAACAAAGAGTAATGTTTAAAATCAAGATAAGATCCCCCAGTTCATTCGGAGCTGGAGGGTTCGAGAATTTTGAGGAATCGTGGAAGAAGTTAGAGAGCGCCATAGAGCTTATATATGAAGGAAAAGCAAGCAAATTATCATTCGAAGAACTGTATGGCACAGTTTATAGGACAGTTTTGAGAAAAAATAGCAGTGAACTTTACGACAGAGTAAAAAGTGCTATACATTTAAGGCTCTGTGATATAAGAGAAAATGAACTAAAGATTTCAAAGGGCGCTTACCTGTCTAAACTATACGAGGTTTGGCAAGATCAGTGTGATTGCTTAAGAATGATTAGTGATGTCATGATGTACCTCGATAAAGTTTACTGTAAAGAGAGCAGAAAGCCATTTGTTTATGACATGGGTCTCGAGTTATTCAGAGATGACGTTATGAAACCATTGAGTTCATTAACTCATGAAATGATCGCACGTGACATCAACGAAGGTCGAAGATGTCATACATCCGTGGATTTTGATCTACTTCGAGAGCTTATCGGTATGATGGAGACTTTGGTTGACACAGATGATTCCTATTATCTGACTGAATTTGAACCTTATCTTTTGAAAGAAAGCGCCAAGTATTTCGGTATTTTCGTTCAATCTCATTCGCTGGCACCCAAAGATTACATCAATGAGGTCCAACGGCTCTTAGAAAATGAGAGGAACATACATACAAAATTCTTGAATAGCGATACCTCTGTAAAGGTATTGAATGTGGCCAAAAATGTGCTGATCACTCAAAATATGCATTTCATTGTGGATGAGAGCCTACCCGTTATACTAGATAGCCACGATCTCGACAGTTTGAAATTACTGTTTGGTTTATGCAAAGAACCAGGTGATCAAAACAACCTCTTAAAACAACTGAGGCAGATAATTGTGGCTGAAGGTCTGTCTATTGAAGAGGACGTAACTCAAAAGAAGAAAGCTATGGTTGCAGTCAAATGGATCAGCGAGATTATAGCATTGAAACAGAAATATGATAATATTTTGAAAGACATAGGGGCGGACAACATTCGTAATACGAAGTCAGTAAGCGAAGCGTTTTCAACCTTTTTAAACCAAAGGGGCAAAAAATCTGCAGAAAACCTTGCATTGTACATCGATTTCACACTTAGGTCATGTAAACAGCTGGAACCTTCCACCAAAACTTCACTCGATCATTGTGTTACACTTTTTAAACTACTAAGGGATAAAGATATCTTTGAGAAGCTCTATAAGCAACAACTCTCGAAGAGACTTCTTCAACGAAGATCTTCTCTTGATATAGAGAAAGAAATAATAGCTAGAATGAAGGAAGAGGTCGGAATTGCATATACTTCAAAAATGGAAGGTATGTTCAGAGATATTATCATATCACAAGGTTACAATGTAAAATTTGTACAACAAGAAAAGCTTCCCTTCGATTACGAGGTTGATGTCCTCACCACAACCTGTTGGCCATTCCAGAACACTAGTTCACCTCAAGATATCGTAATCCCTCCGAAATTAGAAAGACTTCGACTTGACTTCGAAAATTTCTATATCAAATCACATAGTGGAAGAACACTCAAGTGGGCGTATCACTTGGGTTCGATGGACATCGGATTTCAATTCGCCAGAACATATCATGTTCTAAGCATGCCAGTATATGCTGCAATAATTTTCATGCTTTTCGAAAATTATAATGAATTAACGATGCAAGAAATAAGAGACTTGACCCACATACCTGAACAAGAGCTTTCTAGGCAACTCATATCGATGGCGGTCGCGCCGAAAACAAGAATTTTAAAAAAGTTTCCTGCGAATAAGATCATACACGCCTCTGATAAATTCTGCATTAACGAATCCTTTACTGCACCTACACTCAAAGTCAAGGTTTTGACAGTAATGGCAAAAGCTGAGCCAAATCCGCAATCTTATGGCGACTACGCGGTGGCAATGAAAGAAGTTTCCGATGAGAGAACGCAGCTTCTGGAGGCAACTATTGTTAGCACTCTTAAGCCAGTCAAGACAATGACACATAAGTCATTGTTTGAAAAAGTCCGTCAACGACTTAGTGGAAGATTTGATATGCCTGAAGAAATTTTTAAGGATAGACTCCAGTACTTGATAGAAAAGGAATATGTACAACGTGATCCTGATGATCCCTCAGTCTATCACTATTTACCATAAATATATGTGATTTAAATCGGTTTACTTCTATTCTTCAGAATTGTTTTTAAGTGCTTAGCACTTTTAGCTACTCCATGAGTGTCTGATTTACAGATTGGACACAAAGTGTCTTCCCTTGCTCGCCGCATAAAGCAAGATGAGCAAAAATAATGCCCGCATTCTGTTATGACTGGGTTCCTATAATCATTTTTGCAGATGAGACACTTGAAAGGTATGCCCTTAATGTCACTCAAAGTTTTCTCGTCGTCTACCTTCCAATCCTGATGAAGTTTCCATCCTTCCTTGAAGTCATCCCTCGAGTGTAGAAATTTACAACTGTCTCCGTACCCACAATAGCCTGTTAGCTTATAATCCTTGCAAACATCAGGCTGATAATCAGTAAATAAGGTTGTCCGTATGTTAGCAGTTTGTTTCTTGGGATCTAGAACGTTAATCGCAGCTTCATGAGTTGTCTTTGTGGAACTGCTATGTGATTGTGCTACTAAGACATTTGGTAAGGATACATCCCTATTACTTGACTTCGAATGACTTAATTCGTTAATGGCAGTTGAGATAGCTTCCTGATTTCGGCGTTTGGATGACTGTTGGCCGCCGCTCTCATCAATTAAGTTTCCATTTTTGTCGTTCTTTGATTTGTCATGATCAATATCAGGAGAATTATCTTCAATCTCGTCTATACTCCCATTTGATGGTTTATTGCCGTAATGTACTTCAGACTGATCGCTTCGAATTACTCGACGTCTTTTTGAAGCACCATCGCTATTCACCTTCCGCTTTTTGAACATCTCCACATTGTGAGGAAATCCAACACAAGATCATCACATCGCCAAGGGAAAAAAAATTGGGAACTCAACTTAACATACACGAACAGTAAAGCTCACAGATCTGACTACGAGGTGTAAAATGAGTGAAAGTGCTAAGGAAAAGGAGACAAGAGCTCAATTTGTGGAGGATTCGGCGCTGCGGCTGGGTGGCAACCATACTCACCTACTGAGAAGTGCTATGAAGAATAAATCCCATCAAGTAACGCCAGTCTTTAATGCTGATGAAGAAATTGTAGAATCGTCTCCGTTGCTGACATCGACACCTCCAACGGTATCCAAAGCATTGGTAAAACTATATCCTTACCTTATTATTACTAATAATATTTTGAGTGTACTAACGTGGACTAATGACGACATCTGGCCAAGTGTACTAATGGTGGTAAGCTACATTACAGCCATCCTATATTTCCAGAACATCCTAAATTATTTTGGGCATCTACTACTAGTTGGTGTATTGTGGTGTTATTCCTTGTTGGATCGTTGTGTTGAGGAGTCCATAAGAGAGCGCCCTACATTAGATGATATAGTTCACATTATATCATGCGTCAACGCAAAGGCTGATCTGCTTCTTTCGCCTATCACAGTTCTTACAGGAAACGATATAAAGAGGCTTCTTTTCACGACAGTGTTTTTGTCCCCGCTATATGTCATAATTACACTTTTCATTTTACCCCCACGGAGACTACTATTGATCGCAGGCATATATCTGCTAACATATCACTCTTCGTGGTCTAGGGTTACAAGAAAACTTCTTTGGAAGTTCAAGCTTGTGCGTCTGCTAGTATTCTATATTACGGGCCTTGATTTGGGTGGGATAAACAAAAACCAAGGCATCTTTGCTGCTGTTCAGAACAAAGTTAAAAAGATATCATCAACGAAAGGAACATCAGATGATGGGAAACCAATAAGGTTCACTTATGTTTTGTATGAGAACCAACGCCGCTGGTTAGGTATTGGCTGGACCGCAAATATGTTGAGCTACGAAAGAGCGGCTTGGACTGATGAATTCTTGAATGAAGCACCCCCTCCAGATCAGTTCAAACTACCAGAAGAGAATATGGGAATGACATGGAGATGGGTAGACAGAACTTGGAGATTAGATATGACTAACGACGGCGCAATTCAACTATCGAGCTCACGTCCCAGAACGACTGCTCAACCTAACTCTGATGATGGTTTTATATACTATGACAACACTTGGAAAAAACCTTCAACGGAAGATTCATTTTCAAAATATACGAGGCGGAGAAGATGGATACGTACGGCTGAGTTGATAAAGAATGATGCGTTCGATTTGAATGGAGTGATCTCCTCGCCTCCTACTGCTGGGGTTGCATTACAACCCATCGAAGCAGCAGGTGAGACCAATACTACGGGGCACATGAACGCACACGAGGAATCATCTACCATTCTAGAGAACGTCAAGGAGATGGAATCTTCAAAGCGAAAAGTCTCCTTCAATGACAAGAAAGACGTACGTATTATTCCTTCGACTGATAATGATACAGCACTAGCAGGCGCAAAAAACAACTACGAGGACCAAGTCGAGAAGATATCCCAAAAACTAGCGGAAGGCAACGAGAGTACGGAAGCAATCCTTGCCGCACCTCCGAGCGAAGTTTTCGAAGATAAAAAAAGTGTATAAGAAATAATTCATGAACACCCTTATCTCCCACTTGCATTGATGTAGCGTAATATCATATAGCCTTTCAATATTAGAAAAAACTTAACAAATGCACTTCGTTTTATTAAAAATATACTTCAACACTTTCTTAACTATAAATTCCTATTTCAAAGAACGAGGAATTTACAACTTGTTGACCTTCAAAGTTGGTGGCAAAGATTGGATCAACTTCTTGGCCTTACCGGCGTCGTTGACAATCAAAGTGTACAACTTCTTGGAACCTCTGACCTTGAACTTGGTTTGTCTGAAAGCCTTACCAGACTTGTTCAACTTCTTGTTGACCTTGACGGTGGCGGACTTGACGTCGGCTCTTCTGGTCAATTCCAAAAACTCCTTGATGTCGGTAATTTCTCTAGCCATTTCTTGATACACTTATTCGTCCTAAATCACTGAAGCTGTAGCTTACTGAGATTCTTTATTTTACTGAAATTCCACAATCAGGTTGGCGATCCAAGCACTATTGCCTCGCTTTCATACGGTATTACGAAATCCGGATATTTTAAAAATTTTATAACCGTGGTGTGTGGATTTATATAATCTGAGTAATCTAAGATGTTAGGGTGTTAATGTGTTGGATCAAAGACGCAGTCACAAGACATCCTCCATTTCCACTTCTTCCTCTTCTGCATTATGGGCTTCTTCATCATCGTCTTGTGCAAGTTCGCCTAATCTAGCTGCTCTTTCCGCTTCTTTCAACCGCTTGTATTCATTCTTAAGCGTATACTTCAATGCGTATGGACCTTTTTTGACCAGAATTGCTACCTGATCCAAGCACTCTTTTAAATACACTTCTGGTTGCTTGGTTCGTTCTTTCAAACCTTTCAAAGACCAGTAATCATACTCATCGAACAGCTTGAATAAGTAATCAAGAAGCTCTTTCTTGGGCATACGAATAGCACGGACATTGTTCTTGGCCTTCTCGCGACCCACCTTCAGGAAGTTGGAATTGTCTGATCTCATGGACATACCGGCATTACTCATAGTCACACCAGGAGTTTCATCCAGCACTGTGACAGTAGGTTTGTGTACATTTCTTACGATCTGCCTTCTCTGTTCGACAATTTTATTATAATTAGGGTCGCTCATCGAAGGAATTGCGTGACATTCATGGCAAACCGTCCCAACAATAGCAGTTTTTTTGGGAATAGTCTTGACGTAAGGAATATATCTATCTCTCCCGTCACGATCCGTCATTACTCTGCTCTGGAAACGTCTCCTATTATTTCTACGCCGCATTTGCTGCTGCTTCTTCTTCATTTCTTCCTCCCGCTCTTGCTTCTGTATAAACGCTTGCTTCTGCTTCTCTGGATCTGCAGCAAGCTCCCTTTCACGCTGCTGGAACTTCTTTAAATTCTGCTCCGTGAAGATATACTCATTCTCGACTAGTTTCTTCGTTAGTTCCAAGTCATATTGCTTTGGAATCTCTTCATTATCTTGTTCGTTCAAGAACAACTGAATACTTTGATCATTCTTGTTGATTCTGATCTTTCCCAATTCCTGTCCGTTCAAATTGGTCTTATTGCGCCACTTTTCTGCCAGAAATCTTGGCAGGCGTACTAGCCATACTTGCCTGTTACTATTCTGCAAATCCAAATCCAAAGATTCTTCGTAGATTTTGGTTTCATTATTCTCTATATCATTACCATCAAATATTTCCTCATCTTGGGAAAGGTAACCATCAACGTTTTCGGTACTTGTGGCTTTAGTAGGAGGTACGCTCATTCTTTTATTTCTTTCCCTTGATGTGCTACACTTCTTTTTTAAATCTTTTCCCCCTGTTGCTAAACTTTTTTCAGATATGTTCCCACAACGAAAGTAACAATGATGTGACAAAGAATCCACTACTAAACACAGTGAAAGGCATTAAAATATGGATTTAGCTAGTCTTGTCAAAGCAGAAGTGGCAAAGAAAAAGCTTGAGCTGGATAAAAACCGTGTGGAGGCTCAAAACAGGAGCGCAATGAGTGTCACACCCCAGAGCACTACCGTGGACTTCACAACACCGTCAAAGAACAGTAGAAGCAAGGACAGTCCTATCGAAAAAGTTGATAATAGTGGCTCAATCGAACAGGATAAGCTTTTGGAGAGAATTAAAACGAGACCAGAACGCATTCGCCTCATTAGGGAGAGGGAATCAAAGATTGATACAAAGATACAGATCACATCTATTGGCGTAGCCAGTGAGTGCTCCGAACTCTCAATTAAATGTAATCTGTACATTCATAGCCTTCTTCAGATGTGGGTAGAGGAGGGTTACAAACCACACCTAATTCTGGAAACGAAGCAGGCTTTATTTCCGTTACTACTCAAATTGAGGCGTGCCGAGTTGCCAATGGATTTACTAACGTCATTGGCTTCTATTCTTTATCATGTCCAGCAATCAGAATACATTCAGGCAACAGAATCTTACATGAAGTTGAGTATAGGCAACGTAGCGTGGCCAATAGGTGTTACATCTGTGGGAATACATGCTCGTAGTGCTCATGAGCGCATTCAGGGTAATGATAAGATAGCTAATGTGATGATGGATGAACCAACGAGGCTATGGATTACCAGTACAAAGAGACTGATCACTTTTAAAGAGGCTCTTGATCGTCGTACGAAAGTACATTATCCCGATTCATGACGGCGAGCGATTTTTTCGGAGCATCCTATGATCATCAACTTAGCCAGGTGTGCTACAACAAATCAAAACCTTTAGAGGATGGCTTCCTACGTCAAGGATTTCGTTGAAGGGTTAGCAACGGATTATGCTACAGATAAATGGAATGATTACGCAGGTGAAAAGTTGCAGCCAACGAAAGGTATGAAGATTCATGTTTTAGGGGAAGGTGGTTCGGAAGAAACTTTTACTGACAAGATACACAGACCCTTATTACACTGAGCTGCCAGACGGCTCACGTAAAAGACGCAAGCTGCCGGACTATTGCTCGACTAAAGAAAAGAAAATTTGGAAAAAGCTGCAAAATCGTGCTTGGAAAGACGACCGATGCCTGTGTGGGTGCCTGTGGGTGAATTGGGGACTGGGGCTTGCCCCAATCCTTTCAATACTCCCTACTATTGGCCCTATCATCATGTACATGGTGCACTCGAAATTGATCTCGATGGCCGATAAAGAGCTTAACTTACCTCCCGAACTGCTTGTTAAACTTCATGGAAATATCGTGTTGGATCTTTTGATCTCACTTCCTCCTATCCTGGGTACATTTTTAGCATGGATGAATGCATGCTCGACTAGAAATTGCGCGTTGATTTATAATTACATGGTAAAGCGAGCTTCTCAAAAATACGCGGCAGAGCAGCAGAGGTCGGGATCTGCCAACCAGAACCCATTACCAGTACCGCAAACCGCAGTACGTCCCCAGAATCAGCAGAATGCTAGATTACAGCATCAGCAACCGACGAATGCGCAACAGTCACGGCAAAAGGGTCAAGCATACACACCACCCAATCAATTTGCGACATCCGCGCAGTTTAATGACACAAAGTATAATAAAGCGTTACCGCCCCGGCCTCCGCCACCACGTACTAAGTAGTTGGCTAAGAAGCCACGCTTAGGAACTTCATTAAGCGTTTTTACTGTATATATGTGAAGATGACTACGTTTAGACGTGATTAATGCATACTCCAAACTGCACATGTGAATTCCATAATCGCCCTCTCAATCCTCTGATACGAGGAAGGTATATATTTCAAGTTTTTCGAATCGTGCCCTCAAGTTATTAAGCGTAATCAAACATGATGAATTTGGATCCCAACAGATTGTGGATTGACGGTTGTTTTGACTTCACACATCATGGTCATTGTGGAGCAATTCTTCAAGCACGTCGCATTATTCCTGCGGGAACAGAACCGAGCGCGCTAATATGCGGCGTTCACAATGACCGAGACATTTTGCTAAACAAAGGTGGACAACCTGTGATGCAAGAGCAGGAACGCTATGAGCACACGCGCAGCAATAGATGGTGTTCTGAGGTGATCGAGGATGCGCCCTATGTGACCCAACCGGCAGTCTTAGATGCTCACCATTGCAAGTATGTCGTACACGGTGACGACATTAGCACCGACGCCAACGGCGAGGACTGCTACCAGGTGATGAAGGATACGGGTCGTTTCTTGGTAGTGAAACGCACAGAGGGTGTCAGCACGACAGAACTCATTCATCGGATCCTCACGGGTTCTGAAATTTGTGGTTGCTCGAAAGAGGCGGTCGAGGCGATTATAAAGGATGAAAAATTGTCTTTGTACGCTACGGGACCAGACGGCCACGCACGCTGGTGCTACGTGTTCCATCAAAATCTCGACCAGCCAATCGTGAGCGGCGGCTACGCCTTCAATCCGGCTCGAGCGGTCTACATCGAGGGGGATTTTGATCTTTTCCACGTCGGACACATTGAGCAGTTGAGAGCGCTGCGTGAGACGAGCGACGCGGGTGCCGGCGCCCGCGCCTGCCAAGAGGGCTCCAAGTTGGTCGTGGGAATAACAAGCAAAAATCCCTGCTACATGACGCTCACGGAACGTGTGCTCAGTGTACTGAGCTGCCGGTATGTGGATGCTGTCGTTATAGATCCGAAGACGGCAGAGCTACCGTTGAACAGGCACGAATTGGACGACACGGCGTTGCGCACGGGCCGCTTCGCGTACCTTGATCGGAACGTGATCGTAGACCGGATCCAAGCCGCGAGAGACCACTACATGCAGCGGAACGCACGCAAGGGCGTTCCCCTCGAGCAGTAAGTGATACATACAAGCATGTAAGTCCACGCCAGCAACATAGATCGTATCATGGGTCGTTAATTATTCATTTCGTACACAATGCTATTTACAGATGCATCACATGCTCTAGAGACCGAAACTCCGGCCCCCCGAAAGCCGCGTCGCACCGAATTAGCCGCCCGCACACCAACTCACTTCTGCGTGCGCTGCACGGTCTCGAAGCGGTTTTCGTGGGATTGCGAGTTCGATCCGCGTCTTTCCTTGTGGAACACGGGAGGGATCTCACCGGCGTCTATCAAATCTTCAATCTCGTCGCCTGGCTTACCCCAGTTACCTTTGCCCGATCCATCCTTCTTGACGCCATTTGGCGCTTGGTTGTAGGGCCCATTGTGTGTAAAGAAACGGGACTCGGCCTTGGCCTCGCGCTTTGTCCATTTCTGAGTTCTGGTCATGGTGTTTGTTGGTGTTTTGTGTTAGTTTAGCGTATCAGTTTACTTGTCAGACAATTCACTAGAATTGAGTGTCAATCTATACAGATTTGAAACAGAAATTATACTTCAACTTCGATCCAGCTGGTCGCATTATATACTGATTTTCTCAGGGATACAATTCCGATATGGTTAGCCCCTTGGTCGCGGCAATAGTGTGATTTCCAGTAAGTTCCAGGTGTTACCCCCCTTGCTGGCCCCCTCGTTGAATCATCTCGTAAGCTGGGTGAAAACCGCGTCACAAACGAAAGACGCGGGCCGGCGGAGAATATGCCCTAAGTATCGCTTGATTTTGACAAACAAACACCCACCGCCAACTGGTGTGGGGTTTTCCATGGAGCTGACTGACTGCGAAAAAGGGGTGGGTCAAAAAGAGGGACAAAGACTGGGCCAGAGGGTGGCGCCAAGACACCAGGTCCAAAGATAGAAGTCTCGCAACTGTCACGCGGTGGCGCGGCAGGCCGGCGGGCGCAAATGCGAATTCGGACATGGCAACAAAGTGACACTCCGTCTCTCACGATGTGTGGCGTCCTTGGTTCGTTATAGATGATTGACACACGCGCAGCGCGCGGGGAAGCAGGGAGCGAGCTGGGGCGCCCTCGGTTTGGTTGAGCGAGAGACGTGCTCGTGTGGTGTGACATCCAGCGCCGGCATCGGGTTTCGGACGCCGGGTAACTGTGGCGTGACTGGCCGGCGAGGTGGCTCTATGCGCCATGTCCCTTTTAACGGGGATGCGACTACTGGTGTTCTGGCGTCGTAGGATTTTTTTTTTTATTTCCGATTTACACCTACTGAGCCCACTCATCTCACCCCAACCGCAGTCTCCAGCAGCCTGTGGAAATTGATTTTCGCTGGACTGGCAGTCCCTAGTTTTCAACCTTTCTTTCGCACCCGTCGCACCCCTACGTTCGGCGCAGCGTGCACCCCAGACGGTAACCCAGAGTACAGCCAAGAAACGCGGCTCCCCGCATAGCCCCCAAAAGCACGCATCCAAGCATTAAATTTCGCTTTTTCCTTGTTTTCTGTGTGTGTTTTTTTTTCGAGTTTTTGAGATTTTGCCCTCTCGAAAGTCCGTTTTTCACATCCGTTCTTCCCTGTTATCGCTCGGTCTCTGGAAGAGTGCATCAAACACCGCACTTGAGATTTAAACTCGTCATTTTCGTTCTCACGCGCGGTTTATCCATTTGGTGCTACAACACAGACCTCCGATAAGCTAAGAACCTAAATCGACCCTCTCCCCCGAGCTCTGGACGGCACAACATCACAATGGACCCAACTCGAGCTCCCGACTTCAAGCCTCCCTCCTGCAACGAGACACCGGATCCACCACTCGCCCCGCAGTCCACGATCCCCAAGAGCGGACCCATCATGCCATATGTTCTTGCAGACTACAATGCTTCGATCGACGCGCCAATCCACCCACGCGACTACAAGAAGCACTCCAAGTTCGGTCGTCAGGTGTCTACCGCACACCATGGCTCGATTCCTATGAAGCAGGACGAGTTGCAACCTCTGTCCAACGAAACGTCCTCGGAAGACGAGCAGGACGTTGACGTCAATGGCGACAACGACATTGGCAGTAGCCGGCCACGAATGCCGTTCAACCGCCAGATGTCCGCGCTTTTTGACGAAGAAGAGTCCCAGCACATCGGATCGCGTATCCACAAGTACCAGATCGCAGATCTGGAAGAGGTGCCGCACGGTGTTGTCCGTCAGGCGCGCACACTCGAGGACTACGAGTTCCCTGCACATCGACTGCAAAAGAAGCTTCGTAACCCCAACAAACTGCCGCTGGTGATTGTTGCGTGTGGTTCCTTTTCACCTATCACCTATCTCCATCTACGTATGTTCGAAATGGCCTTAGATGCTATCTCAGAGCAGACTCGTTTCGAAGTCGTTGGTGGATACTACTCGCCTGTTAGTGACAACTATCAGAAGCCCGGGTTGGCGCCTTCCCACCATCGTGTACGCATGTGTGAGCTTGCCTGCGAGCGTACGTCGTCTTGGCTGATGGTCGATGCTTGGGAGTCACTGCAACCCGCATACACACGCACGGCTAAAGTTCTAGACCATTTCAACGACGAGATCAACGTTAAACGTGGTGGCATTCTCACTGCGACAGGTGCAAAAGCCGGCGTAAAGATCATGCTTCTAGCGGGTGGTGACCTGATAGAGAGTATGGGTGAACCCAATGTGTGGGCCGACTCTGATCTTCATCATATCTTGGGTAACTACGGTTGTCTCATTGTGGAAAGAACGGGCTCTGACGTGCGCTCCTTTTTGCTGTCACATGATATTATGTATGAGCACAGGCGTAATGTTCTTGTCATCAAACAACTCATTTACAATGACATCTCATCTACAAAAGTGCGTTTGTTCATTCGTCGTGGTATGTCTGTGCAATACTTACTCCCCAATAGCGTTATCCGGTACATTCAAGAACATGGATTGTATGTCAATCAGACAGAGCCGGTAAAACAAGTGATGGGCAACAAAGAATGAATGAAGTAAACAGTTAGAGGCCAGTTAGCGGCCGAGAAAAGAAAAAAGACAAAAAAAACAAGAGGAGAAACGAGCACAATTCTACGTTCCCTTGTGCACTCTACTCTCGTCATCACCCTGTATTCTAAACTTTAATGTTACTCTTTAAATGTGTGTAATGCTAGATCCAATGAATTGAAGTAACTTACCACCGTGAAGTTAATTTTTTGTATGCAGGCCCACGGTATGCTTACGTAATGCATGCGTTTAGTCGAAACTTCCACAAAGTGAAATTTAAGCGATACGCCTAAGAACACATCATGTTTTCGCTTTAATCCATGATTTAGGGGAGATGACAAGCGACAAGCTTGTGAGTGCTAGCACTAGTTTGGTTGTCTATTAAATTTCATCATATGAGCCCTATACCTTTCCCCACGAATCATGTTCCATTATCGAGCAGGGCGGTCAGCGCTACAATAGTAATACGAAGCGCAACTCGTTCCATGCCAGCAAATCGAAGTGTTGATCAGTGGGCCAACTCCAATAGCGACCAAATACAAGCAAACGAATTACCCAATGGCTCGGCAGGTTCCGATATTATTGGAACGTTGGTGTTTACAGTTTTCGTGTTGGGTATTCTTATAATTGCCATGACTGCAATCATCATGGCTGTCTACGATTGGTTGGACCCTGCAGTTGAAAAGTTTCCTTACGCAAAGCACGGCTCGGCGAAAATTTCAAAATGGCGGCCATTATTATGCGAAGAGTACTCGGCATTATCTGAGGAGGAACTGGACGAATATCTAACGTGGTGTGAAGATCAGCTCCGTAGGTCGTTGGAACAAGAGCGCAATTTTAGCCAAGAAAACTGCGCAGGATTTCAGTTTGATCGCGAGGTGCATGAAAAATTGACAACGTTAGAGACAGGCAGAGAGTGCCTATTTTCCACCGCTTATTTTCCTCGGTTCACGAAAAAACCCGTTCTGGATGCTGAGGATATGTATGTATGCTAAGTAGAACTATATGTGTCAGTATTTGTATCGTATGATGCGCACGAGAAGTGAAGGACAACAAGAGTTTTTTTTTTTAACTCGAGTTTTGAGGCCAGCCGCTCTTTTCGTTTTCATTATGAGAATACTCCTCGTCAGCGTTATGGTTATGCGGCTCGGCAGGCCATGGGAAAGTATCTGAAGGAGAGAAGAAGTTAAGGTTAACTTTAACACTGTCCCAAAAACCTGGAGGAAGTGGAATAGAAGTCTTGGGGGCCGCAGTGGCAGTTTTTTTTTGCTGTTCCCATTCGTCGGTTCTCGGATCGGTATGATGATGAGTCTCTTCGGCGGTCGAGTCGGAGTTTGGATGGCTCTTTTGTTCCAATTTCACCCCTGTTTGTTCAACGTCATCGCCTCTATAAAATGCATCATCAGCAGGCACAAACGATTGACTACTTACAAATTGGAAATCTGGTGGTAAGGGTTCGGAAACGTCTGGAAAAAGTTGATGGGGATCGAACTCAGTTTCACGGTGGGCGTCGCTGGTGATGGTAGTGGTGGTGAAATTGAGTTCTGGTAATGCGTAATGCACACTGGTTGGGCGCGGCTGTGGTGGTGTGTGATGTTGGTGGGGCGGCCGTTGAAGAGAGGAGATAATGGGACCTGCAGGTACGAATTGCAATTGGGTAGGAATGGGTGCGGATCTCGCGGTCGCGTCTATGTTTTGAGCGCCCAATTGAATTTGCGCAGGGTACATTTCCGTTTGGCCAGCGACCACGTATTGTGAATTAGGGTACATTGGGGTTGTGGATTGTTTGGTATCTCCTTGGAATTGAGGGTTCAGTTTCGGCATAGACCATTCGCGCGGACCCGGCGGCAAGCTTGGGGAGCTGAAGGATTCGCGTTTGGAATCTGGGACCTCGATGGGGATGTTGGGGTCGGTTCTAGTCTTTAAATTTTGCTTGAAGCGATGTACCACTTCTCTGATATAATCAGGTTTTTGACTGAACATGAATATGAGCTTACTCAGCAGAGCACAGGAGTTCCATTGCGTGCCGAATCTTTGCAACACGCGTTCCAACACGTGGAAGCATTTCAAGGCTATATCTGCAAATAGAGACTTGGGATCGTACATGTGATGGACAAAGATGATCAGAGCCTCGAAGAAACAGTAGGCGTGTGAGACGTAGAAATAGGACAGTTCGTTTCTGTCCAGTAGGATTTGGCCGATGAGACTCAGGGAGTGGGCAGCCTGGAACGCGATACCTGCGGAGTTGTAACCATCGGGGGAGGTGCAGATGACATCGTGTATGTTGGACTTGTGAAGGAGGCACAAAGTCTTATAGTAGAGGGCATTGACGAAGGCCTTGGGAATGGAGTGCTTGGTAAAGATCTCTGCGTTGGAATTATAGGCGAGAGACTGCGGCAGGTTGAGGCGCCATCTTTGGAGTAAAAAATCAAAGTGTTGGATGAGAGTAGTGGCGTCACATTGCCTGTTGGAAGGTCTGCTCAGCTCCTTTGAGATGCGCGACATGATCTCCGCGATCTGGACGGTGCAGATGATGCAGTCCATGTAGTCCGGCGGGGGACGGTGCTCGGGCCGCTGGCCGTCGAAGTTGAAGTCGTCGTGAGTGAGCACGGGCACGTCGCAGTCGTCGAGGTTGATGGCCTGGGGCCTGCCGATGGCGACCGACGCAAAAGCGTCGATCACGTACAGGATCCACCATATGAGCTTGCGGGCCTTTTTCTCGTTGTTGGTGAGGGTCGGGTGGAACTCTGCGGAGCGGTGCAGGCCGTAAGTTTGCGCGACAATGATGGCGTTCTTGATGAAATACATGGGCATGTGGATGGTATTTTTCTCGTTGAAGGACTGTTTGCTGAGCAAGATCATGCCTTGCAAAAGACAGATTTCGTTTTCCTCGTACCTGCTGTCGTAGAGCGCCTTTGCGCGCTGGTAGAAGATGTTGGAAGCGAGGTCGGTGGAGCCGTCGGAGCCCGTGAGCCGGGGATTGGGCGAGAGCTTGACAGCGACGCAGAGCATGGCTTGCAACAGGAAAATGGAGCACGAGTGCTGGCGGTAATCGCGCATGAACTCTGTACGGTCCATGAGGGGCATCAGAGGGTGGATGTGATGGAAGTAGAGTTGTACGAGTTCGTCGCAGATTTCTTTGGCGGGTAGTAGGAACGCGCCCGCGATGCGCAAAAGCTCCATGTTTGCGACGGCAGGGGTTCCGAACCCGCTTTGCGGCAGCGAGGCGCGCAGTTTCTCGGCGGATGCGAAGTTGCAGCCTTCTCCGAAGGGGGACCCTGCCAGCAGGCTGAGAAATGACGACGATCCGAAGTAGACGTAAACGCGCTCGCGATCTTGGCGGGCGGCCTCGTAGTAGACCCCGGGTTCGAGGCCGTGGCTGCGCAAATACTCGTCGCCGAACGACATGCCGTTGGAGACGGTTTCGCGCACGGCCTGGTCGTCGTGTGCAGCGGCGGCGGCGGTAGCGGCTGCAGTGCCGGCGCCAGCATTGGCGCTGGCGCTGGCACGGGCGCTGGAACTGGCACTGGCATTGGCACTGGCCGCCGCCCCGGCGCTGGCCCCGGTCTGGGAGAGCGTGACGTTGATCCCGGCGGCAGTGACGCCGGCGGGACCCGGCCGGGCGCCGTGGATCCCTGCCGCGCGGCTACTGGCGGCGCCCGAGCCCTGTAGGGGCGGCGCCAGGGGCGCGCGGTCGCTGGAGTTGTTGGGGTTCGCGCAAGCGGCGGCGGAGGCCACATCACGCACTGCGGCGGCGGCGGCGGGCATCGGGGCCGTGGCGGCCGAAGAGCTGGCGTCGGCGGCGCCGCCGACGCCAGCGGACCTGGCTGGGCGGCCACGTTTGCCCTTTTTCTCGCGCAGCCGACACACTAGACCAAAAGCCTGGCAAGAACTGCAAGGCATGCGGACGTTGGCATCACAGCGCACTTTCCTGTCGTGGCACACCTCGCATGCGCGCGCGGAGCGCCGCTTGCGCACTTTGTAGGGCTTTTCATCAGTCCCGCTCATGGATGCGCTGGAGGGTGGACGAGCCGGTTAGCCTTGTGAATTGGGAAGAACAGGTTTGGAGGGTGCTCACTTTTGTTCTTGAAGGCGCATCTGGTCGTTCCAACCAAGCTGTAGAGAACCCAGCATGCGCAGGTAGGCCGCGGGCTGCAGCCCGCGGCCCGCAGATCGCGTGCCACGTTGCGCACTGCAGCGACTGCAACGGCGAATGCGCGAGGGGGGGAACAAGCGAGAGGGAATGAAGGGGGCGGGTAGCGGGGAGCGTAGAGAAGCGATCTTCATTGGCGAGCCCGCATCAGCCTGCGGGCAGCTGCACGCGGATGCGCCGTGACGCGCGTGATGCGCGCAGGACGGTCCGCAGCGCTGTGCATGCGCGTTTTTCGGAGGCGGCAGAAGGAATGCCCCGCTGGCCAGACGGGCGCGGGGGGCGGTTGCAGGCGCGGTGCATACGCGAGCGAGATGCGCAGGGCGGACGTCGGTGGAGATCATCACGCCACTTGGGCACGGCGGCGTCTGGGGGGCAGACCGGCGGGTGGCCCGCATCGCAGATCCCCGCTACAGGCGCCTTTCGTCTGTGCGCGCGGGAGTTGGCGGTGTGGCGTCTTTCTCGGCGCGCGACGCGCATGCGACGCGCGCGCCCGAAAAAAGCGGAAAGCGGATTTTGGGGTCGCGGCGCGCGGGTTGCGGCGCTCCGCGCGTTCCGGCCGGCCCGCCACTTTGTTGGGGCTCGCGTCCTGGTGGCGGCCGGCCGTATTTGGGGCGCGCACTTGTACGCGCTCGCGTCGTCCCGCGCGCCCTTTCCCCCCCTCTCCCTCCGCACAGTATGAGCACTAACACCGACTTGCACTGGAAACCCGTCGCGGCGGCCGCGGCAGCCGCGGCCGCCGCGATCTACGCCGCGTACGCCGCGCTAGCCGCGCAGCGCGCGCGCGACCAGCTGTCCGCGCTGCCGCCACCGGCCGCGGGCGTGGACGAGCTCATCGGCAACACGCCGCTGGTGCGGATCAGGTCGCTGTCGCGGGCCACGGGCCGCGACGTGTACGCCAAGCTGGAGCTTGCGAACCCCGGCGGCAGCGCCAAGGACCGTGTGGCGCTCGGGATCGTGCGTCGGGCCGAGCAGCTCGGCCAGTTGCGGCCGGGCCACGCCGACGTGGTCTTCGAGGGCACCAGCGGCTCCACCGGCATCTCCATCGCCACCATCTGCAACGCGCTGGGCTACCGCGCGCACATCTCGCTGCCCGACGACACCTCGCAAGAAAAGGTTGCGCTGCTCGAGAGTCTGGGCGCCTACGTCAACAAGGTGCGTCCGGCAGGCATCGTCGACCCCAACCAGTACGTGAATGCGGCTCGCGCCGCGTGCGACGAGCTCAACGCGCGCGGCTGCGGCGACGCACGCGGTGACGCCAGCGATGGCGTCACCGTGCGCGGCGTCTTCGCCGACCAGTTCGAGAACGAGGCCAACTGGCGCGTCCACTACGACCACACCGGGCCCGAGATCTGGCGCCAGACGCGCGGCCGGGTCGACGCGTTTGTCGCGGGCTGCGGCACCGGCGGCACAATCGCAGGGGTCGCGCGGTTCCTCAAGGAGAAGCGCGGCAAGCGCGGTGTTCGCGTGGTGTTGGCGGACCCGCAGGGCTCCGGTTTCTACAACCGCGTGCGCCACGGCGTGATGTACGATCGTACCGAGCGCGAGGGAACCCGCAGGAGGCACCAGGTCGACACGATTGTCGAGGGCGTGGGGCTAAACCGGATTACGCGGAATTTTAGCCGCGGAGAGCCGTACATCGACGACGCCGTGCGCGTCTCCGACGCGCAAGCCGTCAAGATGGCAAAGTTTTTGTCGGTAAACGACGGGCTATTTGTTGGCAGCAGCACTGCCATCAATGCGGTGGCCGCAGTGCAAGTGGCGCGGACGCTGCCCGCGGGCGCACTCGTGGTGATCATCGCTTGCGACAGCGGGGCGCGGCATCTGAGCAAGTTCTGGAAAGAGGCGGTGGCCGTGGACCGCGACGTGACGCTCGCGGAGATCATGGGCGAGGAATGAGGCCCCAGCAGCGGGCGATGGGCGGTGGTGGGAGCTGTCGCTCTGCACGGCGCCCGCCGCCGTTGCCGCCGTTGCACAACGTAGACGTAGATTTGCAGTCTGTATAGTTTCGCAGTTTGGCGGTTTGGCAGTTTCGTCGCTCGGTACGAAGGCCCTCTCTCGCCCAACATGAAAATTTCATGTCACTTCCTCCGAAACGCACCGGCGCATCGCGACCTCCCCATGGACTCGCTCGTGTTTGTATCGGCCAACGCGTATCTGGCGTCTCGCAGCTCGGACGCCTGGCACAGCACCCACTTCAGACCCGGCTACGTGCCCATTCTGCGCTCCGATCTGCTGCGGTTCCGCGACGCGCTCGACCAGGTCCTCCAGCAGGTCCGCAAGGAACACACCGCCGTGGTTTACCACAGCGACGCCCAGCGCGACCCGGCGCGCGCGCATCCCGACGCAGACGCCGCCGCGCCCTCCAGCGGCCCGGCTCACGGCCGCCACCAGGACCTCAAGCAGTTTCTCCCCATCTCGCTGGACCAACAGCTGCACACCGTCGCCCTCACGGGCCTCCGAGGCAAACTGGCCGTCGAGCAGCTGGAACGGCTGCTGGCCAAGCTCGAGGACGTGACGTCCGCCGCGCTCGAGCTCCCGGCGTCCTCGTTTGTCCAGTGCTGGAGCAGCGTCGCAGGGCTCGACACCCAGAGCCTATTCGTGCGGTGCCAGGAGCTGGCGCAGTACCCCCAAGTGGTGGCCTATTGGCGCGAGCTCGTGGCCCGCTGGAACGCGCTGGACCCGCACGTGGGCTTGCAACTCCATTGCGACCAAAACACCGCCCACTACGTCGCCGACAAGGCCGCGGGCGCGGGACCCCTGGACCCGGCCGAGCTCGACCGCCAAGTCCACGCGTTGCGCCAGTTGCTGGACGAGCTCTACGCAGAGGACAAGTCCGAACCCGCCGCGCACGATTCCTCCGCCGATTACAAGGTCGACGTGTCCACGCTGAGCGATCTGCCGGGCAGCGCGCTCGAGCAATTGTGCCAAGACATCGTCAAGTTCCGCACGCGGGTGCTGACCATTGAGAAGGAAAAACGCGCCAAAGAAGACTACGAAGAGGGCAAACGTCGCCGTTTGCAGCTCATGAAAGTGTTTGAGCAGATCAGGAAAAGTCAAGGTGACGACGGTGCCAACGGCGCTGCCGACGCGCGCGACCCGGACAACGACGACGCCGAGGACGACGAAGAAGAAGAAGACGACGGCGACGCTGCCCAGGACTGGGCCCTCGAGAAGGAGCGCCAGGACCGCGACCGCGCCGCCGCAGACGCCCGCGCCCGCGCCTTGCTGGACAAGCTCAGCTCGCAACTAGAACCGCGTCTGCGCGCGCTCGAGCGCCAACTCGCTCGTGTCGCCGATTATGATGCCACGCTCGCCAGCGAACGGCCCCTCTACCTCAAGGAACTGTTGCATCTCTCACACGACCCCAGCTACGACCACCGCCGCAGTTTCAAACTCGAAGAGAAACAACGCGACGACGACGACCGCGCACGCAACCCGCCCGCTACCGCCTCCGCGCCCTCGCCTACCAAGACGCCTACCGAGCCCGTCGGCGAGCCCGCTGCCGAGCCGCGTTTCAAGCTCGAGATTCGTCCCGCTGCTCGTCCAAACGCGTCGCCGCAGCCTGACGTGCTGCACCAATCCGACATCGAGCTGGACTCCATACTCGCGCGCCTCAGAGACTCCCGCGCCGTCCACGACGTGGTCAAGGAGTATTTGGGCGACGAAGATCAAGATTTGATAGACTACATTTTCGATCACATTCGTGAACACAAGAGTAAAACCGCGCTCCTCGACGAACTCAAGGAAACCTTCGACGAGGACGCAGCTGCCATCGTCGACAAAGTTTGGCACAATCTATAGTCTATATACACGCTCTTTAACGCTTGCGTTCGTGCTCGACGGCCCAGCACGTGCTCGGTTTCGGCGTTTGCACGGTCCAGAACCGCGGAAAAAAAAAAAAAATTTCATCAGAATGCGTAGATCGAGAATGTTAGCGTGTTTCAAGAATGTTTATTTTGCTAAAATCAGGAAAGCGTGAGATCCGCAAGAAAAAGTGAGGAACAAACACGAGAGAAATTACAATTATCCTAGCCTCTAACCAGTGCGAACGCAACCACAGCCAAAACGAACTCTCGTTGTGAAAGCAGAAACTCATCCAGTTTAGGATTTCCCAAACGCATAATTAACTATAGTCACTCTTTAAACGTTTCTCTCGCTACTCGAATTCAAAGCTTTACCACACCTAGGCCAAGACTTACAAAATGGTTGCGATAAATGCGCGTTCTTTGTTGTTTTTGTCACTGGCTATGAAGCTCAGTGCAGCCGATTGGTGGGATGGATGGAACCAGGACTCGTCCTCCAAGAATAACACACGGCTGAGCACCTCAGACGCGACAACTGCTGAAGAGGCATCGACGTCAAATATCGACTACAACTCGTTCACCTTTGCTTCTTCGTCAGTAATTTCCCTCGACTCAGCTACCTCCACGTCGTCGTCGACCCCTCACTCGGATACCAGAACGTACGAGGACGCCTCGAGCTACGCGGCCCATTCGACATCTGCGACCTCGTCGACGCAGGCCGTCTTCACTTGGTCAGATCCTCAATCCACTAGCTCTGACGTTTACGTCATCACACCCAGCTCCACGGAACTCCCTTCCAGTTCTGAGTTCAGCGACACTACAAGCACCACGGACTACACGCCAGAATCTTACGAGACCACCACCAGTTCTTCAGCCGCATTACAATCCCCGGTTCAAACTTCAGAACAAAGTACCACCTTTGTGATTTCCTCATCTTCATCAACTCCTGATGAAACACCTGTGGACACCACTTCTGCATCAACCACTTCGGAGTCGATCTCTTCAGATGCAGTGACAGAATCCGTCTCAACTACAGATGTTGCTACTAGCTCCGATATCTCCACCAGCCTCGATGGGGCGACTTCTTCTCCAATCTCTGATTCCACTACAAGTACCGACGGAAGCGCTACTACTTCCGCTTCGTCGATAGTTGTTGATACTGTAACCTATGACACATCAGATGTGTCCTCCACATCCGCAGGTCCAACCACAACTTCTGATGTAACCGATTTTTCTTCCGCCTCCACGGACTTTGCAACGAGTTCGGATTACTCTGCCTCTTCTGAGGCTCCTCAGAGTACCGATTCTCAATCTGCATCTGCATCCTCGGACTCGGTGGAAACAATCACGGTAACACAGTCTTCCAGCGATGTTCCCCCAACAACAACGTCAGACCCTTCCACCTATGAGCTCTCAACCAGCGAGTTGGACTCTACATCTGTTTCGGCAGATTCTACCACTTCTTCGCAATATTATGTCACCCCCGATTCTTCTTCCTCGGAAGTCTCTACCACGTCTTACGGATCTGACTTGGTTTCCACTGATGTTTCAACGAGTCTGGATTCTTTCATCTCAAGTGCAATTGATTCTACCACTTCTTACTCTGATGACGTGACCAGCAGTGATGTAGCGACGACCTCGTATGCTGTTCCAACAACTTCCGACTCGAGCGTCTACTCTGATGTGTCCTCTTCAGTTACAGATACACCTAGTTCCTCGATTGCTCCAGAAAGTACCTCATCCGGCGATGTGTTCACATGGACCTTTGAACCAGAGACTTCTAATGACCCTTCTGACGTCACCACGTCTTTCAATTCAACTGGCGATTCAGGATTTGCAACGTCAGCGGTGCCACTGACAACGGATTCGTTTTCAAGTGACTCTCAATACACAACCTCTTCTGACATCACAGAGCCTACATCGTTTACGTCAAGCTCAGAGTATAGTTCAACGGATTATGCATCAGAGACCTCCACGTTTTCATATGTGACTCCAACTTCTTCCAGCTACGTGCCATCATCATATCTGGACTCTTCCTCCACAACTGAAGTCCCTTTTGAGACGTCTACATCTTCCGAATTTCCAACTTCGTATACCACTGACGAGCCGACTTCTATCATCTCAACTTCCACATCATCCGAAGTTCCAACTTTTACATCTTCCGAAGTTCCAACTTCGTATATCACTGACGAGCCAACTTCTACCATCTCAAGTACTGATGCTACTACTTCTTCTTTCTCTGAGATCACATCGATCTCTACAAGTGATGAGCTCCCTGAATCCACTACCTCCTACGTTAGTGAGACAAGCTCAACTGCTTTGGACTCCACCTCCGTCTCTGCCCCTACAGTCTCTGCGAATACTTCGACATCCGAAGTTGAACAAACGGCATCGAGCACTTCTTCTTCTACTGAGCCTACTTCGATTATTTTGACATCATCTATCGAATCATCTACGGCGTCTGCAAATGAAACTCTAGGATTTACCACACCTAGTGCGTCGACCACTACGCTCGAGCCTTCAACTACTACTTCTCAAGAACCTTCCAGCACTTCTAAGGATTCGACTACAACAGAGGCCCCTGTCTCGACTTCGACACTCGAACCCACCTCTGAGATTGCCTCGTCCAATTCTACATCTACTGTTTCAGTATTTTCTCCTGTTACGTCCGCTGATCAGCCAGCAATCACGAGCACTGTTACAAGTGAGGCGTCTCAGGGAATTTTCACGTCAAGTTCTACTGCTGCATTATCTCCTCCCTCAAGCTCCCTACCATCGACAACCACTACCACGTCTAACTGGCTTCCAACGGCTTTAGTTACAGCACCCGCTTCAACTCAGAACTCAGGAAGTGCTGGAGATGTGTCATCAACAAATTCACAGCAGGCAACCCAAACTCTACCACAAGCTATTGCAGCTACAGGTGTAGTCAGTCAACCTGAAGGATATGATTTGATTACTATTGGATTCAAGAAATCTTTGAGTTATCCATTCGTTGTTAAAAACCCGGTAGCTGGTGCTCAGATTTTTGCCTACTTGCCAGAAGTTTTGACATTTCCTTTTGACCACGCTTTCCCAGATGTTCAAGTGACTCAATTGAGTCCTCTAGAGGTTGATGGAAAGAACTACGTCGTTACAGTAGCAGAAGTTTACTTCCCATCAGATCAAATTGATTCACTACAGCAATTGGTGCAAAATGGAGGGAGCAAATTATTTGCAAACAACGTATCTTCAGAGAATTCCTTGGCCAACCTTATAGACGCAACCATTCCTCTGACTGGCTTGGTAAGGACTCCGTCAAGTGACTCAGGTGACTCGACTGCTTCTGGTTCTGGAACAAGTGCAACCAATGCCGCGAATGGTTCATCTGATAATTCAGCAAGCTCGGGTGGTAGCTCAGGAACACGTAACGCAGGAACTCTAGAGTTTTCTTACAGTTCATCTGCGGGCGACAAGTCAACAACTAAGAGCAAAGGTAAATTGATCGGTATGATCGTTGGTGTGGTTGTTGGTGCGCTAGTCTACGTTTCATTGGTTGTTGTATGCATCAGATTTTACTTATTGCGCAAGCAGAAGAATGCCGATCAAATGAATGATAGTTCCAGCATCGAATCAGGATCTGACTTTCAAGGTTCTTACTTTCATGACGCGGAAAAAAATGTGGATGATCAAGCATCTATCACACCTAGCATGAGAATCAACAATTGGATGAAGTACAACCATTACGGTGGCTACGAAGGTGAATTGGCACAAGAACCAGCTACGGAACAGAGAGCTACGTCTATTCCAAAGATTTCAAGACCAATTGCGTCCGAAAATTCGCTAGGATGGAATGATGTTTAAACAAACTATGATACCCTTTTTATGCAAACTTACTCCCATAGGGAGTAAGAGGTGTGATCTTACGTACGGTTTATAAAAACAAAGTAAGAAATGTATTCTTTTTATCAAAATTCGTGACAAATGTATAATTCCAACCCGAATGAATCGATAAATTCTCATGCTAATAATTTCGAAGCTTCTCATGAGGACCGTGAATCTGCTTGTACTCTCTTGAAAGTGACAGAATTATTAGTTTTCGATTAAAAGTTATCTGCTCGTCCTTATATCGAATATTCTATGAAGAAATTGAATCCTGTCCGAATCTCTTCTAATAAAAGTCCGTTCTTACTATTCATCTAAACAGAAAGCCAATGTTTGTTGGTAAAATTTCTTGGGTGCTTCCCCAATTAGAACATGACCTGTATCAAATTCCTCCACGGTGCAATTTGGATAGTGCTTAGAAAGCAGAGAATAGTCACTACTGATAAATGGGGATTTCAGTGCCCGCATGAAGAGAACTCGACTTCTGGAAACACTACTAAACTCATCACGATTAAGTTTGGTAATATCTGGCCATTCCATCACCTTTTGGAACAAATCTGGCATTTCTAGTAATGGCATGCTATAATTAATGTACTCATCCGCATCTCGACTTAATTTATCCTCCCTGTCATTATTCTTGACCTGCAAGAATCCGCTCGCAAAATATAGGGCAACTTGATTGCTCTTGTTTGCGGGGACGTTTCTAAACTCTTTGAGAACTTCATCCCTCCATTTTCTAGTTCCTTTGCGTATTTTAACTGTTCTTGTTTCAATTTCCATCATTTTATTATAGTTTTGCACCAATACAGCATCCAAACTGGACAAAGGATAAGGTGGCATGTCAACCGATATGCACTTCTTAATATTCACTTTCTTGGAGAGTGAGGATAGGAGTCCTACACGTCCTCCTAATGAAAAACCAACTATGTATACAGGCGTTTCTGGCCCCATTTGTCTTTCTATGAAGTGGATCACGTCTTTCGTCAATGTTATGTAGTCATATGGTTTCGCTAAAGGTGATTGCCCATGATTTCTAAGATCAACAGAATACACATCAGTGTTTAGGTCTGATGAAAGCGCCTTACCCACGAAATGAAAATTCTTTCTACACCCAAAGAGTCCATGTAGCATTAGAATGGCCGGTTTTTGGGCATTCTTTTCTTGCGGTTTAAAATGTGAAAAGGCAAGTTCCACCAAGGGACTATAAGATAAACTTCGATGTAAGTAACGTTTGAAAATCATATGGAGAATCCGCGGCAAAATTGTTGCTACCTTGTGATGAATTCTTTATGCGCGTGCACTTTTTTTTGAATTTTGAAGATATATTATCTGTTTCGAACAAAATACCTTTCAATATTAACCAAAGCGAACAGCATCATATAAGCAGGCCCTTCTTCCAAAGTATGTCTCGACTACGGAGGTTTAATCGCAAAGTTTTGCGCGGCATCGGATCCGACTCTGACAATGATGAGATCACTTTTCTTCCCCTTGACTCCGACGAACAAGAAGAGCTAATCAATAGATTCGAAGTCCGCAGTCAATCTAAAGACAATCAATACATACAGCTATTGAGTGTAGCATACCTGATATGTTGTGGTTTGTTCATATTACTGTTAGTGAGGCTGCGCAGAAAGGAAGATCAATCGACAAATAAACGATTGGCCTTGTTCTCCATCAATTCAATTGTATCGTCCCTCATTTACCTTCGATATGAGATTGCAAAAAATTTCGAGTTTTTCAAATATAGATTCCAGTTGACTACAAAGAGGATTAACACTTTGAATTGTATTTTATTACTACTTATCACTTGGCAGGTTACCGAAGAAGTAAATATGAAGAGCATGCAATTCTTATTCCACATTCCGTTACTTCTATTCGTAGTCACTTTTTTAACCAGAAAATGGATTCGCGATCTTGATCGCGAACTAGATGACTTAAGGGGTTTAAAATACAAGTTCAAAAATGCCTAAGAATCTCGAATGGTATAGGCTTGTTCACGTTATTACGCATCCTCTTTAATTTGCTGCTGTCGCCAAGCAACTTCACAATTTGGTAGCTTGTGGTGGCAGTATTATCATCGCTTATAATTTTGATCAAATTTGGGATTAAGGAAGAAGAATTAGTTAAAGCGTAAGAAATAGGTCCCAGTGATTTTTCTTGCTGCAAGAATCGCTTGCGGCAATCTCTTGAAAAGACCAGGGGATATTGAAACTCTAGCTGGGACACAAATAGGGATATGAGATACTCATTACTTTGGTTGAGTATTGAGCTCCATCCTTCATCATTTTCCCCGTCTCGAATGAGAAAATTTGCTGTAATGTCAACACTTTCCACTGTTCTCAGAGTTTGCGGTCTATGTCTTTGCAGTGATAGTGGCTGCTCCAGTAATGTCTTTACTTTCATCTGCGTGAAGATCATACAGCTCAGGTTTAGTGTAATTGTCGTTTTATCAACGTCAAAGGTTACTTGATAGTTCAAATCTTGCCAAAAACCTTCACAACGTTTAAATCCCAGAAGTATTTGGTTCATCAAAGATTCTTCATCTAGATGACCTATCTCCTGGAGGCATATATTGAGCTGATTGAAGCGTCGTTAATATTTCAGAACCTTGATTATCGATTTGTATGTACGTACCTTCATCTGTCGTTGGATGGGCGGCAAAATGTAGGAATAAACTGGCTGCTTAATTTCCTCTTGGGAAATAATTTGCCCAGATATTTCCACAGAACTATGCCACTGGGAAAGGACTGATTCAGTTGCGTTGGCTAGATAGACATTGTCAAATGAGATGTTCATGTTTACAGTTTTCGTCACTGACTAGCTATTTAGGAAAGTTTTTATATGCTTCAAAAAAAAAGGACTATTTTGCCAACTAATCTAAAACAAAGTGATGCATGTTCTTTTGATTCATTCAATTTTTATTCATCGTTGAATGAAAATAAATAAGAGTGTAGGTACCATGAGAACTGCTGTTTTTTATTTACTCAATGTTAACTGACGTCTTTTAAGATTATGGTTGATAAGTTATCGTATCTGAAGTACGAGTGTACTTAAAGCAAGCATAAAAAAGAAAACTGTTAAATACCGTATGCCAGTCAGGAAAACTTCCAATATATATGATACAGGCAATACGCCTCATGCGTTGGGAATTAAAATGGGACGGTGAAAAGGAAGCACACTATATACAGCACGGAATATATTGTATAAAAGATGAGAAACGTCCAACAAGCGGTTGTTTGGCCGAGCGGTCTAAGGCGCCTGATTCAAGAAAAATTTCTTAACGCCCTCAGGGCGGAACACTCAGGTATCGTAAGATGCAAGAGTTCGAATCTCTTAGCAACCATTTATTTTTTAAGTCGAGTTTTGATCCACCATACGATGAATATTAGGAATTATAGGTACTTTGGCCCCATCTCATGGTAGAAAGTTCCTATATTTAACTTTAAAAAATACGTACTGAATACAGCTTCAATGTATGGTTTTTTTCGTGCATATTAGATGCTGCGAATATCAACTTAAGGATGTTTCTCATTCGAAGGATGCTTCCGACAGACTGTAGGCAAAATATTAAACTAGTTATGTTATGGCACCGTATATTTACACATAGAAATAGGAAGTATTCAGTTGTGCCTACAAAAGATATTCTTTCTTGAAGTTTTCCACCATAGCTATTTGGTCAGGTGGGAGTAACCTAACTTGATCGGCCGGCAACTGAAGCACTTGCTTTATCATATCTTGTTGTTGTTGTGGCAGAGATGACAGCTTCACCATATTAATTTGGGGTGTTCCGTTATTCACAGGAGCCAGAGGTGCGAAAAAAGGTGGCGGCGACGCTTGGGTAAAGCCGAATGAAGGAGCATTGAAACCCATTGTCTGCGGAGCTTGCTGCTGAGGAGGTTGCGCAAGTGGCTGTGGGGGCGCGACATACGAATTGAGGGGAACAGTGTTATTACTTATAGGTGTGCTGTTTTGCGAATTGCCACTGCTGTAAACCGTTGAATTGTTCTGAACAGGAGGAGAAAAGACCTTGCTTTGTTGCTCGGTCAGTATTTTAGTTACAACATTATAATTTATGAAGCCCATTTCAAGCATAGCCTGGGTCACCGCTACGGAAATATCCATGTTTGTACCCAAGAAATTTTCCAACTGACTGCGCTTTGCGTCTTGGTTGGCCAATATTTTCAAATTCGATATCATCTCCAGTAATTGGAGAGGTGGTATTTTACTCAAATTCATTGATATAGGATCTGGGGTTGTAAGAGCACCAGGCTGAAGCGCAGGGAGATGCTTGGAGGCTTTGCTGAGAATGACAGGGAATGACGTTGGAGCGCTTCCAGATGCGTTGGATTCGACATTGACCGATGGCACCGGGTTCGTCGGTCTCCTCGGTAATGGGACTTCTGACACCAGTTCAAAAGGCAGTTCTAGTCCAAACTCCCATGGGTACGAGTCTCTATTAAATTCTAATGCAGCCGCATCCTTTTTGGCATCTTTATAATTAGGTGGTATAATCCTTTCCAGCTCGCAAGGGAATTTCTTTATTTTCCTGAGGATGTCAAGTGCGCGTTTACTATCTTTACTGGTGGCATAGTCGACTATTATACCCAACACCTTTCCATTGCGTGGATCCGTCCTGGTTGACACATTAGTTATGGGGCCTGAGCCGGCAACTATCGACGTTATGGTATCCTGATTCCACGATTGCGGCAAGTTGGTAATTTGGATGGACGACGAAAGCAGTTCTGGCGTCAGCAGATGTCTGCTCTTTCTCCTCCTAGGATCAGGCATTGATCACTCAGTTACGATGATACACTTGAAAGTCCAACAACATATAACTCGAAATATTTTTATTATTTTGATGTTATATATTATCACGTGAACACGCAAAGGCTCTATGATGCTAGAAGTTAAATACAAAGATAATTATTTACTAATTACTGAAACCGATGTTTATGAGAGTAGTTTAGGTTGAATGCAATTGATATTACAAAACACCGAATTCCCCCCTCATTGCCCTCTGCTTCAGGTCCCACAGAGACATTTTTTCATCGTCTGGAAGAACTGCGATTTCGCTGTCAGCTAGTTGTAACACTTGTCTTAAAAGATCACGCTGTTGCTCTTGTATCTTGGGATCCTGAGAGGGCGTAGCGCTCGATGGATTATGCTGAACGGCAAGTTGCGTGAGGTCGTCTACTGTACTTATGCCATTAGTCAAAAGCAACTCAGCGACCACAAAGCTGAGCTGTGGACACTGTTCTAAAAGAGAGGTAAACTGTTCCGAGTTGTCGCGTGCCATGTCCTGCAATGTTTTTAGTAGTTGTAGTTGTTCTTGTTTCGATCTCTTGGAAAGTTCGCTGGATATCATCATCGCAGGAGTAGTCATGTTAATATTGACATCAACACCTTGAGGTAGACCAGGAAATGATTCCTTTTCTTCTTCTGTACCGCCTGACCCAGCACTATTGCCCATATCGCCTCCACCGTAATAACCACACTTCAAAAGTCTATTTCCCAGTTGATATCCGTTGAGGTTTCTTACTGCACTAGCACTCGAATCCAAATCCCTATATTCAATGAATGCATACCCTTTCGATTTACCTGTCTGAGGATCAAACATCATCTTCAAGTTGACCACGGGCCCTACATTGCGGCACAAGTCTAGAATTTGTTCTTCAGTCTGATCATAAGGTATCGAACCCAAATATACAATTCTCGAAGGGGGGTTATTCTGTACCGACCTATTCATTTCGTTTTCCCTTTTTATGGTATATTTGATGCTGCGCACTATAGTTTTTAGTTGTCGATGTTCTGTGAATTTTCAAAAATAATCCTGAATTTCAACTTCGTAGAAAAATCAAGAACCTTGATGTTAATGTACTACAATAGGACCTTTAAAAATACCTTATCAAAGCTGGTTAAATCTTTTATTGACAGTACTTATCTAAACCAACTTCGTAAATTTGTTAAGTAGTTATTCTATCTCCGGGTACTTATGACAAAATTTTTAAAATCTCATCATTCAAAGAGCTACGATCAAAGATGGATAGCAAAGACGTGGTAACGCACGTTAAGAATCTGGAAAAGAATAAGAGCAATGATGAAGTTGTTACAGAAATTCTGAATATCCTTGATAAGGAGATGAAGCCGACCGAGAAGCTTCTTCGGGAGACTAAAGTTGGTGTTGTTGTCAATCAGTTCAAAAAGTCGACTAATCCTGCCATCGTTAAGTTAGTCAAGAAGATGATCGGTGAGTGGAGGGATGCGATTTCAAGAGAAAAGAAGCAGCGTATAGCGTCGAAGGGTGCGCCTGCAGCCACTACCTCCAACGAACCTAAGAAGCACGATAAATTTGTGTCAAGTAAGCCAAGAAGTGCAAAGAATGATGGTGTTGTTACCACGATCTATGGGCATAAGTTACGTGACATGGTTATCAAAGCATTTTATGATGCCTTAGCCAAGGAAAGTGAACATCCACCACAATCCATTCTGACTACGTCTATTGCAATTGAAAAGGAGCTGAACAACTTAAATGACTCTGAAACAAATGAAAAGGCTTACAAGGACAAATATCGTGTCATATACTCCAACGTTATTTCCAAAAACAATTCTGATTTGAAACATAAAATTAATAATGGTGATGTAACGCCGCAATACTTAGTCACCTGCGATCCTAAGGAACTTGCACCTGAGCATTTGAAAAAGAAGCTAGAGGAGATTTCGAAACAGAATCTTTTCAACGCGCAAGGTGCGACGCTTGAAAGATCCGTTACTGATAGATTCACTTGTGGCAAGTGTAAAGAAAAAAAGGTGTCTTATTATCAATTACAAACAAGATCTGCGGATGAGCCTCTCACAACATTTTGTACCTGTGAAGTTTGCGGTAACAGATGGAAGTTTTCTTAAGAGCATGGATGCGATTAATTGGTCACTTCTTTGTTTTAGAGAATAGCTAAGTATGTGATATGTAACAAATAAACATAAGCATCGGATTACTGTAAAATTAGTCCTAATCTCGAACTTCTGTGTCTATCCATATGACATTAGGTTAATTTGGTTCCTTGTGGTCAGTCGTCACTGCTCACTAAAACATTCAAAAATATAATATAGGTCATCTGGAAAAACCACTCAGGAAGAACTAGAAAGAACTTAGCTAGAAAAACGATAATGAATACCATCTTAGCTTATCGAACAGCCGTCCGACGCGTTGCTCCTCGATTTGTGATTCCAGGAAGACTTTTCAACGTTCTATCAGCGAACAAGTCCTCCAAGAGGTGGTACGCACAATCATGGGATAATAAGCAGCCTAACAAAGATGTCGACGCACACATTAAAGTACAACAACTTTTGAGCGACATTCAATCACATCCTAATGTGCTAGAGAAACTTAATAACATAAGTGAGCTTATGATGTCGAAGGGGTTGGCCAACGAATCAGCGCCACCAGGGCCTTGGCAGGTTATCAAGATTCTCACAGATAAAGAAATGCGGGTTGCCATGTCACAATTCAAAGAAGAGCTCCAAAAGTCTGGAATTGAAATTGGCCCTGATCAGCTAGGTCCGCTAATGACCGTCCTAGGAATGGATAAGAAATGAAAGCATATATTCAGAGTGAAAATTAGGAACCCCTCCATTTAAGATGTACGCTATTTTACAATCATATAAACTGTGGCAGAATTTTGCGTTACGTAAAAGTACTAAGCAATACGTCAGCTTTGATTTATGCTAGATAGCCCAACAAGTCCATTTTTGTGACGATGTGGACAGGAGTCAAGCCATCGGTAATGATGGCAGACGAATTCTTCTCAAAGAATTGGTTCAAGTCTGAAAGCTTAGTGTCGATGGAGAATTTAGCAAATCTCTTCTTGCCCGACTTGTTGTCGTTGTAGGAAGATACTTCGTTGAAGTTGTTCAGTTTCCTGAAATCAAAGAAGAGACCCTCAATTGACTTGACTTGGCCACCAGTGGAAAGCTTCTTTAACAACTGTGATAATGTCACCAAGCCTACCAGTTTTCCATCTTCAGAAAGAACAGGCAATTGGTCGAAACCATTGTCTCTTAGAATTTTGACAACTTCGGAAAGAGGAGCATTTTCCTTCACAGATACAACAGGCTTCAATTTTAGATCTCTAACGATAGCGCCGTGAAAGATGTCCTTCTCACTCTTGCTTAGAGGAGCAACAATGGCATCATCCCACAAGCCGTTCTTCTTCAACCACTCATCATCGACAAACTTTGTCAAGTACGATCTGATGGAATCAGGGAAAACGACAACAATCACATCCTTTTCAGTAAGTTCAGGGTGTTCGTTACAGTAATCAACAAGGGCAGCGAAAGCACTACCACTGGAGCCACCAATCAAGACACCCTCATTGGAAATAAGCTGACGCGCATACTTGAAGGAAGACTTGTCCTCTGTCTTGATCCAGTGATCAACAAGAGATCTGTCCAAGACCTTTGGGACAAAATCATAACCAATACCTTCAACCTTGTATTCGTTGCTGTCAGTTTGGTTCAATGATTCAGGTTGAGCCAAGATAGAACCAACTGGATCGGCACCAACAATTTGAATGCCTGTGTCCTGCTCCTTCAAATACTTAGAAATACCACTGATAGTACCTCCTGTACCGGCACCCGCTACGACTGCATGAAGCTTATCAAACTTTTTTAATTGTTCAAGTTGCTTGTGTATCTCTTTACCAGTACCGTAGTAGTGTGCGTCGGGGTTTCTCATGTTGTTGTACTGATCAAGAATAACAGCGCCTGGGATTTCCTTCTCTAGCTTTTTTGCCACACCGATGTGCGATTCAGGAGAATCCCATGCAGCAGCAGTAGGTGTTCTAATGATTTCAGCGCCTAGGGCTTTCAAAACGGAGACCTTTTCGTTGGACATCTTTTCAGGCAGCGTGATAATTGTTCTGTAGCCCTTGATAGCACCCATCAGAGCAAGACCAATACCTGTGTTACCAGAGGTTGGTTCAATCAGAGTAGTCTTTGATGGGTGGATAGTTCCTTGTGCTTCTGCATACTCTATCATCGACTTGGCAATACGGTCTTTTATCGATCCTCCGGGATTGTAAAGTTCTAGCTTCGCATACACTTGTGGCTTAATACCTAGAGCCTTTGGCAGTTTGGTCAACTCGACCATAGGGGTGTTCCCCACTAGGTCGGCAACGGAAGTACGTGTATCGAATTGTGACATTATGCTTCTTGGGATATCTGTTAGTCTTGAGCTATGATTTCAATTGTTGCCCTTATATGTAGGACTGGCAGGTAAGGTGATCAGATAACTGTGGCTTCAGCAATAAAAAAGTAAGTACCTCGACAAAATGGACAAACAAGTCAGAAAATATCAAGGAGTTTGTTTCCAGATGTGAAAGAGATAAACTTATCAAGCGTAAATTGAAAGTTTGGTGGAAATACAGGAGGTAGTTGTTCTAGGATTACTAATTCCTAGAGAATATCGAAAGAAAGCCGAAAATTTTTTCGAACGCCGTTCAGGGCTCATTTACAAGAGAAAAAGGCATGATTAGCTAGTGCGTCTACATGCTGCGGCTGAGCACCATTGGCAGGTTGCATATGCAACCAAATGTAAATTGTTATGGGTTATCGTGAGAAGGAAGCATGGCTTTATAATGATGTCGCTCATTTAGTGTGGCATCCTCCTCTTCTTATCCAATATCACGGGATTACACTTCAACGTGAAATGGCTGCAAGTTGGGTTAGAAACCGCAAACTTAGTTCAGTGTACTATACGATATAAAGTATCTAAATTGCATACTTATGTAAAGAGCTATCGTTTGATTGGGCTGTAAAGTCTTGAACTTAAATTCCGTGATTACCGTTGTACTTCACTGGAGATGGAGATTCCCATCCAGCAAGCACTGCGAGCGGGTCATCAAGTTCAAAAACTTCGACTTGCAGTGGTCTACAAACACCTGTCATGTCAGAAACATTTTGGTTATTCTCATCTGAGGCGCCTTCTCCCCATCCCCAGTTCGAAAGGTCGCCGCCAGGGCACGCCGAGATAGCGCATATCAAGTCGATTTCACAGAAGAACTCGAAGTAGTCACCGGATTTTGCGGGGCAAGTCTCCATAAAGTATTGATCGTACTCGTTCAAACCTGTCAATTGAAATATGTTGAGCACGTCATGAATATTCTCTTCTTCACCACCATATTCTCTTATCGCCCTATACAAGTTGGAATGGCAGTGGAAATCGTTATCTTGCCCGCTTAATAGCTTATCAACGTAAGGATCACACCTGGTGCCGAGCAAATCATGGACTCGCCCATTGTGCTCATCAGGACCGTAGTCAGCAAGCGAATCGTCAATGATGGTTAGCATTGGACGCAAATAGGGTAAGTTGGACCATAACTTGTCATATACTGAAACGTGAGCAGAATGTAATTGCCTAGTGCGCGAGGCCCACATATGCTCTTTGAAATCAGAGTCAGCACTCCAGCAATTGAAGTCGCAGACCTGAGGACCTTCGGGTGTCGAAATACGCACAATCGAGCCCTTTTTAGCCTTCCAGGCTTTCCCAGAGCGAATGGGCACATGATGGCTTGCCACTAAATGCCTTGGACTTTCCTTTACCAAATCATAGAATTCGAACTTTGGAATTAAAATAGAATCTTTAGACGTAGGAAAATAAGCAGGAATTGGCTTTGGATAATTATGATTCTTTTTGGAAGCTTTTTGAGAAACAAAGGTTAAAGACGACATGATGCTTTGGTCCTTTTATGAAAGAAAGGAGGTGGCTGCTTCTTGTTTTTCATGTTTGTCTTGTTATCTTTGCCGATATCGGTTGCTAAATTAGTGCACCAAGAAATGCCACGTAGATCGAGCTCATCAAGAATCTTATTGAGCAGTGAACATCGTTATCAGCCTGAGTTTGTCCCTCTGTAAAGGGCCGACTCTTTCGTTTAGATGAATATTGAAGTAAATTTGAGTTGTGAAGTTGAACTTTTTCCTTATCATACCACTTGGGAAGGAATGGGACAAAAAGGCAGTAAAATAGAGGTTACCAAAGCTGATAAGGCTGTTCTCCAACTAAAGATATCTAAAGATGATCTACATAGATATACGAGGCGTACGGAGTTGCTGATAAACAACGAAAGACAGCAGCTGAGACATCTTTTGAAAGAGGATCCCAAAAACGGTAAAAAGAATCCTAGGGTAAGATTGATACTGAAAAGAATCCACTATCAAAGTCATCTTTTAGACCAAGCTGCTGACCAGCTGATAAATTTGGAGAATATGGTTGCAACAGTAGAGTTCAAGCTCATTGAACAGCAGTTCATTGCTGGCCTTAAACAGGGTAATGATGTTCTAACCAAGTTAAATAAGGAATTCGCAGGCGCAGAAGACCTCCTTGATGACGTTCAAGAACAAATCGCATATCAAGAAGAGATAGATCAAATTCTCTCCACTAGCGTGGTTGGGGGGTTCGAGGATGAATTAGATAGAGAGTTGCAACAATTAGATCAAGAGGTGAATGGGTCGCAGAACCTTCCAGAGCTTCCATCCACAGAAGGACTTCCGGCGATACAAGATTCGAAACAGGGAAGCGAGAGTGTCAAGCAAGGAGAAATTGGCGAAGAAGCGAAACAGGAAAAGGCCGAAGAAGAGGAACGTCGCACAGAGCCCCTTTTGGCTTAAATAATAACAAGATTGCATAGACTATGTACGATTAAACTCTAAAAATGTCAAATATTTTATTCACTTAACCACTCCAAGAATTCAGGGGTCAAGTAACTTATAATAAGCCTTGCGCCTGCTCTCAAAAAGCCTTGATGAGACTCAAACGCGATAGTCTTGAAGTCAACAACGCCCTTTTCAGCAGCTGCATGAAGCATTGCATATTCTCCAGAGACATGATATGCGCAAATGGGAATATCCCTAGCAATTTCGGAAGCGTCTGCCATAATGTCCAAATAAAAAGTGGAAGGCTTTACGATAATACCGTCGGTACCCTCAGCCAAATCTCTTCTTAAAGCCCTACGAGCCAATCCTCGCCCTCCTGATGGAAGCTGATAGCACTTTCTATCTCCACTGGAAGGCGAAGAACAGGCAGCGTCACGGAAGGGTCCGTACAAATTACCGCTGAATTTGGCTGCGTAGCTGAGAACGAAAGTTTTATGAGCCAAACCTGCCTTTATCAAACCGTATTTGATGTCCTTGATTCTACCATCAATCATATCACTAGGTGCTACGGAATGAGCGCCAGCCTTGGCATAGTTTACTGCGACTGCAGCAATCCTGCGCACCGACTCCTCACGGTTAATGGTCCCGTCATCATATAAAACGCCACAATGACCATGCGATGTATATTCACACAAACAAACATCGCACATGATGTAAAGATCTGGAAATTCACGACGCAGCAACTTAATAGCCTGGATGACAGGTCCTTCTGGATCATCTGCTGCAGTTCCGAATGCATCCTTGCAACCAGGCTTCAATGGAACACCGAAAAGAATGACAGATCTCAGACCCTTTTCAATTAGGGGACGGAGGTATGCTGCCAACTTGTTGACACCAAATCTTTTGATATTGGGCAAAGACTCGATGGCAGTTTCATCATCTGGATCGTCAGAGATAAAGAGTGGGAAAATGAATATGTTCTTAGTCAGCTGGCGTTCGTTCTGCCATTCTCTCAATAGTGGATGATTGTAACCACCTGCAAGGACAGAAGAGATATCAGTTGGGTAGATGTCTAGGAATTCTGCAGTGTGCATTTTGCCTATTTTATTGAAACTTTTTAAATCTCATTTTTTACCAAGCTTTTCTTAACTTATTTCATTATGCTAATAAGGTAAAAATATAGAGCACGTGAAAAGGAAGGATAATGTATGCTGATTGGGATCTATCACTTGACTCCCGTAGAGTCCCAATTCCAGATCTTAATTTATTGCTTAAGATGTTGTGATCAATATATAGAGACTGTCAAAGTCGCACATTATTCTATGAGTTTCTTTAAACCTTGTGAATGTACGACCGCTGACTCTCAAAATCCGACGCTATCTCTTGAAAACAATGATACCGGGTAGAGGACGGCAAAAAGCAGTGGAGTATTTCGAGTCCGCGGTATCTAAAGACGTACTTTTCAGCACCTTATTTGAAATACGTAAAAAGTTCCACACATCGCATTGCAAAAGACAACTCTTTAACTGTGTGGGGAAGATTTTTGATGTTTTCACTCCGATCTCATCATTGTGTTTTGCACTACATTGAGCAGCTTGTGAAGTAAATAGTATCCATGGATAATAAATAAGTGTCAGAGTAAGCTTATGGCATTTGAAAATGGCATCGGCAATCCTCGAAATGGACAACCTGATTGGCTGCGAGGAGGAATATAAATTTCTTAGGTATATGTGCGCTTAGTTTCAAAAATCTGCCGTAATATGGGCGAAAAAGGTACTCTTCCAGTTCCAAACAATCAGTTACCGTTTAAGAAAAGATCTCCTGTCAATCACAAGAATATCTTAATTCGAAAACATGTCTCACCAATGTGAACATGAGCATCATGACCATTCCCCACCACCGGTCACAAACAGTACACAGTCTCTCTACGAGCATATAAACTTTTTACAAGTGGTATGCTTGAATGCCGTGGCCAAAGGAAGCGACAACCAAAGCGCTTGCGTATTCAAGACCCAGGATGAAAAGTATAATGTTTCAAGATATCTCGAAAGCGATGCTGACTGCCAAATGATTATACACGTCCCGTTCACTGGTACATGCAAACTATTCTCTATCGTTCTCAGATGCAATCGCACTGATGGGGGTTATAGCTCGCCCAAGACAATCAAACTTTATAAAAACTTTAACAAAAATGTTGATTTTGATACCCTAAGCGAATCAAAGGATGACCACCACTTTGAGAACCCTCAAGATATCGGGATCGGTGTGGGGATCGAAACCGACGTCCTGGACGACTCGACATTTGTGGAGCACCATTTACCTCGTCATATCTTCCAGAATTGCTACTCATTGACGCTTTTCATTCAAGATAACTGGACTGCCGACGAAGATGATTTGACTTGCTGTTTTTATTTAGAGCTTCGTGGGGAATATACAGGCGAGCGTGCTTCCAACGATGCAATTCCTCTTATGACCGTTTATGAGTCTGCTCCCAACCCAGTAGACCATCAAAAGCTGGAATATGAACACGAAAACATGGAACTAGGTATGTAGTAAAGCTTTAGTCACTATTCATATTGCTTATCATATGTGGCGTCGTTAAATAACACCGAAGGGTCAACAAACATGAGTATGAAACAGACTTTTAGGCTATATTATCTTGAATCGCCAGCCATATGCCAATTAAGGGTGTTTCAATGATTTCTGATGGTCAAAACGCATGAGAGCCTAATTGCGTCATAAAGAATAGGAAAAGGCAGATGCGTAAGATGAAAGGCAGTTTTGAAAGACAAAAATGGCGGCACTCAAAATTTCATCTACTGTATCATATATAGTCAATTAAATAATGAGCTACTAGGCAATCATTGGGTAATCGGTTTTTCGCATTATATGTCACATTGTTAAATCGCGAAATATATCAAGAAAAAGTCAGTGACTTTTCACATGCGGGGCGCCAATCTTTCACATGGAATTTGACTTTTCAACAGATCAAGACAGAAAGAAAATATAAAGTAGCTTTTACACTTGAAACTCTCCCCTGACAGACCAGAACGTGTGAATACTCTAGTTCAACCTAGTTACACTGATGATAAAGGATACCAAAAGGTCTAAATCGGTCAATTCGAAGATCAATCGCAAACCCAGTAAAAAAATCATGGAGAGCGCAACTAGTACCAGTGAAAAATCAGGTACGGTGGCAAGGACGCGTACTGGTAATGTCACATTCATACCCCCAAGGACACATGACATGGTTAGGTCTCTATTTGATCCAACGTTGAAAAAGTCATTTCTAGAATGCTGTATTAGTCTTGCCATCATTTCCAACTTTGTTATCTGTTATTTTATGTCTTCAAAATTTGGCACACAGGTAACCAAGGTGTTTTTCCTGTGGCAATATCTGTTTTGGAGGTTATGTTATAATCTTGGAATCGGCATTGTGTTGAACTCTCAATCTAAGAGTGAATCATTGACAAATTTTGCTAAATCAAGAAAACTGTTTTCCCCAAAGAGTAAAGGATGGCTAGCAAAGTTCTGCCGCTTTGAGTTGCAATCCAAAATGCCCTCTTCTTATAAAATTGAGAGCTATCCCGAAGAGTTCAATGTTTGGATGCTGTTTAGGCAATTCGTTGATTTGATCTTGATGCAAGATTTTACCACCTATATTCTCTATGTTTATTTGTGCTTACCAAGCAACTTATTCTCTTCTTTCAGTTTTAGAGTTTTTTTGGGGTTTGCCATGATTGTCTTCAACGTGTGGGTCAAAGTTGACGCACATAGAGTTGTGAAGGACTATGCATGGTACTGGGGAGATTTCTTTTTCTTTCAGGATTCTAAACTTGTTTTCGATGGTGTGTTCAACATCTCACCCCATCCCATGTATTCCATTGGATATATGGGATATTATGGACTAAGTTTGATTTCTGGCGACTACAAAGTGCTCCTTGTCTCGCTTTGGGGACATTTGCTTCAATTTCTCTTTTTGAAATATTGTGAGAATCCACATATCGAAAGAATCTACAGCAATGCTGATGAAAATGACATATCGAACAGTCAGATTGATGATTTGCTCATCAAACAAAACCATAATTATTCCAGGCCACTAGTCAGCAAGGGCCTATGGTTTGCAAACTTTGATAAATTGAGAGTTTCGGATTATGTTACCGTTTTCACTGCTCTTGCGATTGCTAAAATTGCATTATCCTCTACAGTATCTGCCAAGGATCTCTTCTGGGCTACTTTTATTGCTAAACTAAGCACTTCGGGAATAATTGGGTTCATATTGCACAAACAATCTACGCAGAAGTGGTTTACCAAACTGTTTTTGGAGAATGGCTACACACAGCTTTATTCGTATCAACAATGGCAGTTCATTTACAACTACTGTCTCACAATATCCTATTCTTTATTAGTCTTCCAAACGATCGCGCAATTTAAGCAGATAGCACTACCTGATTATACTCAGATCATCTTTGGGTTCATTCTATGCTTTCTGCAGGTGTGGTGTGATGACGAAATCATGACTGCCATCTCGGAATTTGGTTGGTTTTATGGTGATTTTTTCTTAACCAACTATATTGATACCAGAAAACTGACTTCGCAAGGTATTTATCGCTACCTCAACAACCCAGAGAGATTTCTCGGCGTTGCTGGATCCTGGGGTGGTGTGTTGATTACTAACTTCTCCTTGCCAAACATTATTTTGGCTGTTCTCTGGACGCTTTCGAATATCATCCTAGTGAAATTTGTGGAAGAACCACACGTCAACAAAGTGTATGGTGCATTGAACAGAAAGAGTGGCGTTTCTAAAACCTTACTTGGCTTCAAGCCTTTAAGAAGATTTTCCGAGATTATGGACAGAGCAGAGGCAAAGGTTGTTGAGAAACTACTTTCCAACGAGTCACCTCTCGATGAAAATAGCCATGAAGACTCTTCACAGTGGGATGATATTGTTCAGTTGGCGCTCCAAAATGTGACTGCGAACTTAGCTCCAAACTGTGAATTTGTGGTTGGTGATGGTCCCTGCGAAACATTTCAAATTCCAGGGCCCATCAAAGTCACTTGGAAATTACCCAGTAAGCTATACCATAAAGAAGATTGGATTGGATTATACAGAGTCCTGGAAACTGGTGATGATCGTCATAAGACCCGGATATCATCAAATGGTCATTGGTGTCCTACTCAAAAAGGTGCTTATTCCAACATTGATCAATCAAGCCGTAAAATTATCTTTCAAGAGAAAGAGGGTATTGTAAGTGGCCAGCTCGAATTCGATTATTCTCTCTTATATTTCGAGGAAGGTGTTTATGAAATGAGATACCATAGCAAAAATTCTCATAAAGTCTTGATGATTTCCCAACCTTTCAGGTTATCATTTCCTATTATTAACACAGAGTCTTCGGAGTCATTTGCAAGCGATATCTCATCTTTCCTGGAACGCTCCCATGCATTGAAGGATGGTAGTTTTGTACCTGGCATGAACAAGTGTTGTACCGTAAAGTGCCTCAGGAAGTTGATAAAACAAAGCACAGGGGTCCATATATCTGCAGAATTTTTGAAGAAAATAAACTACGATATTCAGGTCTCTTCTGCAAGAATATTTGATATCAAAAAGGTTCTTGAGAGTCTAGAGTAACATGACCAAGTGCATTTACTGCATTTCAGGTAAACTCCTTATATGTTAATGTACAGAAATATATGCTTAACTAGTTTCATTTTTTATTTTGCATCAAGTATTTTATCATAGTGGAACGATTTTGGTAGTACTGCTCCTTGCATTTTTCTATGGTCTCCACGAGATCTTCAACGTCACCAGTATCCTTCCACAGGCCGACAATTTCTTCCCCATTCTTAGTAAAAGACACTACCGTTCCATTATAACTCCCAGCACTCACCATGTCAAAAATTTCAATGCCCGCATCAACCAGAGCCAACGTTATGCCGTTGATACAGGTAGGAAGAATAGCCTCCCTGCTATATTCCCCAGAAGGGCCTTCATGCTGAATCAAATTTAAAAAGATATCAATTCCCGACTTAGGATATCCAGCTAGATTTATGACAGCATTGAATATGTTGGTGAGGAAGTTACAAAGTTCTTTAAGTTCACCGGTTGGGAAATTTTCTGCCGTCACTTCTTTGAATTGAATAGTTAAAGACGCTTTAGAATTGAAAGAGCCTCTAGTTGGCCTAGGACCATAAACAGAAGTTAGAAGAAGAGTGGGATATTCTATCCCATTCGAGTCCCTTGTTTCCAGATATGAGGATCCATTCGAGTTTGATACAAGACCATTCTCGATGAAGACCGACTTGTTTAAATTCTTCCGCTCTGTATCGATTTTTTTCGAGTCTTCATTTAAAGGTGCAAATTGAATGGGCCTTGCATTCGTTGGGCCGAGGATACGTCTTCTGTCGGAAACGCTCATTTTATTAGTCTTGAATTGTAAAGTTTGTTAGAATATATAAGATGCGATGAGATGTGTACTTTAAATTTTTCTTCCTTCGAACGTTGATAGTGATGCAATAGACCCGCTCTCTACTATGAACATTAGTTAAGAATATCACAATTAAAAGGTTTATAGATTGTAAAATGCTAATCAGGCGATTCCGTATCATTAATAATTCGGACCATCATTATCTGGAGGCGGTTCACTTTCCAGTTCCTGTAATCTACGTCGCTCCAGCTCGTCTTTGTCCTCCACGGTATCATATAATGAATTGGGCGTATATTGCGGTAATGGCATCACATATTGCTCATCATTATCGAGACCATAAGTTGTCGAGTATGCATGTAATTCTTTGGCAGAATGTAGTGGTGGATGTGTTCCTAAGCGAAGTTGTGTATGCGATAGAGGCTGCAATTGTGCATGCATTAGCGCTTCGGATTCTGAATCAGATTGCGGCTGTAAATGACCTTCTGCACTCTCAGCGTCCTCCAGATCAATTTGTTTGCTCCTGTTTGTTCCGACTACCACTTCAATTGACATGCCAGTAACGTTTCTCAGTCTTTTGAGCTTGTCAACATTAATGAGATCTTTGAAGAAAATAAGTGATTCACGATCGTCGTTCTTCATGGGGTCCCCGTGTGGCCCACTTCTTAATTTCCTTTGTAAGTTTGCCACCGTTTCCTCCATGGTAGAGCCTAACTTGGACACTGATAGATCGGAGTTAGATCCTGTTCCGATTACCCGATTTGACTCGGTGAATACAAGGTTCTTCCTTGACAAATTAACTAGGACTTCAACATAATACTGAAAGGAAAAATGTCTGGAAGGCATCGTAAGTGTGGGAAATGCGTCTAAGGGAACTTTCAGATAAACTGTTATCGTGCATTCATGCGATTCTGGATCTACGTATATTGGTCCGACTGTTTGGCAGATGTCTTTTCTGAACGTTTCCATTGGCTCATCCTTAGACGAGCCACATACTCGACAAATTCTTACTAGGGTTGCAATGAGCCCAGTAGGATGCGAATACTCTTTATAATGTTCTAGCTTCAATTTCACGGGAATTATTTCCCCGATAACAAACCCAGAAGATGGTAGATCCACGCTTATGGTGACAGTTTTCTGAGAGGAAGTTGATCCAATTGTATTGTTAGAACTTCGCGAGCCATTTGTTTGTTTTGTCAGACTGGAGCTTGTGTCTTGCTCTCCTCCAAGAGGCCTCTGTTGCTTTAATGAAGATGGCGACTGCAGAACTACCGTTTTAGTATTTGGCTTCGGTAGTAAGCCTACATCTACAGGAACCAACACTGAAAACTTCTTCTCGCAAGCCGCGAGGGCTTTGTCCTGCTGACTAGAGTCGAATGATTCCAGCTGACATCGTACGTGGTATGATATCGACCCTCTTTCGAAGCTCACCGAAGTGAAAACATTCTTTGCTGGTAACTTGATTCTAAAGGGAAATCGATGTTCCCCTTTAGTCAAACCATTTACTATGGCACTCGAGTTACCTACTTTTCCCTCCTCATCTCCGTATATAAGAGTTGTCTTTTCAAAGAGCTCCTCCGATACTTTTGTTCGGGAGGTTGTACCTAGCCCCGCCTTCATCCTTATTTCCCCGACTAGCGATAGACGTATGGAAACGTTTGCAATGTCATCTTTCAGTATAAGTGTAACCTCACCGGATATTATTTCGTTTGGTTTCCAAATTTTGTGTGCTTCTTGGAGTGTTATATAGAAATCCCTGGCAGGCGCAGTACTCACTCGAAATCTGCCGTTCATCGCGGAACTACTTCTCCTCCTAGTTGAAAGAAAGGGTACATTGATTTTTGAAGGGGGAGAAACACTCTCCTTACGGGTATCTCCACCTCTAAATTTGGTCAGAAGCCCCATTTTTAAATGCGCTTGCTGACTCGTCCTCAATAATTGACTAGTCTAATTGAGGTCCAATTTCTCAAGTCACGTAAGAAAATTTCGTCACCCACTCACGCTATTGAGATCTTTCAAAAACTAGGGATAAGCCTCACAGATAATATAATGAAGCGACTAAGTGTGTTTTAGTCTCTACAACGATTTGGGTAAACTTCGAATTATCTCTCTTTTCTTGGCAAAAAAGGTTCATCAACAGATACGATTCGCATCACATGATGAATCTCCGCTTACTCAAACGGCTTACTTGATCAAAGAGCTCATAATCAGTAGTATTATTTTAATTTACTCACTATTATACAATGTAAGATACACGACGGCAAGAGTATTTACAGATAACTCAATCAAAAGTCTTCTTTTGACCTTGGAAGGCAGCAGTTTGTCTGGCCTTGCCTAGTGGAGCGGTGTTAGAGCCAGAGCCGGATGGTCTGAAACCACCACGGCTACCACCGCGTCCACCACGGTTTCCACCACGGTTACCACCAAAACCACCACGACTACCTCCACGGTTGCCACCGTTGCCACCGTTGTTGTTTTGTTTTGGAGTGGAAAAGTCTAGTCTAACTGGTCTGTTATCGATGTAAGTACCTTGCAAAGCATCAAGAGCTTTTTGGGCCTCCTCAACAGATCCATATTGGACGTAACCGAAACCCTTTGGCTGCTCGGTTTCAGGGTGTGTTGGCACACGAACGGACACAACCTCACCGTGTTCACCAAAAACTTCAAACAGATTGTCTCTGTCGACATTGAATGAAAGATTACCCAAAAATAGAGTATCAGATGGTTGAGATGGGGTGTCACCGAATTTCTTGGCACGGTCTTCCCTTGGATTGGAAGCGGGCTTACTGGTAGACATGTCACAGTTGATGGGTCTTCCATCAATTTCTTTTCCGTGCATTTCCTTAACGGCCTTTTCAGCATAGGACTTGTCTTCAAAGTCAACGTAACCATAACCACGAGATCTGTCGCTGCCCCTTTCGTAGATGACTCTGGCGCTTACAACACCGCCAATTGGCTCAAATTCGGTCTTGAGCCATTCGTCATCGATGTTCCAAGACAATCTACCGACGAAAATCGTGGCTGGTTCACCGGATAGCTCGACCTTTTGCTTTTTGGATTCGTTATTGCTGTCACTTTCTTCGCTTTCCCCGTTCTTACGCTTCTTAGAGGTCTTTTCCTCAGTTTCGACTTCCTCTGAACTAGCCGATTCCGAGTCACTGGAACTAGAGTCGCTAGATTCAGAGTCACTAGAGCTTGAATCGGAGTCGGAGTCGGACTCGCTGGAAGAAGATGAGGAGCTGGAAGAAGAGGAGCTAGAAGATGAAGATTCCTTCTTTGCCTCTTCTTCTTGTTCAGATTCAGAGTCGCTGGAAGAAGAGCTTTCTTCAGCATCTTTGGTAGGTTCTTCCTTTGGCTTAGTCTCTTCTTCAGCGTCACTGTCAGATGAGGACTCGCTGTCGGATGAAGAAGAATCGTCGTCCGAGGAGGAAGATTCGCTGTCAGAAGAGGAAGAAGAAGACGAGGAAGACTCGCTGGAGGATTCCTCATCACTGGAAGAGCTTTCTTCGCTAGAGCTGGAAGAATCAGAGTCGCTGGAGGAAGATTCCTTAGCTTCAGTTTCGGCCTTTTTAGCGGCAGCAACCTCTTTCTTGCTTTCCTTCCGTTTCAAGTCCTTCTTGGAAACCTTTTTGATAGTACTCTTACCCATTATTAATTTGAATTGGTTATTTCACAATACAAGAGCAGCAAGAAGCGAAGAAGCTTTCTAGTAGCGTTTTACAACTTTATGCGATGAGCTTGAAAAATTTTCAAGAAAAAGAAATATAGGGCGGCGCCAGAAAAAAGAAAACACACTAATGGGGTTAAGATGGGATGTGGAGCAATTGGATATCCCATCTGACTGTAGAGATAGACCTACTTCAATACGTTAGTCTGTACCACTCAGCCGTGAATTTGAACTATGTCTAGATGTTGTTTCCAGATCCCGTTGAATGCATTGTGCTAGCTCCGTAAGGCCCGCCCCATTCAGCCCTGGAAAATGAAAATGTCAGAAGGGAGCCCTATATTAAATATTATGAAATACGAGCGCTAACTCTTGGAGGATTTACATTGGAATTTGTGCACTAGAAATGTGGTGATTTGTTAAATCATAACTGTAGTAGGCGGAAAAGGACATTGATTTTCCCCTAAATTAAAAGTGGAAGTAGAATTACGAGCACATTTCTCTTATGATCTACTTCTAGTGCTATGGAAAATGTAGAGGCCTCGATTTGTTTGGAATTGCAAATAATTGCGGAGAGCAACTGTTGCAATGAAAATGTTCCGTTCTCTTGCTGGACTATCGTCTGACCTTTTGTCGACATGAATTATGTCAGGGATCGAGTCCACCATGAAACCCCGTTTCAAGGTCTTATTTAAATTTCCCTCGCGTGTTTCACCGTTGGCAAGCGTCTCATGCTCGTGAAATCAGGTACCTTGCCAGTCTATAATTGGTGGCTGGTTTCTTCAAGAGCCCAAAAAATGAAAAGCATAGCAGTGCAGGTTTACTGAGACTGATTACGTCCTCAAGTTCGCGCTTAAATTGATTCGGGAGCTATTTTTAAGATACGCTCTAGTGCAACGAGTGCATCGAGAGCTCAGACAAGTGTGCCTTCTTTCAGGCGTTCGGACGAAAATGAGACTTGGTAATACCCAGACTCATACCGGTAGTCCAATCGATTAAGGCCAATTTTCAAATCTAATGTTTTCAGAGGTTGCAAAATATGACAGCTATATATCATGGTAGGCCCCGTGTCGCAATGCATATTTGGACTGAATTACGAGTTTGTACATAAAATGGCTTTGCGCGCAAACTTTCATAATTTGCAATTCCGTCGTTGCCCTTGTATTTCGGCACCTATTTTGCTATAGCAGCGTATTGAGAAGGGCCGAGAGTGTTATTTGAGTAAATAGGGCATTCATAGGGACAATTATAGTTTTCTATCGGTAAGCAGGGGGGGACTCAGTAAACCTTTCGCAACCCCTTTAAACGGTGTGGCTTGGCAGCTATGTTATCAAGAATTTGAGTCACACTAAATACCTAGTTGATGCACACGATAGGAGAGGTGTCTCAGATACGATGACTCACTCCATCCTGGCAAGACTCTAGGCGTGTGCAGTGTCTTCAATCATAATCTTATCACCTCGTTGGTGATAATGTATCTAAGTAAATGATTTTACTGGCAAGATAGCATCGTCTGCAAGGTTTCTTTTAGGTAGGCAAGCTGTATATATTTCATTCTCCCTTAGGGAGATCGCATAAAGTAACCTCGGCAACCTTTGCACGAAAAATCAGTGACTTTGAGAGATTGGCTCGAGTTTACGCACACATCACTAAGTAGGAGATGAAACTCAATAAGATATTATTCACAGAACTCAGTTAAAACGACCTGAAGATGAGAACCTCTTCGGTCTAATGTATATGATATTTATAGAATGAACTACATTGTGGTGCCTATTTAACCCAAAAAAAAACAGGAACAACGAGCGATGCATGCATAAAATGATGAGAGAACCCAGTAATCGAACTAATTGATTGATCTTTGCAACTTCTTAGAGTTATCCGGCGACCGTGCAGAAGAACGCCTCCTTCTATTACTACAAGATTCATTTGAATCGATACTTGTGTCACTGTGATGCCCGGGGACGTTCACACTGGATAGGTGGTAGTCGGAGAGTTCATCGCTTTTCTTGGATGAAACAGTAGATACTGAGGACAGAGAGTTTCTTTTCCGCTGTAGTAGCAAAGTAGGGGTTAAAGTATCGATGTGAGTTGCTGATGAAGGTCTTCTGGAAGAAAGTGGAGTCAGAGCACCGGAATTCAATGATCTGGTAGCGGAGACACCAGTTCCACCGCTACTCACACTGCCGACGCTGCTGCTGCCACTGCTAATTGACGAGTGCCGCGACAAGGACGCGGAAACGGCGGGTTGTGGATCTCCGCCGTAAGCGGCACCAAGGTTTTTCCTCAGCCGGCTGTTTTCTTCCCGCAGTTGATCAATTTCCCGCAGAAGACGCATGACAATTGCATCCTGTTCTTTTTCCATCTCGTTGATGATTTCCTCTGACGACAGACGTCTCGGTTGTGCGTGTTTTAAGGTGGGCGAGAGCTGGTGTGGGCTGACTACCGACGTTCTCTTCTTTCTAGGAGTAGGGTTAGGCCCCGAAATGCCCATCGTCCGTCCCATTCGGGCCGGCGACGGGGCTTTGAAGCCCTTACACTTCTTATTGCGCATAGGATCTCTGGTATTGTCGTCTTCCTCGCTGTCAGTGACTATTACCACTGGATCAACCGAAATATCGTCGTAGCAGCCTGTGCTTTCGAACATAAATGGCTTTTTATATAATGTGACAGCTGTGGCCTGTGCAGTTGACATCTCTCAAAAAATTGGATGTTTTTAAATAACACGTTCAGCTGACAAATTCTTGATCTGTGATGACCTCTTACACACGAATATTATATACGCTCACGTTTCTTCGACTTTCGATTTCCTTTTATAATCATCCCCATTTAATATGCGCATAACTGTTTTGGTAATGCACGAATCGTGGCTTTTACTCCATAAACGTTCCACTTGTACGACGAAGCGAAACGGGTAAAAAAAGCCCCCAACACACACCAATTGCGAAGTCTCAACGTCCGTTCTTGCCGATGATTCTAGATTGCATCATTTAGTCATGCTCATTGATGAAACTCACCCTACATTATCTTGTCAATACCTTTCCGTAATCTATGAACATTATCTATTTACACATGATTGCTATCCCTGATAAGTAGTAACCGAAATTCCACGGATCATTCTGTAGCCCCGTCGTAGTCATTTTTTCATCAATTTTCAACTGTGACCTACTCACCTTCTTCCCCACGTTTCAAAAGTCAATTGTACGACTTGCTGATAGCAGTCAAACGAGTCGTGGCCAGTATTACAGTTTTAGATAAGAAAGCTGTCTGCTTGTTTTTGGCTGTGATAACGTATTATCACCTGTGACTCTTTCAACAAATTATATGGTTTCGTGGTCTAGTCGGTTATGGCATCTGCTTAACACGCAGAACGTCCCCAGTTCGATCCTGGGCGAAATCATTTTTTTCCATGTTCCTATGACCGAATAGGGCAATTGGGACTTCGCGAGGTGACTCGGCAGATAGAACCTTCGGGTACGAGATGGTTAGCCAGGTATGCGTGGGGAAAGGCATGAAGTTTGTTGAAATCATCTATATTCTGGGTGAAATTTATAGTATGTTATCAAGACACCTGTTGGAGTGAATTTACGAACATCGAAAATGCCAACAAGTAAATTTCAACTAGATGGGCTGGCACTTACTTTCGCTGTTTTCTGAGGGTATCGCGGCATGGGAGTGTAGTATAGACCTCGCATAAAAGCGCTACATTTCTGCGTAATCCGGTACCGGGCATTCGCGCGATCGTGAGCTCACTACGAGTAGGCTGTTTCCGCGAGCAATTGCTCGAATGCGGAATTGAAGCCATTCGGTAACGTCGATCGTGCGCCGTATTGCGCCTTTTCCAAACTCGCGATCACGTCTTCGGCCCTCGGGTCAGCAGACCACAGGTACCCGCGCGATTCGAATTTGTCGGCAATTTGGCGCTGGTGATTGTCCATCAGCGATGTGTTCACCACGGCTATGAGCGGTTTTGAAGCTCTCAGTGCATCTAGGATGGACCCGGTGCCAGCGTGCGAAATCACGACGTCCGCGTGTGCCGATATCAGCTGTAAAATGTTTGGCGTGAAGTCCAGTCCCAAGATCTCGACACCGCGGTAATCACCGACATCAAAATGGTCGTTGCCAAGCTCTTTTGCAGACAAGCTCCCATTAGTACCAGCAGGCTTACACTTGATTCCATTCACAGCAGCTAATAACTGCTTAAATTTCAAATTAAATCCTCTGCCGTATTGCAGTATTATTCGATCGTAGCCAAGAGAGCGCACTTTCTCCAAAGTACGTATTTCAAGTAAAACCTCAATTAACTTCGGAAATGGCACAGTGGCACCACACGTTACTACGACTGTTTTAGTCATCGCGGCGTTCTGAAGCTTAATGAGTGCTGTGTAGAATGTTTAACTTAATCACATCGCCTTGCCAGTGGATGTCGACGTGTGTAGTGATGTGTATTTGGGTAACGATGGCTCACGGTGGCAAAATGTCAATTAAAGGTCTTCCAGCTTAACCAGTACAGCAAGAACTAAATTCAATAATTGAGATTCGAATGAGTACCGTCACGGTCAGTTCAGTTCCTCTGAACACACATGATAGTGGTATAAAGCCTTACTTTGATCAAAAGATTCAGGAAACTGAATTAGAAATCAGAACCAAAACACAGAACTTGCGTAGGCTCGAAGCCCAAAGAAATGCCCTCAACGATAAGGTACGCTTCATAAAAGATGAACTGCGTCTGTTGCAAGAACCTGGATCTTATGTCGGCGAAGTTGTTAAAGTGGTTTCCGATAAGAAAGTTCTCGTTAAGATACAGCCCGAAGGAAAGTACATTGTGGACATTGCAAAGGATATCAACGTCAAAGACCTCAAACCATCGCAACGTGTCTGTTTAAAAAGCGATTCCTACACTCTGCATAAAATTTTGGAGAATAAGGTTGATCCATTGGTGTCGTTGATGATGGTGGAAAAAGTGCCCGATTCGACCTACGACATGGTAGGTGGGCTCACACAACAGATTAAAGAAATTAAAGAAGTGATTGAACTTCCTGTGAAACATCCCGAATTATTCGAGAGCTTGGGTATCGCACAACCAAAGGGTGTAATTCTTTATGGCCCACCAGGTACAGGTAAAACACTTTTGGCTAGGGCAGTCGCACACCACACTGATTGTAAATTCATCAGAGTGAGCGGGGCTGAACTAGTTCAAAAGTACATTGGTGAGGGTTCACGTATGGTCAGAGAACTTTTCGTGATGGCAAGGGAACACGCACCATCTATTATTTTCATGGACGAAATCGATTCTATTGGTTCGAGTCGTGTCGAAGGTGGCTCCGGTGGCGGTGACTCTGAGGTACAAAGAACTATGTTAGAACTTTTAAACCAGTTAGACGGTTTTGAAACCTCCAAAAACATTAAAATCATCATGGCAACAAATAGATTGGATATCCTTGATCCCGCATTATTGAGACCAGGCAGAATCGATAGAAAAATCGAATTTCCACCTCCAACGGTAGCTGCTAGAACTGAAATTTTGAGAATTCACTCTAGGAAAATGAACCTGACTCGTGGAATTAATCTAAAAAAGATCGCAGAGAAAATGAATGGCTGTTCCGGTGCCGATGTCAAGGGTGTGTGTACCGAGGCGGGTATGTATGCCTTGAGAGAAAGGAGAATACATGTAACTCAAGAGGACTTCGAACTAGCGGTTGCAAAGGTTATGAACAAGAACGACGAAACTGCCATCTCAGTTGCAAAGTTGTTCAAATAAGAAAGAAAAGGTTGTGTATATTGCCGTGTATTTCTATCCGATGCAAGTATAATGTTAATATTGGGAGTCATTTCACGCGTGTGCATATTAAAATGCATTTTGTAGGTCAGGATATGTACTGGTAATACTTTATCTTTTTTGAGACGTTTGCACGATGTTAACGCCAATTGGATCTTTTCTCTATAATGTTCCGGTAAGCATCATCGATAGATTTGGAATTTAAGGAGCTATTTGAACACATTAGTTGTTTATTGGGTAAGAAGTTCGCCTGTCCTACAAGCAGGTCTTATATCTCACGCCAGTCTTATTGTTATCACTGGTAAGTAAAGTGGTTATGATTCTTCATTAACATTCAAAATTCACAACCTAACTTTAACGTTGAGCTAGCATTACATATAAAACAAGATTATATATAAATATAAAAATCAATAAATGTCAATTGATTTCCACTGAATTCTTGTCAATTAACATATCGTTGCCTCAAGTAGCTAGTCGGATCATCGTTAGAAACGGATTTGAAAATTTTTCGCTCATCATGGAAAATTTTTATTTGTACAAGCGAACATTTTGAATCAATCCACCAAGGACTAGATCAGTTCATTCTATCAGGAGAGTGGTATTCTGTTCGAAAGAGGAGAAGGAAACGAATTTTGAAGAGATTATATTTATTCCTTTCTAAGAAATTTATTTGATAGACACTATTACTCTTCCATTTGAGCAGTTAATTTTACTTATAATCACTAGGGAATGAGTGAACAGCAACCCAGTGAGAAACCAGCGGCTGTTGAGCAACAGCAACCACAACAGGGACAGCAGGGTCAAAGATTTTCTCGTAGCAACGGGCAAAGACAAACGTACCAGAAAGGTTCAAGGACGAACTCTAAACCTTATAACAACTACCAAGGTAGCAACAACAGGTATAATAAGAATGGTTATCACCACAAGTCCAATAGAAACAGTGGGATGCCTAACATGCAATGGGCTTACGGATACAATATGGCTGGTCAACCAATGTATCCTTCCTATGGATACGGATATGTACCACCCATGGCTCAAGGTTATCAAGCTCCTTCTACATCTGCCTCGCCAGGGGAATCCGCCACCTCGTCTCTTTCAACTACCCCTGTTTCAAAGAAGATTGAAATAACGAATAGGTCTGGTGAACATGTTGATCTAAATGCTATTCATAGCCAGCACGTTGCATCAACCTCCACCACTGTCTCCCCACCTGCAGCCACGGAGCAAGAGGCTCCTTTGAACTCTGCACCAACTTCGTCTACAAAGTCACCCACTCCGGAGCCAGTCAAAGCAGAGCCCACTGCCGATGAACTTTTGAAGTTGAGCTTCTTAGAACAGGTAAGAAAGCGTAAAGAGATGCTTGCGAGACAAAAGGCTGAAGAAGAAGCAAAACTCAAAGCCGAAGAAGAAGCTAAAAAGGTACCTGCACCTGAGGTACCTGCACCTGTTGCCGAACCTGAAAAGACTGAGACTCCGGTAGAAAGCACACCTAAGAAAGATGAGGTGGAACAACAACCTGATGTCATCAGTGAAGAACCTGTCGAAGTCGAAGTCACTGAGCCTGCTGAGGTAGCTGAAGCTGTCGATGTTGAACAAGTCGAAAAAAATGAGCCTGCTGAGCCTGTTTCGTCTAAACAAGAAGAATTTTCCGTTCCTGTTGAGATCACAAATGCAGAGGAAAAGACAGTCAAGGAAACTTCTGAGACTGAAAACGAAAAGCCTAGTGAGTCTGCTGAAACAGCAAAGCCACTTACTTTCGCAGAAAAGCTAAAGCTCAAGAAGCTTGCCGAATCCAAGGCTAAAGAAGCAGCTGAGCCCACGACCTCTCCTGTGGTTCAAGAACAGGAGGAGAACAGAGCTCCAAGTGAGAATGAAAACGAATCTCATGAAACCGAAGTTCAGCCAGAGGAGAAAATCGCTCCTGAAGCCGAAGTTGAAACTGCTGTTGAGGGGGCTGAGGAGGAACAATCTGCAGACGCATCAAAGAAATCAGAAGCTGATGAACAAGAGAATGACGAAGACATTGATGATGGCCGCATGACCATGACAGAACTATTACAAAAGCTTGACGTGATAAAACCTATTGAAGATATCTATGAATACAAGTACCCAGAGGAATTTGAAGCTCCGGATGATAGATTCAAGAAGGAAAAAGTCAAGTATACTTATGGCCCCACCTTCCTGTTACAATTTAAGGACAAATTGGATATTCGTCCAGATGCGGAATGGAAAAAGAACATTGCGTCCAAGATTGTCATTCCTCCAGGAACTGGGAGATATGGAGGAAAGTCGAGAGGTGACTCTAAGTTTGGCGGTGGTAGTGGCTTTAAGAAGAGCGGCTCGCTTAGAGGCATGGAAGGAAGATCAAACTCAAGATCTTCTTCCAAAAGAAAATCTAAGAGACTTGGTGATGACAGAAAGTCCAACAGATCCTACACATCGAGGAAAGACCGTGAGAGAATGGCCGAGTTTGATGAGCCTAAGGAAGAAGTTGCTCCATTGGTCCCAAGTGCGAACAGATGGGTTCCTAAGTCTAAGCTGAAGAAGACCGAAAAGAAATTGGCTCCTGATGGAGTAACGGAATTGTTAGACAAGGAAGAGGCAGAAAGAAAGATGAAGTCCTTGTTGAATAAGTTGACCTTAGAAAAGTTCGATCCTATTTCTGAAGATATCATCAAAATTGCAGACCAATCGAAATGGGAATCGGAAGGTGAAACTCTTAAGGTTGTTATCGAACAAATTTTCCACAAGGCTTGCGACGAGCCTTACTGGTCATCTATGTATGCTCAGCTTTGTGGTAAAGTTGTGAAAGACATGGACCCAGAAATTAAAGACGATACTAATGAGGGTAAGACAGGTCCTAAATTGGTACTGCATTACTTGGTCGACAGATGTCATACTGAATTCGAGAAAGGCTGGACAGACAAACTACCCACTAACGAAGATGGTACCCCATTGGAACCCGAAATGATGTCTGACGAATATTACAAGATGGCTGCTGCTAAGAGAAGAGGGCTGGGTCTTGTTAGATTCATCGGTTTCTTATACCGTTCGAACCTTTTGACCGCTAAAATGATGTTTGAATGTTTCCGTAGACTAATGAAGGATCTTGCGGATTCACCAACAGAAGAAACTTTGGAATCTGTAATCGAATTGTTGTCCACCGTTGGTGAACAATTTGAAGGGGATAAATTGGTTCAGCCAAATGGTGCCTTGGAAGGGTCTACTGTTTTGGACCAACTGTACATGATGTTGGACAGAATTGTCGAAGAAAGCAACATTTCAAGCAGACTGAAATTTAAGTTGATCGATATGAAGGAAATGAGAGAAAAGAACTGGAATAGTGCCAAGAAAGATGAAGGGCCAAAGACCATTCAACAAATTCATGAAGAAGAAGCTGCCAAGAAAGCCATGGAGGAAAGAGAACGTAAGATGAAGAGTGGTTCGAGATCAAACTCTAGAAGAAATAACTCTATGGGTAATAGAAGCAATTCGAGAAGAGAGCCTCCTCCAATGTCTAAGGACAATTTCATTTCTACCAGATCTTCCTCATTGAGACATGTCCAAAACGCACCTAAGGAGGAAACACCTGCCCAAAAGACTGCTGTTAACATGTTTGATGCATTAATGGGTGCTGAATCTGATGACGAATGAACACGCGAACGACAGAACGGACAGATATCTATTTCATAACGTGTCATGATTTTTCTTTCCTGTATTCTTTCCTTACTGGACTACATCATTGTACATTTATCGTTTTTCCATGAAAATCACCCATAAGAATATCACATTTCCTCTCTCACTTAATTTTGGCATTTGACTACCTACGAAATCTCATGAGTGACGATCACTCTAGCTTGTACTTTAGGTTTTTCTTACAATCAAGTAACTTGATGTAATGTATGTTAATAAATTTTATATTAACGCTACCGTTTAAAATTTTATACAGTATTTGAAGTTGCGTTTACGGTGTTTCATTAAGCTCCTCCATAAGATCGGCATTTTGCGTTTCTAAAAGCATCCGCTGCTTCAACAGACCCTCTCTCCTCTTTCGTTCCCTTCGTTCTTCCTTTGTTTCTATCACTTTTGTGCTTTTAGTAGTAATTTCAGGATTAATTATTTGATTCTCTATGATTTGGTACAACTCTTTCATCTTTCTTGTGTTCTCTTTGAATTTTCCAAGCGCTAGCCCATCGATTAATTCGATGTACTTCTCGTTCACAAAAAACACTAGTCGGCTTGTTGCCTCGTTCAAGTACCCGATAGGTATATCGAGCTTAATGTTGATTCTCAAAGCGACAATGTTATTACTACCAATCCCACTTTCCCTGAAACCACACGACATTGCTGCATTGAAAAGTTTGGAAGCCGATTGAAAGTCTCTACATTTCACATGCAAAATAAATGGTTCGAACTTGTAGAGAATATATCTCTTAGAAGGTGTTAGAGTTTCTTTGAACTCTGTATCGAACTCTATTTCATGTCTAAACTTATCCATCCAACTAGGTAATGCAGTATAATCATGGGTGACAAACAACCACCGACCTCCCTCGCCCTTACCACCAGTTTTCAATGATTTCTCATGAACTTTATTCCCCTCGACAAAGACACTTACTCGTCCTGAGCATGAAGACGTTGTTACCATGTCTTTATGAGAGTTTATGAGGTCCATAATAGGTAGACATAGCTCATCGATAGTGCCCTTGGGGGATAAATCTGTTTCACTAGATCGGATTTCAGCAAGTATGGAGTCCTTCTTCTGTTGGAATGGATCCTGAGGCATCTATTGAATATTTTCTGGTTCTCGAGATGGAATTGTGATGAGATTTCGAAATTGTCTGGGAAATTTTGCCGGTACTATTTTATAAGTGTAAAAACATAATAAAAACGGGAATCAGGTTTATAAAGCCTGAGGTATATTTAGCAGATTTGCTGGTGCGGGATCCATCTTAGTAAGGTATAATCTGTCGATTAAAAGTGATTATTATTATTACAATTATTATTATTAGTATTATTATATGAATCACGTGATTGGTGAAGGGTTGCGATATCATCGTTCAGATTAAATTTCTTGTTCTGCAACATTAGAAGCACATCACACATTCTAGTTCGAGACATTCAGTGAGAAAATGAGCGTAAATGATGTCAACTCGAAGGCTACAATCCTGTTGATGGGTCTCAGAAGGTATGTACCGTACCATCGTAAAATATTTCATTCAACAATTGATACTAACCCGGCACTCGTTTTGTAACAGAGGTGGTAAGTCATCCATTTGCAAAGTGGTGTTTCATAACATGCAACCATTGGACACACTCTATCTGGAGTCAACTTCCAACCCCACTATGGAACATTTTTCAACCCTTATCGACCTTGCCGTGATGGAGCTCCCAGGTCAGCTGAACTACTTCGAACCCAACTACGATTCCGAGAGACTCTTCAAAAGCGTAGGTGCTCTCGTGTATGTAATTGACTCGCAAGACGAATATATGAACGCGCTTACAAATTTCGCGATCATTGTAGAATATGCCTACAAAGTGAACCCTAACATCAATATCGAGGTACTAATTCACAAGGTTGACGGACTAAGTGAGGATTTCAAGGTCGACACGCAGCGTGATATAATGCAACGTACAGGTGAAGAACTGCTCGAACTGGGCTTGGACGGGGTTCAAGTGTCGTTTTACCTCACGTCTATTTTCGACCATTCGATTTACGAGGCATTCTCGCGGATAGTACAGAAACTTATTCCGGAGCTGCCCTTCCTCGAAAACATGTTGGACAACCTCGTGCAACACTCCAAGATTGAGAAATGCTTCTTATTTGATATAAACTCCAAGATATACGTCTCTACGGACTCCTCCCCCGTGGATATTGTCATGTATGAAACGTGCGCCGAATTCGTTGATGTCACCATCGACCTCCATGATCTTTACAAGGGCCAAGCCAAAAACGACACCGGGCGCGAACTCAAGAGTGTATCCGCTCTCAATAACGATGTAGTCATTTATCTCAGGCAGATGATCCGTGGCCTTGCGCTGGTCGCCCTTATCCGGCCAGACGACACTGATGTTGAAAGTTGTTTAACTGTTGTCGACTATAACGTCGACATATTCAAAAGTGGGCTCGAACAAGTGTGGGCTCACGCCCGCATCACGCCCGCAAACTCAAAGACGGACTAATTAATTATATACATTCATTCCTCAACAAGAAGGGTTGCCTGGAACCATGCGGGTGGTTACGTGATCTCGCTGGAGTGGTTTAAGCTCAGAGGCTCGGTCTGTCAAAACAGTAGTGGCAATTAGCTTGCCCTATATATTCTAACATTTTTTATTGTGCAGAAATTTGAAAAGTGCCTTCGGGAAAACCTAAATGTTGTACCGTTCATTACTGTTTGCGGTTACAAGCAGATGTGGCTTTTTTCAGGTTGATGAATGAGAACAAAGCACTAGCCGAAAAAAGATAAGTGGCCTAGAAAAACTAGTTTTTTTGGAAGAGAATAATTGATAGGATAAGCATCGCACGTCGAATATATGAGGTCAAATGGATGAAGAGTGGAATAAGTCACAGCATACCTCAGATGAAGCGATGGGTTCAATGCTAGGTACTGCTGGAGGTTTTGAGCATGATAGAAGCCTCATGGAGAGAGCAGAACTGAAGAGGAGCACACGACGCAGGCACAGAAACTCGAAATTAGGATGTCAAGAGTGCAAGCGGCGTAGAATCAAGTGTGACGAGACCATACCGGAATGTGAGAACTGTCGAAAGAGGCGACAACGCGGCAAGGACATTGAGTGTTCTTATCTGCAAATGACAGATAGTGAAATGGCAAGGTTTAGATTTCTGCAAGAGCAGAACAAGCAAAGTGTTGTCAGAAGGCTAGGGGAAAACACAATCTCACAATTCCCCAATCATGGTTACGTTACCGCTAGCGGAAACACGGCCTCAAACGATACGGTCAGCTTCGAGGTACCCCTTATCCCGCACGAAAAGATGAAGGTCCCAGCTTCCCCGGTGACATTGCTCTTCGGAATGGAAAGCTGGAAAGTAATTAAGTTTACGTACATGAAGACGATTCACTCTGCCTTACAAGATTGGAATATGTCGTCAAAGGCATTCATCTGCGTCTCAATCCACGATATCATAAGCAATTTGATGGGACGTATCAAGTTTCTGAGCTCATCATCGAATCCAAACGCAGTAGAAGAGAGAGCTTTGCGCCGCGAGATAAGCGGGCTGAAGAAAATCGCCGCCAGGTACAAAATCTTATTGATATCATTTGTCCGACAATTCATTTGCACTTTTCTCAGCTCAAAGGAATTGATTGGAGATGAATTTACTGCGTCCAGATTGTTAATGGCTTCTAGCTGTATCCAATTCATGAACTACTTTAATAGTTCAACTTATGATGATAGTCATTACATTGCAATGGTGGATATGTGCCTGGAAATTTTCACAAATAACAATCCTAACCATATTGCTAAGACGCTACATTTTATCTGGAGCTCATTTCCAAAACAGTTAATACATTTATATGTCCCACCTTATTCCTCAATCATACTTTTTGAGATTTTGCAAGTTTTAAACGACTTTGGTGTGCACATTAGGGCTACCGGAGACGAGCACTTAATTTACAAATATGAAGATTTGTGTGATTTTCTGCGATACGTTGCCAATTTACTTCCGCACGCTAATCAAAATTGCGTGATTGCATATCCACCCAACGTCTTATTTCATATGTCAAAGAGATGGACACTGAGCAGTCCACCAGAAGCTTATTGCATTTTGCCGTCAATGCCCGGAACCCACAAGGTTTTCTACACTTTTTACCATTCAATTGCATCATACCTTGACGCTTTACTTCCATCGGCTTCATTCATAATGCACCGTCCCTTTTACACATCTTTGGGTTTGTGCCCTTATTCGTTAGACTCGGTCTTAGACGGTTTGGACAAAAATTTAGGTTCTTTTGCCCTCTTTTCTATCCGCCTTTTGTCATTCATGGAGAGGAGAAGGTTCATAATCCACAACTTTTTTACCGTTGACGACCCATTACCAGACGATTTGGAGGAATATCGGTTCAGATCTAGGCGTGTTAAAAATTTGGCGGAAGTGCCCATCAAAATGTTAAATAATTCGAGAATCCAATGGCCCAACTATCCCCATTGTGTAAGGCTGCCGAACGGCGATTGGCCTAGGGAGCATGGTTCATTCTTTGCGAGAGAGAAAGACAGCGCAAGGACGAGGCTAGATCAAATAAAAATCGCGGAAGAACGAAACGAACTGCAGCTGGACTTCTCCCAGGTGTCAGATGAGTCTTCGCACCTTTATGACAGTATCGTGCAAAACTTGAAAAGCCCCTCTCCACTCTCTGATGGCGAAGATCCTGTTTCTATTTCACCTTCAAGCTTTGAGTATGAGGATGCCACTGGACATAAACTTAACTCCAAAGGACTTCTGGCTGACGAGTGCGATCCTTCCGCCATGTTCAATGGCTTCCTGCCAATTATCTCCCTCGATTTTCCTAGCATCGAACTTATTACTCGATTCAAAGAGGATAGGATTGCTTTATTCACTGCATCCACAGACCACTATGACCCCTGATAGCGTCTTCCTACAATTAAGAAGATGCACTTTTACTTACGTTTATTATATTCACCACCGAACTAATTTTACCCTATAATATACAAATTACTGCATTATGCCACCTACTTCGAACAAGCGGTGGATGTTGCTTATTAATAAAGTGCAGCCAATGACTGCCTAGATTTTTTGTCGATTTGCACAAATTTTAATCTTACACATCAGAGCATTCAAAAATTAACACAATGATTGAGAATGCATTATCAGATTTGCAAACAAAGGTTAAAACGAGCCGCAGCAAATTATATACTTACCCGTATTCAACGGCGTAAAAGCTTCTTGATCTGACACACCAATAATCTTGCAAGTCTCAATGATAAGCGCGTTAATTTTAAGCAAAATGCTAATATTAGACCGAGGTTGTTTAGATGAAGGAACTTGAGTCATGCAGGCCAGACAGATCGGGAGATATTTGCCTGGCTCGTTTGCCTGGGTTTTTTCAGCCCCAAAAATAAAGAGGAACTGGGGCAAAAAGTAAAACACTCACGGTGGGGGTCGAACCCACAATCTTCTGATTAGAAGTCAGACGCGTTGCCATTACGCCACGCAAGCGAATCTTGGTTAATTCTTTATTTCATAAAGCTAATAGTGCTAGAAACAGTCTGCTGACAACAAATAAGTTGCTGGCCTCGAAGGACAGATTGAATTGGGATGGACTTGTTCACTAATTTATTTAGACACGAAAATTAAGGACTTCAGTATTTGGATGATGATATACGATTTTAAAAGCTGAGACACTCTTATTACAGTTGCGTGCATCTTTCGTAGCGATTTTATTCCGAGCCTTTATTCCGTACACGACTCAGACTCAGACTTAGGTTTTGATTTTGTCTCAAGGGTCTTTCATTAGAACCTGAGAAAAGACGTATGATTTAAGTATTCTAGTAAGGTATAATGCTTTATGTAAATTGTTGGAACGAAATACAACTATCGACCATCGACTAGTATTCGTGTTACTAGTATATTATCATACACGGTGTTTTAAGGTGACATAAAGAATGAGAAACAGTCATCGAAATTAGTGGAAGCTGAAGCGCAAGGATTGATAATGTAATAGGATAATGAATGAAAATGTATAAAAGGAACAGAAAGAGCAAGAATATTTGTAGGTAGAATTATAGACTCTTCTTTCTGGATTCTTAGAAAGAGGAGGAGAACTTCTAGTATAACCATATACCAATAATTATAGCCTTAATCAAAAATGGAATCCCAACATTTAGCTCAATATTCACCAATTTCTCATAAATATATTCATTCGGTTCCATTTTTTGTTTCTTGGGGAAGCACGACTTTCGGACGTCAAACATTTTTCCGATGTGAATGAATAAGCACTTGGCTTGATGTCCATAAAAACAACAAAAAAAAGTAGTCAAGGTTTGAACTTCTAACGTGAGAACTGCTGCAGCCTGATCGTTTTCCGAAGCTCCCAGATAAGTTCTGTGATGCAGCTGCCATTGCAGATGGTCGAACAGTCCGTACTGCCTCGAGTGTGAAGACAGCCGTCAAGTGTCTTGCTAGAAGCACGGTGAGAGAATAGATAAGCGACAACTTGAGAAGAGATGAAAAAGCGAGATTGCCTTATTCTGGTCAAAGCAGCACTTTATCTTGGGCATCTTATCAATTGAGAGACACCGCGATAAAAAAATTAATCGCGGAGTGATATCTGGAAATGATAAGAAAATCTGCTCTCAAAACTATTAGGCTCGAGAACGCTGGAAGAAAATGGTATAAAAGCCGAGAAATATTCATTACAGACATGAAAGAAAGCTTACGAGTCCTTCAGTTTCCAAGATGACGACAGACGAGGTCGGACCCGTAATAGTTGAGCGAATTTTCAACAGTGAACCTCTATTATACAAGGAGGACCCTGAGAAGTACAGTAAAGAATTTATTCCCAAAATCAACAAATACCGTGAAGAGATAAAATGCAATATTCCACCGGAAGCAGTTCTAAGCCCAGGTAAGGTCGACAGCGATCTGATCATTCCTGAAGATTTCGAGGAGATTGCTTTCAAAGATGGAATGAAGGTGGCCGCGAAAACCAAGATTTTAACCGAAAAAGAACTTGAAATTGTTAACCTCACTGCAGTCGAAATTGTTGATGCTATTGCAAAAGGTGACCTTAGTGCAGTCGAAACTATTACTGCTTTCATCAAGCAGGCTGCTATTGCTCTTCAAATCACTAATTGTGCTATGCAGTTTTTCCCCGAAGAGGCATTGGCCAGGGCCCGCGAACTGGATGAGTACTACAAAAAGACAGGAAAAACTGTCGGTCCAATGCATGGGCTCCCAATGTCCTTAAAAGAGCATTATGGTTTCAAAGGCAAGACTACAAATGCCGGATTTGCATCGATGATCGATCACTTCACGGCAGATGATGCTCTGACCACCGCCATTTTCCGCAAAGCAGGTGCTGTTTTCTACATTAGAACTACGCAACCACAATCACTAATGCATTTGGATTCCTCTAACAATATTACAGGTCGCTGTAGAAATCCTCACAACACGGCTTTGTCTCCTGGAGGATCAACTTCAGGTGAAGGTGCTCTGATTGCCTTGAACGGTTCACCCTTGGGGACTGGTAGCGATATAGGTGGTAGTATCAGAGCTCCTGCAGCATTTTGCCACATCTGGGGATTCAAGCCAACGAACAAACGTGTTTCCTTGATGGGTGCATTCGCCAGCTACCGTGACATGTCGAACGACACCGTTTTGTGCTCTGTGGGACCGCTTGCAAATTCCGCAGACGACTTGGCATTGTATATGAAAACATTTCTAGATGCCGAGCCTTGGTTGAAGGATAACTACATTACTCGTGCTCCATGGAGGTCTGACATCGATCTTCCATTGTCTTCGTTGAAGATCGGGATTGTTTTCGATGACGGAATTGTGAAGCCAAGTCCACCGGTATTGAGAGCTTTGAAGCTGGCGAAGGAAAGTCTCGAGAAAGCGGGAGTGGGCAAGTGTATCGAATGGGTGCCATACCAAACCGCAAAAGGCCTAGAGATTTGCAATGTTGCTTATAATGTCGACGGCAATTTCAACCATAGAAGCAGATACGAAGAGTCGGGCGAGCCCTTGCGTCCGCTAAGTGAGCATCACATGAGATTTGGATGTGGCGACAAAGGTGTCAGCACTCAAGAGCTGTTGCAGCTGATCCACGATCGTGACGAGTACCGTCAACAATTCGCTGACGTAATGAATGAAACTGACATCGATTTCGTTTTGACACCTGCCTATTTCGCACCAGCGGCCATTCCCGATAAAATTAAATACTGGGGTTACACAGCCCTCTACAATATTCTCGACTTGCCTGGCGTGAGTTTTCCGACCGGATTGGTAACTGACCCATCTCTAGATGCCAAAGACACCCAATATGTGCCACGCAATCCCCTAGAAGAGTATGAATATCCTATGTATGACGAGACGGTTTTTGCCGGCTCGCCAGTGGGACTGACGCTGCATGGGAGACGCCATTATGATGAAGAAACACTAGCTGCTACGAAATTAATCCAGGAGATTATCTTCAAGGCTGCACAGGATGCTTGAAATTTCAATCCATGTCTCGATTGAATTCATAAGTGAGAGATGGGTGAATATTGAGATAATTGTTGGGATTCCATTTTTTATTAAGGCTGTAATTATTGGTATATGGTTATACTAGAAGTTCTCCTCTTCTTTCTAAGAATCCAGAAAGAAGAGTCAATAATTCTACTTACAACTATTCTTACTCTTTCTGTTCCTTTTATACATTTTCATTCATTATCCTATTACATTATCAATCCTTGCGCTTCAGCTTCCACTAATTTCGATGACTGTTTCTCATTCTTTATGTCATCTTAAAACACCGTGTATGATAATATACTAGTAGCACGAATACTAGTCGATGGTCGATAGTTGCATTTCGTTCCAACATACCACCCATAATGTAATAGATCTAATGAATCCATTTGTTTGTTAACAACTTGAAAGTTTTTATCGGAAGAGGTTTTGTCAATGTATCAGCAATGTTCTTCTTGGTCTCAATGTAGTATAGGTACAAATTATTGTCCGATACTTCATCTCTGAGTCTCATTGCTTTAGTGCCGAAGAATCTGTTCCTAAATTTCTCTTTATTTTTGGATGTAACTATACTGATTGTAGATCTGCTGTCAGTAAGTAAACATTTGATGATTGGTTTCTTATCTAGTTCTTGCACGAGATAACTTAGATTGTTTAGTAACGGAACGGCTTCACTGACTGCGTGTATTTCTGCTTCTGTGGTTGAAGTACACGTTAGTGATGCTTTTGTTGATTTTCCTCCAATGACTTTACCATTGAGTAAGAATATGTTACCAATCTGGGATTTGTAATACGGTTGGTTTCCGTATGAAGCATCGCTTATTACAACTAATTTGTTTCCTGATTTCGTAGATCTGTTTTTGTGCCATATTAGTTGTTTATCTCTGGTATCCCATATGAACTGTATTAATTCATATGTCATGTCTAAAACTTGTTTTGGACGGGAATAATATATGTTGTGCGAGAGTGTTAATGTAGTACAGTAGGTCGAATCTGAATTTGTATCCAACGTACGATGCTAGGCCAATTAGCTTTTGCATTTCATGCACCTTCATTTTGTAATCTTCTTCTTCCAGTTCTAACTCTCCTTGGTCTATGTAAAGACCAGGTTGCCCTGGAGCGGCAAGTTTCCTACCTTTCGGATTCAAAGGTACGTTTAGGTTTGGTAATTTCTCAGTTAGTGAATTCTCCATACCTAGTTTCATGTACTTACCCCTCTGGTATTTAATTTCTAGTCCAAGAATGTCATATTGGATTTCTTCATCACTTTCACCTAGGTTTATGATCTTAGTGTCATATTGTCGTTTTAGATTTTCTATAATTCTTTTGTTTGAGTTCAAGTCTTTGCTGAATAGTATCATGTCATCAACGAATAAGCAGATTGTTACTTGACTGTTTTTAAACACACATGACCATCCACGTACTTCTTCCATATCACATTTATCTATCAGATATGACTTGATAGTTTCATACCAGTTTGCACCACTTTGTTTCAAGCCGTAAAGTGATTTTCTCAATCGTATTAACTTGTTGTTCATACCTAAATGTGGCGGAGGTCTTATGTATAATTCCTCTTTGATGTCTGCGTACAAGTACGCCGAGGATATGTCCAGTTGTGTGACGTAGTGGTCATTGTCTAATGCAAGTGACAGAGATGTCATCAATGCATAATGATGTACAGTATTAGACTGCATTCCTGAGTCGTACGTATCAGGATGTTGAATGTCGCCTCTTGCAACAAATCTAGCTTTGTGTGTTCCATCTCGTTTTTTGTTAAAGATGAACATTGAGTTTATCACCTTTTTGGTGTCTATTTCATTTTTGTCATAGTATCTGTTTGTGTCCCATGTGTTCATCTTTAGCAATTGATTTACTTCTTTATGGTATGCTTGAATGTACTTTTCCTTTTCCTCGATATTCTTATTATATGTGATTGCCTCATCATATCTTAAGGTTGTTCGTATCGGTTTGATTGGTTTTGCTGCTTTTACAGCTGCGATCAGATGTATACGTTTCTTTGATCTTGGGGGCTGTAAACTACGCATGTTCTTGTTGTTCCATGTGTCTCGTGATACCTCAATTTCAGTTTCATTATCTTCTAATGATCTTTTCTTACTATTGATAGTAGCATAGATATTAGATTTACCCATACCACCCAAACTGGAATTAGTTTGACGAGAATTGATCGGTGGAATTTCTTTAAAGGCATCGGGGAAACAGGTAGGAGATTCTGGAGGTAAATCGGGAATCGGAAGATCTTCTGTAATATATTCCTTCATATCATGTTCAGAGTAGGTATCTGGTGTAACAATAGGAGCATTATACTTTGGTATCTCACTTCCCTGTGGGGGATCAAATAGTGGAATTGGATAGTTTATCAAGCTTTTCTCGGTAGCCTGATCATTGAACTCTGATATAGTCTTGTTGTTTGTACCACCCAAACATGGCGTTGTGTCGTTTTTAGGATTAGTATTGATTTGGCGATGTGAATCTGAATCGCTCACTTGATCGTGATCATTGGATTTATTCGACTGTTGCGTGACAGAGCTGTGTACGGGGATATCGATTGATACATCTGATCTATTCATACCACCCAAACAGGCATTGTCTGGATCAGGAATATTGGGTATGTTATGCCTCTTCTTTGACGGAAGAATATTTGATTCAGATATATTAGGGTCAACTTCTTTGGGTGCACGAGCATTAGTTGTAGGTACAGATTCCAATCTCGTTGGTTGAGTAGGAGTTGATAGCGAACCAGTTGCAATCAGATCTGTGGAACTGTCATCTCCCCGGAGTTCAGTGTCATGATCTATCTCAGATTGAAAATCATGATTAGGATCCATGTGAAGGTCGTAGGACTGTTCGATTTCATTTGAATCAATAAACGATTTGTATGAAGCAGTTAATCTACTTATGTCATCATCAAAGGTAAGTGCGTCGTAATTGAATTGGTCCAATCGGGATTGCTTGCCCTGCAGGATAACGTAATTAGTAGTGTCCACTGTCTTCTTTAAAGATGGAAGATAGATAATATATCCATAAGAGTTCCGGGATGGATGTAGAGCGTAGCCAGGAATGCCACGGGGATGTATTTTCGAATCAGGATTGTGATTATTGACTACCACAGGTTGACCAAATGGTAGTAAAGTACTGATGTCAAGTCCCGCTAAACCCGCGTGTTGCCGTGCAGATTTTTCGTTTTTAGGTGAAACTAAAGAGTTCCTGACTATGGTTGAGAATTCCACTGCGGAAAACCATAAATGATTTGGTAATCCACTGCATTGAAGCTGTGTGCGACAATCGTCTAGTAAAGTACGGTTCAACCGTTCAGCTACACCATGAGCTCGAGAGTCTGCTGTGGTTGTATAGCATGCAGTGATGCCTTGTTGAAGAAGGAATTTATGGAGAGTTTTGTTTGTGTATTCAGAACCACGGTCCATTTGTATAACCAAGACGCTGGCCTTGAATTGTCTTTCAATGAAGGCTAGTATTGTGGTAAATACCTCGAGAATAGATTGTTCGCGACGATCGTGTAATGGATAAACCCATTGGAATCTTGTTTTCTCGTCGGTAAATGTTATGAAGTAGGATGGTGCACTTTTTGGCAGGTTATGAACAGGACCGAATATGTCGGTATGCAGATATTGGAAAGGTTCATACGAGTTTTGGTATTTTACTCGTGATCCCTTGACATGTCTGTGTTTAGTACTTTTGCCGATTAAGCAATCTGGGCATTGGTATGTAGTAGCTTTAGACCAATCGACATCTGCTTCCTTTAGATATGTTATTGAGTTATTCTTTAGAGAGTTCCGAATGGTTTGAGCATTAGCGTGGCCAAGCATGCGATGAATCAAAGGATAGGGATACTTGTGTGAGGCTTTATCAGTACCGATATTGTTAACTATTGGCATTGATAGGTTCGAGGGAATCAAGTATTTTTTGGATAGCCAGTAAAAGTCCCCATGTCGAACGATAGGGGCAAGTACGGTGCCGTCTACTCGCTCTAGGGTATTTTTGGTAAAACAGGCAGTGATGTTTTGCTTAGCTAGCTCACTCAAACTGAGTAGATCATGAGCTATGCTCGGAGTGTGTAGTACTGTTATTGATGTTTTTGTATTGTCTTCAAATTTGAATTGGAGATTACCAATGGCGTTGATTGGTATTTCCTTTTTTTGAGCATCGATTGCGCTTATGTCAATATTAGGCGATGCTGAGTGTATGTGATGAGCGGATCTGATAAGGGTTTGTGATGCACCTGAATCGATAAGAAGATGTCCAGGAAGTTCATCATTTGAATGATCCGTGTGGTTTACCTTGGACTCAGTATGTATCTGGCCTAAGGTGAAGGTCATACTGATTGTTCAAGTGTATTGTTTATCAGGTGATTCGTTGATCGAATCATTGTTCTTGTCAAAAGAGTTATGAGACGTGGACACGTTATTAGTTTTGACCGTTCTTGATTTTGAGTTACTTGCTTTTTTGAGGGTTTCGGGTTACAGTTTTGGTCTTTGTTTATATTTGGAGTAGACTCGAGAATGTTCTTGTCATCTTTAGGAATCCTTGGGTAAGTAGGCTCACGGCGTTCCGATTCCTGTTGTTCTTCATATATGGCATGAATGTCCAGGAACAGTTCTGCGACTGTCATGTTTGGTGGCGATGACGTGTGTAGCGTAAGAATCTGTATTCCCCAGAGAGACCTCTCATAATTAATTTACATGCGAGCTTGTCATTGATAGAAACACCATTATTGTTTAGTCTCTCGATTGTATTCGTGATCTTTGTTTCAAACTCTCCTGCTGGTGTACTGCCATTGTAGCGGAGATTAGTGATCGTTATCAGGTCATTGACATCTTGATTGTCGGATTGCATTTTTTCAAAGCTTTTCGAAAGAACCTTCATAATATCTGTATAATCAACAGATAAGATGTCTTTGACCCAAGTAGGTAGGAAATGAGATGGAGCAAACGTTTGAAAAGTGTTGTACAAGAAGGTATGTTCGTCGTATGTTATCTGCCGTATAGGTCTTCCATCTGTCGTCGGGATAATGTCACCGAGATTTGAATTTTGTAGAAATTTAACATAAGTTTTGATCCAATTTAGAAAATCATTTGATGATGTTAAAATTGGTGGTGGTCGAACAGATTTGTTGACGGGTGTCACATCTGACTTCGTTGAAGGTGGCTTGGTAAGTGTGTTACTGGGCTCGGGGGGTGTGGCGCTCAAAGGCGTTCCTGTAGTTGATGTGTACTGTGGATACTGTGGTTGTGGCCCAGGTGGATAGTACATGGGCGACATTTGATAAGGTGTGTACGGCATCGTATATGGGTGACCGTATGCTGGCCAACCAGAAGGATTGGCTTGATTTTGAGTCATCATGCACTGCTGTGAGTACGGGCCATTCTGTGGCAATGGTACTTGAGCAGTGTGAGGAGAGGCATGATGAATATTCTCTGAAACATCTGTGGGCACAGGTGTTGTTTCTTGTTGAGAATTTGCCTTAGTGGAAAGCTTATCATATTCGTTGATTTTGGAAGCTGAAACGTCTAATGGATCTTGATTCGTGTGGACTTCTTTAGAAGTAACCGAAGCACAGGCGCTACCATGAGAGATGGGTGAATATTGAGATAATTGTTGGGATTCCATTTTTTATTAAGGCTGTAATTATTGGTATATGGTTATACTAGAAGTTCTCCTCTTCTTTCTAAGAATCCAGAAAGAAGAGTCAATAATTCTACTTACAACTATTCTTACTCTTTCTGTTCCTTTTATACATTTTCATTCATTATCCTATTACATTATCAATCCTTGCGCTTCAGCTTCCACTAATTTCGATGACTGTTTCTCATTCTTTATGTCATCTTAAAACACCGTGTATGATAATATACTAGTAGCACGAATACTAGTCGATGGTCGATAGTTGTATTTCGTTCCAACAATAAGCCACGATTCCGGATATTATTCTGATCGTCTTTCTAGAACTACATACCGTATAAACTGGTCTAAATACTCCTTTGCCTAGATCATTATAACTCTAAACATCTAACACAAGCTATTTACGAACAAATTAAGATTGCAAACAACTTGCAATGACCATAGCACGTTGCAAAATCAGCTTTTACACCTCTATTCTTGTGCCTTGATCGCTTTAATGGGTAGCTCACTTAAGTCTGCCGCTTATGACGAAGACAAAACGACGCTATCTCAACAATAAGAGAGTTTGGCCGAGTGGTTAAGGCGTCAGATTTAGGCTTGCGGAGATTCGCAAGGATTTCTGAAGAAAAGTCAAGTTCTCTGATATCTACGGATGCGCGGGTTCGAATCCCGTAGCTCTCATTACCTTTTTGTTTTTCTCGAGTCAACGCTTACATAATCACACAATTGTGGCTTGTGTGAAGACACGTGATGTTAGACAGGCCATGCTATTGCTAATTGGGCATGATGACTAAATTAAAGTGGACCGTATACACCAGGTGATATTTCCGTGGAGAAACCACAGTTTTCGGAAGTCTCCACAATTGATAATTATAAAAGGTACCAATTGAGTGTCAAATGCTCGAGCCACCTTGTTTCCTTTTTCTCTAGAGCGACAGTAAGAAAACCTCTTCTTCAGTTACAATGCCATCTCATTTTGACACTCTACAATTGCACGCCGGGCAAGAAGATGCCACCGAAAACGCTCACAACCCAAGAGCTGTTCCAATTTACGCCTCTACTTCGTACGTGTTCAACAACTCGAAGCACGGTGCTCAATTGTTCGGTTTGGAGACTCCCGGTTACATGTACTCCCGTATTGTGAACCCTACCAACGATGTGCTAGAGAAGAGAATTGCTGCCTTGGAGGGTGGTGCTGCTGCTTTGGCCTTGTCGTCTGGTCAAGCTGCCCAAACATTGGCTATTACAGGTTTGGCTCACAACGGTGACAACATCGTCTCCACTTCTTACTTGTACGGTGGTACTTACAACCAATTCAAGGTCGCCTTCAAGAGATTGGGCATTGAAACCAGATTTGTTGATGGTGACAAGCCAGAGGACTTTGAGAAGTTGTTCGACGACAGAACCAAGGCTGTTTACTTGGAAACCATTGGTAACCCTAAGTACAATGTTCCAGATTTCGAAAAGATCACTGCTGTTGCCCACAAGCACGGTATCCCAGTCGTTGTTGACAACACCTTCGGTGCTGGTGGTTTCTTTGCTCAGCCTATCAAGTGGGGTGCTGACATTGTTACACACTCTGCTACTAAGTGGATCGGTGGTCACGGTACTACTATTGCTGGTATCATCGTGGACTCCGGTAAGTTCCCTTGGAAGGACTACCCAGAGAAGTTCCCACAATTCTCCAAGCCTTCTGAGGGTTACCATGGTATGATCTTCAACGATGCCTTCGGACCTTTGGCCTTCATTGGTCATGTCAGAACCGAGTTGCTAAGAGACTTGGGTCCAGCTTTGAACCCAATTGCTGCCTTCCTCCTACTACAAGGTGTGGAAACTCTATCCCTAAGAGGTGAAAGACATGGTCAAAATGCTCTAGCACTTGCCAAATGGCTAGAAAAGTCTCCATACGTATCGTGGGTCTCTTACCCTGGTTTGGAATCACACTCTCACCACGAGAATGCAAAGAAGTACTTGCAAAACGGTTTCGGTGGTGTCCTTTCTTTCGGTGTTAAGGACTTGCCAAACGCTGCTGAGGAAACTGACCCTTTCAAGGCTTCTGGTGCTCAAGTTGTAGATGCTTTACAAATTGCCTCTAACTTGGCTAACGTCGGTGACTCTAAGACCTTGGTTATTGCCCCTTACTTCACCACTCACCAACAATTGGATGATGAAGAGAAGCTGGCTTCTGGTGTTACCAAGGATTTGATTCGTGTATCGGTTGGTACCGAGTACATCGATGATATCATCAACGACTTCCAACAAGCATTTGAGAAGGTTTTCCAAGGTCAAAAGCCATAGTCAGCGTGACTTTAGACAGTGACTGTAAATATACAAGATACGTACGAAAAATCTTTAAAATAATGAATTCCGCTTGTTATAATTAATGTAATTGCTCAAATACAGAGCATTATTTGTCTTTATGTGTGGTAAAAAAATTACATCGTGTAATGCTGAATCCTTCTCGTACATAAATTTCTCTAATATTATCATATATCAACTATAGACAATGAATTGACGTCAATTCTTTTGGGTGTTCTTTTGATCGTTCAAATAACCACCTTTTTCACATAGATTGTAGAAAATGCTCTCTTTATTGGCCAATAAATTGGCTGGCGAATCGAACTCCTTTACTTCACCCTTATCTAACACCATAATTTTGTCGCTATCCATAACAGTGTCAATTCTATGTGCGATAGTTAAGATTGTCCGGTCGCTGAGGGCACCCCTAATGGTCTCTTGAATGAATCTATCAGTCTCAAAGTCTACAGCAGCAGTTGCTTCGTCGAGAACCAAGATCTTTGATTGGTTCAATAACGCCCTTGATAAACATAATAGCTGCCTTTGTCCAACTGACAAGTTGCTACCATTATCGGTGATTTTTGACAGCAGCAGATTTTCGGGCTTATCTTCCGTATCATCTTCACCTCCCATCTTTAAAATGTGAGGTTTGAGATGAGAAAGTTCGAGAGCATTCCAAATTTCCTCATCAGTATGTTGATCGAATGGGTCTAGGTTTGACCTGACCGTTCCCTCAAAAGCCTGGGCGTCTTGAGGTATAATCGCCAAGTTACTTCGTAAATCTGCTAGACCAATTTTCGATATATCGACACCATCCACTATAATCGTCCCGCTGGTTGGTTCCAAAATTCTGAATAGTGCAAGTGTCAATGTCGACTTACCTGCACCAGTTCTACCAACGATACCAATCTTTTCTTGGGGTTTGATTTCGACGTTAATATCTTTGAGAACTGGATCTAAATTGGCCCTATATTTCGTTGTGTAGTGGTCAAACTTGATCATACCTTGAGAGGGCCAGTTATCTTCAGGTCTACGATCTTGAATAACTGGAGGCGCCTCAGGAGGTAAATCACAGTACTCCACAATTCTTTCAACCGAAACAATGTTAGTCTCAATTTGGACGGACATCCGAACTATCCACATCAACGACGAAGTAACTTCCAAAGCGTAAGTCATTAAAAGACCTATCATACCTGAACTAATAGGATGAGAAGTCCCGAGTGTCGCCAGAGATAGTAGCGCAGTCGTTAACACCAGAAAAGCACCAATAGACTCTAAGCGAACAGATAGCCATCTATTAGTAGACCTGAAATTGAACATACAGTCGATGTTGAACTGAACATTCTCGAAATTCAAGTAATCGAATCTGTCGAGATGTTTGTAAGCATTGATAACTGTGTGTCCGGCGAGAGTTTCACTCAATAAAGACATGATTGGAGAAATGGATATACTCATTAAACGCTTCAACTCTCTGCTTAATGTGATGTAATAAACTTGGTAGTATAAGTACAAGATAATCAATAAACCATTCACCACCAAAAACCAAGGCATGTTATAACCAATCAAGATGACAGTGGCTGCATAATTCAATATAGAATAGAAGAAGAAATTGAACATGAACTGTAAACCTTCATCCACTGAATTAATATCACTTGAAAATCTATTAATGATTCTTCCCACCGGTGTTGTTTCAAAGAAACTCATTGGACTCCTTAGAACTGCCCTAGCCATTGTATCGTGCATTTTCTTAGAACCTCTGATAGAACAATATACCAAAAGAATTATACCTCTTAGTGTATTGAACATACTTGATCCAACAGCGATAGCAGCATATATTCCCACAAAGAAAGCTACATTGCTGTTTTTACCGTCTCTTGCATTGGATTCAGCCCAGTGCTTTAGCCAGAAGCTTTCTGCCAAATCAAATACTCTTCCAAAAATGATAAATAAGAAAAATAGCACGACCCCAGCAACACCGCAAGCTTTGACATATGCGACATATACAGAGGCCTTGACTCTGCCTTCCTCTTTGTTCTCTTCCTTTTGTGCTGTTTTCCTTTTGTCAGCGTTTAAATCGATAATCGGACGAGGCTTGAACGTCGCTACAGACGCCCTTCTTGATTGCAATGAGGTTAAATTGACCCCATTAATTTCAAGCGAACGAACAGATTCTGCAATATCATCGCTCGAGTCCGTTCCAAGGGTATTTACAACGTCTGGAATGTTTTGTTCCGTCTTTTCCTCTTGTTCTGTAGCTTCAATTTCTTCATCGCTAACAGATGTGCTCGACTTTTCGTTAGAGTCAAACTCTTCAACTAGCTTCTTCAAAGTCGAAGTAGAGTCACGTTTCATGACATCTTCGAAAGAACCACTCTCCACAATTTCCCCGTTTTCTAAAGCATATATACTTTGACAATGTCTAAGAACAGGGATAGAGTTTGTTGTCAAAATAACGGTTTTATTTTTAAGTAGACCTGTTTTTTTGTCCAAAACCTCATCAATAATATTTTTACTCACTTCAGCATCAACTGCACTTAAGATGTCATCCAGTAAATAAATGTCAGCTCTCGCATACACTGCCCTGGCTAAAGATAACCTGGCCTTTTGTCCACCAGACAACGATATACCTTTTTCGCCCACTAATGTTTCGTCACCGTCAGGTAAAATATCCAAATCAGGCAAAAGTTGACAAGCTTTCAGGGTCGCCTTATAATATTGTTCATCAAATCGGTATCCAAACACAATATTGTCTTTCAATGAAGCGTTCATAATCCATGCTTGCTGTGGACAATAGGCAACAGAGCTAGCCGCAACTCTCATTCTTGGAGGAGCATTAGGGACCGAGCCGCTAATGCATGGTAGTTGACCTAATAGTGCGTTTAAGAACGTTGACTTACCAGACCCCACCCTTCCGACTATACACACAAATTGTCCCTTCTTTGCTTCGAAATGATTAATATTTTTCAAAGCAACGCGGGTCGTTTCGATACTCTCTTCTTCATCATACGCTTGATTCTCATTTACAGGCTTTACCCTTTTCCAGAGAAAGGTCGCATTGGTAATTTCAATGGCAGGAATATCCGCATCTGATGAAGGAATGTGTTCAATGAAAGATTCATCCAATTCTTCTGCAAGCAGAAAGTCCTTAAGTCTATTCAATGATACACCTGTCTCAATGAAATTTGTTATCATGGATGGGATAGAATAAATGCAATCATTCAAAATGTTGAAAAGAGCAAGAGCGGGAAAAACGATTTGTGGCGAAAGAGGTACATCCATTGTTAGCGCAAAAATGGCAAATGTTGAACAAGTAACCATTAATGGGACACAGTTCCAGGCAAAGATAATGAAATTGTTAACGATTCCAATTTTCTTGAAGTTGGCTAGCTCCAAATCATTACGGACATGATCTAATCTTTTTAACATGGCATCTTCCCACGCGTAAAGCTTGATGCTTTTAACTGAATTCAAAATTTCCGTGATGGTCTTGATTCTTGCATCTTTATATTTCATTTGAGTCTTGTACAAACCTTTGATTTTTCTCGAAAGGAAGGAATTGATGGGGATCATGATAGCCATAGTTACCAGACCACCAATTGTTGCATAGCCCAATAAACTATACAATGAAATGAGAACAATCACAAGCTGAATTGGTGAGCCTATCATTACCTGCGAATTCTCGAAGAATCTTTGGATTCTGAACACATCAACAGACATTAAGTTGAGAATATCTCCAGCTGTTTTCCCTTCACGGGCACCACTGGATAGTTTTAGAGATTTTTCATAAATCATTGCCATTAGCGCACCTCTAATGCTCATACCTGCTTCAAAAATCATAATAAAAAACTGATTCGACAAGAGAGTTCTGACAATACTCATCGAAAATAGACCCAAGGCAATGAAAAATCCATTCAAGGGGGGGTAATTTTGAATTTCATCTTGGTTGAAATGCTGGATAAAGAATTTCAACAACTGAGGCTGAATAACCGTAATAATGTCCTTTATAGTTTCCAGGAAGATTGCAGTGAAGATGGTTTTACCAAATGAGCGTAGAATAGCTTTAACCAAAGATTTGCGTTCATTCCATTTTTCTGTTTCCCAGTTAGACCCCAGCCTCGCAGTTTTCTCACGAATGTCAAGATCAATAGGTGGAAGGGGCATTTTTCTTGGGTCCACAATTTTCCCATCGTGATAGGTCTGCGTTATAAGCTTGTTCATCCATGTGAAAGTCAAATTAGCGAAAACGTTACATTCAGGGTATAACTTCTCGTCTTCGTAATAATCCAGAAGCTCCTGAGACGGTTTGTAGCTGCATAAGTCGTAAAAGAAAATTGCCACAGTATTACAGAGGAGCCCAACTTCCAACAAAGCACCATATTCTCCGGGCACGATGTTATATCTTTCATCAGGATAATGGGCAATTCTTTGTCCCAATGCGAAACCGAAAAGCAAGGCTTGGCCAAGATAGTAGAAGAGTTGCCCTCCAAGTGCCGCAGTAGACTTATAGAACTGGAGATACTCAGTCGGTAGAGAGATTAACGCCACATATAGCATGTGAGCTAACAAGTTCCATCGCGTAATATACGGAGTGTAGCTTGGTGCCACCGCCAGCAGGCAAAGCAGCAAAAATGATTGTAAGACCACATTGGAAAGATGCAGCATATGCTTTGTGGACAATGATTTCACAAACGATGAGTACCTGAATGATGAGGGTACACGACGTTCACGCCGCAACATAACCAACTGCACTACGCCGATAATTGCAAAAAGCGCAGCTTGGATTGCTGACACAAGCGAAACAAAGCAAGGATTGAGCGCATTGGTTGTAGAGTCCGGGTACGGACTGAGCCCATAACTGCAAGTGCTATTAGCTTGCATTATCCTACTTTAGTTAGGTTTCACGAATCTTGATGTGCAATTTTTAAGAAAGACCCAAAAATAATACTCTTTTATGTAGGTAAGGCAAAGCCCGAGTGACGTTTAAATGTGCGATTACGAAAAGGGAAATGGGAGAAAATTGGATATTTTCTTAGCCGTACCCATAAGAGGTTTTACTGATTAACTTTAAAATAGCCAAGAGTGAGTCAGAGATGCTTGAGTGGGGAGGATGAGAATGGAATCGGTTGACTTTGTCAGATAACTCAAGAGCGCCCAGAGCCAATTGTGCGTAATAAGCGTCCAGTAAAAATTTACATTGCTTTTGCGCCCACTCATCGGCCGAAAAATGATTACCGCATTGACGGCTGCTTGGCTGCTTGGTTCCTCATAATTCAGTGCCTGGCTGCACCTCACTCAAAATAATGCCACCATCAGTGACCACCGTCCCAAAAACAGCGATATCGTTTAGATGATACTTCACGGTCTTCCCTTAGAAGCCACTGTCGTTTCTCTGATTGGAACCATTTCTAGTTTGGGGCGGAAATACCACAGTTTTACCGGTAAAAGCCGGTCTATTCAAACACACGGCATTGTATTACATAAGCCAAGAACATTACGGACACCAAAATTGGAATATGCACCATTGTCGGAATGAACATCCAGCTCGGGCTGCGAGCGATGCAAGTCTCCAGCCCGTACGGGCCATAGAATATCCTGATTTATCAGAATGCGCACAGTTATCCAAGTAAGCCACGAGGCTCAAAAAGTGTTTTTCAGATACTAACACTCACGGCGTCAGCTGCAATTCAATTGGATTCTGATAGAACTACGTATAGAAACTTCGTCTAATTCTCTAGTCGAGATGCACATGAGATGTAAGCCTGCGTTATATACTGTCACGAAACAGAACATTTCAACTAAGAGGTCTCTTGGCCCAGTTGGTTAAGGCACCGTGCTAATAACGCGGGGATCAGCGGTTCGATCCCGCTAGAGACCATTTATTTTTGCACATTCGTCTTGATTTTCCTCAAGACGAACAGCTTGTCTTTACGAAAGTAAGTAAGAGAGAATTTTCATTATATCGATTATTGATTGATGGTTTTGGTCATCAGAAATAAATAACTACTGGGCATTCAGAGAATAAATAAATAAGTACAAATCATAGACATAAAGAATTGTGTGTTTAGGCGTGGTGGCTCTTAGCCAACTTGTTCAAAGCAGAACCAGCCTTGAACCATTCGATTTGTTCAGCATTGTAGGTGTGGTTTAATGGAGTGTCCCATGCCTTACCATCTTTGGTGTGAATTCTCAAGGTCAAAGGCTTGCCTGGGGCAAATTCAGTCAATCCAATGATGTCAACGGTATCATCTGGGTTGATCTTATCGTAGGCCTCAGGGTTGGCAAATGTCAATGGTAACATACCTTGCTTCTTCAAGTTAGTTTCGTGGATACGAGCAAAAGACTTGGTAATGATGGCGTAACCACCCAAGAATCTAGGTTCCAAAGCGGCGTGCTCACGGGAAGAACCTTCACCAAAGTTCTCACCACCAATGACAACCCATCTGATACCCTTGTCTCTGTAGGCTCTCGCAGTGTCTGGAACACCAGCATATTCACCAGTGTAGTGATTCTTGACACAATTGGCCTTCTTGTTCTCGGCGTTAATGGCACCAATCATGTAGTTGTTGGAAATGTTTTCCAAGTGACCACGGTACTTCAACCATGGACCAGCCATAGAGATATGGTCAGTTGTAGTCTTACCCAACGACTTGATTAGAATTGGCATGTTAGTTGGGTCCTTACCATCCCAAGCATCGAATGGCTTTAGCAACTGTAAACGATCAGAAGTTGGAGAAACCTTAACAGTGACAGTGCTACGATCAGCGGGTGGAGCTTGGTAAGTGTCTTGACCTGGATCGTAACCCTTGACAGGCAAACCAACGCCAGTAGGAGGCTTCAACATAAATTCGTTACCGTCCTTGTCCTTCAACTTGTCGGATAGAGGGTTGAATCTCAAGTCACCAGCAATGGCGAAAGCGGTGACAATTTCTGGAGAAGCAACAAAGGAGTGAGTTTCTGGGTTACCGTCATTTCTGGAAGTGAAGTTTCTGTTGTAAGAGGAAACAATAGTGTTCTTGTCACCCTTCTTGATGTCTCTACGGTCCCATTGACCAATGCATGGACCACAGGCGTTGGCCAAAACGATACCACCGAATTCCTTGAAGGTTTCCAATTGACCATCACGGGCAATGGTAGCTCTAATTTGTTCAGAACCTGGAGTCACAGTGAAGATAGACTTGGACTTTAGACCGTGAGAGGCAGCATCCTTAACGATAGAGGCAGCACGGGACATATCTTCGTAAGAAGAGTTGGTACAGGAACCGATCAAACCAACTTTAACCTCCAATGGCCAGTTGTTCTTAACGGCAACTTCCTTCATCTTGGAGATTGGAGTGGCCAAATCTGGAGTGAATGGACCGTTGATGTATGGTTCCAAAGTGTTCAAGTCAATCTCAATGACTTCATCATACTCAGCACCCTTATCAGCGCACAACAAATCCTTGTGGTATAGTTCTGCAAAATCAGCGATGTCACCACGACGAGTAGCGTGTAAGTACTCAACCATGGATTTATTGAATGGGAAAACAGATGTAGTAGCACCAATTTCAGCACCCATATTACAGATGGTACCCATACCAGTGGCAGAGAAAGTGTCAACACCATCACCGAAATATTCGACAATCTTACCGGTACCACCTTTGACGGTAGTGATACCAGCCAACTTTAGGATGATATCCTTTGGAGACGTCCAACCGTTCATCTTACCGGTCAATTTGACACCCAAAATCTTTGGTGCCTTCAATTCCCAAGGCAAGTTCGACATAACATCAACGGCGTCAGCACCACCCACACCGATAGCTAATTGACCCAAACCACCAGCGTTTGGAGTATGCGAATCAGTACCAATGATCAAGGCACCAGGGGATGCGTAGTTCTCTAGTACAATTTGGTGAATAATACCGGATCCTGGACCCCAGAAACCCATGTTGTACTTGGCAGTGGCAGTGGCCAAGAAATCGTAAACTTCCTTGTTGATGTCAATAGCTCTTTTTAAATCCTTCTCACCACCAACTTGCGCTTGAATCAAGTGATCACAGTGCACAGTAACTGGTCTGGCAACCTGTGGCAAACCTGCAGACATAAATTGCAAAATAGCCATTTGAGCAGTAGCATCCTGACATGCAACACGGTCTGGTCTCAACTTCAAGTAGCTGATACCTCTCTCAATTTCCTGATTGTGAGGATCGTCCAAGTGACCGTACAAAATCTTTTCAGCGTACGTCAATGGTCTACCCAATCTCTTTCTTACGATGTCGACGTATTCAACATTTTGCTTATAGTTGATAAATGAATGATCCTCCAACAAATTTTGGTGGACCTTAGAGTCTCTAGTCAATTTAGACACAGTAGCCAACCCACGAGTCACTGGTCTCTGAACAATACTGCGAGCAGACAACATGACTTGCTTTGCTTCAACCGCTTCCTACCCTTAATCCTTTTCAGTTGATGTTTTGAGACCTCAATGCATCCCCTTTATATAATACCATTTTTTTTGCGGGACGTGACCATCTTGTAGGGGTTTAGCGGAGCCGAGCTCGAAACGGAGACGACTAGGCCATGGGGTAAGCCGAGTTCGGCGCCGGGCTATCAAATTCGTCTTAAACGAGGATGTGACTTGAGGAGTCACGTGAGAGGAGACTCTATTAATTAGTCTATACAACGAAGTAAAGCTGCAATTACACCTTTTGCACCTGGTATCATTTGTCCGAGTACGGGCAATTGTTTTGACGCCTCAATATCAGTAGGGAATGCCGTTGGTCAGCCTTTGAAACTCGTCATAACCCTTTGTAAAAATGCTTTCGTAAGATTTCTTAATGAGCGAGAGCATATGTTCGGCAGCGTCATGATCGCTCTTGTGGGGAACAAAGCGCGATTCCAGATTCTTGATGGTCTTAATACCTTTGAAACATGGTAGACCACTGCCCAACATGGGCTTCACGCACTCCAAAATGGCGTTCATGTGGGGGCGCGCAGCCAGGTATGCTTTGATGCACAATTCTTCGAACTCGCGGTATGCCTGCGTGTCGGGTGAACCGCCCATCACGCGAACCATTTCCTTAGTGAGCTTGAAAGGAACGGCCTCAAACTTTACACCACCGGGCACGATGTCGAAAATAAACCCGAAGTCAATGTGCAAACAGTGGCCTTGATCATCATACATGATATTACCATTGTGGCGGTCCTTGAATTGTAGGAGATAGGAGATAACCGAGTAGCCCGCAAGCGATTTCACGAAGTTGTTTCGCGCATGCTGAAACTCAATTGTGTTTTCATGGCCAAACTTGGTGATGAAATACTCGTAAAGCCCATTAACGGCTTCTCTTCCAAGCATATCTCTGGAAATAGAGTTTGGAAGCACATCAATCACACCGCATCCGGGGGCAGTGGCAGTTACACGATAAGGAAACACGTAAACATCGAGGCCAATGCATGACCAAATGGAACGAAAGACAGAAATCAGTTGAAGCGCCAAAACGTCTTGTCTACAGTCGTCACCAACCTTGAAAATGGCGCCTTGCCATTTCTCAATGTACTCTGATTTGCCTGTGTCGTGGTTGCGGACAGTTTTCTTGATCTTGAAAGTTGCCATGAAAGGTGCCTTGGCGTGACTCTGCAATGGCTTACCACTTTGACGGTCAATATCGACAACAACACCATCAGGATTCGAGGGGAGATAGACGTCTTTTTCTACAGCAATTTTCTGCATTTCTTCGTCAATCTTCTGCTTCTTCTCTGCCTTCGTTTTCTTAATGTATGGCTTCAACTTACCTGAAATTCCGGTGACTTCGTTAAAGAACTTGAATTCACGCTCATAAAAATCTCTCTGCTCATTAGTGAACTTCTTCACCATTTTTTGGCGGATGCGGTCCAGTGTTGGTTTGAGCTCGTCAGGGACTTCACCTTCGTCATCTTTGAAGCTATTTGCTAGCATATTCCATATGATTTGATGCGCAAATAAGACGCTAATTTTTGCGGTATCCACGATGAAACGCTCAACGTAACCCATAGGATCACACCTGAGACATTGTACGATTTGTGGCACATAGAAAAAAGTTAGATTGACGTCGTGGGATTCTAGTGCACGTACGTTATACTGTGCAACAAAGGTATTGGTGGCCCATTCTGGAAGGAAGAGATTGATAGATTCTAAGGGACTCACCGAACGCCAATAAAGTACATAATGGAGATCTTTACTCCCCGAGAGTAAGTGGCGAAGTGCCTCACGCGAATGAACGCATGCAAGAGGGCTCTCACGAATCAATGCTCTTAGACGTTCTTCATTCTTTGGAGTGGAATATCTCTCAACCAAATTGACTGCAAGCTCTGCATCATTTGCGAAAGCCCTGTCTATCAAATCCATTGGCAGTTTTGCCGACTCTGCGCTCTTTGCCAATGGGTTGAGCCACACCTCCAGATGACGGATCTCACTTACAAGAAAGTATTCCAATAGGCTCAGATCGTCACCACAATAAATTGATAGCTTAGAGTTTTGCGTAGTCAAACTCTTGTAAAACTCAATCAACAAAGCCAAATCTGCTCTAATCTTGAGCTCATTGGCCCCGAAAGGCCAAGATAATGGCCTCTTGAACCAACTCAAGGCCCCCTTTACTAGGGAAGTACATATATGAGAAACACCTTGGGTGTTGTACTTCAAATTGGTGTTTAAAACGAGAATACCAAAATTCAAAAGTTCAGTACGCGATAATCTAGCAAAGGGATGCAAACTTGCGTAGTCCAAATGAGACATTCCATAAAGACATAAAGTGGTGAATAATTGTAGTAAATGCCTGCTGTCGAACATTGTGCCTTCAAAATGAGACGTGAAAAATCTTATGACGTGTAAATGAGGCTGAATGGATTTGCTTGCAGAATGCGCTGACTGATCGATTTCTTTCTTGTCATATGGTGCGTACTCCATAGGTTGAAACTCCTCCGGTGCCAAGTCATGTTCTTTAGAGTATAATCCTCTGCGATCATCGATGGAGCGCATCCAACATTGTCCAACTTCAGAGATCAAGATGTGAGATAAGTCTGTCCTTTCCTTTACCACAGATAACCAAACATTTGTCGCAATTTTCATAGCACTTGAAGTAAATATTTGGAATGGTGTGTGTACAATGTCATATACCAAAGAAGCAGACTCACCCTTTTTAACAATGAGAAGCGTAGCAGATAGGTCCAAAAAGTTTGACAGATCTTTTTGATCGACAGATTCTTTCTGACTTAGTGAATCGTCAATTTTCGCTTTCACTTCTGATCTCTCTTTCTCAATACCCGAGTAAGAAGAAACCACATTCTTTTCGATCAAGAACCTCGAACGCCATGCATGCTGTGACAAAAATCCGGAAACACTGTCTGGCCGACCGTATCCGTGGCGATTGATATTCGAAAGTTCTCTATCAACAGACAAAATAGTTCCTGCCATTTCAAGGGCAAACGAAACACCAAATTCGACACTGTTCAGTCTCTGGAAGTCACCTAAATCGGAAATATAAGATTGTAGTAAGATTTTTGCGTCTTGATTCGCAATTTTCAGAATACTTCTGGTCCATTTTTTCGCAGATTGATGTAATCTTTCCAATGTTGAAGTACGCCACTGATAAGAGTCCGGTAGAAGAACTCTTCTGCGCGAATGCTTCAAAAGAAATTCAAACTTGGCCTCATATTTGTTTGTTTCGCAACACACGATACTATCAAAAAGCATTGTGAGTGAGTCCAATAAAGTGTAGAGCGAACTTCGGTGACACAAACTCGAAGGAATCTTGGAGATAAAAACATCACAACATTGATAAGCGGCGTCTTGCAGATAAGAATCTCTATGAGTTAAAAGAAGAAGAAGATTGGTCAACTGAGAGGCTACGTTCTCAGCAGAAAAAATCTTAGGGTCTCCTTTAACAATAAGCTTTGTGAACTTACCAATCATAGAGATTGCAATCGAGTTGATGAGCTTATCAATGTTACTCGTCGTAATGGAGGGGTCAGAGAAATATAGTAGCGTTTTTGAACAATCTCCCGCTTCACATCTTAAGCTCTCTAGAAAAAAAGTCGCCGAAAGAAACATGATCTTAGATGTCGACAGAGTTCTAGCTGACATGATATTCAATGAAAATTGCTCAGCCATGATTTGTTTCTGCTGCTTCAAATTATGGTTCGAGGAACCACGGCGTAAAATAGTGTTCATTTCTAAAGATGTTTCTCTATTGTTTGAAGGGAAATCGGAGGCCAGAGGAGGAGAATTATAAGCAATAGTTTTTAACTCAGTATAATACTTTATGGTCAAATTAGAGTTCAAGTGAAATCCATGAACCACAGCATTAAACCATACATTTCTAAACATGTTAGTGGTAACATCATCCAAAGAGATATTCAAAGGTTCTTGCCCTGGCTCAGGCAAAAGGGCTGCCAGAGGTTTCAAGTATATTGCAATTTGATCAGCAACCTGTGCAATTTCGCTGTGGGACCTATGGTGTTCTAAACGATCCACATCACCGCGAGATACGATGGCATCCAACAGGTAATGCATGTATAGTTTATAAAGGGGGCTTCGAGGTTGCTTCTTGACTAATTCACGAGAAAGGACTGTTTTGGCCTTCACAATATTCTTGATCGATTCAACATCCTTTCCCTCAATGGCGCTATTTGTTGCAGTGTTGAAAAACTTCATCAGTAAGGAAAACTCGGATTCACTTGCGCACACTGCCAAGTTTGCTAAACCCTCTAATATCTTTTTATCCAACTTTGGAGAAACAACCCTGAACTTCTGAGTTAAGATTGTAACCGATAACGCAGTTATCGATTGGTCATTATAGTTGGAGGCAATAGTCGTTGTTGCTACAACTACATTTTCAAATAGTTTATCATGGTAAATAGCTGTTTTTTCAACCGAATGACTTGGTTGAGGGGAAAGAGAGCTTGAACCAGAGGGACTCTGTATGCTAGAAAGATCTGTGTCAGAATTCCTAAACATTTGCAGCGATTGAAAGGTCCCGACAGTGCTCGCCCTATGCGATCTTGGTGATAGCAGGCGATCAATGTGATTGTTCGCCCCCCCGGAAACAGTAACTCTCCTTTCTTTGAAAACAGGTATGGGCAAACCATCCTGTGCTAGAGCTAGCAAGTTATTAATAGAATAAATTGCACTTACAATGGCATCTTCTGTTAATGGTTTCAATCCGATACTAAAGTAAGCGGAGATTTCTGAAACAATTTGTTTCGAAATCAGCTTAGAAGAAATTAATATTGGGAAGACTCGTAAAAGCTCTGATGACACCTCCTCTGTATAAAAATTGAGAAGTGACGCCACCGCAACTACAGTTCGAACTTGGTTTTTATTTGTGATAACGCTGTCAGTGGTAGCATCCAACACAGCATCATGGACCAACTCGATGAATTCACTGACCTTGTAGTCCAGTAGTAGACCGAGAGCCAAAACTTGCAACATATAGGATTTTGCATCGTAGGCGAGAGAGATTCTATTATGCGTAGAGAGGTCAATATATTGAGCTCCTTCCTCAAGCTCAGTCAGTTGCACCAAAGAATACGTGCATAACTTTGTTAGGGCCGCTCTATTCCTTTCCACCTTTAACTTAAACTCTGAATAGACTTTTAATTTGTCTTCGTTGAATTGGGAAGACTTCAAGTCCAAAAGAAACTTGACAAGGGACGAATCAATTGGGACATTCAAAATGCTACAAGCATATTTGACTTGTAGTTTTTGGACCAGTTTACAAAAGAGCAATGAACAGATTTCGCGCCCATTGTCGAAATAATCTATCAATGCATTATTATTCACAGATTGGGAGACTAGGTTCTCGACTGCAGAGAGAAAAGGTTGGGTAATCAATGTGGATAAGCGGTCCACAACGACGTGGGTTAACATGCTTCCGTCTTCATAGATAAATGCGTCGATAAGACCAGCAATTGACAAGAGTCCATTAATCGACATTTGATCGCAAACCGCAGCTAGGTACCTGTCAATGTATTGGCATGTTTTTTTAAACAATTGAGGAAACCTTTTATTTGCTCTAATCAAAAACCTTGTTAGCTCAAAAGTTTCTATCTCAGCAGGATGTTTAAGCCCCTGTTGCCTATACTTTTCGATAACGTATTCAGTAAACCTTTGCTTGGGGCTACCGACAAAATAGACACTCAAGCAATTATCTAAAAGTCCTTCAACCTGTGACAGGCTCCCAATTTCGCATCGACAGAGTGCTAAAAGAATTTCCATCTCATTTAGTGTCAGGGGAATTGTATAAAGTTTAGTTGTGTCAGAGGAATAACTAATCGGTAAAGAGGCTACCAATTTCTCAATTGGTGAACTTTCTTCACCAGCATGAGCAAAGTTGCTAAGCTTGCTTAAGGCTAGGGCTCTCAGGGATTTTCTGCTTCTCCTATAATATACATCAGGTTAGAACATTCATCAATTGTGTATGGAAAACGTAATTAACACTTACCTGAAACAATTCATTCGTTGCTTGATCTTGATGTTTTCATTGTCAAAATTGATGGAAGTCCATTTTTTCTTGGAGATACTACAATACCTAACGATAAACGAAATGAGAGAAAAATGCGCAGGGATGGTTAATGATCCGTATTAAAATAACTACTATAAGTACAAAACGAGTTCGCATAATCTTATGGAACCAAGATTAAATGGAAAAGTATTTTGTTTTGCTAAATAATGCTGCTTGCTGTGAGTGAATTTGTTTAATGAACATCTGGAAAGGCCATGTCACCGAAGCCTTCTTATTCTTTGTGATCTTCTACCATACCAGTCTATCCATATCTGTAGCTTAATAGAACCCTAGTGCCTCAGTGTATTATCGAATTTTGAGATGAGGTGGATTGAGTTGAGAATTAATCTCGTCAAGATCCTAAACTTTTCAGGCTCATCAAAAGATCTTGCTTTCGGCCCTCTAAAGCGTCACATTCCTTATAAATTGCTTTAATTTGACCGTTCAAAACCGTCTTCTTGCTTTGAGTTGAGCTGACTAAATCATTGAGGTTTTTCATCATTTCATCAAATGTCCAGATGTCAGTATCAAGGTCTGGCATCGAAGATATGACACCGACATTACTCACTTTGTTCAGCTGATGTGTTTCCCATTCTGAACTTTGCTTATCATTTAAAGCTTTTTCTATTTCTTCTCTTCTTCTGTCATCTTTCTGAGTAATTTCCGCTTTACTAAGGGCGAGCCTTTCGTCGTCGAATTCATGCAAGGAAGCTTCCAGAGCATTCACTTCTACATCTTCGGTTGATTCTTTCTTGCCTAGTGTTTCCATCAGTTCATGTTTATCATCGTCATTCAGAAGCTTTACATAGCTTCTTTCATCATATTCGACGCTTTTCTTTTTCGAATTGGCATAAAATCCAGTCCCGGAAGATGTACCGCGTTGTTGCATCAAAGTTCTTTGCATTTTAATGGACTCGATATCTTGTTTCGAAGGTATTCCTTCTAAATCGCTTTCTGGGCCATCATCAAAATCGTCCATGTTCATAATTCTAACATCTTGGCGAACATCTTCCACATTGGCAGTGCCCGCTGCCGACTTGCGATAAGATACTTCAATACCTCTATCTTCTTTAGATTCAGGTAATGATATAATTGATTCGTTTAGATTCTTCTTTTTCCGGTGCTTTAACTTCATCTCCAATTCCAAGTCTTCCTCCTCTTCAGGATCATCGTAGGAAGAAGAAATCTTCACTTTGCTTCTCTGTGACCTCCCAGTATCTTGTTGAGATTGAATACTGGGAGTGGACCTGACTCGTATCTTATTTCTACGGATCATGTTAGTTAGGAGGGATTTATCAAGATAGTTATCGGCGTTCTAAATGAGATGCGCCATCTAGATGTAGATAAGTTTTTCAACATAGATGAAATGACAATACAGAAAAATAAACATAATTAAATAATTTGTTCCTGCACCTAATCAATGCTATCCTGATTGATTGCAATTCTATGGTGGGAAGCATCATCATCTTTCCGTGTTGAAGTTGTCTCCTTCTCTTCTTGAACGGGCAGATCTAGCATCTCCACTAACGACCTCGGTGTTTCCACTTGAGGCGGGGTCCTCTGTTCACCTTGAACCAATGAGTAATGCTCTGCATTAGCCATAGAGTTATTTTGCCCTAGTTTTCTCTTCTTGGAAGAAGATCCAAGTACCGGTTCCGTATTGTTTAGTATAATATGATCACTGCCAGCAACGACCATATCAGACTTTCGCCGCACAGCGGGTTTATTATGACGTTGCTCGAATAGAGAGCCTGACCGCTGCGGAAGAATGGATTCCTGTATCGATTGAGTTCTCATAGTTGGATGACGTTTTTTGCTAAAAGGAATTTCCAGCGGAGTATCTTCGTCTTCATCATCATCTTCAGCGTAACCATCATCCTCTTCCTGACCAAGTGTGGTTTCTTGCGAGAGTTGAGGGTTAAAAAGTGCATTAATATGCTGTGATGTAGGCAAAGTACTAGGAACGTCACCAGTATTGAACATGTCAAATGGGTCGATAACCTCCGCAGCAGCATTGGCAGGAGGACGTAGAATAAGTGGACGTCCAGCATGACTCTTCATGGAGTTCAGGTACTTAAGCATATCCAAATTGAAATTGTGTCGCTCTAGGGGAATACTGATATTGAACTTGAATAAAAGTTGCAATTTACCTAAGAGTTCATCTTCGGGTTCATCTTGATACCACAACCCACACCAAGCGGCAACGATAGATTGATACTTCTCAAACTGCCAGTTTAATTGAGCATCAGACTCCTGATCTTGAGGGGACATTGCCCAAGCTAGGAGAGTTTCCAAGCATAATCGTATCATATCAAGGTTACCACATGGAAGTACATGGAGCACCTGTAGTTGCTGAGGCAGCTGTGCCTTCGGATCTCCTTGGTTGACCAACACCAGATAATAGAGTGTCAAAATCTCGTATGCGGTTTCCTCTACGAAAACCGATGGCTTTTCACTTGACTGTGATGCCTTGGTGTCAGTAAAAAAACGCATGACCAGGTAATACAAGGTAAGCTGGATTTCTGCAGCCTGAGGAGTTTCTACATTTGTCACAAGGTTCGGCAGCTTGTAGGGCTCATGGTCCTCTAGTCTGTGATAAAGGCTGTACTGAATGAGAATTTTTCGAAAGCTTTCCAGAACAAGAACCAATTGAGAAGCCCCACCTTGGGATAAAGCATGTAGGAAGTTGCAACCGTCCAGAGAGCCAACAACGAAGTCCACCAGAAGACCAAATGGTTTAAATCTGGGGATTTGCAACGATGATACCGTAGGAGGCTGAAACTCGTCAAGTGTGAAATTGTATTTTGGAGTTCCCTGTATGAGAGTCCACCAGGAATCAAGAAATTGAAAACACCAAAATGTAATGAGCCGCTCAGTGTGGTTAAGCGACTGTTGCGAACTCACGGGGATGAGACGACGACTATTGATGAAAATGCCCATATTGACAACTTCTGCGAAACACAACCGCAGCAGTTCAGAAGAGTAGGCACTAGTAGAAGCGTTCCCTAAAACTGCAGAACCCGGAGTGCCCATGAAATAGTAACTCGCAAGGAGCATACACTGAAGATTACGCAAAGAGCGGGTGGAGTTCGTGCAAACGATCTTAGTGGCAACGAAAAGCTTATCGTCACTGAAGCATAACCATTGGCGTTGGATCACTAGCAGGAGCGCTAGTACGGTGGTTGGATGTGCGGTGGTGTCGAAGACATCCATGAGGTCTTTCTCCCACTCAGGCGAGCTGAGGATGGGCACGAGCGACATGCCAATACGGAAGAACTCTGTGATGCCTCTGCTGACGCGCTTGCGGGTGAATGCAGAGTCACCGTGGTACTTAGAGAGTAGCACAGCAGGCAGATAGTTGTGAGTGAGTTGAAATTGCTGTACGAGGTAGCTGCGGAGCCACGCATCCTCGTCAGGTATGGCGTTGTGCGACAGCACGCTGACGGTGTCGGTGAGCAGATTCCAAGTGGCATTGCCAATGTAGCGCTCGTCGGGTCCAACGTAATTGCTGTAGTAGTGGAAGGTGTCGTTGACAAACGGGAGCCGAGGCCCGTGGTGGGATTTGTGGTTCACGTCGAGGTCGGCGCCATGTGTGGCTACGGACACGGATGTTGCGGCTGCGGACGAAACTTCACGCGACCCGGGCGCAATAGTGTTACCGTCCTCATCGACAAGATTGAGCTGGCGTTGGAGCTTGATTACCTCGCGCTCGAGCATTTCGGTGTAGCCACGCGGGAATCCGCGTCGTGTGAGTTTGTCACTGGTCTGGCAATGAAAACCGACCTTTTTGCACGATGTGCAGCTGGGCTTGAGCCCATCACATTTTATTTTCTTGAGACGACACCGGTCGCACGCCTGCGACGACCGGATCTGGTCCGACAACAGCAATTGGCTGTCTTTAGGCGAAGAAGGATTGCCGTATTTTCTCTTGCCCATTTCTGGCGCGGTGGACGACAGAGCACGGAAACAGACTGACAACGAGTCAGAGTAGCTTGGGAACTTAAAGAGGGTTCAAAAGCGGCGCTTTCAGAACTTGGATGTTACAGAGTTACCAGAAATTTGTTGAACGGGGGAACGCGCAAATCGCTTTCCAGGCCTTCTACGCAAGTCTCGTTTCTCTAAACCCAAATAAATGGACGCAGTACCGAGTAACCAAGTAGCAAAGTAACCAAGTAACCAAGTAATCAATTAGCCAAGCAACCAAGGAACCGATTGACAATTAACCAAGTAACCAATACGAAAACCAATAAATACCAATTACCGACTTATCCGATCTCTCCAGTTTGCGATTTCTCGAGTTGACCGTGTTGTACTAATGAATCACACGTTTAGCTTAAAAGACTTGAGACTTTTGACCATCAACGCCCCACTCGTCCGTCCGTGGTCTCAGTTATATACAAGATAAGGGGTACAGAATCCTTTTTCGATAATCTGGCACACACGTATGTAAGCACTAACGTCAGTTGCATCAAAACCGACTCTCCAGTTTGTCTAGCCACAATTATTTCACTGCAATTCTGGCGCTAATCAGCCTTTTTCATTCTCATTCGTTTTCACCGGGACAGATGGAACCGCGTACGTGAAAAAGACGATGGGGTAAGCGAGTGATGGGACTTGCGCGACGGACCGATGGATCACAGAAGCTCCCGCGGGAAGGGACCGTGCTCAGAAACGGCTGCAGTGCGGTGGCGCGGAGCCAGCTGCGGCGGGGGAAATGAGGAAAGTCCGGGTGAAAGGCACGCGGGTGAAAGGGGATACGAAGTGGGGGCGTAGCGTGGGGTATCGCTTCGGACGGAAGCTCGGCACGTGACACGGAACACATGTAATTACGTACGGACGTACACGTGACACACGTTTCCCGGGTTCTTTTCTCTTTTGATCACTTGAAACGGAGCTGTTGCTGCCCTATCTGCAATTGCATCGCGTCCCATGATCATCATCACGATCACCCACATCAACATTCGTAGCACACTCGCCAACCACCCGACTACAAGTACTTCAAATCGCGTTTTCGCAGTGCTCTCTACCACTTCGCATACCCTATTCCTCAAGACCCACGCTAGTTCATGCAGAAGCCGTTCCAGGGCATCACTTTCTGTCCCACTGCGCTGCCAGAAGAGATGTCGCGTTCCGTATCGCGCAAGATCATTAAGCTGGGAGGCGCGTTCTCCAAGGACCTCACGAAGCTCGTCAATGTGCTGGTAGTTGGTAGCACCAACACCAACAAGTACCGGTTCGCCGCGCAGCATCGCGCAGATATCGTGCTGACCGATGTGGAGGCAATCGACTCACTATACGACCTATGGCTAACCGGCGAGGACGTCACCATGAAAGACCACTCGAACTTCGCGCAGATCGTGTCGCCACGCGACCGCATGGTGAGCGTGCTGCGCGAACGGTTCCAAGTGGGCGCGCTCAAGGACTTTGTCGTATTTATCGGACGCGTCGACGATGACCACGCGGGCGAGGCCAGCATCGAAAAACTAGAACAAATGTGCGTGTCCCAGAACGTACACTCGTGCAACTCCCGCCACTTCGTGAAGGAGTCCTACTGGAACCGTCCGACGGTTTTCGTCACAGACTGCGCGCGCGGCGCGCGCGTGGACGCGGCACGCCAACAGGGTCTGCCCATCGTACATCCCAAATGGATCCTCGACTGCCATCGTCGTCAAGCACTTCTTGACTTCTCCTACTACTTGCTTGAAGATGCCACCGATCGCCCCTGGGATGCGGTGGGCAAGACGTCCTGCTCATGTTGGGAAGACGTGCTCCGACGTGACGAACCAGTAGAATCCGACGTGCCTCAGGAAACGCGACCCAACCACCAAACTGTGTTAAACAAATTTGGCTCCGATGGAGACCGCCTTTGGAAGAGCGTCATACACAAGGAAAAGAAAAAGACGCCATCTTTGGCCGTCGAAGTGCCCGAATCCAAGGCAGTTACAGAAACCGTGCCGTTATTTTCGGGTATTCAGTGCCATTTGCATGCCTTTCCACAACGTCACCACGAGATTCTACGTAAAATTATTGAGGGTAACGGTGGAGATTGTTTCAATTACGACCCTACTAAGATACCGTCAAACGCTGCTTACCTTGTAGTTCCCAGCAACATGCTTATTGAGGATTTACCGATTTCTGATCCCTTCAAAGCAGTTGTAACGGAATTCTACTTTGAGCGCTGTCTTCACTATAAGAAGCTTCTCGAAACAGACCCGTGGTCTGTTCCTTTTCTTACCAACTTTAAGCTTCAGGCACCGCGAGACCTGGCCGAACATGGCCACGCCAAAGACTCTTTGAAAGTGGCCATTACAGGTTTCCAAGGAGTTGAGTTATTGCATATTACTAAAATACTTGGATATTTAACCCCTATGGGCCTGCATCTCACCGAGACGTTAAATAAGGATACTGACGTCCTTATTATAAACTTAGGCGCTCTCACCAGTATTCCAGACTCTCACGCTCTCTGGAATAACAATTACGCATACATGTTTTCCGAAAACAAGAAAATCGAACAAAATCAAGTGTTTAGAAACTCAATGAAACGCAAGATAGAATTTATCAAACAAAAACATAGCATTCCGGTGGTGACACCAGGATTTATCATGGAGCTCTTTGCGCGAAGTGCCAAAAATAAGGGCACAAACAAGACGCGTGCGAAAATTTTCCTCAACGATATCAATTGGTGTGTATTATGTCCACGAGGAAGCAAAGAACAATTCTGTTGTGAGCTAATCCTCGAACCCGGATCAAAACAGCCTTCTGCAGCAGAAGTCGAAAACTCATTACCAACTAAAATACCGCCCATCTCGCTGAAGGAAAAACGCCAAGAGCTGCTAGAAAAATTGAGCCGAACTCCTGTTAATAGAAAACGACCCAATCCTGTGAACGAGACTCGTCTGCCACCACAACACCGATCGCTTCCTCCCAAAGTTCCAAAACTGGCACCTGTAGAGAAAATGATGGCAGTTCAACGTTCCTCTAGTTGGGGGAAAATGATGTCAGAACATGTGCGTCAAACTGATAATACCGAGGGAAATGAGACGGGATCAGAAACTGACCATGAAGACTCCATACACACTCAAGTAACATATGGAGCTATTTCTGAACGTAAAGAGACTAAAGTTCCTTCTCGAAGATTAACAAGACAACATGCAAAGCAGATCGACACTGAGATCTGAGCCATAGACTACGACTCTTCTTTAATCAGGTAAGCAGGTTTAACAATTCTAGTATTTCAAATGTCATATATAATATCCGTAACGAAAAAATGATTAACTATAGAAAAAAAGAACACGAAATCAAATCTGGCGAACTTTATTTAATAGAAAACGCATGATATCATGAGTGCTTTAAAACAGCGCAAGGAAGAATTTGTTAGTGGCCTTACAGGTGGTTCTATTGCGGAAATAAATGCAGTGACGTCTGTTGCAGTTGTTGGTTATCTTTGCTGGAAATTCTTACACGCAACAGCACCAACCAAAGATGTCAATATTTTGGTCGATTTCCTCCTAAACTGGTGTGCTTTACTCCTTTCGATCACAATTTACTCAGATAATCCTATTGGACTCAATTTACTCGTCGGTGTACCATGCTTTTCCTATTGGCTATTTGCAAGAATACGAGACAACAATAGTAAGAAAAAATCTCAAGAACCTCTACAATATGTGCTTGTCAAGCGCCCATTCATCACTGCTTATCGTGGAGGAATGTTAATAGTCACGGCTTTGGCAATTCTAGCAGTGGACTTTAATATCTTCCCTCGCCGATTTGCAAAAGTTGAAACGTGGGGTACATCACTGATGGATTTGGGTGTTGGATCATTCGTATTTAGCAATGGTGTGGTGTCATCTAGATCTTTGCTCAAAGAATCTCTAACTGGAAAACACATGGGACCGCTATCAAAGACTTTACAGGCACTCAGATCTGGTGGTACGGTTCTTCTGTTAGGGCTTCTTCGACTTTATTTTGTCAAGAACCTTGAATATCAAGAACATGTAACAGAATATGGGGTCCATTGGAACTTTTTCATTACGCTTTCACTTTTACCATTTGCTATGCTTATTATTGATCCATTGTCAAGGCGAATTCCAAGGGTTGTTATTGCCGTTTTTATTTCATTTGCATATGAGTTTATGATGCTCTTTAAAAGCAAATTTTTAGAATACCTGATAGCCAGTGATAGAACGAACTTTATCAGTGCCAACCGTGAAGGAATTTTCTCGTTTTTAGGTTATTGCTCAATATTTTTATGGGGGCAAAACACAGGATTTTTCATTTTAGGCAACACCATGACCAAAAACAATCTTTACAAACCATCGACTGAGATAATAAAAAATAAAAGAAAACTGTCAACATGGGATAAGCTTACGTCGGTGGGGCCATTAACAGGGTTGGTTTCCTGGTCATTTATTTGTGGCGTGTTCTTGCAAGCTATTTTATCATGGCATCCTTATAATGTCTCCAGAAGATTTGCAAACCTGCCCTATGTTACATGGGTGGTGACCTACAATCTTGGAGCACTCACACTTTATTGTCTGGTTGACCGTTTCTTTGAGAATGGTAAGGAACCCACTAAGGTTCCTTCAACGTTGGAAGCTATGAACAGCAATGGTTTAATACTATTTTTGTTGGCTAACGTTTCAACAGGCTTAGTCAACATGTGCATTCCTACTATAGATGTTTCTGCGCACGTCGGATTTTGTGTGATACTACTATATGCTTTTTTCCTATCCGTCATATCAATTCTTCTACTAAAAAGGAAGATATTCATTAAATTGTGAGATATAGAAATTACCAGTAACTTAGTCTATAATGATCACAGTATCCTTTGCATCGTCTGCCCGCTTTTTCGCTTGAGATAAACGGGACATGATGTCGAAACCTTCGCTTAATGGCTCTGATTTCATTTTTTTTCTACCAGTGCTATTAATGGTGCTTGTTCTTTTTTCGCCTGGTTTCCGTATCGTATCTGCTAATAGCTTAGCGTTCGTGAGAATAGGTCTGTTATCATTATGCAAGTCTCTAGGATTGTGTAATAATTCGGCAGCGGTAGTATCAATCAAAGAAGAGTCCTCTTCTTCTTTCATGATATTGCTGTTGTGCCGCGTCTTTGTGGTTTGAACTTGCGTATCACTTTCATTTAATATATCATGTAATTGTATCGAATCTGCAACGATTTTTCGTCTCGGCCTCGGATTGTTTCGCGGCTTTGTTGGACTTGTTAACCGTATAGGAATTCGATCATGAGTTGGATGTTTTAGGCTAGGCGACATTTTAGCACTACCAGGTGCTAAATTGGCTTCAGATTTAGATGAAACTTCGTTTATTTTTGGTGCAAATGATTTGGCTTTCGGACTAGGAGGATGACTTGCGCTTGAAACCTTAGGGGCAAATGTCTTACGTGGTGGTGCAATGCAATTTGATGTTATACGCGAAGGCCGGTACGCAGGAGCAACCGTTCTATTTGATGAACGACCGTTGCCCAAATCATTATCCATGTTGAATGAAGGAGCTCGTGACAGTGATGACTTTATTGGGCTGCGATGAGGAGAGTTGTTCCTCAACTGTGCAGCTGCAGTAGTGATACCAAATTTTGATGGTGTTAAGTTTGTATTTTCAGAAGTGTCTAACCTAGCACTATCGAAAACAGGGATTCCTTTCCAAATCATTTTTTCTCTCCTTTCATTGATGAACTGTTCATAATCCTTGACCAAGACATCCAGTGAAAATGGACCATTTATAGATGGAAGTGGTTTTCTTAAGTGACGATACAGCTTTTCTATTGAATTTTTGCTAGAAAAAAGCTGCTGCTCTTCCGTCATTGTACCGATCAATTCTTTTGTTAAAAAGCGACTAGGAATGGATGAATCGTATCTGGATTCAGTAGAATTTGAGTTGGTTGCGCTTAGGTACAATAGAAACTTGGCTCTTGTCTGCGCAACGAAAAACATTCTGCGTTCTTCGTCTAATGAGGGGTCTTTTTTCTTTGATTTATTCTTTTTCGGACTACTAGGGGCGCCAGAACTTCCGTCAATATCGCTATCACTATCAGAGTCGTCTGTATCGTCTTTTGCACCAAAAATGCAAGGTATTACACCTTCCACACAGCCTGGTATCATTACCACAGGCCACTCCAAACCCTTTGCACCATGAATAGTAGATATGGTTACGAATCCTGCCTTTTCTCTTTCCTTTTTTCTTTTAAGTTCCTTTTCAGACATCTGAGCTTCGTCAATTTCAGTTTCGGAGGAGTACAGATTTACTGAATTGATGAACTCTCGAAGAATATCATGGATGTTAATTTTTAGTTTAGTAGTAGCGACAACATTGTGTTGAGATGGTTCTTCCACTTGGCTCAAGTCTTCGTCTATGGGCTTAAAATTCGTAAGGTGTTCCCGTAAGACTTTGATATTTAGATTTCTTTTGTTAAGCTCATTAGGTTCTGCTTTTGGATCAATTTCCGATTTTTTCTTACCGTCAAGGTACAAGTATTCGTATCGTAAACCAGAACCTTCGTAAAGTCGGTCGAAAACGTCCCCCAGTATCGATAAATCTGTCGCCCGTGCGCAAAAATCTCTACAACTTTCTATCAGTGCCACAAACTCTGTAATTACACTTATTATTTTGGATGGGAATTGGTAATTGTTTGAATTTTCAGAGATATTTTTCAATGCTGTAAAAGGGGATTCAAACTCCGCGAAGATGCTTTCGATTTTAGTGACGGTCGCGGGACCTACACCTCTCGCTGGATATTGTAAAGCACGTAGAATAGCGTTTTTCTCATAATTGGAATAAACACATTTCAAATAATCCATCATTCCATCAATTTCTCGCAGCTGCCAAAAGGCGCGGCCTTTCACAATCTTGTAAGGTATACGATGTTCAATTAATGCAGTTTCTATGGGTCTAATTTGTCTTCTATGCCTCACAAGAATAGCGAAATCTTTGAAACTCCACATGTCGGGCAAACAATGTAAGTAAAGAATTTCGCGAGCCAGAGCGGTGGCTTCTAGAAACTTGGCTGGGAACTCGATGTACACTGGAGGGAACTCACAGTCAAACTGCGCACGAAGCGGGAGCCTATGTTCGCGACCTGTTAACTGTTGACTGATAAGTGTCTCGCTTGTATTTAGAATAGTCTGGGAAGAACGGTAGTTTTCCACCAAAACGATTTTGGAGCAAGGAATGGGGCATTTGGTAACCATGTCCTCAAAGTTGCGGGCCAAGGCATTCCTGAACGCGTAGATACTCTGATCGGGATCTCCTACCACCGTTATGCCTTGGGATTGAGTAGAATTACCTCGTGCGAAAAGGTACATGAGGTCGAGTTGAATGCTATTAGTGTCCTGAAATTCGTCGACCAGAACGTGCTGGATATGTGGGAGACATCTTTGCTGCGACAGCAGTTTGAATGCATATAATAGAAGGTCGTCAAAATCCAGGGCATGTTGGGAGCTGAGCTCCGCTTGGTATTGTTCGTAGAAATGCAGGAGGGCGGCGTCGTGGTCGTCCTGAGACCTGTACTCGTCGACCAAGATAGCTTGGGATTTCAACCACGAGATGAGTTTCTTCACAGAGTTTGGATGCACTTCCCAATTCCCCTTGGAATTGGGCCTCAGAAGGTTGGCCTTTCTGGTGTAACTGTGGGCGTAGTCGCGAATCTGGTCGGGCATCTTTTCGATGAGTTTTTGAACGATGGGGTCAGTGTCGCTGTCGGAGAAAGTACGCCAATCCTTGGGCAGACCAACCTTCCAACCGTGTTGACGGAGGATACGCGCGCAGATGGAGTGGAAGGTTCCGATCCATAACGCGTTTGGGTTGATGCCCGTGCCGTCAAGCAAGCGGGTGAGCCGCTCGATCATCTCGAGAGTGGCCTTCTTGGTAAACGTAGTTATGATGATATTGCCTGGGAAGATCTTTTTCTCGAGCAGCAGGTAAGCAACCCTGGTAGTGAGGACCTTGGTCTTGCCGGTGCCGGGGCCCGCTACCACCTGGAGCGCTTGGGCCGGGTCGAAAACAGCCGATTCTCGCTGTTTCTCATTCAAGGAAGCCAGAATGGATTCCATCGCCTTACCGGACATCGGCGACGGCTTGTGGGTGGGTAGTGCAGCGTTGGGTCGCGTTGTGGGCTATACTTGTTGTGAAGATTTTGAGGTAAACAAACGGGACGTGATGTCTGGATTTCGGAGCGATAGAAGGCAGACGCGAGCGCGAGAGTAGAGCAGATGGTCCAAAGCAGCCTGGATGGTTTCGTGCGAGTAGCAATGGGGATATTACGGGCTTCTGGAGCGTTTGGGGCATTTCAGACGCTTCCAACGGGCGCAGACGCGATGAGGAGAGAAAGTTGCACGTGCCATAGAAAGCGTACTCTCGTACACACTGACATATTTTGATCATCACACACGGACTTTGTGATCGTGTTAAACGAATGCAGCTCATCACCTTATACGGGCCCGTGGATAGCGATGCTGGACATCACGTGACATTATCCAGAGCCCGTGCACCATCGATGTCCGACAGTACCCCGTCAGCTCCCGTCCAGTTTTCGATTTCGTCCGTCGTGACCCGTGCGTCGGTATGTGAAAAAAAATTTCCGTCCCCTTCTCCGGCGCCCCGCGCTGCCATTAACTGGCCCCCCGCTTCCTTGCATAGTTATAAACAGGGAGGAGAACTCTGGCGGCAAGTTAGTTGTAAACGCATCTCACCACCTTACAATGAGCGGATCGCTACTTAGAAAAATTACTCAAGGACTATCACCGTACCACAATCCAGAAGGACTTACGTTCGGCAAGAATAAGTTACTCGAAAAGAAGGAGCCGCGGGCCGGTAAGCGCGACGCAACGCACACATCGCGTCGTACGGGTGCAACCGTACCAGAGAAGTTGGACATACGGGCGCCAGCGGACTCGCAGGCGTACGTAGAGCACATTTCTAACCGGCTTGCCAACGAATTCAAGTGGGAGATTGAGCACGTCGAAGAAGTCGATCCAGCGCTGCGCATGCAGGCGCGCAAGGGCTCCAAGCCGCGTGTAGCGGCGCCGGGAGCGGAGCAAGGCAGAAGACGCAAATCTAAGGCGCGTCTGACCGAGCAGCGTGTGGAAGCGCTGGTCAGCGAGTCGCAGGCGACCGAAACAGGTATGTATACGAGGACAATTGAGGCGTGAATGGCGAGCCGCCGTGGCGGCACATGAGGACGAACGAGCACGTGACCCGCAGAACCGGGATTCTTCAATGAAAAAAAAAATTACCAGGTTTTTTCCCCCCCTCCACGTTTTTCCCCCTGCCAGAAAGTTTTGCTGCTTCGGAGAAAAGGCAAAGCTTCAGTGGGCTGAAAATTTTGTGTGGGTGAGGAAAAACCCCTGGGCCAGATCGTCTGCTACCCGTCAGTGTTTTATTATACAACATAGAGGAAAGCTTCAGGCGGGCAAGAGCAGTGGGAACTGGAGAAATTAAGCACGAGCAGGATTCGAAAGAACTTATGTGTGGTCATGGACATACAGGCAATTACTAACGATGGCATAGTGCACAAGCAGGTTTTCCGCGGCCACGCGCCGGAGCAGGATAATGCGGTGTCGATCTCATACCCTGGCACCGAGGTTGTGGGGCATGGATCGTTCGGGGTGGTGTTTACCACGCGGATTGAGGAGACCGGGGAGAAAGTGGCGATCAAAAAGGTGCTCCAAGACCGGCGGTTCAAGAACCGGGAACTGGAGATCATGAAGATGCTACAGCACCCCCAGGTCGCAGACCTCAAGTACTACTTTTACGAAACGGACCCGCAGGGCGAGGTTTACTTGAATCTGGTGCTCGAGTACATGCCTGCGTCGCTGTACCAGCGTTTGCGCCACTTTGTGACGCAGCGCGCCAACATGCCTCGCATTGAGATCAAGCTCTACATGTACCAACTGTTCAAGTGTCTGAACTACCTACACACGCGCGCGGGCGTTTGTCACCGTGACATCAAGCCGCAGAATCTGCTGGTGGACCCGGTAACATTCAGCCTCAAGTTGTGCGATTTTGGCAGTGCCAAACAGCTCAAACCAACAGAGCCCAACGTCTCCTACATCTGCTCGCGTTACTACCGTGCGCCTGAGTTGATATTTGGCGCCACCAACTACACCGTGCAGATCGACGTGTGGTCCAGCGGGTGCGTTATGGCCGAGCTCATCCTGGGCCAGCCCATGTTCCCCGGTGAGAGCGGTATTGACCAGCTGGTCGAGATCATCAAGATCCTCGGTACTCCTACAAAGCAAGAGATCTGCGCCATGAACCCCAACTACATGGAACACAAGTTCCCGCAAATACGGCCCATACCTCTGGCCAAAGTGTTCAAGCGCGAAGATCACACCACCGTGCAATTTCTATCGGATGTGCTTCGGTACGACCCGACTGCCCGTTTCACGGCATTGCAATGTCTGTGTGCCGAATACTTTGATGAGCTGCGTACAACCGAAGACCCAGAATTGATCAACATCGTCCAGAAACTGCACCTGCTGGAGTTTGACAAAGAACAAGAGCTCGGCTCCCTCACGGAGAGTCAGGCTGAGCTGGTGACACAGAAACTCACTTCCAATTAGTGCCGCATGTTAATACACCCCACCCCACTTCCAGCAACAGAAAAAAGATCCTACCAAGATTAATGACAAAAGCAAAAAAAACAAAGTGTAAAAAAGTACCCTCACCGACTAGTTAATGATGATCCACGAACAATCATATTGTTCTATTTAAGCAACCCCAATAGGATTTAACCGCACTGTATACTTAATGTCCAGTAACGACTCATCTCTAGACGCAATTGGGGCACGGTTCTGCATGGGACTTTGAATTTCCCCATTTGGACCCCGCATTTTACTTTGCCCATGGTCCGATGCCCGGCGCTCTCTAATAGCCTCGCTTCTAGCTCAAACTAGATAGTATTATGTCATTAGCCAATCTTTTAAAGGAATGACGAAATTTTATGAATTTGTTTTACAAATAACGTAGCAAACCCTTAACGGCTTTTTTCAATTCCAAAAATCCCTTAACTCCCACTTCTGTTCTTTAGAGCAATATCACCAATTTTAATCATGTAGCCATTGATATGTCTCCTCAGTAGAGGTCCTCTTGTGAAACTCCGTGTTTGAAGAACTGTGCGGTTTTCGTGTGAAAGCATCGCAGTTCCTGAAAATGCCATAGCGTTTCTTTCACAAGATAGCCATTCTTGTGCATCAGGTTGGAAGGGAACGTCAAGGTGAAAATAGCGATTATCACCAGCTTGGACTTCGAAGTTGAATTATTCATATCCAGTACTACCGGCAACTTTTTGTTTGCATCGCTTTCCTAGAAGAATCACAAGTGCAAGACATAATTTTTAAGCGGGAAATCATTAGCACTTACAAGCGCATTCGTTCATCCACAAGGTTCCAGCTGATCTTTACAAACTATTATTGATTGTTTTCGAGACAGCAAAATGGATCTGGGTTATACGCCACGACAGCATGTACCGCCTTCGAGCATCACGTTGGGACATTACTTATTTTACAGACTCCGGCAGCTGAATATCCAGACAATTTTTGGGCTACCCGGGGAATTCAATATGCCTCTCTTAGACAAACTGTACTCCATACCGGATCTTCGGTGGGCTGGGAATGCTAACGAACTGAACGCAGCCTACGCTGCTGACGGCTACTCGCGCATAAAGAAACTAGGATGTCTGATAACTACCTTCGGTGTGGGTGAGTTGTCTGCCATCAATGGAATCGCAGGTTCGTACGCAGAACACGTTGGGCTTTTGCATGTGGTAGGAATGCCCCCCATCGCAGCCCAGGTAAAGCAGCTACTTCTCCACCATACGTTGGGGAACGGGGATTACAACGTTTTTCATCGTCTTGCAAGCGACGTTTCAATATACACTACAGTGATTACAGACACTGAATCCTGTGCTATGGAAGTTGACAGGTGTCTGACGTTGGCATACACAAGACAAAGACCAGTTTATTTAGGTATCCCGGTGAACCTAGTAGACACATTAGTAGACTCGTCGCTCCTAAATATTCCTCTAAACCTTAGTTTGGAGGTCAACAATAAGGAAATAGAGCATGAAATAGTGGAATCAATACTGCAGGAACTTTACAAAAGCAAAAATCCCGTCATAGTCGTTGATGCATGCGTGACGAGACATAATGTCAAGGAAGAAGTTAAACAGTTGGTGGAACTCACACAATTCCCCGTGTTTTGTACGCCCATGGGCAAAGGCGCAATAAATGAGCAACATCCAAGATTTGGAGGCGTATTTGTGGGCTCAATGTCGTCTCCCGAGGTCCGTGAAGTGGTTGACTTTAGCGATTTTATTTTGGTTCTAGGAGCACTTCTTTCTGATTTTAGCACTAGCTCTTTCCATTTTGCATATAGGGCTAAGAATACCGTTTTACTATTTGCCAATCATGCGAAACTTAAGAATGCTATGTATCCAGACTTGAAATTGAAATACGTTCTTCAAGCAATTTTATCACGCTGCGATCCTTCTAAAATTCAATATAAACCACAGCCAGTTCCTGACGTCATAAAGCCCAAAATTAGACTGATGGACAACGTTCCTCTTAGACAAGAATGGGTTTGGAATCAAATAAGTCATTGGTTTCGCGAAGGTGACATCGTTATAACGGAAACAGGTACATCTGCCTTTGGTGTGAACCAAACTAGGTTCCCCAGTTCCACCACTTGTATCTCACAAGTTCTATGGGGTTCCGTTGGTTATTCGGTAGGAGCATGCTTAGGAGCATCTTTTGCTTGCAAAGAGCGGGGCGGAAGTGGCAGAGTCATTCTTTTCGTGGGTGACGGTGCCCTTCAATTGACTGTTCAAGAAATCTCGACTATGATTAGATGGGGGCTAACCCCCTTCATTTTTGTGATGAACAACAATGGTTACACAATCGACAGATTATTGCATAAAAAGTCAAATGCTGGATATCATGACATTCAACCTTGGAACAATCTGAAAATTCTGCCGACATTTGGTGCGGTCAACTACGACGTGCGCAAATTGAAAACTATTGGCGACTTTATGCAATTAGTACAAGACGAAAAGTTCGCTGAAAATACTGTCCCAAAAATGGTCGAAATTATTCTACCTTCAATGGACGCCCCCCCTGCATTGATGGATAAATGGTTAATTGATGATAATTTAGAAGAAGAGCTCCATAAACGTGTGCATGAATGGTATACAAGCGACGAATCTCCATCCGCCTTCAAGAAAGCGAAATTAGACACCGAATCACAAGGTGACGATTCTTCGAGAGTGATTATTCAAGAGCCCATGAATCCAATAAGTTAATGAAAAATCAAACTTCGTGTAATTTTCGAAACGGTGTTATTTTATAATGATAGAATACGAACTTTAAATTTATCACGCAAAGAAAAAATATTTAATTTATTCACAAAACGAATCTCACCAAACAGGGATATTTTTACCTAGGTAATCTAGGAATTGAGGTTTGGCCTTGTAATTCAACAAATCTTCAATGGCAGAACCGTACTTAATAAGTTGAGGTTCCTGCCATGCGGATTGCATTATGCCCAAGCCAAAAGGTCTCCCATTGCCCAATACACCAACTGGAAGAGTGATCATTGGATAGCCGGCTTTCGCAGCCTGTTGATAGGTAATCGATAGCCCACTTGGAACAAGAAGTCCATCCAACTGGATATTTTCACCCGTTGTAGGGTCTGTGTAATTCAAAGCCGAGTCTATTCCTTCATCTCTTGAAGTTCTCGCAACATATTCTACTGCTTGCCAGTAAGTTTCGTTCTTGACTCCTCCCCAGGCTAGCGAATCGAGGAAAGCATCTTGGCCAGATGCGAATGCGGGATGGACATCTGGGTACCCACCTTCTGAACCTGCGTATTGATAGTTGTATTCGACAATATCCTCGAGCGATTTGATATTAGTATTGCTTACCTCACTCAGATACGTTTTAATGTTATTATAGAAGTCAACCTTAACGACGGTAAACTCACTCTCATTTACATTTCCCATCTGCCAGTCCCAACCTTGCGAGGAAATCACATCCAAGTTCGCGAAATTCGTGTTGTTATAAACCGTAGCACCGGCTGCCTCAATCATTTCAATTACCTCCAGTAATCTTGGAAGTTGTGCTGAGTTAGTCAGAGACCAGAGTTTTTCCCAGGGAAGACCGAATTTAGCGCCCTTTAGTGCTTGCTTGTCAGTCAAATACTTCAAATAATCGTTGTCCTCTGGAGTTTTACCGGTTTGATTGTAAGTGTATACATCACGATCATCAATACCCCACATGTATTGGAAAGCGTACACAGCGTCTCGCACGGTTCTCGCCATCGGACCTGTACTATCTTGATGTTCTGATTCTGGAATAACTCCTGCTCTCGATGTTAAACCCACTGTTGGCTTGAATCCAACAATACCATTCCGCATTGCTGGATCAATAATACTACCATCAGTTTCAGTTCCTAAGGCAAACATAATCATGTTAGCAGCAACAGCACCCGCACTACCAGTGGAACTTCCTCCCGCATTAACAGTTAAATTGAAAGGCGAGCGGGATTGACCCCCTCTAGCCGAGTAACCCTCAGAGTAATCATTAGTTCTCATGTCTGCCCATTCACTCAAAGTAGAGTGTCCAAAGAGGACTGCACCTGCATCACGTAATTTCTTGACAACATGTGCATCGCGAGGAACTATCGAACCCAATAGAGCATAAGAGCCACAAGTTGTGTCCATTTTGTCTTTGGTGGCATAGTTGTCCTTGACGACGAATGGTATTCCATGAAGAGGGCCTCTGACGATTCCAGCTTGTCTTTCTAAATCCATGTCTCTGGCAATCTTAACTGCATCTGGATTGACTTGCAGAATGGAATTTACATACGGATTAACCTGCATGTGCCTATCCAAATAGCATCTAACGACGTCTTCTGACGTAAGCTTTCCTTGCGAAAAGTAATCCTGGAGTTGATCGATTGTCGCGTCCTCTAGAGTGATCCCGTTGCATGTTTCCATTGGAAAGAATTCTGTAGTCTCCACTTGTGGGTAAACGTATGTTGAACTGTTCAATTCTTGAACATATGAAGGGGTATCATCAACATTAGAGGCTATGAATCTTCTCCAAAGTTGTGTGCCTTTGGATACTGGCGAAGCGTCAACTTGTGACGAGATAAATCCAGCAGCTACAATCGTGGATAAAATCTTCATTCTTGAGCGAGTGTGATTACACGCCAGTGAATTCTCGAGAACTTCTTGAGAATCTTCTCATTTTATACCTGGAACAGAATCTAATGGCTCAGATAGTTGCAGCCCCAATGCAGCAGAAAAATGAAGACATAGACCTTATCTGGTCGAATAGGAGAGCACTTGAAGAGATGATAGGACATCGGAAGCACCGCTGCGTCTCATTTACCCCGTCGGGTAGGATCGTCCAGTCAATGTATTGAATGCCGCTTAAAGAGGAAAAACTCCTACTGCATCGCATTATTACCGTCTTAATCTCTTCCAAATTCCGCTGAAAGTATGATTACATAATCTTGATAAGACTCAGGAAACAAAATGCAACACACCGGTGAAGGCGGACGGCAGAACCATCGTCCCAATACAGTATCGAGGAAGCGAGTGCAGCTAAGACTCTTTCGTATAGATGCTTCTTAATCCCGTCACTTTCATTTCAGCGCATCACAAGACCCAATCAAAAGAAAAGCACCGGCTGCATGCTCTCTAACACAGACAGGAGGATGCCCTAAATGCGAAGTATTTGACCGTTAATGCAAGTTACGGTATGAATTTAAAATGCTATTGTCGTTCGAGTTTCTTTGCGTTGAGCTAAAGTACAATGGTGAACAGCACGCAGGCTCCTCGCATAACCCTTCTAGGCAAGTAGAATCAAAAAAAATATAGCGTGGACTTAATAGGCACAGTCTTCGACTCCTATTTAACCCACTAGTTTTCCTCAGATTAGAACTTGGGAATGCCATCATAGTTCAAGTTAGGAGCTTGTCCGTATGTAAGCAAAAACATCCGATCAGGAACGTACGAAACACATGCAATAAAACTCGAGATTTTCCTAGTGAAAAGATGTAATAAACTCTTTCATACAAGACTTCATACGCCCATTGAGTCTCAAAACCAGACACCATCTGATGTAGATTTTAAAAGAGCCGGTACGGATGAGTTCAATCCATGCCAAGAGTGTAGTAAAAAGAGGGCACGAATGTTTAGAGTAATATGTTCCAGGCAAAATTAGGAAAATGTAAGAATTCCGAAGAGAGCTCTAATACCACTCAGCTAAGAATCAATTTGCCTGGAGAGCTTTGAGAACGATGAGTAGAACTAGTCTCGCCATTCAAGTGGGCCTTGAACTACGAAAACACCTGAACCTTTTCAAATTTTAGTAGGCGCTATTCCTTGGTGAAATCTCATAGCCCACCTTGATGACTCAATAGATATACTTCTGAAGCTTCGCTCGATTTTGATGACACAACAGTCCACCAGAAATGCCACACCAGTTACGCACGTCTTAACAGGTGAAAATGGTACAGAAAATGAAGTTTTAAACAAGAGCATTTAAATCCCTGCGCAGATTTGTTTTTATCTCAACCCCTTCTTTCTACTCACGGATCAAAACAAAAAGGCTAAAGCCCTTGAACATGATACGCTTATCAACCTTCGATTTGTGCTTGCTATGGTGCAACCGACATGTTTTTAATTTCTTAAAAAAGTAAGCTTCATAGATTCTAGTGAATCATCGCTGTTGATTCTTGATGGCATCGAGTTGCCCTTCCAGTATAAACGAGCACCGGGAGACAAAAATATTCCTGAAACACCCTAACCCTCGAAGTACAGTCCTTCAGTATGTAGCCCGTTGTTTTATTATCCGATTTCGAAGATCTTAGCTCATAAGATTATCCATACTACCAAACGGACCAGATAAGCTCTACAGCATCTTGTTCGGCACTAGCAGTTGCCATAGTTACCGTCCTTATCACATTCTCACATAATACGGGTTCAGGTCAAACAAACAAATCTGAAGTATATCACGTAATCACTTTAAACAAGCTGGCGCTGTGCTTCGCGTTCAGTGATGAGTCCTGATCTAGACGTCCTTGATAACCTCTGTACGATAGTTATCATCGCATAGGTATACCCATATTGCACCAAAAGTTTCCCTGTCTTATCTTTCACATAAACTCAGCCATCCTGTAGTTTAGACAGTGATCTAATACTCAGTAAAACCATTGTACCACTAGCTGGTACACAGGTATAGTTCCCCCGATGAGATGTTTCAAATCAACTGCAGTGTGTAACAAATCAAAGCAGATAGAGTCTCACACGATTATAGGTAATCGAAAAATGGAAAGGTCGCTCTAACAGGACAAAAAATGCGATTGAATGTGGAAATTCTGAAGCAAAACATGAGAACTCGTAGTTTACTGGAGAAGATAACCTATGAAAGCCTTACAGAGGACCAATCTGCTTTACGTAGTATTCATAGTATTCATTTCGAAGAGGCTTCTTGCATGATCATTATCCTCAATTTTCGCGTAATAATACACATCACCGTACACGTGACGGCAATAAAATACTTTTAAAAATAAATCACGTGATGAGAAGAGTCGAAACCCACACATTCAGTGATCGGATGCTAAGCGCCGAATAAAGCGCCTAAGTCCAGATTGGGAAGTTTGATGCGTAGCGCCTTTTCCTCAGCAGTACCCTGGGCGCGTACCTAATGGGGTATTTCGATGCGTTGTGCCGTTTAGTTCGGTTTCGTATATTCATAGTAATCGGAATCTGCACGGCGATTATCGCGGCAGGTGTTGACGATGCAGCTCGGTTCTGATTACAGACCGATTATCTGCTGCCTATCTAGCGATTATCAGTTCGGGGATGAAGCTCCTTGAGCGAATGTGTGCGCGATCAAGCGTTAAACGTATCCGCTCGAATCCCGCTGTACCGCTAGTTTTTTGATGGCACTATAGGGCTGCATGGTAGTTCGCCGTGTGGTTCACAATTTGCTTTCTCGAATCCAGCGTATATAAACATTCGTCTCTTGCATAAGGAAGTATCAATTAATTCTTTCTTTATAGTTTATACCATCACAAGAACCAGCCTTAAGGTATTTCGCCCTTTTAAGACTACATTTATTATATTATATCCCAATGACCGTTGAAGCAGTTAAGCCAGAGAACGAATCCTACGTTTTCCAAGGTACCATCAATAAGAAAGCACCAATGGTGCTAGGTGGTAAAGGTATTCGCATGACCGTCGAAAAAGATGGTAAGGTTAGCGAAGTTATCGATGCTGTAACCGGTGCCGCTGTCGGTGCTTTGGGTTGGGGTGACGAAGAGATTTTGCCTATCATTGAAGAAGCTGCTCGTAACCACACTTACACTTTCCCATCTTTGATCGGTAACAAGCCATCTGAGGATTTGGCCAAGTTTTACATCGACCACTCTCCAGAAGGTGTCTTTTCCGCCGCTTTGTGGTGTTGCTCTGGTTCCGAGAGTAACGAAAACGCTATGAAGATCATTAGACAATACCAAATCGAGCGTGGTTGCCCAGAAAAGACCAAGATCATCTCTAGAGCTACTTCCTACCACGGGTTCACCTTGGGTGCTTTGTCCATCTCAAACTGTTTCCGTGCTGACATGTTCAAGGATATTCTAATTGACCAAGAGAAGTGTTTGAAGATGCCACCATGCTACCCATACAGATTCCAAAAGAAGGATGAAACCGAAGCACAATATGTTCAACGTCTGTTGGACGACCTAGAAAAAATCATCATCGACAACGATCCAAAGACCGTTTCCTGTGTTGTTGTTGAGACTTTGCCAGGTTCTTCCTTGGGTACTGCCCCACCACCTAAGGGCTACCTACCAGGTTTGCGTGCACTATGTAACAAATACGACCTCATCTTCATGTTGGACGAAGTCATGTGTGGTACTGGTAGATCTAACCCTAACGGTAAGTTGAACTGTTGGGAGAACTTCTTGGAGCCAAAGGATGCCCCAGATATTCAAACTGTCGGTAAGACCTTGGGTTCTGGTTATGTCACGATTGCCGGTGTTTTGGTCGGACCAAAGATCAGAGATGCTTACATCAAGGGTTCCAACAGTGTGTTCGGTTCTCACACCTACGCCTCTCACGGTTTCAACTGTGCTGTTGCCTTGGGTGTGCAAAAGAAGATCATGCGCGATGGCTTGACCTCTAACATCTTCAAGATGGGTAACTTGATGGGCCAAAAACTCGAAGATGCTCTATTGAAGGAAGACAACATCGTCGGCGACGTCAGAGGTATTGGTGGTTTCTGGTCTTTGGAATTCGTCAAGGACAAGGTCACCAAAGAACTATTCCCTGTTGAGCTAGACGTTGGTCACCGTTACCAACAAGTTTGCTACGACAACGGCTTGAATGTCATGGGTATGCAAGGTAACGCCGATGGTATCAACGGTGACATTGCCTTGTTCGCTCCATCTTTCGTCATTACTGAAGCGGACGTCGACGAAATTGTTTCGAGAGCTGTGAAGTCTGTCAACGAGTTGACCGCACAACTAAAGGCCGAAGGCCAATGGTAGAGAGCAGGTTCTCCCACGTCATTAAATGTTGTAGAAGAGATATATGATTGTTTAGACAAGGTTAATAGTTAACAAGTTAAATCGTTTACACGCTGAATTACATTGTTGGTATCTTAGCGAGAACATCGTGTTCGGACCGGTGCCGACTAAGCGACATTTTCCAACTTTAACATTGTCTTCCCAAAATTACGGAATTCTCATTGCCTCGGATGCTTATCAACAAAGAGAACGCCTTTTACTTTAGGCTCCCCCGATTAATTGCAAACTCTTCGGCTTTTATAACGTCGGCTTTATCTTTAGCTAACTTATTAGTCAAGAGTCCGGTCCAGAAGCGGTAGCGATGTTACAGCCGTGCGTTACTTTTCACAGGCTATAAAAAAAGGGGGAACGTACGAGGCGTATTACGGTATACACCGAACGTTGACACTAACAAGGTTTCAAAGTTTCAAAACCGCTGGTAGACGTAGTTTGGTTGATAGAAGAATTCGACTACCATGGGAAACGTTCCTACAAAGCTAGAAGATGACCGCCCAGTTAGATCAGGAAGGTCCGTAAGCGTTTCTGCAACAACTTCCGGAGGAAATGGCGGAGCGGTTGCCACAAGAACTCACAGAGCCTCCTCATTAGTAGGCAACCTTTTGACCAGCAGGTCAAGGTCAAACTCCGGATTCTATTCCGCAAACCCTTATAAGAGAAAGTCGACTAAGGAGAAAGAAAAACTGAAGGAAAAGCACGCCCGACAGCTGGTGGTTAAGTATAACGAGACTGTGGACGGTGGTTTTCTGGCACCTTATGGGTGCTGTAGCATCGAAAAATTGGACTACGATGCCAAGGTTGTCAGATCATTGATCATCGATCGGAAGCTGGCCCCTTTCTACACGCCATTGCAGGACTTCGATGACTCATGGAGCGTTAATGAGGTTGTAAAGATTGTGGACGGGTTACCACTCCACGCATCATTTACCCCAGAGCTAGAAGAGTTTGAAGGTGTACCGATCGGAGATCTATCCAATCCGGACTTTGATTACTTGATAGACAAGACGCTGTCTCGCCGTGAACAGCGTAGGATGCGGTCCAAAATCTTTAACGCGAGACTATACCAGAAGCGTATCATTTGGCAAGAGAATGAAAATGAACGATTTCTTGAACAAAAATTAGAGGCTAAAAATCACACGGGCGCTTCTAACCAGTATCTGCCAAATGACAGCCTCAAGTATGACATGTACAAGCAAGGAGCAGAATGCCCTATTTGCTTTCTCTACTTTCCGGAACCCATGAACGTCTCAAGATGTTGTCTACAACCCATTTGCACCGAGTGTTTCATCCAGATTAGGAGGGCCGAACCGCACTTCCCACACGACGAGAATGACTCAGACAGTCAAGACGAGAACAAAGATCCCAATTTGCTAATATCTGAACCGGCAAACTGCCCGTATTGTGCAACACCCAACTTTGGTGTAACATACGAGCCCTTGAAAGAACGTAGAACGGGTATTCAGGGCCCATCTCCAGCATCGTATGTGCACCAAGAGCCAGTCAAAAACGATGAAAGTTCCGTCACAGGCAAGCGCCGCGGATCGCTAGCTGCTGGTCATCCCCAAGTCATCACATCAGATGCGGTCAGACCCGAATGGCAGGTTAAACTAACGAAAGAACGTATGCGGCTAGCTCGCCGCTCGGCCAATGCCACGGCAATTCACGTAAGCAATCAACTGGTAGTACCTAACCATGATAGCCAATCTCCACGGGGTCTTTCGATTTCTCCGCGCGATGTTACGATCTCTGATTCTCCGAACACCTGGACGAGCACAAACGCAGGTGATATTGAGAATCAGATGATCGAGCAAGCAATAAAATTAAGTCTAGCAGATCAAAAGGAGCAAAAGAAAAGAAGGCATTCAGCTAAGTGAATGTTCACGAACCATGTGTAACGAATGGCATTGCAATTGAATTATGAATGACATGAATGGCATGAATTATCTAACGAAAAGTAGGAGACGCGGCTGAAGATTGTAGTAGAGCATATATCCTTTTATACGTTGTTACCCTACCTATATTTTCTGTATTTTTTTTTTCACCACGCAAACTGGACTGAAAAATTTTCTTGAAGAGCGCATCGGATTATCCCACTTGTCTCTTCGCCTTTATCTTCAAACCATAAAGAAATAGTCTGCTTTTTGAAAGCTTAATTTGATTATCTCTATTCTCTATTAAAGAAACAAAGAAGAAATGTCTACTGAAACTGCTTTGTCTTACGCTGCCTTGATCTTGGCTGACGCTGAGGTCGAAATCTCTTCTGAGAAGTTGTTGACTTTGACCAACGCTGCTAACGTTGCTGTTGAAGGTATCTGGGCTGACATCTTTGCCAAGGCTTTGGAATCCCAAGACTTGAAGAGCCTATTGATCAACTTCTCTGCTGGCTCTGCTGCTGCTCCAGTTGGTGGTGCCGCCGCTGCCGGTTCCGCTGGTGCCGAGGAAGCTAAGGAGGAAGAGGAAGAAGAAGCTAAGGAAGAATCCGACGACGACATGGGTTTCGGTTTGTTCGATTAGAGTGGTTTAAATTACGTATATTCGATTTATCTAAGTACACTTTAATTTGCAATACTTTCAGTTTCTAAACATATTAACGCCTGGTGAAAGATGATATACGGCAAAGTGAGTGCCGAGCCCTCACAGTCACACTGCGACGCTATTACTTAAATGACGTGAGCTATACTTTTGTAGGAAGAAACCCTCCGCAACGAAGTATAAGCAGTAAGATGTTAAATTAGTTATGGCTTCCAACTATACAATTTACATAAAAGAGAGCATGAACATGGACGGTTATTTAACGTCTATGCGTTTATTTCTTCTTTTCAGCTTCAGCTTCAGCCTTCTCTCTGGCTCTCTTTTCTCTGATACCCTTGTATTTCTTGTCAGATCTGGCCAATCTCAAAGTTCTGTAAGCAGATTCACCGTTGTCTTCAACAGCTCTGGTTTCAACGTCAGTGACTGGTTGAGCAATTGGGAAAGTGGCAGCAGCAGACAAGACTTGTTCAGCTTCTGGGGCCTTACCGTTTCTTGGGAAGACAATTAGCTTAGATTGGTATTCCTTCAATCTTTGGACGTTCAATTCAAAGATTTCGGTGTTTCTGTTTTGACGTCTGTGGTCGACAGCGATACCGACGGTTCTAGCGTAAGCTGGGGTCAAACCAGCAGCCTTAACTTCGGCCAAAGAGAAACCTCTACCGGCTCTAACCTTTCTGTTGTACTTGACAGTTGGGGCTCTAACGACTGGTCTCAACAAGTCCAATGGCTTAGGAGCAACTCTGGCGGCCTTGGCGGCTCTGGCTTGACGTCTAGAGACCTTCTTACCGGCTTGGTCGAAGTGAACTCTGACACGTTCTTGCCAGTGCTTTCTGAAGTGGTTCTTCAAGATTGGTAAGTTCTTCGCGATAGCTGTAAGTTGAGTTAGTAAATCCACCCGGAAGAGTATATCTTGAAGCAGTAGGGAGTATTTAAGTTCGCAAAACAGGGCCTTCGTGGTTATTACTTTCAAATCAAAAATTCTTCGTGTAGGCCGAGCATTTGGCCTGGTCAGTCTCATCTTTATCACATCAGGTATCTGATCATACCTCTTGACCACAGGACTCGGATTCTAGCCCCTTCTCTCATATTCACTCGAAGTAACGTAATCCTTTTAGTATTTGAATACCTCGTCAACATCGAATTAATCGTTCAAACCCACGAAGCTAATCACTGGTTCATTCACGCAAACTCATTCATCCCTGTCTTTTGATAATAATAACGTCGTTTCACATACCCATTGTTACTTGATTCCTGCTGTACCTTTGGTCTAGAGTAAAACTAGCTCAAAAGTTCATGAAATTCTACACTATGCAATTCTAGAAAATTTTCCCGGGTACCACGATGGGCTACTGCAGGCCGGTCCTGCTGCGGTTGGTTCTGGGATCGTGCCGCCCGCAAGCCCATGCAGCCAGCCCGGCCCTGGGTACGGCACAGCTAGGCGGAGGCTAGCGGGAGGCTTGCGTCGCAGCGTGGGCGGGAGCGGAGCCAGGTTGCGGGCTAGCACTGCGGCCAGGGGCAGAGAGATCCTGCCTAGGTGGATTCCGCAGCACTGCACCCTCTCCGGCCGCTGGAACGACGCGCGTTAGGGGAATCATCGACGCGAAGTCGGACGCGCGAAAAGATTCAAAAACTAAGAATGTATGGGTTGTTAATAATGTTCGGGTGCACAGTCACGTCCTATTATGAAACTTGAGCAGTCACATAACCCACACATCTGAAGTTTAATTAACCCACACATATTGAGGCTACTGGACCTGGGAAGGACAAATTTCAGGAATACCAGAGTGCCTGGTGAGGTGAGTGGTCACCCAGCTGGGGACACTGCAGGCGGCCCGTGGTGGCGGAGGCTCTCCCCCACGCCAGGCCCGGTACGCTGTCCAGTTGGAGCTCTGCCCAGCCCTTGCGCCTCCCGACTGCAGTCCGGCTAGCCTACCCAGCCTAGGCTGGTTCCCCACAGCGAAAGCTCCCACCAGCGATTTGGTAACTACCGACGGAGGATGGACCGCGAGTTCGAAAAAACTTTCACGAACGCCCTGTAATTAAGCAATTATAGCTGTTGCTTATTATCGTTAGAAAGGAAGATTACCATATAGCAAAGCACAAGATGTCTACTGTCCCAAGTGTTCAAGTATGTGAATGATAGAGATGATGAGAGTATAGGATGGACTGTACCAATTGGTGTGAATTCCAGAGGTCTGTGTTGAAGTTGATATTTGAAATGATGATGGAGCCACCCCATCGGTGGTTGGGCAAAAAGTGCGGCGTAGTGAGGTTCATGTTGAGAGCATACTCAAGTGCAAACGTGGAGTGTGTCTAAATTCCTGAGTGGCCCGGTGGACTAGTGCCAACTGACTCTTATGGATCAAGGCGGCGTTCCGCTGCTAGTATTCGACAGCATGCACCACGCAAACCTAACTCGCTTGCACACTTCATCGCAGCCAGGAGCTTGTGGGCACCAGTTAGAACTTTCTTTGATAACTCTCGTAAGCCACGTTCGGCTTCCTTCTAGTGTCACGTTTTACTAACTTTATCTTCTAGACTTTCGGTAAGAAGAAGTCTGCTACTGCCGTCGCCCACGTTAAGGCCGGTAAGGGTTTGATCAAGGTCAACGGTTCCCCAATCACTTTGGTTCAACCAGAGATCTTGAGATTCAAGGTTTACGAGCCATTGTTGTTGGCCGGTTTGGACAAGTTTGCCAACATCGACATCAGAGTTAGAGTCACCGGTGGTGGTCACGTCTCTCAAGTCTACGCCATCAGACAAGCTATTGCCAAGGGTTTGGTTGCTTACCACCAAAAATTCGTTGACGAACAATCTAAGAACGAATTGAAGAAGATCTTCACCTCTTACGACAGAACCTTGTTGATCGCCGATGCCAGAAGACCAGAACCAAAGAAATTCGGTGGTAAGGGTGCTCGTTCCAGATTCCAAAAGTCTTACCGTTAAGAAAATATGGAAACACTACTTGTATTGTTTTTGTGTTGTCTTATTACATCTACTACATACTGTATAACTTAATATCACGGTTAGAACGTTATATATTACAAAGAACGCCCGCTTCACTAATATTATGTGGAGTTTGAAGGCGACTTGTGTTTGGAGAAGAGTCACTGAATACATGTGTTTCCTAAAATCGCAGCCACCACAACCATTAGTGAAGTAACTACCTTCAGTAACTCGAATTTGAGTGAAGTACTATTGTTAGTAATTCCAATTCTCAACTTAAATTAATATCAATTTCAGCAAGTATTTTACATTAAGAGTTTTAATGACCATATTCAGTTTACAATGCTTTTCAGTAATACCGTAAACATTTCGCCCAACCTATAACGATTTCTTAAAAGTCGCATCTCTCATTTAAAATACTAAATTACAACGCAAACTATCTAATACAGAAGGAATAAACTGAACAAGAGAGCCCATCTGCAAATGATATATCCACCCAAGAAATACGCTAAACCCCATCGAGCATGTAGGCCGTCACCATTTGCTACAATTAGATTCTTCTCCAGTACCTTAGCAACGTTGCCGGGTTTCCATGCGTGATATCTAGGGCACGTGACTATTACTAACGTTTCCGTTTTTTTTAACGCGTTCTTATTTCACCTTGCCTTCGTGACGCGAAAAACATTGCACCGTAAGTGTACTGGAATATCCGCATACCCATTGAAGCGACCCGTCTGGAGCTCAATTTAGTGTAAGTCCAGGTAATTAGCAACTAAGGCTCCGTCTCATTTACTAGTGCAGAGTGGAGGGCCACATATACTAGAGTTTCCTGAATAGTTGGTGCTTGAAATCTGTGTTTACATCAACACTACAGGTACCACACGCGACGACGAAGCCCCCGGGTCTTAATATAGCCATGATAACCAGAGATACACCAAATAATAAGACGGACTCTCCGCAAACTGCAATAACAGAGCCTGAAATTGGGAGGAAGACCTCTTTCACGTCGTCAACGTCATCTTCTGGCGATGAAACCTTCAGCGAACATGTACAATTGGTTATAGAACATGCGAAGCACACTATAAAACGAGTGAAATCTCAGCAATCAACACAGTCTTTGGATGGTGAACGAAATAACACCAAAAAAAGTGCTGTTTCCTTTGATGAATCGGACATGATCCCCGTGACTGCCTATCCCAACCAGAAGATGCATCCAATCAGCCCCTCCGAAGATACGGGTGCATGTAAACCCACTACCGAGCTTCATGCAATTGGGAAAGATGGGGAACTGGTGGATACCGTCGAAAATCTAATACAATTGCTGGGAAAATCGCAGGAACAGGTCAAACAACTAAAATTCAAAAACTTTATGCTCACGGCTGGATTACATGATTCGGATTCTAGGTTTGAGGTTGAAAAGAACATAAATAAACAACAATTTGAAAGAATCAAATGCCAACTGATACTTGAGAGTCAAGAACTATTAGAAAAAGTTCGTGTTCAGGAGCTCAAAATCACAAAATACAAGGACAAAATAATTGAAAAGAACAAAGAAATCAATAAATTAATGAGAATCCTGAATGACTCAGCTGTGCCAAACCCTTATTCTTCAACCAGTTCACCAAAATCAGTTACCAAGCCTCGACTCCATCGTAATGAGAAAAATCGTAAAGACTCAAACATGCTAACGACTCTAGGAATACTGGCGTCACATGTTCTTAACGAAGGTAACGACACCGTGAATAACATAGATAACACCGAATCTGATATATCTCACGACAGTGTCTCAAATCAAAATACAGTGCCGAATCTGCCAAAGGCACAACATTTCGTTAGCATGCCTGTATTACCCGAAGCGAGGTCGTCGTCGCTAACGCCCACCTCCGAAAACTCAACTTCCAAGCAATCATTTCAATTACCTAAACTAAGAAGTTTTAGTACCGTCGACGGCACGGTCAAGGATCCCAACTGACATTTCGAATTAAAACAATTATCACGTTCCAATAATAACTGACGTAGGAGCCTGACGATATGATGCAAAAGGTCATCAACAGAAACTTAAAACATAGTGGTCAGTGATTGACTTGACCTCATACCTATATCGTATTCTTTCAACAATCACTGTCAATCCGTTACTAATACTAGTCATTCGTTTATTTTTAGACCATACATACGCACCTTGTATATTAGGAAGCTCAGCTCGCATAGTATTCTGTGAAATTTTGCCATGATAGAACAACCATTGAACATTTTGTAATCAATAAAGTGGTAGTTTTTCCTATTTTTTACATACATTATCCTTCGATGAGGAGACATTATTTAGACCGAAAACTTTTATCTTATACATTTTCAAGAAAATTGCAACCTCAGAGATTCCAGCAAAGCTTAGGTGTTCAAATAGGTCGATGGATCAACACCTTCCTCTGGGAACTCAGTGATTTTAACATCCAGACGATCTTGAACCTTAGCAAGTATCTCTTCGTCTTCTTTTGTTGCAACAAAAGAGATTGCCAGACCTTTAGTACCAAATCTACCAGCTCTACCGACACGATGCAAATATTGGTCAGCTTCGCTTGGCAAATCGTAATTGATTGCCAAGTTGATCCGCTCAATATCAATACCTCTGCCAAAGACGTCGGTAGATACACAAATACGCTTTTCGAATTCTTTGAAAGCCTTGTAACGGGCGATACGCTCTTCTTGTTTCATACCACCATGAACAGTAATTGCTGGGAAGTTGGATGCGTTCAATAGCTTAGTCAATTCATTAGCTCTCACCGTGGATTTCACGAAAATAATAACTTGGTTGAATTCCAAGTCATCCAACAATTGCGCCAGTTTACGATTCTTTTCGCGCTCTTCAACCTTGATGAAGTATTGTTGTAGACCATGTAATGTCAACTTAGCTTCGTCATCCACGAAAATTTCCAATGGATTTTGTAGGAAACGCCTGCAGATTGGTCTAATTTCTTGAGACAAAGTGGCAGAAAACATCATAACTTGCTTATCTCTTGGAGTGGCCCTGAAAATATCCTGAACATCCTTTCTCATATCAATTTCCTCCAAAACTTTGTCACATTCGTCGATAACAAAGTTCTTGACATGAGATAGATCAATTATCTTGTCTCTAACAAGGGCCTTCAAACGACCTGGTGTGGCAACAACAATATGAGGAGCTGTCTCCTTGTTCTTTAATAGTTCGGCATCCTTGGCAATTGGCGTACCACCATAGAAAACAGCAGTCTTAACATCTGGCATATACTTTGAAAATCTCAAGTATTCGTTACGAATTTGGTAGGCCAATTCTCTGGCGTTACAGATGACGACAACGGAAACTTCACCAGGAACAGGGTCCAGCTGTTGCAAAGTAGAGAGAACGAACACGGCAGTTTTACCCAAACCAGACTTAGCTTGACACAAAACGTCCGTACCATGAATCGATTGAGGGATGGTGTGTTGTTGAACTGCAAAACATAATAAGTTAGTGAATTGAACAATGTCATATGGAACAAGTTAGAATATGTACACTGACATACCTTCTGATGGGTGCTCGAAACCACAATCGATGATTGCTCTCGAAAGCTCTGGCTTCAACAAAAAGTCCTTAAAACCAGTCGAATGGATACCGACGTAGGAACCCTTTTTATCAGCATCACCGGCTGTCTCTCCAGACTCAGTGGCTTCCCCAGCAGCCGCTTCGTTAGCCTTGGAAGCCTCTACCTGAATCTCCTGTTCGTTATCGGAGTATTCCAATAAATCTTCTTCGCCTTCGTGGGACATAATGTGCTTTGGTGTACGTTCAATTGACAGTAAAGGGCAGCGTCTGTTTATACTTCAAGACTTTCTTTGCCACCAAGGGAAAATTTTCAAATTCCGACAAACGTAGCATTATCCGGGTAATGTGTTGATAGCACTTGCAACGAACGATTTTTGGATTAAACCAAAAATAAATAAGTTGGAACGTAGTTGATACCTTACACGCACTACTGAGGCACAGCATTTCTAAGTCTTGTGAAAATATCATTCAGTATCACCTTTGATGAGGGGTCAAGAACATCTCTGTAAAGCTGAGCCTCGTATTGATCAATAAGCTCTATTATCGATTGTAATTGGGCGGTCGTGCCGCCCTCAAACACATTGGTGGACGTTGACAGGGCGATTGAGGAGCCAGATTTTCTCAAGTCACCGGAAGTATCGATGCTCATTTGAGACCTGAGGACTGCGATAAAGTTTTGCATCATCTGTGACAGTTTGAAGTTACACTCCCCAAGGGGCAATTGCAAAAGGTGGCAGCCTTGAGTAGCGGTTTTGAATTTCGATTGAAACTCTAGGAAAAGCTCCCGGTGGAATACCTCTTGACCCCATGGGAGGGCCAAAAACTTTGTCACGTCGACGTAGGTATCACACTCTGTAAGATCCCAATGATAGGTGTCATCAAACCCTTCAAAAATTACAAAGGGGGATAAAGACTCACACTGGGTATAAAGCGAGAGCAGTATTTTATTAAGTTGGGCGATTTTGGTAGATTTGTCGGTGGTATCGGAATTGAAGATGACTGCTTGAGGGGGCGCTTTGACTTCTATGGTGAAATTCGGATTGATCTTGAAACAATTGAAAACGCTCGACATACTCCCATTATCCAATGCTGTTCGCGTAATATAGTAGAAAGAACTTCTCTGCTGTGTGATCCTCTCCTGTAGCACAGGGACGAAGCATTTCCACAGATACTCATAGTTACTTTTGTACGACTTGAAGTTGCCCAGTGTTATATTGCTGGAGTCACTCCCATAGATGACAAAATCTTGGTGTCTCTTGACAAAATTATGAATCCACTTCTTCCCTAGGGAGACGTTATCGATGCTGGACTCTATGACGTTTTTCATTTGTATGAGGGTGGGGATGTTTCCATGGCTTTGACATAGTAGTCGAAGTTTATGAAGAAACTGCGTTTCGACTTGAGGCGCCAGCTTCATTTGCTGGGCATGTGCTTTACTTGTATTGTTGGTCTTGCACTTGAGCCTATCGTATAGTGTGGACTTCGGTACCTGGAAATACAGGGCAATTTGCCTCAGAGAGTGTTTTGCAGGCTTGGCACCGTTATCAACAACCTCCGCTCCTTCTTCTTGCCTTTTGAGGAATTTGAGTGCTAATTGAATACGTTCTTCCTTGTTCGTGGGTAGGGGTTCACGCATGTGTTGGTCTGCCGTTGCTCGCTCCATGACAATCATACTTGAAGCGGGCCTCCCGACGTTTAGGTCGGAGTCACTCGATATTGACATGTTAGAATCAGAACAATCCACTTCTAGAACCTTTCGTATTGATTCCATAACCTGGAAAAGTCACAACGATTGCTGACCTAGTAATCAGATTTTCGAACTAAATGAATCGCCAATGAATCGCTAGGACGAAGTCGTGCAGATTGAGAAAAAAAGAAATTAAGGCATAATCGATGCCGGCACATAAAGACGAAACAAGCGATAAGGTATGAGAAAGGTATCACATGCACACGCGGACTACAAGTATTAGGGTTGATGATGTTTCAGTTGTTCTTAATAATTATTTGATTTAAGAACTCAAAAAATAAGTTTTAAGAATGTTAATTGTTAGATCATTTCATTATATCGAATAGACGTATTACAGAAGGCATTACAATGTATAAACGCATGAATATCGTTAAGAAATAAACATAAATGAAGGCGTCCTGGTTGAGAAACTTACACGGAGGAGTCTCTTCCAAAGAAAGAAACCTTGGCCCAGTCTAAGGCGACAAGGATTCTGTTTCTGAAAGAAAGACACATGCCCAGGTAGGCGGACTTCCAGAACAAAAATGTCCAGGAACCAGCCAATTGGTACTTGGATTCACCAATGGCTAGATCAGCAATGGCTTTTTCTGAACCAATGTAAGCCAACGCACCTTGGTGGTTATACTTGAAAGGCTTGATTTGTCCTTGCAACTTGTCAACCTTGGCCTTGACCTTGGCGGTTTCAGATGCGTTGGAGTTTTGAACCATTTGCCACTTCAATTGATCGATCTTGTATTGTTTTCTCAAGACGGAAGCCAAGTATTCACCTTCTTGGTGAGCGACTTGAGCGGTTGGGAACAAACCAGGGTAGAAAGTACAGTCACCAACGGCCCAGACAGAGTCCTCGGCACCTAGCAATTGCAATTTGTCGTTGATTAGCAAACCACGTCTGGAGTTTTGAGATTCCATCTTTCCCATCAGTTTTTTGGTGACATCTCTTGGCGCATTACCGGTGGCCCACACTAGAATACCGTAAGGGATCTCTTCGAGGTTGTCACCGCTTTTGGCAGTGATGGTGGTTGGAGTGACGTTCTTTACCATGGTCTTTAGTTTCAAATCGATTTTTTCTTGCTTGAACAAGTCCTGCGCGTATTCGACAAGGGTCTTGTCGAACATGTTCAAGATGTTTGGCAAAGCCTCAACCAAAGTGACCTTTAGCTCCTTGGACAAAACAGGCATCCACTTAGACAAGTCCTGGTCGATGTAGTCTTGCAACTCTGCGGCGAATTCGACACCGGTTGGACCACCGCCGACAACAACAAAGTTCAACAATCTCTTTCTTTCTGGGTCGTTAGGAGACAAGCTGGCGGCCTTTTCGATGTTGTTCATCATCTTGATTCTGATCTCTTGGGCATCTGGGATTTCCTTCAAGAAAGAAGCGTTTTCGAAGACACCTGGGATACCGAAGGTGGTTGGTTGAGCACCTACACCAACGACCAAGTAGTCGTACTTCAAGTCCATTTCGGTGTCGTCCTTGCTGATGGATTTGATCTTCAAGGTCTTTTCGGTTGGGTCGATGTCGGTAGCTTCGGCTTCGTAGTAGATCACCTCACCGGGAGATCTTCTGGCGATGCTTCTAACGGGCTCGACGATGGACTTCAATTCGATAGTTCCGACAGGGGTGGAGGGCAACAGAGGGGTGAACAGGAAGTAGTTTCTTGGAGAGACGACCACCACGTTGTAGAGGGTGGTGTCGAGGTTTTTCAACAGGGAGACGGAGCCCCAACCGGAACCCAAGATGACCAGCGTCTTTCTTGGAGAACCGTTGTCGAAAGTGGCAGCCTGAGGCTTCTGGGGAGCCGGGTTGGACTCACGGTACAACTTGTAGGAGACGTAGGCGGTACCGACGAGCACGGAACCCAAAGTCGCGCGCAGCGCGAACTTACCAGCTCTTCTGACAAACGAAGGCTTGGCGTTCAAGCTAGCTTGTTGGCAAATGCGGGGGGAAGTGGAAAACGCCCTTCTGGCGACGCCGCTGCGAGCGGCAAATTTAGAGAAACCCAACATTCTTGGTGCGGATCGATTAACCTTTCAAAAACCACAGAATCACTGAATATTAACAAATGCGTTTTCTTGCGCCAACAATAGCCAGTATGACGGGAAAAAACCCTTAAAATTGGAAAAAATAACACACGATATGGAATATTAAAACAAGCCCAACACAAAACCTGGTAAACCTGACGGTTGCAATGTGGGGGGAGGTTGGGGAAAAGTAGGATGGAAAATGGGATATAAAATCACTTGTATACAAATACGCAGATTCCCTAGTAGGCGTTCACTGGAAAGTGTAGCACTTGAACACTGAAGATTGTGTAAGTAACGTTGTAATTGTAATTACAGAGATAACTCGCACTGCGCACCGAACGCGCTCGATCCGACCCCAAATCCGTTTATATAGCTGTGAAAACCTTTTCTCCCCATTGGCACTTACAAGGCGAAATCTCGGTGCGCCCGCCGACTGACGCGATGAGTCGCTACCAGAGACCCGTTTGTCGGAACTAGGATTACGGTCTGGGCGCAGAGACCTACGGCTTGTTCTCGGGTGCGGCGTGCGCTACACCCAGTTCCCATTTTGCGGAATCGGAGAGCAATTATAGCACGCGCGAGACACGGCGTGGAAAACAACGCAAGAACGGAAGAAACGCCGCGATGCACGCAGGAGCCTGGAGTGGCGGCTGCGTGGGCCGAGCAGCGCGAGAGAGGGCACAATGTGGGGTCGGCTCACTGTCGTGAGCCGGTCCGCGCGCGCTTGAGCGCTGCCGAACGGCCATTGGGCGCCCGGTGGGCGCCCAATGGATGCTCGTGGGTCGCCGTTCAAGGAAACGCCCTCGGGTATATTCGATGCGTGCATGTGCGTGGAGCGGCGGCGATGGAGTTTTTCCGATAACGCCGCGCGCCTATTCAAAACCCGAGCCGGCGATGGGGCCAGGGGCCCCATCGGAATAACGGCGTCCGCGCCGTGGGACGGCCGGGTAACGGCGGCGGGGAGGCAGCCTGCGGGGTTCGGGCTGGGGCCGCGGCGGGACAATGCCCGGGTGTGTGGGCGCGCACGTGCACAGCGACACGGTTCCGGAAACCCACACACCGGTCGTTCCGCGGGAGGTCGGGGCGCACGGCGCGCGCCCCACGTGAGCCGCGGCGTCGCACGCCCGCGTTACTTAATCGTCGCTCGATCTTCAACCGCTCCCAGCCGTCACCATCCGCTCACCGCTGAGGCAACACGATGGCTAGAGGCAACCAGAGAGAGCTTGCAAGACAGAAGAACCTCAAGAAGCAACAGGAAAAGGCCAAGGGCGCCAAGAAGGCGGGCGACCCCAAAAAACGCATGGAGTCGGACGCAGATATCCTCCGGCAGAAGCAGGCCGCCGCAGACGCACGCAAGGCGGAGGCGGAGCTCGAGAAGCTCAAGGCCGCCAAGAAGTGAGGCGTGGGAGTGCGACGGAAATGCGACGCACGAAAACGGCGCTCACGTGGCGTCTCGTCCCCGCGTGCGTGCTGTGCAAGCTCCTCGTGTATTAGATTGGGTCGAAAAAATAGTTTACAAGTAAGTTACATAGGACTAATTGGCGATTTCAAGTTGCTGCATGTGCTTCTGGGCCTCAGCGCTCTTCTCCACGTCGTATTTGAAGTCGAAATAGCTCTTGTCGAAATGATGCAAACGCACGAAACCGTCTTCACCTCCCGACGCGTACGAAGTGCCCTGGGGGCTCACTGCAACGTAGTTGAGCGGACCGAAGTGGCCCTTGACTCTGCCGATCTCGTCTTGGAAGATCTTGTGATAGAAACGCGCCTCGAACTTACCCTCGCGCGAGCTGGTCGTGGTGACGTCCTTGGCGTCCTGACCACCACCCAGCACCACAAACTGCTTCAACGGCGTGATGCACGCGCTGTTGAGCGGACAATCCGCCTCGTACGCCTTCAACACCTCGAACGACACCACGTCCACCAGCTTGGCATTGCTGTCTCTGGACGAAGTGATGAAATACGTCTTGTCTGGCGAGAATTGCACGTCGCTCACGTTTTGCTCGTGCAGCTCCAACGAGTCCACGAATTCACCTGTGCTGCCGTCGTACTTGCTGACCTTTCCGTCCTTGTGGCCCACCACGATGAACTTGTCCTCGAAACTCCACGCGGCCACCGAGGCGATCTCGAAGCCCTCGCGCGTCATGATGTTGTATGCAGGCTCCTCCGCAATATCCACGATCTCGTTGGTTTGTGCGTCTCTCTTTAGATCGTACACGGTAACACTACCCGGGTACCCCATGACACCGTCCAAAACAGCCAATATCTTGTCGCCCGAGGGTGAAAACTCCACTCTTCTCACGGGCGTCTTGGTCTTCCATGTAAACACATTGGACCCGTCTTGCACCTTCCATAGCTTGATGCTGAAATCGGCCGACCCTGTCACCGCGTATTCCGTGAATTGATCCACGTCAATCGACCAGATCGTACCTTGGTGGCCTTCAAAAGTGCCCAGTCTCTCACCGTTCATGGAGTACCACACTGATGCAACGCTATCCTTAGCGCAAGAGAAGATCAAATCCCCTTCTCTGTTGTACTTAACCTGAGTTAGGGAACGTTCATGTCCCTTTAACATAATAGGTCTCATCTTCCACTGGTGTTTCTTGTTTGAGCTCCTACGTTTGGTAGGTTCATCTACTGCGATTCATTATAAAAATTTTTCAGCACTTTTCCGATGCTCACACTTTCTTCTACAAGCGGTCGGGTAACAAGTCGAATCAACATCTTTTTAAACGTCATCGCGCTGCCAGAGACACCAACACAGAGCCCCCGGTAATAGCACGCGGCATTCCTACAGCCTATCTAGATGCTACTTAGCAAACGTGTTGCACTTTCTCTTCGAGCTGCACATACTCTCCCAAATCTGTCTTCAACTTTCTGTTGAATTGCTCGAACAAGAACCCGAGACAACTTTGAGTGATGGAGGCGTCATATCTGCCCTTACTGAACTCATCACGGATAAAAGCGTGCTGAGCTGCAAGGATCTCCAAAAACGTAAAGTTCACGCCATGGTCGCGAAGTTCTTTACGAATCAGATCTCTGCCCTCGGGACTGACATGTGTGTCTAGTGTTCCAAATATCAAAACCATCTCTTGGTCCTTGGTACATTCGTTGGAGACACGCACCAGCGAGTCGTCCTTTTGGCCCAAACCCAGACTCTTGAGGTGGATGTCAGTAGGGAAAAAGCACGTGGCACAGGTCACTCGCTTGTCAAGCAAACTGCGGAAAGCTAGATGTCCCCCCAGGCACATACCCGTTGCACCAATTCTCTTGCCGTCAAATTGAGGCAATGAGTACAAATAGTCGCAGCAAAGCTTGTTATCTTCGTCGTATGATTCCAAAGGTTTCTTTATCTTGAACTCATTGCCCATGTCGGTACCCTCAACATCATAAGCTAAGGGTTCTGGTCCTACAAAGTTATGATAGATAGCAGGGGCAACAACCACATAACCGTCGGCAGCAATACGCTGTGCGAATCTTCTGACCGGCCCAGTAACTTGATAAATCTCACTATAGCAGATCACACCAGGAAACTTGGCATGAGGATACCCTGCAATCTTAGGTGTGAATGTGTAAATTCTAAGCTTGGTCCCATAAGAGGTTGTCACGTCGTGATATGTCTCTGTAATAAGCATCGTTCTTGTTTTTGTATTTTTATGTGATTCGAGAGGAGTAACGATACAACTGTTGAACTAATTTTTTGTTGATTGCTGGACAAAACCCATATCAATTAAGACTTGCAAAAGCATTAGAATGGCAAGATGTCTTAGGCATCACTAGGGAGGGCGTTCGCTGTAAGAAGCAGCTCAAAGGGGATGCTCAGTATTGCCATTGGCACACGTGGCAAGCACAACACGCCCCTACGCGTCGATCAGATCCAAATCCGAAAGCCAAGGCTGGCTTCATCTATATGTATACCTACAAAGAGATGTACGACGCAGCTATTACGGGTCAAGACAGACATCTACAATGGCTTCATATGGACTACTCTATCATCCAAAGCCAAAAATCCATTCCACTGGCGAAATGGTCAAGCCGCGATCACATCCTTTGCAAAATTGGAATGACGACCAAGCTGAAAGTCGGTCTCCGGTTGTCGGAGTGGGAAAATTCCTGCAAACACGAAGTAATTGGTTTGGATCCTGCCACAGTTTCGAGACTATGCAAATGTTTAGAGGTTACGCCAAGTAAGAAGCCTACACTAGCGAAACTCTTCCAGGCCCTGACGCTCAAGGATATTCGCAAACCCAAGGGACAGCGCAAAGTCCCCCCTGTGAATTTAACTTTGAAGACATTCGTTAATGGCGGGTTCTACGTAATGCCAAATAGTGGATTATCGCTTCTCGACATTGAATCCAAAATTCATAGGATGCTTTGGAAGCGTTATGGTCAGGGCCTCATATATTGCCAAGGTTGTCAAAATGCAAAGAATGAGCCCAAAAGACACAAAGAATGGTTTATGATGCCTATAAATCATCTGCCCTATATCTTGAAGGACATAGATTCCATCTGCTGTGGGGAACGAGGTAATGCGGGTGTGTAAAATTTGACAAAAAAATAGCCTGATTGTTTTGGATTATCTTCGCTAAACACGCAACACAATTTAAGATCAATCCATGGCGAGGGAAAAAGGCCGTAGATCAAGGATCAGAAACAAATTGAGAACTACTATGAGTGCAGATCATCGTAAGCTTCCCACGCTAGTAACCCTTCAAGAGAACCAGGAAGTTACGGCAACCGAAGAGCATGTATCTGATCCAGGTACAGAGTCAATTCCGGAGTCCATTAACGATGCCAATGTCCAATCCACCGCTGCCACTGGAGGTTCAGAAGAAGGAAATATACAAGTGGATACCGAGCCAGCTGATAGTGCAGATGGAGATCTCATCGTAGAGACTATTAATTCAGCGGCTAATGCCAGCGAGGGTGATTTCACCAGATCGCCAACTTTGGAAGGTCACAGTCGAAATGCCAGTCGGCAGAGCCTGTTCGAGGTGGCATATGAAGCTTCAAAGCATGCCCCAGTGGAAGCCTCTCCGCTGTTGCGTGGTTCTCAGCAGAATTCTTCTGAAAGCACCATATGGGAGAAAACCGCCAAAGCTACCAGGAAGGCGTGGTCTGACACCGATTTTCAGCTCGGCGATTTCCTCAAGTGGGTTTTGGTTAAGTTTTGCGCTGTCTGCCAATTTTTTGTTTCTTTCCTTTGCACCACCTTCCCTGCCATCGGTAAATGGTTTGAGTATGTTCCCTGCCGCAATGTGCCCTGCACTAACTCAATTACATTGAACAATTCATCTTTACTAACAAAACACTTTCCTTCAACCTGCTGGAAATGCGACACGCCTTCTGTTTTGTGTTGCTTTCGTTACGGTTGACACAAAGTGTCCTCACAGCCATTTAACAAACAAGAAAAACATTCGCGCTAAAGAGTACGCGATTCTAATTCGCTGGGTTAAAGAAGACGTTATTCAAGTCGAACGCTGGATAGTATCTCAACTGATAAAAGGTTATAACTACTTTCAAAAAAGACCCTACCGCGCTCTATTTGCAGTTTCCTTCACCTTTGCGTTTTCCCTTCCTTTACTAGTCTTCTTACTGATTATGTCCGCATTTGCTTTCCTACTTTCGCTGTTCTACATTGCGGTGTTTTTGACAGTAGGTGCCATGGCCTTCATGCTCATCATCCCATTCCTGGGCTTGTCATTTGTGTTCGCTGCCGGAGTCGTAATTTGCGGTTTCTTCAGCAACGCTTTCTTCAGAACGGCACAGCGCATTTACGAAACCAGCGTCGGATATACACAGCAATCTCTACGAAGCTTTGCGAGCCAAATTCCTCCATCGATGGGCATCAATGAGATCAATGAACCCGAACGTACTTGGTTCTCGAAATTTCTCAATCTGGGCTCAAAGCTCTACGCTACTCCGTACGCCAAACCATCTCCCGCCGTATACGTGAACGGGGCAGACGTTCCCGAGCATCGCATCTCGATCTCTCAGGATGGGGGAAGCATCAAGTCGCTCAAGAAGGGCGAAGTTGTGATAATATCCACATGATTTTGAAACCTCATGTCGAGAGACCGGGTAACACCCACGGTCTTTTTATCCTACGCGACAAAAATAAGTAAAACACATTTCTGCCAGCATATAGCTAGATAGATATTGGAATTATAATATAAAAAATCCGTCAACAGATGCAATTGAGTAGATTGTTGACTTTTTCTTTGGTATCTGTGACGGCAGTTCTGGGAATTGCAGTCAAACAGCCTCATATTTCGTTTCCAAAGTCTGATAAGAGACCATTGGCACTAGGCCCAATAACCCATGAGTTTGTAAAGGCTAAGAAACCTATTACCTGCGATCTGCCCAATGACACAGTTGAGTTTGGCTTCACCATCGGAGCAGACGAGAAGCCGGAAAGAGCATTTTTGATAGTGGGGTCAAACAAACACCGTGTCGAAATACCCATAAAGCCAACAATCAAGAACAACGGTGAGCTTTCAATGTACAAATTCAGTATCGCCATCGATAAATTACCTACAAGTTTGATACATTTTGCAACAACCGAGAAGGAGTCTCTAACGGCCTCTTTGCTCTTGGCAAGCGAGAATGGTGGCGCCAACAACGTATATGTGGAATTATTTGATTTGAACCTTGTTTTCACACCAGAAAAGGAGACTTCGCTCCCCAAGAGATTCGGAGCTTTACCCGAAATACACCATATTTTCCATTCCGATCCCAAGATGGTATCCCCATGGTTTGCTCAAGTATTCTCGTTGGCCGTGATTGGTTGTCTAGTAGGACTAGTATTGGTATGGTTCGGCACCGTCTCCTTTGATCTAAGAAAAGTGACAAATTCTATTTACTCTCTGGGTTTTATTGGCTGTCTGATTGCCTTAGAATATGTTTTCTGCCAATACTACCTCGGTACGAGTATCTTTAAAACCTTGAGAGATACATTTTATATCGCTGGCCCTGGTATCTGGCTTGGCTCAAAGCTCTTGAGCAGACTTTGATGAAAGCAGCAAATGCTTTTCCAAATGCATATCGTATGTAGCGTCTATTTACAAAATTATAAATCTTACCATCGCTTGCTAATCTTCCTCCACGTAGGCGTTCTCTATTTTTCTAAATCCGAAGAAGTTCCCTTTATCTCCTCCCCAGAAGGGCTCATTTAAATCATTCGCAGCTACTATTTTGCCCTTTATGAGTCCCATAGGAAGAGAGTTATAAGTTCTAGAATCCAGAGACTGTGACAAATTATCACCAGTGACCCACACATGTCCTGGGGGAACTTTTATAAAATCGTTAAAATGTGAAGAGTTCTCTTCATCCAAATCCGTCAACCGGGTGATGCCATGCGTAACTTCAGATCCCATACTAGGGTCTACTAAAATTATATCCCCCGGCATTCCTGTTATCCTCTTGCAAACTCTTTGATGCGGGTCAGTTGGCTTGGCTGCTACAATGCAATCGCCGATTTTGCAACCTTTACCATCCTTGTATTTCTTTAATGCGTGAACATAATCATTGGTGGCCGCTAAAGTTGGCAACATTGATTCTCCTCGCGTTTCAGTGAACTCATAGATATGAGAGTGAACAATATGGATCAAACAAACGGTTCTTAATGCCAACGAGGAGGTCCTTATCCATGTCTCCATTTGTGGATTACTGCTTCTTTTCCCAGGAGAATAAATCGTAAACTGCAAAAAATTAAATCTCATCGCATCTAAAAGAGAACTTTGGAATACGAACAAATATCAAAACACAATGAGTACTCCAGCTGCTGAACAACGAAAGATTCTGGAGCAGCTTATGGGCAAGGATTTTTTGTCCCGCGGTCATCATTCTTACGGAGGTGAAATGAAGTTAAGTGACCCGAGAATTTGCAAAAGTTACCTTGTCGGGGAATGCCCATATGAACTCTTCAAAGGTACCAAGCAGAGCTTGGGGAAATGCCCTAAGATTCATTTAGCCAAATATAAGTTGCAATATGAAAGAGAGCTGAAAAATGGCAAGGAACATCCTGAATTTGAGAAAGAATATTACTCGATCTTGTCCAAGTTTATCAATGATTGCAATGGCCAGATTTCCGTAGCGCTCAAAAACCTAGAGCACACTTCAGAGGAACGTGAAAAGATTCAAAGCATGACGGGCGAGCTGGACTTGGTCGACACTCAGATTGGGCTTATGCTGCAAGAAATCGAAGTTCTCACATTGTCAAACGAAGTGGTGAAGGCAATGATTCAATCTGTAAAGTTGCAGGATCTGCAAAAGCACAGGCAAGAGGTTGCCAAAAAAGTACGAGACATTACAGAAAATGTGGGTCAAAGTGCACAACAAAAGCTACAAGTCTGTGAAATATGCGGTGCATATCTGTCCCGACTTGATACAGACAGAAGGCTTGCTGACCATTTCATAGGAAAAATCCATTTAGGTTACGTCAAGATGAGGCATGATTTAGAACAACTCAAACGAAAATTGAAGGAAAGAGGAGAAGATGTTACGATTAATATTACTCCATCGAGAATACCCCAACAACATCATAATCATCCACCTAGAATACAGTCATACCACCGTGGTCAGTATCAATCAAAATACAGATCGAGGTCCCACAGAACTCATTGAAATTTGAATTAACTGTATCTTCTAAGCATCCAAGAAAACATACCAGAACATCGCGTGGATTGAGAATGAAAAAGTGTGAAGATATACGTTTCATAAAAATATCCTATCTCACTATAACCCTATAACAATAGGAATTATTTTCATGCCCAGCTGCAGAAAATGAAAATAATTTATAAGGGTAATGTATAAATTGTATACAGTTTATTTCTAAAATTCTAGGGGTTTACATCAGCCTCCATGAGAACTTATCATAGGACAATCTTCAGAACTGCCTAAAAACTTGGAGGACGATCAAAGAAGATGCAAGAGATTGTGGAAAACAGGGCCATTGTATACAGAACCAGAAATGGACACAGTGAGGTCATCACCGAGAAGTTAGACTTAAATTCATACTATACTGATGACGAAATCGTCGTTCAAGTTCATGCAGCTGCACTTAACCCATTGGATTTAATCATAAAGTCTTACGCATACTATTTGGTGGCAGGTAATACACCTAAGACATTTTCAAGTGATTTCAGCGGGGTAATCGTGCGTAAAGGAAAGAACGTTCAAGGATATGCAGTTGGAGATAAGGTGGTGGGGTGCTACTACCACATATTTGGCAAGCAGGGATCCCTGTGTAATTATTTGACCCTTGATCCTAAGAAGCATCTTGCGATCATCCAAATGTCCAGCTTTGGCGATAGCGAGGATGATGATTTTGTGTTGAACGCTGCGTGGCCGCTTGTTTTCGGAACTGCTTACATGGGCCTCGGTCTGTTAGACAAGAGCCAGAACCTTGGTCCTGATTCCCGCATATTGGTGATTGGAGCCTCAACTTCGGTGTCAAATGCTCTGGTACAAATCGCTAAGAATCATTTGAAGGTCAAGTCCGTGGTAGGAATATGCTCCAAGAGCTCATTCGAGCGTAACAAGGAATTGGGTTTTGACCATCTAGTTGCCTACGACGAAGGGCCTGTCACCGATGGGGTCAAAAACCTGATTGACACCGAATTCAATGGTGGCAAGTTTGACTTGATTTTCGACTCAGTTGGAAATTCAGATTTCATTCCCAGAATCAATGAGTTTTTAAAACCAATGAACGAGAATTCATATTATCGTACCATCGTTGGAGATAAGAAATTGAATTACTCATCGCCAAATATGCTGAGCGGCATCAGCCTGAGCCAAACTTTGAAGAGATCAGGCCCTTTCAAAAGGTATAACTACAAAAGCCATGTATTTGCTCCATCACAAGAGTACATGAAACTTGGTGTTCAGATGATTGCTTCAAAACAATACAAGCCGTCCATAGACTCTGTGTTTAGGGTGGACGAGCACGCTAAGGCCTTTAACAGATTATTATCAAACAGAGCCAAGGGTAAAGTTGTTATCAAGATGATTTGAGTGCAGCTTTTGTGCGTACTTTGTCTTTGGCAAGTTTTCATCTAATTGTCTTCTATAGGCACGACAACGTTTACTATAGAGCTTTGGTATCAGCGATTATCAGCTGCGCTCTTTTAATATATGTGTATCGCCATTCTAATTTCTTGGTGCGAAAGATAACTAAATCTGCTTGCATTAAATTCTTGATCCGGAAGTCCCATCTGTGTAAGGCTTTTCAGATTGTTTCTTCCCTTGCCAGTTGAAACTTGTGGAATTAAAGTGGGAAAATTATGGCACAATTGTTCTCAAAAATGCTGTCTTCAACATCCTTTATCAATGAAATGACCTAAGGATGCACGCTTTTGAGTCGTTGGGGCACTGACTTTAGTTTCGTGAGCAATGAATTCCAGGCACTCACCATTGAAGCTAATATTCAATCAATGATACTCTAATCCATGGGTGGGTTTGCAATGAAAAGTCTGTCATTCACAAGAGACAACACCAATCTACAAGATTTTCAATTCGCAGCGTTTTAGAATTGGTGCCATTGCTAACCTACGTCATGAAGTTTTCGAAAAATACAAGCTAAAGGGAAAATGTCAAACCATGTGCGTTCGACAATTCAGTAGCCTTCAGTTAACATCCTGAAAAAACGAGTATCTTTCGACTTGTAATAGTAATGAAGAAATAAAATGTCAAAATACAACTTGAAGTTGAAAGTCTAATTTAAGCGGTAGCCAGTAATTTGCACGACAAAGCACGAATTTTCAAGGGCGCCATAACTCTTGCAACATGCTCACAAAATCTCCCACCCTTGATAGTTATACTGGTGCCAATTCGATGCGCGGCGTATAAATAAGAGATTAGAAACTCCTTAAGCGTCAGGGATGTCGATCACTAAACTCAGCGCAAATAAATCATAAATTGTATTGGAAGGATTATCAGAACGAGATTTTAACATTCAATTATAAGAGATCATCGCAAATCCGTTGCTCTAGAACTGCCAACGGACCCAATGCGATTATTTCTGAGAATTAGATGCAAGGTCTTGTTATCAAATTCAAGTTAACTCGAAGCGAAACTTTTGAAATTCGTTACAGAGTAGAGACCAACATGCGTATAGTTTCTAAGAAGAGGATTTTGTCAAAAATACGCACATATTACACACCTGAAGCCAGAAATGGAGAATAGGAGATTCTTTTAGGACTAGACTTCAAGGAGAACCCGAAAATAGGAAAGATATCAACATTTCGAGTTTCTATCCAAACGACAAACGCATTCCCTCGATTAAAATCAACGATAAAATTCATTAACGCTCTATGAGTCTGAACCAATCCTTTAATCTTTCATTGCATCATATTTCTATGCATGGAATAATTACAAGAGAACTGAAATGAATCGAGGTATATTCCTTCTTAACCGTGTGTAACACCATTCCGGAGGCTATAGGTATTTTGAGGCAGAGCTGTTAGGGGGAAAGCAATATGGAAGGGAAAACGTATAAGAACATGCGGGTCAATTCCGAAAAAAATCTGTAAGGGTTTTAAGATACCACCTAAGAGAGAAATATTCAAAGATCTAGAATATCCAAATGCAAGAGGTCGTAGAAAACAGGGCAGTTACATTTAAAGGCAGAAATGACCCGAATGAGATTACTTCTGAGACATTGAATCTTGGCACCTGTTACTCTGATGACGAAATTGTCATCCAAGTTCACGCTGCGGCGTTAAATCCGGTTGATTTACTTGTGAAAGCTTACGCATATTCGTGGATTGCAGGATCAGAACCAAAGACTTTTTCAAGGGATTACAGCGGGATAATCGTTCGGAAAGGTAAACACATCGAGGAATTTGATGTCGGCGATAAGGTGGTTGGGACTTTTGACCATCTTTTTGGTAAAGAGGGATCTTTGAGCAACTATTTGACACTAGATCCAAAAAAACATCCTTCAATCACCAAAATGCCCAGCTTTGGCGATAGCGAGTACGATGATTTTGTGTTGAACGCTGCATGGCCGCTTGTTTTCGGAACTGCTTACATGGGCCTCGGTCTGTTAGACAAGAGCCAGAACCTAGGTCCTGGTTCGCGCATATTGGTGATTGGAGCCTCAACTTCGGTGTCAAATGCTCTGGTACAAATCGCTAAGAATCATTTGAAGGTCAAGTCCGTGGTAGGAATATGCTCCAAAAGCTCATTCGAGCGTAACAAGGAATTGGGTTTTGACCACCTAGTTGCCTACGACGAAGGGCCTGTCACCGATGGGGTCAAAAACCTGATTGACACCGAATTCAATGGTGGCAAGTTTGACTTGATTTTCGACTCAGTTGGAAATTCGGAGTTCATTCCTAGGATCGAAGACTTTCTGAAGCCAATCAGCGAAAACTCTTACTATCGCACCATTGTTGGTGATGCAAAATTGAAGTATACCTCTCCAAGTGTGCTGAGGTCCTTTATACCAACCGAATTTTTCAAAAGATTTGGTCCTTTCAAGAAATATAACTACAAGAACTTCTTGCTCGCTCCATCAAAAAATTATATGGAGCTTGGCGCTAAAATGATTAGTGCCAAGGAATTCAAACCATCGATAGATTCGGTCTTTGGGTTTGACGATTATGCGGACGCTTTTGATAGGTTACTTTCAAACAGGGCTAAGGGCAAAATTGTAATCAAAGTTACGTAAACATATTCGGCGAAACACCTTTGGTACGTAGGTTTGTATTTAGGCCACTGGCAATTTTATTATAAGGACAACGTTCAATCTTAGAGCAGAATCTGATATTGACTATTGAGTCATTGATGTTAATGTTCAAATACCTATACGTCTGTAATTGAGCTATTATAAGAGTAAACACTATAAGTCTTTTTATGTGGCTCGTATATGAGCTCTGCAAAGGTCCATATCAAAATTTCGGACCGCCTGAACCACTTCACAGGCTGAACTGTGTTTTGTATTCAGCCGAATGTTTGTTGTTCACAGGATCATACATCTGAAACGATAACAGAGGGAAGGCGGCCTCGTCTTAAGCAAAACGAATTTAAGATCATGCTAGTCTTGGGTGATTTTTGAGGCAACTCAACAGAGACATGGCGTTGAGAGATGAGGGTGTTACTGCTAGCATTTTTCTAAGACCTCCAAAGCATCACAGTCAAAAGTAAAAAGACACATTTAGAAGATATACGGAAGCAGGTTATAACTGAAACATAAATTCATAACAGTAGAACATAGATATTTTTCATTATTGGAGGCACTTTCAAGATTACTTTGGAACATCGCCGAAGCCCACATTAATCGGAAGCGGAAGTAAAAAAAATATTACAAATCACAATGCGCTTTTTGTCAATGCTTCTCAGCCTTTCGGATATAATTCGGCCCTCCGATGTTAGCCCAAAGAAAGCTACAATGATTGAGACTTATAAGAACATGAAAAGGTAAGCTCTACAGCGCTATGTGTTTCTACTTCTAGGTTTATGGTGTATTGATTATCATTACCTGACCAGAAATAAAAATGCAGGAAATCGTGGAAAACAGGGCTGTAGCGTTCAAAACGAGGAAGGGTCCTAACGAGATCATTGCTGAAAAGCTGGATTTGGATTCGTGTTTCACCGATGATGAAATTGTCATTAAAGTTCACGCGGCTGCATTAAATCCTGTTGATTTGCTAGTGAAAGCATATGCATATTCTTGGATTGCAGGATGCGAGCCTAAAACCCTGTCAAGAGATTATAGTGGGGTTATTGTTCGAAGAGGGAAAAACATCAAAGAATTTGATATTGGCGATAAGGTGGTTGGGAGTTTTGACCATCTTTTTGGTAAAGAGGGATCCTTGAGCAACTATTTGACACTAGATCCGAAGAAGCATCCTTCAATAACTAAAATGCCCAGCTTTGGCGATAGCGAGTACGATGATTTTGTGTTGAACGCTGCATGGCCACTCGTTTTCGGAACTGCGTACATGGGCCTCGGTCTGTTAGACAAGAGCCAGAATCTTGGTCCTGATTCGCGCATATTGGTGATTGGAGCCTCAACTTCGGTGTCAAATGCTCTGGTACAAATTGCTAAGAATCACTTGAAGGTCAAGTCCGTGGTAGGAATATGCTCCAAGAGCTCATTCGAGCGTAACAAGGAACTGGGGTTTGACCACCTAGTTGCGTATGATGAAGAGGTCGTCACCGATGGGGTCAAAAAACTAATTGACACCGAATTTAATGGTGGCAAGTTTGACTTGATTTTCGATTCAGTTGGAAATTCAGATTTCATTCCTAAAATCGATGATTTTTTGAAACCAATCAGCGAAAACTCTTACTATCGCACCATTGTTGGTGATGCAAAATTAAAGTACACCTCTCCAAACTTATTGAAGACGTTCAAACCCTCCGAAACATTTAGGCGGTTTGGCCCATTCAAGAAGTACAACTACAGGAACTACCTTCTTATTCCATCGAACACTTTCATGGTTCTTGGTGCCGAAATGATTGCTAAAAAACAATTTGTTCCAACAATAGACTCTGTTTTCACTTTTGAAGATCACACAGATGCATTCAATAGACTAGTTTCAAATAAAGCTAAGGGAAAAATTGTTGTGAAGATTGCTTAATTGACAGCTTTGTTCCTGGATTCAGTTTAGTATATTTTTTTATGCACTTCATTTCATAGTTAGCGGATTATCGATTTCTGGTTTTTTCTTCTTTACACATAATTCGAGCTGGTTCTTGGAGGCAAGCTTGCTGCGATGGGCTGTATATTTACTAATATCTCTTTATGAAATTAATTCGAAGCTTTGCGTCACTACTACGCTTTATATATCTTGCTAGACTAGAATTATAAAAGTTTACCCGGCCAAGAAGCTTTCAGAAAATTTGTTGTCTTCATGTCAATAGAACGAATATACGTGAATAGTGTGAAATATCGAACTCCTCACCTTGAACCCAAATTCGTTCCTCCTTTGAGTGTCCGATGTCGTCGATATTTGGCTCATCTAATCAGTCATCTGAAAATAGATTCTCGAATCTGATGGTGAATTTCCCACAACAACAGCAACAACAGAATCAAACGAACTCATCTATTCCTTCATCTCAAGAGCAGGCTCGTGCACAGTCATTGATGATATCTGATGGAACAAATCAATCATTTCAACAGCCATTAGATGAGAATAAGCCTTCGTGGTTCAACAATCCTCGTAAGAGAACAATTCCTCAAGCAATAGTAAAACGCTCTACAAAGCCAAGCTCTTCTGACACTTCGTCAACGAACGGAAACTCTACGAGTTCTTCCACCACACGAAGTGGCTTTGGAGCCATCACATTTGGATCAAGAAAATCAGCAAATGTTTTCAATCCTGCTAATCCCAAAGCGGATGGTAGTGACTCCTTGGCCTCAAGCATCCTAATTGATTCCAATGAAGCTCCACCAACGAAGACTCTGTATGATTGGCAGCGTGAGGACGAATTTGGATCTACAGTGCCATTACACCACCCGGATGATATTGTCAAAAACACTACATTCGGCTTAAACAGAACAGCAGAACCCACTATGCGAAATGTTTTTGATAAAACGGATACTGTTTTACCTAGTACTCACGAAGCAAACCAAAAGAAGCAGGCTACAGCAAGCTCTGCAAATTCGGGAAATGAAAGCGCAGTACTTGTTTTTGGGTATCCAGAGTCCATCTCTAATCAGGTCATCATACATTTCTCAAAATTCGGTAATATTTTGGAAGACTTCGAGGTTTTACGAGGCGCCTCCGGCATCAATGCAGCCACCTTGCGATTACGCCGTAAGCATGCGAATGATAACAAGATCCACAGGAAATATCCTATTTTCACAGGCGACGGCTGGATAAAGCTTACTTACGACTCACCCTCCTCAGCCCTGCGTGCCCTTCAGGAAAATGGTATTGTATATGGTGGGTGTTTGATTGGTTGTGTTCCTTATAGCAAAAACGCCGTCGAACAATTGGCTTCTTGTAAAATCGACAAAACTGAGGATATTGGAGCGACCAACTTCTCTACGCCCCTAGCACTACCCACCTCAATAAACGGGTTTTCTGGCGGGAAACAAGAGGACAATGGGAATGAACCATCACTAATGGAGGCAGCAAACACTTCTGATCAAAAGAGATTCAATCTCTCAACTCAGCATTTGGACATAAAAGACGGAAAAACTCTTTTTGTTACCAACGTCAACAATTCTGGCAATAATCAAAACTTTCTAAAGACTTTAGAGGAGAAAATGAAGGAGCAAAATGACGGAAAACATAAAAGTAATGGCGTTTTAGGGGTTGTAAACAATTGGCTTTTTGGCTGGAATGATCTATGATAAATAGAAACCGCACATTCTCTATTTGGTTCAATCCTTTCGTCCAAATTGCATTGTCGCCGAGATGTATACTATAATATCATACACAATAACTTAGATAGAGAGTCTATTTCTACCTAAATGGTGGCCTAGAATCTGTAGAGTCGCGCCTATAAGATAGATGATTTTTGGAAGGACTTAAACTGCTATTGCGTGAGGAAACTACAGAGCCTCGAGCTACCGGCGTGCCATTATTTTGAACGCACAAATTTCCATTTACTCTGCGCCCGCGCCTTGCAACTTCTTCGAACGGAATTTCTTCATCTGGCAGTTCCATGCTGAAGGACATTGTGCTATCACCACCCAACGGTTGTCTCTGAGAGGATCTGATTGAAGATATTGGCGCTAGAACGTTATTTGTTTTTAAAGGGCTCACCGAATTTCTTCTCAGTCTTGAGTACGTATTTGCTCTTTGTGTTCTTGTATTGTCTCTGAAGGATGAATTGGCACGAATACCCGAGGTATTCCCTACCAAAGAGTGATCAGCATATGCAGCCTGTGTAGGCCGAAGGACGGGAGTAGAAGGGGCTGATGAAGAAGATGCAACATAAGAAAGAGCCTTGGTAGGAGTAGAGACTCTATTGGGACTGACCTGGCGGCTCAAAAATATTGGACGAACGGATGCACCATTCATGAATTTACTTCTAGGAGTATTCGTATAGCCATAATGATTTTCTCTCGACGGTCTTATGTAATTTTCTGCCTTTGATGACGACGAGACGTCCTCAAATGCGTTCCTTGTGGAGTTGTATTGTTCAGTGACTACATCACCCGTAAGAGTATGTGTTTGAAAAATATGCGAGCGGGTTGTCGTGTAAGATGGAAAGAATTGAACGTACTCATTACCAAATGGAGTTGCATCTACCATTGCGTCTTGCGTTAGAGCCGATGCCCTGGGTTTTATAATTTTCGCATTTATTTCTGCAATATTAGCACTTGCGAGGCATTGTTCATCTTCTATTCTATTAATGCAACGATCACATAAAATGAAGTAAAATAAGAATTGGTGAACTATAATGCCCAAAATAGTCGTGAATGAGGTTTCCGTAACCAGCAGAAACGTCAAGCATGTCGGCGAGAATGAACAGCAGAGAACAGTAACGAACTTACTTGGGTTCCACTTTTTCAACTGATAATAATACTCTCCGTGTGGCTGCTGACTCGCATTTTTCTTACGACCAAATAGAGTAAATTTCATCATACCCCAAATCGAGCTTTTTGAAAGATCCTCCATATATTTATAACCCAAATCCTCCAATGAGCGCTTGGTGACATTTTTTGATTTGGGTCTAGCTCTTAGATAGAACATGGAATAAACCTTATATCTGGAAAAAAGAAATCTGTACATGATGAAGATGCTTAAGCAAAATAGTGTGAGGATTGAGACTTTGAAAATTTTGTCCAAACGGCCAAGCATCTTAAAGTACCAATCGGAGGGGTATGCTGACTTTGCAGCGGTTGATCTTTGATACTGAAGAAGTTCATGATGTGCACGCAGCGTACTTGATTTCGTAATATCGAAAGCATCTGTCGATTTGCTTATTTTGTGGTAATTCGGCTTTATCAAATTGTCCTGCAGTAATCTTAGAACGTAAAACACGAACGTCAGAATGTTTCCAAGAGGTCTCGCAACGGATATAGCCTTTAAATCCCAATCTATTATCTCAAAATACTCGTTGAGAATCAAATGCAAGTCATAAGGTGATGTGGTCAAAAGTGAGAAGATACTCCTCAACCATCCTTCTTTACCATCACTGTCTCCTTCCTTCAGATTTTCGTCATCTTCGGGAACATCTGGTAAAGCATCTTCAGAATCCTCACCTTCTATGGGACAGAACTTGTGTTGGGATATCCTGAAGGACATGTAAATAGTCTGAAGTGTGTTAACTATGCGTTTAGATGAGAATTTGTAAATATTCAAAAAGTAAACAAAGTCTATTGAATGTTTTCAACGGTCAGCCGTTCAAGACGACTTTAAAATCCGAACCTATCTCAAGACGCATTGGGACGCTATTGAACATCGTTGGTGGCCCATCTTTTTCTATCAAGAGTGTGAGATGCCTACCACCCATACCGGAAAAGTCCGGTATAACTAATCCATGCCTCGGAAGTATGCAAAAGTCCTCATTATGTAGCAGGAGCTCCTGTGTATCATCATCAAATATATTGATTCTGATGAACATTTCACCCTGAAATTCCAAAGCCAAGACGCGAATATGCAGGAATGTAGTGGCTACAAGTCCGAAAGGGATTTTAACTCTGTTGGTCTCTTTTCTCCACGAGAAATTACGTGCCAACTGATATTTGTGAGATCCGTATTGGGGGAAACACTTTGAAAGTTTAACCTTAGAGTTCTTGGAAGATGTTGTTGCCAAAAGTTTGAATCTATTAGTATCACTCTGGTGATATGAGGAACATATAACTTTATAACGTGCGTTTGGCACTATTGGTAGACTCTTTCGAATATAGATGCCTTCTGTGTAAGACTCATCGAATACAATCGGCTTTGTGAGATCATAATCGTCCATGTGATATATTTGCAAATTGAGCAAGCTCGTACTCATGCCCAGCAATTGCAGATCTACATAAACATGATCCTTTGAATTAGATTCAACCACCAATTCGAATGTTGGGTTCTTGTAAAACTCCGGATTAGAAAAAGCACCATAGTAGTTTGCACTATTCCACTCGTCATCCACCGAAGCGACCAGCGCTCGAACAGTAGCCTTTTTACAACTGATGAGGGCAGATATGTGATAAAAATGCAAGGAGTAATTTGCAGAAACTTCAGAATGACAGAATAATTTGATACAATTCTTCGAGGAAATCTCAACTTTCAGTAGGTAAAAACCAGAGTTACTGCCGTCAAACCGGTTTGATACCAGTAATACGCTATCTGGAACTTGTTGCACTAAACAAATGCTTTGGTCGTTGAGGGTGCGATCGAAATGCTGTTCCAAAAACACCCAAACTGATTCTGATTGCTCAGACTTGTTGAAAATTTCGAATAAGGGTTTATCGATTACAGTAGGAAAATTGTTCATTGGATCTGTAGTGTAACGGAAGTGCAGTGTCTGGTGATGTGCAAAAAGCAAGCGCGGATTCCAGTTAAAATACATGAATTTAAAGTTCGTGAGTAATGTACATTCATCAATCTCAAGCTTGCGGGAAGCATCAAGGGGATCCCGTACTACCAGGTTTCCATTCGAATGTATTTCAATTGTAGCGTAGTCATGTGAGCTTTTCAGATTTCTATCATTGACCTTTTCTGCAGTACCTAGAGCAATAATACACATGCCGCCCTTGAGCAACGTCGTGATCCTTTTCATGGCATCGTTACGCACATGACGAATCTCTGGAATGTAACCCGTAAGCAGGTAAGTGTCTATCGCAGCATTAGAGCCACTTAGCTTATACGATCCACCATTTTTGACCAGCAGGTAAGCTCGTTCGAGCACCACGTCTTCTATTTTGTGCGAATGCAGTGCGAGAATAGAACCCTGCGAGTCTCGTGGTACATAAGATAAATCGACACGAACCAGTCGGCAGTCAGAGCCATTAAAATGCAAATTAACAACGTATGTTGCGCCTATGTGTCGGACACGAAGCGCGGAAGCTGCGCGCTGACGCACATTGATGAGACTCGCGACAAGCGAGCAGTCTGGTATTTCGCGATGCTGTTGTATATGAGGGATACCTGAGCAAATTCTGGCATACAAATCTCCATCCCAGCTGTCTCCCTTGTCCATCATTTTACCACTTGCAGCGCCGTTTCCGTCCCAGCCCTCTGGCCCTGCCACATCGATTTGTACTGGAGGAAATCGCTGTCCACCCACGACTGATGTAAGCCACTCGAAACGAGTGTTATAGTTAACTTTCGCGCCTGCGTTCAATAAATTGCGTGCCAGTTTTGCCACTTCATGGTGTTCACTAGCTGCTGCACGGCGTGCTAACTGGTCCATCGCCGCACGGTCCACTGTCCCACTGCCGAAAGCCTGCCATCGGAGCCGCCATAGTTCTTGCCATAAATCAATCTCTTCATCCTCCTGTGACACCTCACTAACCTTCATTGTCTCCCACCGCTACGCTTCTGCGTTCTCAGATATTTGAAGCTATGCTCAACTTCGCCAGATTCATGCACGGCACATCGGCCGGGCACCAAAAAAATAGGAACTGCGTTATCGACGTTTTTGCGACCAAACCGGCCGAGAGTGTCACCAAATACGAATGTGGGAAAGTAGGTTAAAAGCAGCCATGAATCTGTCAGAACAGGAAGTTCTTTCGCGATTGAAGACCAAGAAATGTCGATGTTGACGAGTAGAAACTCTACGATAAATGGGTCGTGTCCTTTTTGGGAGTATGACGATATCACAGAGTGTGGAAGAGTCAAATACATCGAATTTGTGGTGCCCCTATTAGTGCTGGTGGGGTTCGCGACACTCACCGGATACAAAATTATAACTCATTACTACAGGCGAGATTATCTCGGTGAAAGTAAGCCAAACTACACATCTGAGCTACTAGCGTACTCAGACGATGAGAACAAACCGCTGCTGTCAGAGTCGACTGGCGCAGGGTACACGAACCCGGATGCTGTGTCGGACGAGACGGACCTGAAGGAGGAGCACTTTTCGATTGAAAAACTAAGACTAGTGGACGTGGACGGCAGGCCGCACGGAGCAATTGAGGTGGTGCGCCGTGATTTCTGCGAGAAGATGCGTGTAGTGACCGAATTCGTGCTGGTATTGGCACAATTCAGCGGTCACGTGTTCGTATGGGTGCGTCTTGCGGGGTCCCACAAGGAGTTTCCCGTACATGCTGCCATTGCTGGTGTTGCTGTGTGGGCATGGTTACTGATTGTGGTCACATTGCGTTTGCTTAATATCAATCAATCGGTTGCGTGGGTCAACCAGTACCCAGGTAATCTGTGGACTGTTTCGTTCACCTCCTATATGTTTCTGTTTGCATCCGAGGTGCTCCCTTTCCGTTCTGTGTACATAGGGCACATTAAATCTCATCTCGAGCGTACCTACATCTTGTCGCAGTTTTATTTGAATCTGGCCCTTTTCTGCATCCTTTTCACGGCAAAGATCGGGAATAAATATCAGATCTTGTACAGAACTGACGATCTAATTAAGCCATCACCCGAACCTGTAACATCCCTTATGAGCTTCATTTCATGGTCATGGCTTGATCCTTTTGTCTGGAATGCACATTTGCATTCAGTTCAAATGAAAGATATTTGGGGATTAAGATTGGATGATTATGCTATCTTCGTCATGAAAAAATTTAGACAGTTTGTGAAGGGAAAAAGTACAAAGTTTTCGCGTAATTTGATTCATTTCTTCCTCAAGTACTTGGCTCTTCAAGGCTTCTGGGCCTGCATTGACAGTGTTATCAGTTTTATTCCAACTCTACTGCTAAAAAGAATTTTGGAATATGTGGACGATCAAAGTACAGCCCCCAAAAACCTCGCATGGTTTTATGTTTGTGGTATGTTCGTTTGCAGGATATTGGTAGCCATTTGCCAATCTCAGGCTCTTTTCTTCGGAAGAAGAGTCTGCATCAGAATGAAGGCCATCATTATCTCTGAAATTTACACCAAGGCTTTAAGAAGAAAAATTGCACCAAATTCAACAAAAACTCCGACCGACGAAGTTGATCCCCAAACGCTTAACGCGCAAAAGGATGTTGATGGAGATGAGGAATCTACCTCTGCTAACTTAGGAGCTATTATCAATTTAATGGCAGTTGATGCCTTTAAGGTTTCTGAAATCTGCGCATATTTGCACGCATTTGTGGAGGCATCGGTCATGACTGTCATAGCGTTAGTTCTACTTTACAGACTTCTTGGCTGGTCTGCACTCGTTGGTGCAGTATTGATTGTTATAATGTTGCCCTTGAATTTCAAATTGGCGACATTAATTGGTAAAATGCAGAAGGAAACATTAGCATTCACTGACAAGCGTATTCAAAAGCTTAACGAAACTTTCCAGGCTATCCGTATTATCAAATTCTTTTCATGGGAAGAAAATTTCGAGAAAGACATTCAAAAGGTCAGAGATGAAGAATTGAAGATGTTGTTGAAGCGTTCGATTGTTTGGGCACTCACCGCTTTTGTATGGTTCATTACTCCATCAATTGTCACCTCTGTGTCTTTTGCTACTTACATTTATGTTCAAGGTGAGGTCTTGACTACACCTATTGCTTTCACGGCCTTATCTTTGTTCACCTTGTTAAGAAATCCTTTAGATCAATTGTCTGACATGTTGAGTTTCGTAATTCAGTCCAAGGTCTCTCTGGATAGAGTTCAAGAGTTTTTGGACGAAGAAGAGACTGAGAAGTACGAGCAGCTATCCGTTAGCCGCAACAGAATTGGCTTTGAAAACGCTACCTTCACTTGGGATAGAAAGAATCCTGATTTTAGATTGAAGAATCTAAACCTAGACTTTAAGGTTGGTAAATTGAATGTTATAATTGGTCCCACAGGTTCTGGTAAAACTTCCTTGTTAATGGGTCTTTTGGGTGAGATGGATCTCGTTGAAGGTAAGGTATATGTTCCTTCTCTGGATCCTCGTGAAGATCTTGTCATAGAATCCGATGGAATGACCAATTCTATTGCTTATTGTTCACAAGCAGCTTGGTTACTTAACGATACTGTGAAGAACAATATCTTGTTTAATGCTCCGTATAATGAAGCCAGATATCACACAGTGGTTGAAGCATGTGGTCTAAAAAGAGATTTTGAAATTTTGAACGCGGGTGACCAAACGGAAATCGGTGAAAAGGGTATAACGCTATCAGGTGGTCAAAAGCAAAGAGTTTCTCTTGCCAGAGCGCTCTACTCATCGTCTAGACATTTGTTACTTGATGATTGTTTAAGTGCTGTTGATTCACATACTGCTCTTTGGATCTACGAAAATTGTATAAGTGGGCCTATGATGGAAGGAAGAACTTGTATCTTAGTTTCTCATAACGTTGCCTTAACTCTCAAGAATGCCGATTGGGTTGTTCTACTAGAAAATGGTAGAATTAAAGACCAAGGCGAACCACTTGATTTACTTCACAAGGGTCTGTTAGGTGAAGACGAGCTGGTGAAGACCAGTATTCTATCCAGAGCTAACTCTTCAGCAAGTTTGAGTAATAAACTTTCCAGCACGAAGAGTGGTATTGATTTGTCGAAATTGAATAAGACTTTGGGCGAAGCAACAGAGAGTTCTAAAAAGAAACACCAAACTGAAGAAGAGAGAGCAAAAGCAGGTAAGCTTATCCAAGAGGAAACAAAGTCTAACGGTGTTGTCAGCATCGAAGTTTATAAATGGTTTGCCATGTTGTTTGGGGGGTGGAAGATGGTGATTTTCCTTGCTTGTATTTTCCTCATAGCTCAGGGTACTAATATATTCCAATCTTTGTGGGTTCGTAACTGGGCGTCGCACAACATAATAGATCCAGTCTTCTCTGTTGTTCAAAAGGTAATTCCTCAATGCGTTTTCAATACAATTGTGCAGTCGAAGGTCATGGTTAAGAGCTTTACTTTGTTTCCGGAGGTCCCAGTTGAAGAAAGTATTGCGGCTAAAAGAACAGATGCACATTCAACAGTGTACTATTTGTTTATTTACTTTGCTATTGGTGTCGCCTATGCGATAATTGCCTCCTCTAAAACCATTATTAGTTTCATGGCAGGTATCAATGCTTCCAGAAAGATATTCAACCTGGTTTTGAAAAAAGTCTTATATGCCAAATTGAGATTTTTTGATTCTACGCCTATTGGTCGTATTATGAACCGTTTCTCAAAGGACATTGAAGCTGTGGATCAAGAGTTAACTCCATTTGTTGAAGGTGCTTTTGTTTCTATGGTCCAATGTTTGTCAACTGTCTTGATGATCGCATATATCACGCCTGGCTTCTTTTTTGTTGCAATTTTCATTGGTTTGATGTATTATCTAGTCGGCTATTTCTACATGGCTGGTTCTAGGGAATTGAAGCGGTTTGAATCTATTAGCCGATCTCCTATTCATCAACATTTTTCCGAAACTTTAGTGGGTATCACTACTATAAGAGCATACGGAGATGAGCGTCGTTTCATGCTAGAAAACTTACAAAAGGTAGACGAAAATAACAAACCATTCTTCTATTTGTGGGTTGCTAATCGTTGGCTAGCGTTTAGAATTGACATGATCGGTGCATGCGTAATTTTTGCTGCTGGTATCTTCATTTTGCTCAACATAAAAACCCTAGATTCGGGTTTGGCTGGTATTTCTTTGACATATGCTATTTCGTTCACTGAAGGTGCATTGTGGTTGGTAAGACTATATTCTAATGTGGAAATGACAATGAACGCAGTGGAACGATTAAAGGAATATATGGATGTTGAGCAAGAACCTCATTTCCAGAGCACCTACAATCCTCCACCAGAATGGCCAGACAAGGGTAAGATCGAGGTCAATGATCTCTCTCTGCGGTATGCTCCCACGTTACCAAGAGTGATCAAGAACGTATCTTTTACCGTTGATCCAAATTGCAAGGTTGGTATCGTCGGAAGAACTGGTGCCGGAAAATCGACCATTATTACTGCTCTTTTCAGATTTTTGGATCCGGATAGTGGTTTCATCAAGATTGACAATGTTGACATAACAACCGTGGATTTGAAAAGATTACGTCAATCGATTACCATTATTCCACAAGACCCAACATTATTTGCAGGCACTGTGAAAAGCAATCTCGATCCTTATGACGAGAACACGAATGCTGAAATTTTTGCAGCACTAAAACGTGTAAATTTGGTAACCCAGGAAGAACTTGATAATGTAAGAACTCCGGTTTCTGATAACTCATCTGTGTCCTCTGAGAATGTCAATAAATTTTTGCGCTTAGATAACGAAGTAACCGAGGGTGGTGCCAACCTTTCCCAAGGTCAACGTCAACTTGTTTGCTTAGCGCGGTCCCTATTACGTTCTCCGAAGGTAATTCTGTTGGATGAGGCCACTGCATCTATTGATTACAATTCTGACGCTAAGATTCAACAGACTATTCGGGAAGAGTTTTCCAACAGCACAATTTTAACCATTGCCCATAGATTGAGATCAATCATTGATTATGACAAGATTTTGGTCATGGATGCAGGTGAAGTCAAGGAATACGATCACCCCTACTCACTTTTGTTGAACAAGAACAGTATCTTCTATAGCATGTGCGAAGACAGTGGTGAACTAGAAGTTTTGGTTCAACTTGCAAAGGAGTCTTTTGTTAAGAAACTAAACTCCAAATGATTTTATAGCATTATCCTCGAGCGGATAAAATTTTCGCCTTATTTGTTATTTACTAATACAATTGTTTTAAATTCTAAATGTATCTTTGTCGTCTTTATAATTCATTATTCCATTTTCATAAATATCGTGATGGTTCCTATTGAAAGTGGGGCTACTCATTTTTTTGTGCGTACCACTGTTTTACTACTAAACCATCGTCCAATATAATCAGCTCAGCTTTAAGATTATATCCCATGATGGTAGGGAGTAAAACAAACTTAACCAGCCAAAAGCAAAAACACGCAGCAATAATGAGTATCGCAGTAATTTGGTAGCTCGGTAGCCAGTGTATGGTATTTTCCTTCTGTTCGCCGATAAATGGCCCAACTACAAGATAGCATGATAGTAGAATAATCCCGAAAACTCCAACCAGGGAAGCCTGTATTTCCGCTACGCGTTCAGGATATCTCTTTCTATAGATTATCAGCCCAATTGCCACAAGTAAAAGGAAAAATTGATTAGCATAACTTTCCATCGAAACCAAGTAATTATATGCGTCACCAGAAGATGGTAGTAAAATCAACCATGTCGTTGTAATGAGTCCGCAACACAAAAGTGAAGGGAGTGGTGCTCCCCATGGCTTATTACTTGCCATAAAATTGCTGAAAGGAAGATATCCCTCTCTGAAGCACTCTTGATTCATTCTCGATAGTGAATATATTACGACAAACAAGTTGGAACCTGCAGATAGAGCAATTGATAACGTTACAAATTGCCTTCCCAATTTTTGACCAAAGAGCTTGGAGAAAAGGATAGATCCAACCAGTGGACCTGCATTTTTGAACTCTTCATAGCTCAAAACACGCACGTAAGCAAGGTTCAAAGACAGGTAACATAATAATGCAATGATCAAGGAAAGAGGCCCTGCGATTTTAAAAGTTCTGACAGGATTTTTTATTTCAGAAGCCACAGAATGAACTGAATCCCACCCAGCAAAGCAGAAAAATGCCTGGATAAATGCAGTTGTAAGAGATGAACTGGAAACTGAAGAGAAATCATGCAAATTGTTCGCTGATATTGGTAATTCAGGGCTCTGGTTTCCCTCGGTTCTGTAGAAGCACAAGGCATATACGCCTGTGAAAGACATGATTGCGATGAGTAACAATTTCAATGCGCCAAGAAAATTCTGCAAGAAAATGCCATGTCTTACAGAAACGCCATGAATAAACACAACGGTCATAACCAGCAATGCACCGATATAATTGCAGGCTTTTGATCTGTTGTTTACAAAATCTTCGTCAAACCCCAATGCATAAAGAGTATATTTCCCAAAAACTATAGCGTTCGAGACGGAAAATCCCGTTAGAACAGTATAGGTAGCGAATGTGACGCTAGTCATGAGCTTGGGGCGGTCATACACGGCCTCCAGGAAATTCTTGCGGCCGCCGGACTTCGGTAGCAGGCATCCGAACTCTAAGAAAAGGTAGAGCCCAGCGAAAGCCATCAAGGCCGCTACAAACCATACCCCAAAGAAAAGCACCATGTTTCCACCGCAATTGACAAATATACTACTTGGAGTTGCGAATATGCCTGACCCCACGATTCTTGACACAAAAAGCACTACAGTGGAAAATACTCCGAGATGGCGACCCTGAGGTACTTCATTATCGAGTTCTTGGCTACCGAGTTCAAGCAGCTCGGCAGTTCGCAACGACGAAAAGGAACCGTATCTGAGACTTTCTAGATCAACCCCTGATTCCCCATCGATGTTGATCTCCTGTGCTTTTGAAGTATCCTTTAACAGCGACGTAGAGGACATTTCAATGTATCGTCTGCTTAATTTAGTGGTATTTGGTAAAGCTTCTTGAAATGAAATTGGATCAAGTGCTTCACCTGTTGTAATAGATCTCAGTCAAGGGGCCGCTTTGTAATCGTTATCAACCCGTTATCTAAGTGGAAAATGGGTTGCAAAATGATTTGTCGTTAAACAGAACGAAAGGATAGAAGTCTGTACCTTAGTAGATTGCGCTTGGTCGAAGATTACTAACGAGTAAGTAGCGTACCTCTCATCTGATGTAGACTTTTTGTATTCAATGCCTACCATTTGATGTCCAACTTTACCATGGCGTCTTGACTTGTACGCCACATCACGTGCTCCAGCCACAGTCGCCATCAACGAATATTTGACTTTTTGATTTGAAGAATCTCATTGTGACCTTCAATGAGAAACAATATTATGTCTTTGGCTAGTGAGAGAATATGGTTGTCTTGGCTTCAGCAGGCTAATCGCAATTCAATTAGTCTAAAGAACGTCAGATATCGAAATCAAGCTCCGAAGATATGGAAAGACCGCGTGGAACAGTTGAATAGCATGCCAGTGACATCGCAGCATGTACTGCGCGTCAAAGTTCTTCGAAAAGCCAAGAATTGCCTAGCCAGTGTGCTTCCAAATATTCTACTTCAGGACATCGCAAACGAGAATATCACTTTCAAGTTTTGCAGGAGACACGGGTTTCGAAACCAGCTACACTTGCCAGACACAGTAAGCAATGAAGGGAAAAATTTACGAAAAGTGGCAGAAGGTGCGGCGGAGATTGAGAATTGGGACGTGTTATCCAGTTTGTTTAAAAATAGGCTTGATCGTTATTACGGGCCCTACGATGAAGATTTTGAGAAATTGTATGGGGATACTATCGATTTTGAGGCCAGCCGGCTTTGGTGTGTTAATGATGCGCCCTACCGAGAAATAAGCTTAAGTGCTAAAAGCGACAGCGGTGATAATGTGGAATTACGCATCTATTGGCCCCCTCTGCAGTACTCGGTCGGTTGTCGGGGGCTGGGCGCGTCTTCATCCAAATGTAAAGAGCTAGCATGTAAGGGAATATCACAGCTCCAGAATCCCGTCACGGGAGAGAATATGCCTATACTTGAATTTGATCACGTTCCCGAAGGCTTTGATGCCATTGGTCTTCTTCCCTCAAAATTTCAACGGCATGCGAAGCTTTTTAAGACTCACTCTGTGGCTCAAGCTGTCCTACCCTTCCGCAGCTGTACAAGGTCAGAGATGAAGCATTTGGAAACCCTCTCAAAGGATAAACTCAAACACCGCGCAATCTCAAAGTCAGGTGTGAAAAATCTGGGTCATGATCAGGATACTTTCAAAAGCACCGTTTCAACCATGGCAACATTGTTAGGCGCGTTGAAATCCGGCAGTCTAAAGACTAAGAAAGAGAATAACAGGGGTCAGATGTGTTCAACAGACATATTGAGGGCAACCATTTTATCTGGAAACATCACAGACAGTCAACTGAGGGAAGAATATGCAAAGATTTCTATACTATACTGCATTTTTCAGCATTTGCGCAGGCTTACATTTAATAGTAAACCCTCAAATGAGCTTTCAGATAATGCTGTTTTTAAACCTTGGGATACAACTATCATTCGGGAATTGTTAGCCCTCAACGATCTGCAAAAACCTGGGAGTGTCGACGAAATGTTCGAAGTTAAGGGCAAATTCGATTCCTTCTTGAAGAAGCTCCATGTATATAATTGTATCCTTGTCTCAGAGATGAAATCACAAGCAAAGAACACTAGCGGAAATCGCAGATACCGACAATTAGGAATGGTGAGTATTCTCAACAAAGTGTTTGTCTCTTGTAAGTGGATGACCGAAGTATATCCCAACTTGAGTTTTCACTTGCACCGGACGCTCGAGCCTATAGGATTTGCCAACACAGTTGGTTCGAATGACACCGCATCAGGCGACAGGGTGTTCTTGACCGTGGACTCTCTTTTGGAAATGGAATCTATCGCTTACGAAGAGCTTTACAGACAACCCAAAGACTCAAGGGTAGCGGCGAGCGACTGGCTGCGGGACTTCAAAATAGTGCTACTCACAGAAGAGAATTTGAGTGCTGACACAAGAAGGGTTTTGCACTTTGCAACTAAAATCAACACTCAGATTTGCCGAGACTTGCGGGAGGTCAGCAAGGTATCATTTTCCGAATGTATTTCAAAAAAGCTCATCGACGACAGCACGTATTTGTACCTGTACAAGACAAAACTGATGCCAGAGAACAGCAGCAATCACGTCGACGAGGTTTTGGGTAATCTTGCGCGAGAAGTAGCTTAGATAGTCCGTTTTTTGTATATTATTGTCAAGGCATTTTCTGCGCGTCTCATTCTAGCTTCAACATCAGCACTAAACTCGTTCATCTCGAGGTTCAACGCAGTAAACCTGCGCACTGCACATATAGTCCTCAGCATCAGGTCGTTGCATTGTTGATAAAGGGTAGGAAGATCGCGAAGGTCAACAGAGCCCGATTCGGCATATGTGAGCAGTCCACATGACAGCACGTGGTCCACGTTTTCGGCTTGATACACCAGGTCGAGCTCATAGAGGCGATCCAGCAGCTTCTCAATTCCTTCTGAACATGCATTGAAACGCTGCATCCATCCTGGATGTTCATTGAAGTCGTTTGCTTTCATGTAACGCTCTAGAAGCGTCCAAAATGATTCTGAGCATTGAACACCATTGCGGTACAGTAGCTTTAGCTCCTGTGACAGCATCCGCAATCTCCCAGTCAAGTCATTTACCGATTCCCACTCACCAAGCAGTAATTCAACATCACGAATCCTCTCTTCCACCTGCTTGATTGATTCCATTGCTTGTTACTTTCCTCACCTTTTTTGCGGGTAACCTGTCAAACTTTTTCAAACTCATGAAGCGTGTCAAAGAACCCCTTTCTTATATTCTTGCACTTTGTAAACACAAGAAAATAAAAGAACGAAACAATGTCTAGATCAGGGTATGTGTATCGTGGTCAATTGACTGTGAAGAAGTCCAATAACTAACTGTAGGAAATCAGTGTTGCTGTTGCTGATGAATCTTTGAGTGCTTTCAACGATTTGAAGTTGGGCAAGAAGTACAAATTCGTCCTTTTCGGATTGAACGACGACAAGACGCAAATTGTGGTCAAGGAGACATCAACTGAGCAGGACTACGATGCATTTTTGGAAAAATTGCCAGAGAATGAGTGTTTGTACGCTGTCTACGATTTCGAATACGAGATTGGTGGAAATGAAGGTAAAAGATCTAAGATCATTTTCTTCACCTGGTCTCCAGACACTGCTCCAATCAGATCAAAGATGGTGTACGCCTCGTCCAAGGACGCCTTGAGAAGAGCTTTGAACGGTATCTCCACAGACGTGCAAGGCACCGACTATTCCGAGGTGGCTTACGACGCGGTGCTAGAGAGAGTCAGCAGGGGTGCTGGTTCCCATTAAAGAGGAAGTTCTCTTGTGATCTACGTAAATTTTTATACTATGTGTAGTAATCGTGCGAAACCCATAAAAAAATCACACTCATAAACGGAATACGATCTTGCGACTCGCATATGCAATTGGAAGGAAAGAGCCATGTCAGTATCTCTGAAGGCAAATGTTAATGAAGTTACAGAGGTAGGAGGCTTAGTGAATGGCTTGGGCGAGCAGAAAGCTAGCGAAGAACGCAATTCCACTGCTGAGCATTCTCCGGCCAGCTCAGCGAAACCTCCTCGAGCAACTTTGGAACAGCGATTGATGGTTCTTGACTACTACCATCGCAGCAAAATGTCACAAGCACAGATAGTAGAAAAGTTTAAGGACCATATATCCATATCCGGCTCCACCCTTAGCGAATGGGTGAAGAGAGAAGCAGAGTTTAGAGCTAGATATAGTGAGTTGCAACGCAAAAATCTCGCCAATGCTGGGGTAGAAAAGAGAAAGAGCCGATTCAAATATCAGAAGATGAATGAGCTGATGGATGATTTCGTGCAGAAAATGAAACTTGCTGATAGGCCAATTTCCGAGCCTCTGCTGAGGGAGCATTGGCGTCGCTGCGCAACGGAAATTGGTATGAAGGATCGCAAAAGACTAGATTCATTCAGTAATGGGTGGCTAACGCATTTCAAAAGACGTCACAATCTATCAAAACATAATTCTCCCAAAACCAATGACGATTCTGCCTCAAGTAAAAATTCGAGTGTCACCAACACGCCAAATAATGCCGACAATATTCAGCTACGGAAAGAAACAAGCTCCAGTAGTATGTGTGATATATTTGGATATGTGAATGATTCTCAGTATCTAGTTCAAGGCTATGATGAAAAGATGGATACGCGTCAAGCACAATTCCAATCTCGCGATGCACCTTTGAAGCCTGAAATGAAGACGAATGCATATTCTGGCAACGACATTCTATCAACATTACGAAAGAGTGGGCAGTCACCGATTTCGTCTACGCATATTAATCGAAATGATATAGTCGACCAAAATTTGAGCCAATCAGAGCGGCCAGCAATTGTCAAGACAAATACTGCCTCGAGTGACACAAATAGGCAGCAAGATAATTTCATCAATCAAATTTCTAATACTCAGCAACCCGTTCTCCTTTCACAGAATGATAAGATAAACGGTCAAGAGACAACAATTAATGAACTCGAATTCGAGAGGTTTTTGTCGCGATACGCCTTTGAATTCCTTTTGAATAATCGAGATAAATACCCATCAACTTATCTGGTATTCGAAAACATGCGAGAGACTTTTCGCAGAGAGCTAGAAATGCATGCGGACGAAAGATTGAGGCGCATTTTCATGCAGCCCTGACGTCTGCCGAAATGATTATTTGGGCAGGTATAGCCAAGTTCAACCAGATTATAATGATTAATGATTCCGATTGCATTTATTTCGGTGGAGCACGAACAAGATGTAATCAATTAAGTTCTAATGATATATGAAGCCTGAAATTTTATGATTTAACACCTAAATTCACAGAGAATCCTGATTTCCGGTTTTGACTCTTCTTCAGAGCCTATAGTCGGCCTTTTAGCAATACATCGCAAGTTAGGAGAACTTTTCAAAACTTGATGGAACGGATCTCTAGGATCTCAATTTAATTTTTATAACTCATTTTTAATTAAAATAATTATTACGTTTCTTTACGTTGCATCAAAAAATTGGAGATCCGAGATACAATGGGTGCCCAACTTTTAAGCTCACTAATCAACTTCTCTCAAGTAGAGATGAGAACAATAGCACCTTACTGATGTAAGTCAAGAGGCAGTTTCTTCAGAATGCGAATTTGAAGAGCTATTCAAAGTTCTCTTTGTTTATAGAGGGAAATGTTAGCAACTCTGGTTAAATTCAACGTGCAAGTTAATTAACAACCTGCATTACATAGTTCAAATTTGTATCTTGATCTAGGATTTCGGATTTGCAAGGAAAATGAATGGGTAAAAACACAAGCACTAATTCTTTTCGAAAAAGAAGGCTTCTCGATTCAAAGATCTCGTCCATACTAGGCGGTCAATGACTGTACCAGCAATTATGAATTGTTTGATTCCCCAGTCTCCATACCCGTAAACTTCTGGAATTTTACTAGCAAGGTCAGGCATCAAACTCTTGTAAAGGCTCATATATTCCTGAACATCTTCTTTAGTTATTACAATTGATGACTTGACATCTGCGAAACAGTCTGAAATAAGTTTTGAGCTTACATCTACTCCAGAATCTCCATTTGCTGCTCTAATTATCCATAAAAGAAGAGCTTGTTGAACGAAATTTTTGTTCACGATGCCTTCGTAACCGTTCATTCCAAAAGAAATCAAAAGACTATCAGCAAATTGTCTGTCTGTCTTTATAATTGACTTGAACGACAGTGGTTTAGCAGTTTTCAACATTTCTTTTTGCTTTTTGGGAATGGCATCGCACGCCACCTGAAAAATCTTCCTCTGAGTAGAGAGATAGATTTTTGCTTGTTTAATGACTTGTGGATTTTTTACTGAGGTAGAAGAAATCTTGGATGCTTTTTTGAAAAATTCTAACTTCTGTTCCAATATTTCGAGTAACTTATCCAACCCCTCTAGTGTGGATCTAGTTGTGACGGACTTTTCTGAAGTTAACTTGCAAATAAATGCAAACAGTGAAACCAAGGACTCTGGGAGTGCTTCAGTGCATGAGAGATGAAAGTTGACCGAGTTCTCAATGATATCATCTGAATTTAAAGAAATCCCATGTGACTGTGCGTCGCTTATAACATTCGCCGGTAGTCTCAAAGTAATTGTAGATTCGTCAAAGTCATTTTTTTCAAGACAAAACCCGTAACCTAGTAGTAATTCCTCATTAGATTTGTCTCCATAATTGTTGAAAAGTTCATCTTTAGCGTTGAGTTTCTCGGATGTTGAAAAAGCCACGGAATCTTTTTCTTTGCTATAAAGCCATTTGACCTTTTTACCGTTTCCATGATTTAGGAGGTCAACTATGGGGAACAAAAATGCCTGGTTGAGATCTTTCAGATTCTCTTTCCCCAGAAGTAAATGCGGAAAGGCCCTGGATGTAAAAATATAATGTGACCACAGATACGCAGGAAAGCTATGCCACTCAATATTAGCGAAGCTCCTAATGTGGTCGTGGATATCTAGTGAAGGATTTCCTTTAAGAGCTTGGTAAAACGCTTCGTCAGCAGCATCTATCGCTTGAACTTCACTGACAACAGCATACCACTCATCGACTAGCTTTGTGAGATTCCTTTTAATTTTGACAAGGATATCCGTGCCTTTGAAAAGGTCTAGCTCATTAGAAGACCAAAAATAAGGTGAGTTCACGGATTTTATTCCAGGTAAGATATTCAGGTAGGGCTGGAAGAACGTTCTATCTTCGCTCGGAGATTTTTCGTAGACAAGATTTGCCAAATACAATTGAAGCAACGCATTAGGGTTCTTAGTAATCGACTTATCTAATTTGAAAAATCTCAAAGATTTTTCGCCTGTTATCAGAAGTTTCTTTGGAATACTGATCAGCTCTTCCTCGGTGTTCACTGGTTCGCTAACAAAAGCCAAAATTCCTAATTTGTCATCCCGCACAAATTTAACCTTATCATTGATATATGCTCCATTTCTCTTAGCCCACTCAACGCATAAATCCAAGTCGGCGCTAGTCATCTGAAATGCTGTATGTGATGCTCAAGAATATACCTCTGAATTTTAAAAAAAATTTACTTCTGCACATCGCAGCTTCCTATATGAAAAAATCCACACAATGCGAGTCTGGCCGTTCGACTACACGATCGTATAGATACTCGCTACTTGAAAACTTGCTGTATCACAACAATCACAGTGTGGACATAAGTTACCAGCGCTTGAATGCAGCGAGGCATCTACCAGTTAGGGGCCACCTGCTCAGGGCCAGACTCTACTGATGCAGATGATGCGCGAATGAGACGATGAACTCTGTTAAAAATATCTAGCATGGCATCATGACATTTAAGAACTCAGACTACGAATGGCCGCTGGGGTTCGCGCCTTTGTAGATCCCATTAGAACGCAAGTGAAAGTGTCCCACTATATCGTTTCAAGTGACTAATTTATCAAGTTGATATCTGCGACGTTAGAAAACAATCACGATTACATTAAATGTGCATCCAGAAGGTACCCTACACTCAGATCACGCCTATCAAGCCTAGTGACGATGTTGGACAGTTACTCCGCTACTGGTGTTTTGCTCATGTCCTGAAAGGTCTATAACTTGTAAAGATTCAATGGATGTCGGGATATTTTTAGCAGTGTGCTTTCTTTCAACTTGAAGCCTTGGAGATGAGCTCGAAAAAGCACAATTGCTCCATCTTGCGTCTAGCATGTCAGGAATTGAGCGAACAGTTATTACCCACTGGTCTGCCTTATTCAAAAAATTTTGAATTCTTAGTATTTGTCATTCCCTTGCCTGCAGGCCCCTTGACTTTTAAGTTTGCGCCGTACATAACAGCAGCAGAAACTCATCTCTCAGCACACTTACTCACTTCTTAAAGAAATCATTGGCATTTAGTTATGGCAGATATTACGAAACCAAATGCAGTGGGTGCTCAGTTTGAGTCGTTAAAAGTTGCAATTGTTGGAGGTACTGGAGGTATCGGCCGTTCTTTGAGTCGTCTCTTTGCTTCTGGAGGAGCGGACGTTATCGAAGTGGGACAGACATTTCGAGATGCTGATCAGAAAGGAATTGAATTTATAAAGGCCGACCTGAGTTCAATGAGTGAAGCTAAGCGGGTTGCTGACGATTTGCCAGCTGAAAATTTAGATATTGTCATCTTTACAGTGGGTATTTTTGCTAGCTATCATAAAGAAGAAACGTCGGAAGGTTTGGAGAAAGATATGGCGGCTAGTTACTTGAACAGACTTGTTATGATACGAAGAATGGCGCCACGTCTTGGCAAAGAAAGAAGGAAATCGAGTTTAAAGCCTCGTGTATTCATCTATGGTTATCCTGGAACCAATAAATTGGGAAATTTGGACGACTTGAACTCTGAGAAGTCCTATAAGGTAATGACCGCGCATATGAATACAGTGGCTGGAAATGAGGCTCTTGTGCTTGACTCCGCGAGCAAATATCCGAACGCAGACTTTTTTGGAATGAATCCGGGCCTTATAAAGACGAACATTCGCAGCAATCTCATGGGAGCGGGGACCCTACAGTTCCGTCTAACAGAATGGATAATTGGGTTTTTTTGCCAAAGTGTTGATGATTATGCCAAAAAAATTGTTCCAATAATGTCCTCTTCTGACCTCAAAGCAAGCAGCGGCACGATGTTCAACAATTACGGTAAGGAAATTCCGTCTTCTCCTGGGTTAACCCAAGAATACGTCTCAAAGTTCATCACTCAGTCTGAGCAGTTGGTAGAGAAGTGGCTTCAACGTTGACCGCTTTTTACTTAGTATATTATTATGAACTGTCAAGAAGTTTTCTTGACAGCTAGGTAGGATTTTTATGCTTAAACAATAGGTTTTCTTCTTGAAGTCCAGGCTTTAATGTCGTCTTGAATCAATCTTGACTTTCAAAAAGAGCTAAAAGTCCTCTTATTGGCGTAAGCAACACCTCCAAGATATGAAAAAAAGCTACTATTCTTCAGCTAAACCATCTCCCTTCATTGACCCCTCGCTTTCAAAATTTGGTCTACCGTATCATCAATCGACTTGGAAAATGGCATGAAGTCAATTCCTAATAGCTTCTTAGTTTTCGAATTGTCGAGCACAGAAATTTCTTTCAATCTTCGCTTTCCTGCACCTGGCTTACCTATCGCAATCTTGCCCTTCAGCTGAGGGAAATCTTCATTTAAAACATCAACTATATCTTGAAAAGAAAATCTGGCAGCCGCTACGATCAATCGCTGTCCAGCCAACTCTGCATTTTCAAAAGCAGCAAGGTGTGCCCGAGCCAAGTCCCGGACGTCAATAAAAGACCCGGCCTTTTTCTGATCGACTTCAGTTTCAGGAGTGGTATTAAGGTACCTGTTGATGATTTCGCAAGAAGCATTCAGCTTTTTTCCAACATTTTGGTCAAAAGCTTGGGGCCCAAAAACAAACACAGGATTGATGACTGTCATTTCAAATTTGACCTGATCCCGATTTGCGTTCCAGAAATCCCAAGCCGCCTTTTCGGCAAATGTTTTGGAACCTGAATAGGCCTCTGCCCCGCTGATCGCTTCTTCCCATGTAACCGGGTTCCAGGTGTCTTCCGTGATCACAGTTCCTCTTTGATACTCCTGCTTTGAACCAGCTACAGCGGCATAGGAAGACGTTATTACAACTTTCTCGACTGTTTGCGGGCAGTACTTTTTTATCGCCTCTAAAACTGACCTCGTCCCGTTTATCGCGGGCAGGAGTACGTCTTTCTCATAGTCATCAGTACTATATGAAACAGGCGAAGACGTATGCAAGACTACTTTGATATCTTTGCCATGTTTTTGAAATAAATTATCGAATGCATTGAGCTTTGATATGTCAGGTACCACCTCGAGTGTTAGATTAGGGCTCTTGAATTGTTGGCCAATTCTGTCAGCTTTGTCCTCTGAACGAACAGACCCAATTACACGATATTTATTGTCTTTGAGTAATTGTTTAATGATATGCTGGGCAATATACCCATTCGCACCAGAAATAAAAACTGTCTTCATCATGTCCTATGTCCTTTTAGATTGCTGCGCAAGAATTATATATGTACGAACGTATAATTTTAAGGGCCGCTTTTATACTTTGCCTTGAGATTCTGAGATCAGAATAAAAACTAGCATCCAATTAAAGCATATTTGGAGCAAAATTATATCGAAGGAGCGCGGTTGCACAAAAAATCTTCTGCATCAAGCAATTTAGTTCTGTAAGTAATTAATGATTCTGTTAACTAAATATGAGTTTGGTTCGCATAATTTTCTTGAATTTCAAAGGGTTCAAGTTTGTTGAAGAGCCAATGAAAGCTTAAACGATAAGGTACGGCCGCTTCCAATTACTTGTAATATATCAAAGGTTTTTGTCACGCTATTTTAAAGGCCTGAGGGAAGCCTTTCTTGCGATAAGTTATACCTGATCAAATCATAGCATGTATTTTCCTGAAACGGTAATGGGGATTCTAATTTACAAGTTTGGGTCCATTCGTTGTTTGTCATAGAGTACATGCGGGCGCATGGTTGAGAACTACGTTATTATCATCATTTATAACAGTTGAGGCTCCACATGTGGATTAATGTAGTTTTCCACTTCGTATTGCGTAATACTAGACGATTCATTGAGCTGGAACATCCGCTTGATCCCAACTTCTTAGGAATTGCTTAGAATTCGGAATTTCGAAATAAATGTCTTTCTAATAAGCTTATAAAGCGAACCGTCCTACAGAATTATTACATATCAATTTAAATCAATGATCATCGAACAAGAATTCCTGGCACTTTACCAAAAACTGCTTTTGGTGCTTTTCCTCCCAATTCACTCCTTTCTTAACGTATTCAAAGGTGAAAATTATCAATAGTTATATTAGAACTATCGCACATTTCTCTAAAGATTCCTTGTTCATTATAGAGTTTCAAAGGGGTATCAAACTGCCGAACCTCGTCCTTTTCCAACACTAGAATCCTATCGTAGTTCAATATCGTCTTCAACCTATGAGCGATACACAGGATGGTACTGTCCTTGAACTCTCTAGCTATTGTTTCTTGGATCAGTGCGTCGGTGTCATAATCAACATTGGAAGTGGCTTCATCCATGATCAGAATTTTCGAGTTGCTGACTATTGCTCTAGTTAGTGCTATCATTTGACGTTCACCCAGTGAAAAGTTTGAACCCTCATCCTCCACTACGTTATCCAAATGGAACTTCAGAAGAGGCTTTGATTCTTGCTGTTGTTGATTTATTATGCTTTCGGGTCCTACCAATCCACTTCTTTTCAAGGCATCCCATAATTGCAAATCTGTGTGAACACCGAATGGATCTAGATTCTTTCTGATTGTCCCTTGGAATAAAACAGGGTCTTGAGGGATGATAGTAAGTTTTGATCTCAAGTTCTGCAAGCCAATATCGCGCACATTTACCCCGTCAATTTCTATTGTCCCATCCGCCAATTCTGTAAGTCTATAGAGAGCTGAAATCAAAGAGCTTTTGCCAGCTCCTGTTCTACCGCAAATGCCGATCTTCTCATAACTCTTTGTGGCAATATTTAAATTTTTAAGAACTAGTGGTAGTCCCTCTCGATACCTCAATGAAACATTTTTAAATTGAATACAACCATGTTCAGGCCAATCCATAGGAGGCTTACTATTGAAGTTCTTATAGCCAGTTTCTTGTTCAAGATCATTTGCATAGTGGCATAGTCTTTCAACTGAGTTCATTTCATTTTCAACTTCTGAGAAAGAAATAAGGCATGGGGACAGTAATGTAGACATATCTAGAATGTACGTCACAACTAAGCCCGTCGCTGCGGCGCTGATTTGGAACTGGCGCGTGAGAGCAAGCATGGTGACAATGAGTGCAAGACCACAACCCGTTAAATCCAAGCTTATCCCAATCCACCTTTGATTTGCGACTGTAACAAGGTAAGACTCATTTAACTTGTCAATTAGCTGATCGTTCTTTTTCACGAAAGCTCTTTCTGAGGAATAAGCTTTTATAGTTTCCATACCATTTAAAACTTCATTAAAGTTATTGTAGACAAGTGATCTACTGAGAGCCTCCAACCTCTTAACCTCTCTTGACGAAGCTTGGTAGTAGTTTGTAATTAAAATGAACACCATAATAATAAATGGAATAGCAATAGCAAACCACGGCAGGTAAATTACACATAACACCAAGCTTCCTATAATCATACCAATAGAGTGCAACAACATTTTCAGCTGCATTCCAATTTCGTTATCTAAAGAATTTGTATCCTTGGTGAATCTGTTTAGTATCCTTCCGCTCGGCGTAGTATCGAGGAAGCTTATTGGTGTGTGTAATATTTGTTTCAATGCATCGAGATTAAGGTTTTTTGACGCATTAACAGTGATGTAACCCATAATGGATAGCTCTATAGTCACAAATATCAAGCCCAAAAAAATGAACATAACATAAAGACCAATGTAAAAGCCATCCTTTTTGCCAGAGAATTTCCGATCAATCCAAAAAGAAAGCCAAACATTGGCAAACATCATTGTAAAAACGGTTAAGGCCGTGGAAATTATAACAATCGGAAGCGCAAACGAAGAAAATATCCCTGAACCGGCATTCAAATATTGTTGATATATTCTGAGGGGAATAGAATTCACTGCTTTCTCCTCTACATCGTAAAGCTTGTCGATTTCACCATTTTCCTCTTCCAGTATCCCCATCTCGGTATCATCCTTTTCTATTTGTTCGTTTTTGTCTTCTAATTGTGACGATGCATTTGCGCCATGGCGCAGGAGCGAGACGAAAGCTGAATTTTTCATTGCAACCTCTTCTCTTGTTCCAACATCTAAACTACCATCTTCATTGATGAAGATAATACGATCAGCTTTATTCATCAAAGAAAGCTGATGTGTGGCTATAACTGTTGTCTTTTCCGCGATCAATTTTGTGAAGCAGTTATCGACGATATGTTTTCCAACTTTGGAATCAACAGCACTCAAAACATCGTCAAGCAAATAAATATCTTTGTTAGCATAAACTGCCCTTGCGAGATTAATCCTTGCCTTTTGACCACCCGAAAGAGTTACACCTCTTTCTCCAACTTCGGTCATGTCACCGCCAGACAATGATTCCAAATCAGTATTGAGTGCACAAGCCCGGACGGTTCTATAATACCATCTTGAGTCAAAGGGTAATCCGAAAGTTATATTTTCACGAATAGTTGCGCTTTGAATCCAGGGATTTCCGCAATATAACAATGACCCATTAATTCCAACTTTGCCATTCAAAGTTTTCAATCCACCTGCAATTGCACGTAGTAGTGAAGATTTTCCAGATCCAGTAAAACCTGTTATTACAATGAATTCCCCTTTAGAAATTTCAATGTTAACATTCTTGAGACAAAAGCTGGGATTTTTATCGTTCTCAGCAGAAGACCACCGGAAATGCCCGTCGACAATCTTGATAGCTACATCTTCGCTCCTTTTGAGCATCTCCCGCTTCCTTATTTGTTCTGTCGGGGCTTCTAAAAATTCCCGTACTCTCGTGATGCTTACCCATCCAGCAGTGCAGTAGGCAAGATACATTGGGAATTCAGAGAGTAGATTCGTTAAAGTAGTGAACAACGATAAAGACGCAAAAATGTTACCTGGAGAACCTTTTGTTGAATGGATTGCGTAGAGCACCAGAAATGAAATCATGGAGGATACCTGGGATAGATTGAAAACAATGCTGAACATTGTACTGGTTAGCCAATCTGACTTCAGTATGTAACGCGTCTCCTTTGATCTCACATCTCTGACTTTACTCTCATACGCATCTTCCCAAGCATGAAATTTAATCATTTTCATGGCATTAAGAATTTCTCTCATTAAGCCGACTCTTTCATCAGTATAAGAAGAGCTCTTACTTCTGTATGACATCAAGATTTTGGCTGGTATAGCTGCTAAAAGAATAGAAATCATAAAAAGAGCAATCCCGCATAATGCAGCCACACCAATATTGACAATGAGCAAAACTATTGCAGCAATAAATGGAAGGGGAATAGAAAGTGCAAGGGGTAAGTAACTGATAGCCATGTCAATTTTGGCCAAATCGCTGCTCATCAAAGAAAAAACTTTCCCATTTGGAAAGCTACGTTTCGAATCAGAGCTCACAACGAAGGATTTCTCAAGCAAGGCCTTAGTCAATATTGTTCTTGCGTGCGAACCCACGAGTTTAGAGTTTTGAAGTGCATGATTGTTTGCCAACCCACTCAGTGCTGTCAAGAATACAATACCTAAAGCGTACCCTACACCGGCCCCTATGGAAGAGTTAGGTATTACCACTTTCATTTCTACAACATCAATAAGTTTCTTCATCAAAACAGGAACAACCACTAGACAGCTATAATTGACACTTGCGGCAAAAAATGCGAATAGTAATTGCCAATGAAACGTGTAAAATAAGGCTTCTAGAAGGGCATACTTTGAAAGTTTTGTAGAAAGACCACCTTTTTTGAAACGTCTTGAGGTTACTGATTCTAGATTGCGTTGGAATTTTGGATAAGTTGTCTTGATGGATAAGCGATCGTCCAGGCGCCATAGGTCGTTGTTATCCAATGTCCTTTGATACCCAACATTGAACAAAGGTATCAGCCATGCGAAGAAAATCCTGGAAAGAATATTCTTATTATATAGAGGTAACGGTTTCCTTGCTGATTCCTCCGGTATTGGAGGTACCCTTTTGAAAAGCAGAGGAGTTAAAAGCCGTTTAGTTGGTTTTATACTCTTGTTATTAAGTATATCAATCTGCTCCTCGAAATCTGCGGAATTTCCATTCCTTTTTGAAGTCATCGCATATATAAAGGTGATAGTAGAGCGTAAAGCGCGGTGACTAAAAGAATTTCAAGATCTGGCAACAGATCCGCTTTGCCCTTTTTAAGGCCAAGATTAGTTCTAATTTCGTATAGGACGCTATTAATTTTTTATGATAAGCCTCGATTTGCCTTCCCAGGTGCCGTTTATGCAGGGTGCTCAATTTCAGCCCATATGTCTTTCTTTATGCGCAGATTAATTCCAATTCATACTGGTTTATTTCGTTGCAGATGGCCTTGATGGAGAACCTTGTCTTTTTTCACAAAATAAAACGCTGAGTTGTACTCAAATTAAGCTATTGAAACATCGCCAAGAATGGGAGGATTTTTCAAGATACTTCAATGCTTAGTTGGGTTTACAGTTTACCTTCAGATCTTAAACTTAATCTTATTACTTGGCACACAATCGAGGTCGTTTGAGGCTTTCAGTAAATCTTAGTATCGCACTCAATGGTTTAGAGATGCTGAACAATAGTCAGTTTTTTGTTCATCAACCGGAAAATAATCAGTAATTGGTTTTTACTACAGCTCTCAAAAAAAACCGAAGTCGAGAATATGTACAACATTTTAAAAAGTAGATAATTAAGTTTGAAAGACATTCCGCCCCTAGCTTGACCTTCATTTTGCTTTTTGAAACATTTTGGTTAGCTGTTCAAAAAAATGTCGATTAATAATCTTTCTTCAACGAAAGCATAATTGTACTTTTATAATTGTCTAGAAGCTCAAAAGCTCTTATAAATAGGAAATAAATATGTTCACAACTAGTAGATAGCAGTATTAAATAACCACTTTAACTAGAAAAAGATTAGACCAGCGATCATAGCAGCCAAGGAAGTCCACTTTAGATCGACAGATACGGCACCAGCCGCAGCTTTCGAGGAAGAGGAAGAGGTGTTGGTGGCATTGTCTTTGGAGACAGCAGAGGTAGCAGCAGCATCACCACTGGTGGCAGATTCAGTTAGAGTAGTACCAGTACCGCTGACTAGAGTGGCGACATCGGTTAGGGACTGGGAAACGGTGGTAGTGGTGGAAGTGAAGTACGTTTCAGAAACTTGAGCGGAGTACTCAGAGGACCATGTCTTTACAATGTCACTCAAAACACCCTTACCATTCATGTTAATGACAGAAACGTTAGGAGCTGGCAAGGCAATGGTGTCATCCTTCAAGTATCCAATGTATGTTTCGTTGTTAACCATGTAAGTAGTGTCGACTTCCTTGTTGGTGATGTTAGTGGCGTTAGCAACAATCTGGAAAACGTTAGCGGTAGCATCATGTCTACCCAAAGATGGCAAGTCCCAGTTAGCTTCGACGGAAGAGATTAGAGAGTAGTGGTCGTAGTATGTAGAGTCGGTGGTACCCTTTAGTTCATCTGGAATGACACCACCTAACAAGATGGTGAAAATCTTGTTCTTGACGGAGTAGGTGTCATTTTCATCGAAAGTCAAAACAACCAAAGTGTCGTTCATGAAGTACTCGTTAGATAGTAGAGGCTCCAAAAAGTCTCTAGACCATTGACCAGCAACCTTGATAGTTGTATCGTGGCCATCGTTAGTCATGTTAGGGGTGATAAAAGAATATTGAGGCAGAGTAGTACCGTTCAAATCAACGTAGAATTCAGTGAAGTTCTTGATGTTAGCCAAACGGTCAGCATCGTTAGTAATGGACTCGTACAGGATCAAAGGGTTGTGCTTTCTGACGTAGTCGTTGGCGAAAGTTTCTTGGTTAGAGTAGTTGAAACCTTGGTAACCAGTGTATGGCATGTGTTCTTGGTATTCACCCCATGAGATGTTCTTGGTGTCCAACAAGTCCACAATGGTTGAGACATTAGCTGGCATTGAGATGAAACGATCGTCATCCAAAGCAAAATAGTCACCACCAACGGCAGCCAAGTAGTTTGGCTCGGAAGGATGGGTCAAAGCCCAGTAGTTGTCCAAGATGATACCTTGGGTGGCTAGCCATGACAAACTATCATCTTCAGCAGCCTTGTCATAATCAGTGTTTTCCAACCAGATGGAAATAAACCTGTTGAAAGCGGCACCCTTGACGTTCGAAGTAATATGATTTGTCTTGGCGGTCTTGGCGGTTTCGGCAATTTCGGTCGCAGATGGATTAACAGTAGAGTAAGTTCTGCTGTTGTATGAGCTTGAGTCAGCCATGGCAGTTGAGGCGGCGAAAGCGGCCAAATTAGCTAGAGTAGAGTACTTCATTCGAGAATTGGTAGAAGATGTGGTTAGCGATCAATTCAGCGTGATAACTGCCTTTTCGACGTTCAAATTGTTGCTTAAATATTCCTATTTCCAGCAAGGAATTCACGGCCACACGTGTATTTCATGGATCGGTCTTACCGTTCTTAATCGATTGTTAGATTGCCAGTGTCACGGTGGCCACGTTCGCTGGCTAATTAAACATTGTCTATGCGGCCTGTACTGTCATGCAGGGAAGAATAATTTTTCCTCTAGGCAAAACGCACACATGGGTGATTAATTGAGTAAGGCACATGGGGAATTGTCCCTTCTTTCTGATTGGTGGCTGCATCTCATCGAGCGTTATAACAATGATGATTTTTCAGTAGTTTCGTTGACAATTGGCAGGAGGCCAATGGAAAATAAAAAGGAGACGGATGCCAGAAATAACTCTGTCGAGTCAGCTAGCGACAGCGGCCCGCACTTAGAACATGGTATCATAAAAGTAAGAAAGCACCCAAAGTGGTTCATGATGTTGCAGTTTTTTTTATGCATACTCGTGCCAACTTTATTTCTCGCCATTTACATAACTGAACACAATAGATCGCTCCATGCTGCAAAGAGCGAAATAACTTCTTGGAGATTGGATACTTCGACTAATTATACTATGGATTTGAATTATTGGAAAAAGCAGACAACATCAGAAGATAGACACTACTATTTTAACATTTCGACAGTAGTTGAGGCTGCGCCTGACGGAATTGTTCGAAATCTGACGGTTATCAACGGCCAATACCCAGGGCCATTGGTCGAAGCGAATGCCGGGGACACGCTTTACATTCACGTTCAAAACCAGATGCAGGACGATCCAACAACCATTCACTGCCACGGTCTCCTCTTCAACCAGGGCCAAAGTTTCAATGATGGCGCTGCATACATCAACCAATGCCCAATTCCACCCAATGGTGGTAAGTACACTTATGAGATTAAGCTGGATGAGAACCAATGGGGTACCTACTGGTATCATTCCCATTATGGTGCTCAATATGCAGATGGCGTGTTTGGGCCTCTGGTGATCCACTCCGCGAAAGAACGAGCGTTAATTGACGACTATGACGAAGATATAGTTATTATGGTTAATGATTATTATCACGATATGGCCAACGATTACTTGCCAGAGTATTTGGGACCTGATAACGAAAATACTGAGCCAACCCCAGATGATGGCCTCATTGAAGGGACAAACAAATTCGACTACGATTCTGCTACCTATGTGGTGCCAAACGGGGACTCTCGAAATGTCACATACGTGAATTCAACCCTTCCTGTAATCAATTTGGATAAGGAAAAAAAGTACCGTTTCCGTCTCATTAATGCTGGATTCTTCGCTCCTATTAACTTTGGTATAGATAAGCACGTTCTGGAAATTATTGAAGCAGATGGCACAAACACTGAGAAGGCAACAATGGATTCAATTGATATGTCTGTTGGGCAAAGATATTCATTTTTCCTTCAGAAGCCGGATGAGGAACTCTCACACTATTGGATGCGTGCACGGTTTGACACATTTTGTTTTGCAGAGGACAATTCTAACTTAAATCCGGAAATCGATGCTATAGTAACCTACGAAAAAAATTCCAATGTTGATCCAGCTACGGAAAGCTGGCCATATAATGGAGGAGACGTCCAATGCAGAGACTTGAATCAAACATTGTTAAAAAGCTTAGACCAAAAAGTACCATTGGTCAGCAACGGATCTACGAAACCCGATGTGATCATTGAATTAGATGTTTCTTTTTTAATTGGGGCCTACCAATTGGATCGTGGTTACTTGAACGATATGACATATACTGCTTTGAAAAACTCCTCAACCATGTATGAATTAGCTTTCAATGCTGAAAATAACCCTATAAGAGTGTTGGGGGACTCTTCTTTGCAAACAAAGAATGATGGTCAATACCTATTGAATTTTGATAAAAGAGGTCAAATCGTTGATCTCGTACTGAACAATTACGATGATGGTGCACATCCATTCCACATGCATGGTCACAAGTTCTGGGTATTGACTGTTGGCGACAAAGGATATTTTAAAGAAGAATACTATGATCCTAACGTGGGTAAGATGAATTTTGATAATGCCATAGCGAGAGATGTCGTTGGAATCAGTGGATTTGGTTATGCAGTTCTAAGATTCGTTGTTGATAATCCTGGTGTCTGGCCATTCCACTGTCATATTGGATGGCACATTGAAAGTGGCCTGATGATGCAAATCAATGAATTGCAGTCTGAATACTCAAATTGGTCAACTTACCCCCAATCTTGGGCTGATCTTTGTAGGGCTATTGAATGATGATCATAGCATTGTGCATCCAGCTTTTGAAAGAACTCTGGCCTCTACTATCAAGGAATAGTTTGAAGTAGGTTAAATCTTGATAGTTTAGGAGTAAACAGTTCGCTTATTTATTGAATACTTCAAAATTTGTGTTTTACTAACTTATCTCAACGGCAGAAGCGTCGAAAATGTTAATACTTTCAGTAGGATCTAAGGTCATAATTAATTAATTTTCTACAATTGTAAAGTGAGGCTGCAGCTACTTAAAAAATTGGCATATATCAAATTCGACATCTTGAATGTCACACAAAGCTAGTGATACATTGTGACATTTATCAACAAAATTCAAGTGTTCCTGAAAATCTGAGGATGCTTGCTGCTTGAAATTTCCCGATACGCACAGAGAAGGAGAGCTTTCGTCTTCCGTTAGGAACAAAAGATCACCAATGGCATTGTCGTTGGGTTTTTGGCCGCCAAAGTCGTTAAAAATTAAAGATTCGCAGTCTCGATCCCAGCTTGAACTCCCTCCGCAGCAATCTGGAGAAAGCCATTTCAAAACTATGTTCAACCACCCGAAATCGGCTTGACACCTTTGGACGCTTTTGAAGATCTCACGAATTCCTCTTTGTAATTTTGACAGGACAGATACCCTCTGATGATCATCACTTGATATCCTCAGAGCGATACTAAGCGCGAAGGATGATAGAATTTTAATTGCAGCAACTGTATCATTATTCAAAATAACAATCTCAACCTCATCCCGAGAAAAGTAGACTATCAGTGCACTCGACAATCGCTCAAAATCAACAAGTAAATTACACACACGAGCATCCTGTAGAGAAAAATCGCCCTCCTCTAGTAACATCATGAGCATAGAAGCATTCAGCTTCAAAGACAAAAGAGAAATTTGGCAATGGTATGCTATTCCCTCTTCGCATTGAGATTTCACTTCAGTCTCATAATATGATTCTAATGTATTCAAAGAGTATTCTAACTCGCTAAAAGATACTGAATTTGAAATTTGTCGCGACATAGTGATAAACTTTGTCTTGATTTGATATCTGATGCTTAACGGCGTGGTATCGTAATAAGCGCAGTCCTTGATGTAAAGGCTGTCAACATAGTGTGAGTCAAGGAGAATGACAGTTCCGAACCATAAATTAGCTCGCAGACTCCTATTTTTAAAGTTGGCTGCATCACAAAAAATACCCAACTCCAAAGCCATACTAAGAATGATGTCTGAAAGATTGTCTCTTATGGTTAGAGAGAGTGCACTGAGAGTGGCGGACAGTTTGAGATATAATAAAATGGCCAAATTGTGCTCACTAGGAGAACTTGAAATTTCCAAGATATGAACCATTTGAAGGAGATCTTGGAAATCGGCTTGCGATGTTTTGGTCAAGGATGAAATAATTATAACCAAATTCAAGGCAGCCGAAGTAGAAGGGAAAATAAATGTGTCGTTTTGTTTAACTTGATCAAAGGCATAATTTAAAGTCTCGACATCTATGAATGGGTAATGAGGCCAAATCGTTTTGAGGAACAAAGACTTCATTTTCATCAGATCTTCGACGCTTGATAACACTTTGTATAAAGATTCATTGATATTTGTTGCTTGAAGTTCGTTTTTCTTCTTAGTTTCATCGTTGTGAAATAATTCTGGAATGCTGTCCCGCAGCCGACGATCTCGAGCAAAAAGGCCCAAGTCAGAAAATGGAGGATAGTTACACTTCCAATTTCCGTTGATGCATAACGGGACAGCCAAATCACACCACTGGACCGAGCTCTCTGCGAAAGGCGTTTCGAATGAAGACGTAGATGATGAAGAGCAAATCGACAGTTGCTCTTTCAATTTTTCGACCTCCATCTGCAGAGACTCAACAGTGGCTGATTTTTGCTTATTTCTATATGGAGTATAGCTGCATTGGGTGCCATGTTTCAGGCACCTCGAGCAGGAAGGCTTTATCTTGTCGCATTTTACTTTTTTGGCGCGACAAGAATTGCAGACAAGTGATATTCGTTTTATTTGTATTTCTCGTTGGTAGTTCATATAAGTTCGTGTTTAGTTCATGGAAGGAGAGGCATCTTAATTGAGCAGAACCTACCCCGCCTGAAGAGTAAGCACGCTAGTAGTAACAGGAAGGCAATATCAGAGGGTTTTTCATACTTACTAGTAAATATGAGGCTGGTGATTGTGGTTCTTGATCTTGAGGGGAAATTCTAAACTCTTTCATCTGGGCTTTTTTATCCTTGAAAGATGTGGTTACTTAATGTTCGTTAAAACGTTGGGGGTTGGCCGAAAAACCTTTCAGCATTTTAATTTTCCTTTATATAATGATTTGCAAGGAAAAAATGCGATCGAACATACCTCGGCCGAGGCGCCAAATGCGAAGTTTACCACAAAAACAATTTACTCCAGTGCTCGTTAATAAGGAGCTGTCTTGTATGCATTGATCCAATTTCTATATATTACAAATTAGCTATTGTTCTCTCAACCTGAAGGCAGGATTTACTCCCCAGAAAAAAATGCTGGCTTAGATCCTCCTTTTTTATTGGTGAGTGACGATAGCACAGGCTCAATGATACTTATATTATCTTTTCTTCAACAGCAGTCTCGTACGGTGAAGTCTATTTTGCCTTTTTTAGATGTCAATACAGACAATATGACGCGGCAAGACCAACTTCACTTTCATCGAAGCCTCATTAGTTCTTAATCCGATCGAGTAGGTGAGATCAAATGACCTATTAAGTTGCCAAACATCATCGAAGCAAAATATCCACCCCGATGAGTAGAATAAAAAAAAATCACTTGGCGCGTATTGAAAATGTTCCTCATCTAAAATCATACAAAGCATTTTATTTAAGGCAGCAATGACTATAGCCCGTCGCTGCTTCATCTAGTACTTAGTTCACAGTCTAGTCAGAGTAGTGGCATACCAAAATATCTACCGATGTTCGGCGTCCAGCTGCAATTAAAGCACCTGTGTTTTTATTGAACACCTTATTACTTGAAAATTCTGAGTCCGAAATGACTAGCAAGCTTCCCTCAATATTTTTCGAATTATTCTCCAAAACATCAGACTCTAAAAACTCATCAATAAGAGTTGTATTGCTCTCATCTTCATAAGACTCTTTGCTGATATCAATTCTCACAACTTTCACGCAATTCTTCAAATCAGAAAAGGTTCTTTCGATAAAGTCTTGCAATTGTGTATTTCTGGAATTCGCAAAAATTGTTAAATTTACCAATTTTTTCTTATCATTCGAAGCACCATAAACCATTAAGTAAACCAAGTAAAGAGCAAAATAATCCGACTTCTCTAAGTTGAGCTCGGGTAAAAATAGAACCAGCTCCGTCTTCTCGAGTTTTCCTAACCGAGATTTCCTAATATTATTGGATATCAAAAAAGCAATTCTGGACTTAGATTTCGATGTAATTGATTGGAAAGAATTATCAGGAAGATTATTTACACTGAGGAGTTGATTTATGTCGTTAGGTTTTCCTAATGGTACTAACGAACTATTAGCGTTTTCGTAGGAACCTCCTTTCAAAGGAATAAATGTTATGTCGGAGAGTTCGTCAGATATATCTCCTATTATTGCAGCTTTTTCCCTGTAGGAACAAAACATGACCTCATTACTGTAATCAACGTACATTAAATCGGAGAAGATTTCAAACACACGTAGACTACTATCATAATTTGGATCAGCGGACATGATGTGATCCACACTTGAGTTTTGGAGAAGGTCGGTTGTCCTATCAGTTAGTTCTTTCAGGTAAACTGTTTTCAAACTGATGTTTTCTTCAACTTCAGTACTAACAGTGGGAAATACACAAATTGTAAGAGCCTCATCATCATTATTACAGGACTTGTGGCCAGAGCACTTTGTTTGCTCCTTTTCTGCCTTTTTGAGCTCATAGCTGACATGTTGTTGACCCTTGAATAATGGATTTAAAACTGACAACGTCGAGTTGATAGTTTCCAGATTGAGAAGAATAAGTGATACACGACGAATCTGATGACTTCTGAAATCTTTGAAATACTCTATCTTATCCAGATCTGATTCGTTTTTGGGCGATTCAGTACTAGACCCTTCAGTTTCCTCCAATTCTCTTCGAATTTCTTCCCTATAAGATTCAGGAAATAGCCATACTGTCAATGGGGTCGTGACAAATGTAGATATCAGGGCCATGAAAATAAACATTGCGTACACTTTTCTTGAAATTATTCCAGCACTTAAACCAGTGGTGAGGACGACAATCTCCACAATACCCTTACATGACATCAAAATCCCTACAGCAAGTGACTCTCTCCAGAAGAGACCACTTAGCTTAGATGTTATACAACCGGCAAAGAGCTTGGTAGAAATAGCAATCCCTATGCTTGCAAACGTAAATCCCCAGTCCTTTCCTTGATTTAATAGAGTTAAATCAACGTTAAGACCAGCGATGGTGAAGTATATTGGAATCATAACCAAATTAGGAATGTCTTCCATGCGCTCAGCCAACTTTACGACGTAGCCCTCATCCCGTGGAACAATTAAGCCAGCTATGAATGCTCCGAAAATTGGGTGTACTCCAATAATGTCCGTGAAATAAGCACTTACAAATGTGAGGACAAGTATGCATAGCGTGATTAGTGATGACGGCTTACTTCTTTCGAATTCGTTGGTTTTCACTAGTACCCATCTTAAGAGATATCTCACTGGGAAGGCATATAGTAGAAACCAACCAAGTGTGCAGAGTAGAATGTACACGACGTTTACCGGATTAGATTGTGAGTTTGAAAGTATGATACACAGAGCCAACAGGATCCACCCGAAGACATCATTCAACGTACCTGACGTCAAAACAATTACTCCGACACGCTCTTTAATCAACCTTAGTTCAGCCAAAATACGGCATAAAACGGGAAAGGCCGTGATTGACAGTGATACAGCTATGAAGACCATGAAAACGGTGAATTTAATATCATCTTGCGTACTCATGTAATTATTATAGAGCGGAAGAGCAAATAGGCATCCAAATCCGAATGGGATAACAAGGGTAGCGAGACCAATAGAAAGTGCTGTCTTCATATTCTTTTTGATAAATTTGATATCGACCTCCAGCCCTAGAAAAAACATAAATAGGATGATTCCAAAATTGGCCACCAAGTTCAAACCAGTTATAGAACCCGTGGGAAAGATAGTAGTAGTATAATTAGGAATTTGGCCAAATACAGTTGGTCCCAATATTATACCTGTCAAAACTTCCGATATAACCCTTGGCTGTCTGATCTTGCTCATTACTATGTGGATCGCATTTGACAATATTAGGATAATGCAGGCTTGAAATAGAAATAGGGTTATCGGGGAGCCAGTATTATAGTGGAAAGGATTTACGCCCGATAATACACCTCCAACAGTAACTGCCATGTCTTGAATCAGTTACCTTTCTATGAATATGTATTGTCTTCTGCTTAATGGTAACAGCCACGCCTCCCTTGGTGTGCATTTTTTTCCCTTCCCTACATCCAATTAGTAACCTTTTACGAATATCTAAACTTGAACAGTCGACTATCTCAGTTTCACCAAACACCATCGACGGGGAGTTCAAGATAAACTTCATATTATAATTTATATAAGGGTATCGAATTAAACAATTAGCGAATAGAAATCATTCGCTAACTAAAAGAACTATATTATGACAGGATCACAAAAGTGCCAATGGAAGTGCCAAAAGTAAGCCCATACCAATCCTGTTGGCAGCCCCCTCGTAAGTTGAAATCACTGCAGAAGTAGAGGCGGCATTTGGCACATAATTAGACGTGGAAACAGTTGAAACGGAAGGAATCGAAGTCGCTGGAGAGCTAGATTGTTCGGTTACCTGCGATGTTACAGTTGAATTGATCTCAGTGGATGAAACAGAAGCAGTCTCGCCAGAGCTGGCAGTAGCGTAAGAACCGCTTGATGGGTAAATAGTCTGCTCGGTAACACTCTCAATGGTGGATGTCACCTGGCCTGAACTACTCGTAGAAACAATAATCGAGCCCTGTTCAGTCTCCGCTCCGGATGAGGTTGAAGCTGAGTTCACATTCGAGGAGTCAGACGTAACAGATGTCATTTCGGAAGTTGTTGAGCTGATCAATGTATTTATTTCAGACTCGGTAGAGCTAGCGCTTTGAGCAGTAGCTTGCTTTTCGGTGTAAGGGCAGACGGTGGTAAAAGAGGTAATTGTTCCGGAGACGGTGGTGGTTACCACAGATGTCACAGACGTAGGGTTGGTCGTTTCACTCTGAGATGGCTTTTCGGTGTAAGGGCATACGGTTGTAAATGATGTTACTGTTCCAGAAAACGTGGTTGTGACAATCGAAGTCACAGACGATGCAGGAATATTCGATGAACCAGTAGATGGGGCGGCCGATGGAACTTCGCTAGAAGCCTCAGATGTAGAAGGAACTTCAGTGGAGGAGGCACCAGATGTAGATGGAGCTCCAGTAGAAGAAGCACCAGATGTAGATGGGACTTCAGTGGAAGAGGCACCAGATGTAGAAGGAACTTCAGTGGAGGAGGCACCAGATGTAGAAGGAGCTCCAGTAGAAGATGGGGCAGTCGATGGGACTTCAGTTGAAGAGGAACCAGATGTAGATGGGACTTCAGTGGAAGAAGCACCGGACGTAGATGGGACTTCAGCGGAGGAGGCACCAGATGTAGATGGAGCTCCAGTAGAAGATGGGGCAGTCGATGGGACTTCAGTGGAAGAAGCACCGGATGTAGAAGGAACTTCAGTGGAAGAGGCACCAGATGTAGATGGAGCTCCAGTAGAAGAAGCACCAGATGTAGAAGGAACTTCAGTGGAAGAGGCACCGGATGTAGATGGAGCTCCAGTAGAAGATGGGGCAGTCGATGGGACTTCAGTGGAAGAAGCACCGGATGTAGATGGAGCACTAGTGGAAGGCGTGTTTCCAGTTGTTGTCGACTGGCTAGGAATAACAGTGGTTTCAGACCCTGGCAATAGAGTAGTCGAGTTGGTGTATGGGAAGAACTTAGAAGATCCAAAAGTGGTTGTGCTCGAAATCAGGAAGCTAGTTGACGTTAAAGAAGTTTCCTCTGAGGTTATACTGCTTGAACTGACTTCAGAAGAAGTTGAAACAAATGCAGAACTTGAAACCACGGAGCTGGATGATGATTCGAATGGAACTGATGTGGTCACAGAACCGGAGTGGGACTTCTTGGTGCATGGGGTAGTCGTGGCTGGACCGGTAGGAGAGGTGACTGGAGCAGTCGAAGATTCAAAAGTGGTCGTGGTGTTGGAAACTGGAACCACTGGAACCGAGCTGGTAGTCGTAGCTGGACCGGTAGGAGAGGTGACTGGAGCAGTCGAAGATTCAAAAGTGGTGGTGGTGTTGGAAACTGGAACCACTGGAACCGAGCTGGTAGTCACAGAGCTGGAGTGGGACTTCTTGGTGCATGGGGTAGTCGTGGCTGGACCGGTAGGAGTAGTGATTGGAGCAGTAGAAGATTCCAAAGTGGTCGTGGTGTTGGAAACTGGAACCACTGGAACCGAGCTGGTAGTCGTAGCTGGACCGGTAGGAGAGGTGACTGGAGCAGTCGAAGATTCAAAAGTGGTGGTGGTGTTGGAAACTGGAACCACTGGAACCGAGCTGGTAGTCACAGAGCTGGAGTGGGACTTCTTGGTGCATGGGGTAGTCGTGGCTGGACCGGTAGGAGAGGTGACTGGAGCAGTCGAAGATTCAAAAGTGGTGGTGGTGTTGGAAACTGGAACCACTGGAACCGAGCTGGTAGTCACAGAGCTGGAGTGGGACTTCTTGGTGCATGGGGTAGTCGTGGCTGGAACAGTCGACGTCTCTTGTGTAGTTTGACTACACTCGGTACATGGGGTGCTTGTCTCAGCTGTAGAAGACTCGTAGGTAGATTCAGAAAAACTTGAAACTGGAGTCACTGGTTTCACATTAGTACCAGAAGTTGTGCTATTTTCGGTACAAGTAGTCGTTGGCCGCTTCTTTGTACAAGTAGTGGTTGGTCTTTCCTTAGTGCAAGTAGTGGTTGGTCTTTCCTTAGTGCAAGTAGTGGTTGGTCTTTCCTTAGTGCAAGTGGTTGTTGGTCTTTCCTTAGTGCAGGTAGTGGAATGAGTTTCTCTTGTCTTAGTGCACGAAGTAGTTGAGGTCTCAGGACTCACAGGTTTCTCGTTGGTGCCTGTGGTACCGGTTGTTTCCTTTGTGCATGAAGTTTTCGTTGTCGATGATTTCTTCTTAGTGCATGTCTTGGAAGTAGACAATGGTGTAGTCTTGGTGCATGAAGTTGTTGAGGTTGTTGTAGGGATTATCGATGTCGAAGTCAATTCGCAAGGACACTCTTCGTAAACAGTATGCGGAACGACATTGTCACCGTGATTTGTTGTGGTTGTCTTTTTCCTCGTGCATGTCTTCTTTTGGGCATGCTTAGCGACGACATTCAATGTGATGTCTTCACCAGCACCAATCACGCTGTTTGGCAAGTACTGTCCAGGACTACCACTGCCATCCTGGGCAGGAAGCGCTAGCGCAGTAGAGGCCATCAAAGAAACGAGTGAAATTGTCCAGATCTTAACCATTTCGGGTGAAGCGGTGAGATAGACAGGTAATAGGATGAGGTTCAAACCTCAAACGACTCTCATTACTGTTTTTAAGTTGACTCCATTTATACTGTGTTCAAGTTGTTATGAAATTTGCCAAGTTTCAATTTAGATACGCTCTTTACGGTAAGTTCTTGTTTTAGACGCGACGCGCTTGAGAATCTCAATTCAGCAACTTAACTACTGTTTCAAGTGTGTTGACATAAACAAATTAGCCGCGAAATTTGGGCTCCGAATTCTTTAGGAAGTGCAGAGTTCACATCTTTGACATCTTTTCGAGAAACCCATATGTCGTAAAAAAAGTCGAACTGTCCGAAAAGACGCGAACAGTACGTTATGGGTTGATTAAAGTTTGTACCTACAGGAAAAAGAAGAATGCACATCATACATATATTTATCACTTTATCATCTGAAAAGGAACAGTCTCTCTGTGTTTTTGAACAGTCGTAATGCACGACCGCTGGAATGTAACAAGAATGAAAAACAAACCTAGTCGTAACTAGTAGAGGGCAAGGCCTGAGAGGAGTTCCTGCTGAAAGAGAAGGTGGAGGAACCTGAAAAAGAATATTTTCTTTGATAAATGCTACAGTGCATCTAATACAGTATTGCCGTTTTCAGTACTTCTTCGAGAACTTCTGAAAAAGGCACAAGAGGGAAATGACAACTTGACTTAGTAGAAAGTGACTCAGAAAGCCGACGAAGTTGATTACGCTTCGATGGTAACTTTTTTAGGGATCTTGCTTGGTTGACTTTTTTGATATCGAATATTTCGGAGAATATACCTGAAAGCTTTTTCTTAGCAAGGCATAGCAATTCCGCCAGTAGAGTAGAATTCGTATTTAACTGGTAATTAGAACATAGCAACTGCGATCTATCATCTTCATCTAAATTGGTACATTGCGCTATACCATGGTTTTCATTTTTGTAAACTAAGAATTTTTGATTCTTAGTCGCCGTAGTTAAGTAGTTAAGTAATATTGCGACCATCCCTTGCCGGTTAGTCTCAACTACCATGGCTGTGATCGTTTACGTAGATAGTGTTTGCAGTCATGATTCAAAGACGTTACCCTTTGCTTGCTATGGAATCGTCTAATCATAAAATAGCTATATAGAAATAACCTTAAGTCTTGGTTTCGGTGGAAGGATGTCTGAAGTTTTCATGTTTTTTCCTTATTCCCAAATTTAAAACAAATTAAATGATTCTCTGAAAAATAACAATCGACAGCAAAATGAAAAACAAGGTTTACTTTTAATTTTACAAACACACAGTTATAATCTTTGAAGTTATGAATATATTCTACTAAGACCATAATCTGGCTCGGATTTTTTATTTCCCCCAATATTTTGTTACGGAGAGAATCACTATCAGTCGCTAGAATGGAATGAATAGTTAAATTCAATACTCCATTCAATACTCTTAAATTAAGAGCAAATCTTAAGCTACTTATACTACTCTGAGAGGTACCCTTCAAGAATTTTGTTGCAGGACTATAGATTTGAATACATTGTCAGTCAAGATTACCGGAATCCCCAAATTAGGTATGAAATGATCAAGATTCATTGTGGAACAAAAGAATATCGAGTGAGTCAGGAAGAAATCAATATAATCACTTTTACGATCCTGGTAGTTAAAGTTCTTCTGATAGAAAAATCCTGAGGCAAGTTTGAATTTTACAGATCATTATATATAGAATAACAGTCAAGATCTTTAGTTTTTTTCGGAGCTCGCCATAAAATTTTGTTTTCGAATACGAAAAGAACGCTAAACCTTATTTTATCCTTTTCTACTATTAGAGGTTCACCCGTAAAAAGAGATCTATTAGGTTTTTGGATGGAATATTCTGTTTCCTCAAGAAAAACATTATGTCGTTCGAGATTCCCTGTCATGGTGACATATTTCGACTGGGTCGTCCGAAAAAATCTCGATGCCCGCAAAATCGTGTTGAACAGTGCATTCCCCATAGTCATCGGTTTAAAAAAATAACTATGCACATGAACTCAGATTCTTTTTTTTCAAGGATACATGGAAAAGCACAGAACTTTCATTACCACAACAAAACGTGTTGCCTAGAACTAGAAAAGAAACCATTTCTTTCACCTGAAGGAGAGTAATGTGAGATCCCAACCTGTTCCGTATTCACCGAGTAAGAAAGTGATGCACTTCAATGATCTGCTGTTCGTTTGAGGTCTTGCATAGGGCCGTGTTGGTGACAAAATAATTTTTCGCGTAACGCAATTTGAACCACAGTGGTATGTGACGTAAAGACGAAGAGGCACTCATTTGGTTTTGAATGTGATGCACACCACATCAATCTCACTATAATGAGTGAGCTAAAATCAAGTTGTAAGGTTATCGTGGGGAGGCTCAGTTATCTTGCGGTTCTGGAGGCTCAGCAGTGGTCCTTGTGCTTCCGCAGTTGAAAATCCTGAGAACGACAGATTTTTCAATACACGTCAAGATCGCTTAAAGAGGCAAAATTTCTTAGCGTAATGCTTCATTTCATGCTTTGTACTCGATTTGCGGGAAGAATATGAACTTCAGTACAAGGAACCTTAAGCTTGAAAATGGTGAACGCTCAAGATTCAAGTAGCGATTAATGGAAGCGTATAATGAACAGGGATTAATCTGCCCGCGGCAAACAGTGACATACTTGACTAACGTCGGAAAAGAGAAGAATACTACATTATGGATATAGTCTCTTCGTGATTTCGAAGCTGCGACGCTGTTTTACCAAGCTTCGGAGGTCCACGGTCATTGCGCTCTGGGACCGGTACTGGAGTCGTGAACTACAAAATTATTCTCGCTATGCAAGATGCAACCAATTACTAGCTGAAACTGGCTACAAACATGAACCGAAGCGCCAATTTTCCCTTCTTCAGGTAATCGATATTGCTTTCTGGCGCATGGCTTGTTTTTTTCTATTGTTTCTGTTACGAGTTGAGGAACTACAGCTGGTCCTGTTACACCCCTTTGTGGCTGACTCATTTCAAGTTTGCTTATTCTAACCTTGAATACTACTATGGCCGAAAAGCTCGCACCATTAAAACCGCCTGAGAGCTGTACAATGGACTCATCATTATGCTAGCGTGTTGGAAATTTCTTTTCCTCCATTACCGGCTGCTACAACACCTTTGCCCTTGTTGCAGGCGTTTGCTCTGCCAATTATGGCCAATCAGAAGAAGTCGTGACCTCAGCATTCGTGGCTACAAATGTTAAATTTGACTCTAGGAGGGGTTTTCTATATACTGTGTTTGTCACAACCGTTGTGGCCAACAACACAACTCAAACTCTATTAAACGCACGACCTATCCCCATATCGAAGGAAAGAGGATATTAGCTCAAAATTAAAATAATGCCTGACGCTACCCCAATAGCCGAATGCTTTTGACGGATTGTGCAATGTCTTCCAATACCACTAACACTGAAGTCAACATTAATATACCCTCTTTCTTATACTATCTATGGAGTCATAGATGATTTTTATGTATATATCTCGAGTCATCGTACCTTCATTCATCGTTCAGTAGTTCAGTAGGTTCCACTTTCACCATATCGTTCCCAAGAATGGCAGCAATATGCCGAGCTCTCTGGAGGCCCGCATTTTTCCCAAACCCGCTTGCAATTTTTATTTTTCTATCAGTAACATAACCCTCTTCAAAAATATTGTCCTACGGCCTCTATTCCGACTATCATTATCGTTTTGCAATTAATTGTGCCTTACCCCAATTGTTTGTCACTTTTTTCTATGCGACTACATCTTGGTGTACAGTGAAGCGGTTCGGGGTTAAGCGCATGTGTTTCAATGAGGTCTATTTCCCTTCCTACGTATATACGAGATTAATATGATTAGCTTTCTCAACCCGTGACAACTAATATATGAGGGAAATGTTCATACGAAGGCAATCATGAAATAGAAAACTCCTGGCAATTTTCCAAATTTTTTCTGGAATTGGAGTGTTGCCACAAATTTCTGTTGGGATTTCGATAGCGCCAACGAGATGAACTACTTTGAACACCCATTGTAATTTCTATCTCAATAATCGATATTGTATACTTTTCAGAATGGTAAACCGGCTTCCATCTTTTTTTTTTTGGCTTGGCGATAGCTAAAATTTGTGGAGGAAATGGCAAGAGCGATGAAATTGCCTTCATATAGCGCTGTTAGTGCTTAATAACATTCGAAACATAAATAAGAAGAATAGGAATATGTTTCTAACTATTAAAGGAATAGTACCTTTTGTAGAGGAGCTAATTTTTTATACAAAATCTCCAAGACTCAATCAATACTACATTCATTGTTACTGAGCTCCAATTTGAAAAATAAATGTGAGATACTGCTATCTATTCGTACTTATCACAGCACATATTTTCCACGACAGCAATACTACTGAACGGTACGAACTCTCATGTAAAGCAGCGATTGAGGGCTGAAAAATACGTTCTTTCACTATTCAGTCATCGAAAGAAAGTTTAGCAGACGCAGCAAGAAGCGGAGGTGCAATTTTAGTCACAGCGGGATCTTGACCGATCAAATCGTAAGGGAAGCCAAGATCAAATGAAGTAGCGCTTTCTAGGTACTCAATTTGCTTTTCAGTCAGTTTAATACTCAAGGCTTCAATATTTTGCTTCAGATGCTCTACCTTTCTTCCACCAATCAATGGAAAGACATTCTTAGCTTTCGAACGCACATAAGCAATTGCAATGGCTGTAAGACTTTCAACTCCTTGTTCTTCAGCCACCTTTTCCAGCGCTGCACTGATCTTTTCTTCCGCCTCAGTTTGTTCTGAACCGCCATAAGCTCTCAATCCCTCGCCCTTTTTTTTTCTTTCTTCAATTGCTTTCTTGCTTTGAAACTTACCACCTCCCATCACACTCCACGGAGCGAGTGCCATACCAAAGTGTCTTACCATCGGAATGATATCACGCTCAAAATCTCTGCAAAGCACATTCCACTTGCCCTGATAAATACTAAATGGTGTTTTACCATGAGATGTCGCATAGTAGTTTGCAGCAGATACAACCCATGCTGGTGCATCTGACACGCCCAGATAAAGCACCTTACCTTGTTGCACGAGAATGTGCAAACTATCCATAACCTCTTCTATAGAGCTCATGTAGTCCCACCAGTGTACATAGAGAATATCGATCCAATCAGTTCTCAATTTTGAGAGAGAGTCGCGAACGCTGACGTGCAAGCTCCGTTTGTGATTGCCACAAAAGTTGGCACTTCTTCCTTTCCCAATGTCGTAGCCCTTGTAATCGCTCGTGAATTTAGTAGCAACTACAATTTGATCACGAATTCTACGAGTTTCCATCCATTCACCAATCCATTGCTCCGATTGCTCGTTTTGATAATTATTTGCAGTGTCGATAAAATTACCGCCAGCTTCATAATAGGCATCAAGCAAATCAAATGCACGACCTTTATCCATAGAACCAACAACATCAGCCCATTTGTCTCCGAGTGACATTCCACCCAGAATGAGTGGGGAAACCCTGATACCAGCTGATTTCGAAAGACTTCTTAAACGTCCCAATTCTGTGGAGGGCTCTGGGGCGGGTGCAAAAGTCTCACTCATAGTTAGTGGTTTCCTAGCTAGAGTTAAATAAAAAGCTGGAATTTGAAGCTATACGAAAGAATTGAGTATAATTGTCCCCTTTTGCCGTCACTTTATATCTAAAAATTTGTACATCTGACCCCTTTATTGCAACTTTATTGCAAGTCAGGGTCCATTACTAATAGCCTTTGCGCCCTTGATACTGATCACGGACCCACGTGAGGCTGGTTTACACACCGATTATTTTGGATATGCATCGTACCATTCGACTACTTCATAAAGCGAATTGGTAGAATTTCCTGCGGCAAGCCTATTTTTCTGGGCAAGGTATTTGTCATACAAACTTCGCACCTCGATCCACACCTCGATCCACACCCGACCCGCATCTCCGACGCGCATCTCCGATCCACATCTCCGACCCACAAGGTTTTGATTTTTTTTTGGTTGGAATCACGCTTACGGCCGACCAAACTTTCCCATTCTGAAAGTAACTTGCTACATGTCGAATGAGAACTGAATCTCTAGTGAAGAGGCCAAGACCTACTGTTGTCTGTGTACCATGCAGGTTGGGTAAGAGAAGATGTGACAGATTACGACCTTCTTGCACCCGATGCATCAAAAGTTCACTCAATTGTTTTTATGAGGGAGGCATCGAAACGTCTGGAGACATCGTCTCGGCAGTTGTCTCGGAGACGTCCCTATCACCATACAACGTTGGAAAAGAAAATTGTGGTCTTGACGCTAAGTGTCCAACAGCTACTATGATCTCCGAACTATGCCATGAAGCTCTTCATATCCCATTATTATTATGGAATCCTGATGAAATGTTCGTGGTAGCAGGCCCCACCCAATTTTTAGGTCAACCCTTTAGTGCACATAGTTTTGCACAGCGTGATACTTTCATGAGAGTATTCTGTAGCTCAATTCATGGAATGACTCTTCTTGATCTCAGTCGTCACCTTAATGACTACTCTTCTTTAGACACTTCTCAGACGATACTGACCCCTCTTCCCTTCATAGAGAAAGCAATTGTAAAGCTGATAGAAATTGGAAGCGCAAATCGAATCGAGGCCCCACTAGTGAGCCCATTTTCCAATGCATGTTCAGCAGACGAAGAAGGCTTGGCAATAGTTTTTCGAAGTCTTGTTCCAGAAATTGAAGATTTATTGGGGCCGAAGAAGGACTGTGATCAACTGTTAAGAAACTTCTACCAAAACATTTTTCCTTTTTACCCTTTTATGGACGTATGCGCCTTCGAGATGGAAATTAAAGGCTTTTTGATTGACGATAATACAACTAGATATAGGATGAACACTAGCGCCAGGGACATACGAAAAAGGATAGAAACCTTGTCCTTGTTACTTATTGTACTAGCGATGTCCATGAGGCAGTCAGGACTTGATCCAAAATTACTTCTTGCAATTAGGAAAAATACACACGAAAAGGCGCAACGGTTATCACTCCTGTCGCATAGATTGCTTTGTCTTCTAGACGTCTCTCGGTACCCCAATGAAATGACTTTCACTTGTCTTCTCTATTTCGTTATTGCAGAACATTTGAATCCAGATGATAGAGATACCGTAATGATGCACACAAAACTTTTAAGCATAAAGCATGTCACAGATTTGGCAACCACTCTAGGACTTCAACACGATCCTTCGAAATTTGATCGAGTCAAAGATCCTCAAATTATTAGACGTAAGCGCTTATTATGGCTGGGAGTCCAGTCTCTGAGATATCAGCTTTCGCTGACAGAAGGTGTGTGGGATTATGAAAACAATTGGTTTCTGAAGAGCTATGAATCTTCTTTAAATACAGTTAATGGATGGGATGATGACACTGCAGACTGCATGGGAGAATTTACAAGAAGCTTCAGAACAATTTTTCAAGATAAATACGAATTTCATAAGTTACTTTCTACACTCATGTCCAAATGTGCTCCAATTCATGGTCGTCCAAAACTTTCGAGTATTTTAGAGGGTCTTCTTAGGGTCGAGGAATTTTTGTCACAGGTTTTTCCAATCAAATCAATGACTAACTTGTCAAACTGTGGGTCTCTGAATTTTGCTAGGGGGTCAATTCTCGACATCGACAAAATCAAAAATTTTGAAATATTATTAGCTAACATTATAGGCCGTACTTCAACGCTTAATGTTTGGGATACACTTTCGATTCACTTCGAGAAAAAATGTAAATCTGATTGGGAAGAGAATGTACCTGCCTACCATTGCTTCACTCTAAGGGCATTTGATGATTATTTGCAACTGGCGACTATCATCTCTGAGTACTTTAGTAGTAGACCTGACAGGAAGATTGCGGTAGAATATGGATATGCTATAGAAAAAGAAATTTGCTTTGCCATTATGAGACTTTGCTCATTCCAAACTAGAATCCTTTTGAGACTCTCCTTCAAAAGCGAGGCAGTCAAAGCTCGTGGAGAAGATGAAATCAATATAATACAAAAGTTAACAAGGTATATTAGAAACCAGCTAGCTCAAATGATTGATTTCGTAAGCGGAAGATTTGAGGAATCCTATTTATGCACTTTTCAAGTTGCGTTGCTGCTTAAATATATAGCCTATGCAACGGACGCTGATAGCTTAGTTTCGGTTACGAAGATTTTTTGGGAACAGGCTTCGGCTAGCGGGAAAGTTCCCAAGCATATTGAAGAGAAGATTAGCGTTAAATGGGGAGTAGCTTCAAGCAATTGGAACGTTATAGAGAGAGAGTTACGAAGCCCGTACGCATTACAAAGCTTCAATAAGGAGCTCTTGAAAAAGATTGAAAATGCCATTCATGCAAGTCCTTACGGGAAGGCTTGCGAAACATTTGCACATCAAAACATTTCAGCGGACTATCCAAGTCTCAATGGCGATGAGGTTTTAAATCAGTTTTTACAAGAAAATGCTGATATATTTTGGGATCTTTTATTAAATGATACAGACCCTGATTCTCATTCCTGATAGAGAATTTGCAATGGGACAGCTTAGTAAAACAAAACTGCGTCAATTATGAAACACGTGATAATTTCATAAGAGCTACTTTTGGTCGACATCGGAATTTTGATATCAAAAATCGGTCCCTAAACCAGTCACTGATAGATTTTCTTCAAGAGTTGAACTTGTTGCCATTCTTTAGTGTCCGAGCCACCTTGTTGGTCAATCTACGATGCCGTAATCAACACGTGAGATGCATTATTGGTACATTGGCTACCACCAATGCGACTAACGAGTCATATTTTTTAATCTATCAAAAAACTTCAGTTATCACGGTTCTCACTAGGTTTCCAAGAAATATTCAAAGAAGAGAGAAAGTGGTAAACCAGATGCCGCAGAAGCGAATTCATCGTCCCTCATGAGCTTTTACACCTTTGAATTTAAAGATTAAGTTCAGATGGTTCTTGGAATTGCAGTCACAACTGACCTACCGATTCTGAAAACCATGCAAGCAACAGCTGTTCATTTTGCCGTGTTTTCACGAGACGCGACTGATTGAATAGAGGAAATGTTGAATTATCAAAAAAGCAACTAATAATCTCCCAGAGTGCCATTCCTGTGATTATTCCACCGTCAGAATCTTTTCGTACTTCCACTTAGAAAGACAATCCATGATGAAAAATAAGATGAGGCACTGTATTAATTTAAGTCTTTAGTTCCTTAGTTTTTTTTTTGGCAAAATCACTTAATTAAGACGTAAGTACTGCAGAATCAAAGAAGGGAGGCTTTAACTTTAATTCATGCTGGCGAAATGCTCCGTTTGAACCTCTTTTAAATTCCAAATCCCTCAGAAACTCCTGAACATGGATATTCCTAAGGATATCATTCAAGTAAAATTTTGATACAATCTCAATATACGCACTCGAAAGGAATTCGATTTTAATAAATCTGAAAAACCTTTCCTAGAACAACAAATTTTACTGTTAAACAGCTTCAGTGATCGTTTTCGTTTGCATCAAATTCTGTCATCATTTTATATCAAAAATACTGGTCAGATGAAAATTTTTGCAGTCGAGTGCTGCACATTAAGAGAATTACCTAATGATAAATCAAATCATTTATTGGTTTATCCATAGATAACAATCAACACTGACCAATTTGGCTCTTGCATTTTAAAAATCTTAGATTCAATTCCGATGGCAATTTCTTATCCGCTCATTATTTTTATTTTAAAGTAAAGGAAAAATGTTTCATGTATTATGTTGTGAAGAATATATTGATTTTCAGTGATTAAAAGTTCTTAGTTACTAATGTAGGATATACAAAACTTTCTTATACTCCAAACAAGTTACGTTCCTAAAATCCACGATATGGCATTTCGTGATGTGATTACTCTTACTATGAAATTCAGTAAACTTAATGGTAAAACAAGCGACCTAAATAGCGAGACCTAAATAGCTATGATGTACTGAAAGGAGATTTCGAGTGAAACCAGAACTATAAAAACGGATATATTTCCAGGCTTTAGTAAGGCAAAAACGCTCTGATCGTCCATATGCAACATAACTACAACACGGTCATCATGATAAACAAGTTCTTGATTATAAGCATTTCATCCCAACGGAGTGATTTAGCCCAATGTAGATGAAATTAATCATGATAATGATATATCCTAAATTTTGATCTATACATCATTGGAAGAAGAAAACATTGAGCTTCGCATTTTCAACTTCTCAATTTTTGGCTAAGTATTCCACATAATCCTAGCCACAACTAGATGTTGCAGCAACAAGTTAACACTGGGATACTATTGGCCGAAGAACACTGTAAAGATTACAAATTCCCCCGTTCAAAATGGAGTAGGAGATTTTTTTACCTCGCGATCACATCTATATTTACTTTGGCCAAGTTGAAATTGTATGCCGAAGAGGAGAGCATTCAACTATTATCAATTTCATTCATTGTCGCAATATTCAAGTGGTGATGTTTTCATCAGGTAAAGCAGCTAAAACTATACCAAGAAATTACAGATTTATTCATCAGCGTGACCTACTCATGATGCTGCGCAGTTACTTAATGGCGCATATTGAAAGATCAAATAGAAAATTTTATAGTATACAGGAGGTTATACTAAGATAGTCCAACTTACGTAGTATTCAAGAATTGAAAAAAATACAAAAGTTACCTCCTTCATAGCTCTACGACTATGGAAGTACTACAAAAATCTTGAAAATAGAAATATTTGACGGGGTAGCTTAATCTCTGTTGTACCTATTCACCAAGCATCTATCGTGCTCATTGCTTCATAATCACGCTCATATCTCCCTCTGACCAAACAACGTTAAGCGTTAACTGATCAATTTGCCATAATTCATCATTGACCTTTCTAACCAAATGAACCGAGTACAAACTACCCGCAACAAAATTTATCGAATCCTTAACAGTCCCCTGCGCATCGGGATAATGGTGAGCCAAGGCTGTGGCAGTCATATTTGCAGTGGTTTCTTTCTCTTTATAATCAACACGAACGTTACACAAAAAGTGTGTTGTATCCAGTTTGGAGATTGTATCATAACAGTAAGTATGAATTTCTTCCAATCCTTTCATTACTCTACCATTCAGATCGAACGTTGCGTCATCTGTTAGTGCAGAGTCAAAGAGTTCAATGTTCGAAGTGTCAAGACCCGTCACAAAACGATATAATGCATCAACAACTGCTTCACGTGTGCTAAGAGAAGAGAGATAAGTTGAAACACCCTCCATAACGAATTTGAGATTAAATTACTGGTGGAGATACAATCTAACGAAGTAGCTCAACGTCGTTATATTAGAATTATGCTTCGTATATATAGTAATTCGGTTATTTTTTATGGCCCAATATATGCTGTCTCATTTGACATATCGTTTGCTAGAGAGTCTCCATTGCCTTCAGCGGGCACAAGTCATCTATCTATCTATTTACTATTGCTTCCTTTCCTTGTTTTTGCGTCATTGCCAGTATATCCGACCCGCATCCGACCGCATCTCCGAGCCGCATCTCCGAGCCGCATCTCCGAGCCGCATCTCCGAGCCGCATCTCCGACCCGTATTTCGGAACAGATTATTCTTTCGCACCAGCCCGTAACATCATTCTATCAGTATAAAGTTAACCACTCATTAGCTTCTGATCAAAAAGATGTTATCTATCAATTTAAAGACCCTCTTAAATTACAATGAAGAATTAGACCTATTGGTTTGCCATTCATTAAAAAGACCCCTGATCATAATTTCACCATTCAGCTGGTCTTCTTGTTTTGCAATTTAACAATTGAATGAATTAGACATGAAAATGGTGGCTGTTATAATATTTTTAACCTACTTCAAGCTTGGTAAATATAAATATAAACCACAGGAATATTTATTTTCCTGAAAATCACTTTGGAAAAATGACAGATAACCTTGAAGAGGTACACAACCGAAAATAAGAGTTTCCATCAATCTTAGCATGTCTGCAAACGACCTAGGAACAAGAAACCAAATTTTAAGATAGCTGAAGCGAACAAGTGCAAATGCCAAGAATTTGATTTCACTCCCGAAATGTAAGCTTTTGTTCATGAACTAGTGGGATATGAAAATTGATAGTCTTTTTCAAAGCTAATTCAAGATATGATAAGTTCAAGTGCCAAAGTTGGTTTTTATAGTTACTTACTATACCGATGCTCTGCTCGGACTCCTGAGAGAAAATTACAAGTATACTTGTGAAATTGGTGAAAAAAAATACACTCTAAAATACAAGAAAATGTGAATGATCTCAAACCACTTATTAAGCTTCATAGACTGTAAGAAGATAATTCTTCAGTAGAGCATAATACAAACGCCTATTTAAGGAGCGGCACTAGATGATTAATATCAGGAATGGTCAGCGATGCGTAATAATCACAGGATTCATTCTGCCATTAGCTTTTAAATTTCTTTAAAAATGTTGTAAACAGGTAATGCTTTTTTCATTAAATCATCAAGTATATAAAATAATTCATAGATCATAATTGGTGCATAAAATGAATTTAAAAAATACTCTCTTAAGACCAGTCTCAAATATTCATTACAGTTAGGAAACTATAAATCGAACGACGCCGCGTTGAAAGAAGATTCAGCTCTATATTTCTTTCTCTTCTCAGCTCATTACCAAAAGCAAAGTCAAATTATGTTTGCGAGAAATCTCCAATTTCGAAACAACATGGAGAAATACACTTATTACGGCAACCTTCTGATTGAAGGAGAAATTATTCAATTTCTTTAAACCTGATAACAGAAGTATTTCAATCAGCTTATGATAACTATGCCACTTTTTATTGACTATAGATTTCATGGTCTCGTAAATATAGTTGTGAGAAATGGGTGAATATTGAGCTAAATGTTGGGATTCCATTTTTGATTAAGGCTATAATTATTGTTATATGGTTATACTAGAAGTTCTCCTCGTCTTTCTAAGAATCCAGAAAGAAGAGTTCATAATTCTACTTACAAATATTCTTACTCCTTCTGTTCCTTTTATACATTTTCATTCATTATCCTATTACATTATCAATCCTTGCGTTTCAGCTTCCACTAACTTCGATGACTGTTCTCATTCTTTATGTCATCTTAAAACACCGTGTATGATAATATACTAGTAACACGAATACTAGTCGATGGTCTATAGTTGTATTTCGTTCCAACAAGTTGTTTCCCTGACAGGGTTGGTTGAACTAAGAACCATTTACTTTTAGAAGACGGCCCATCTTATATTTTGAGTCAACCCCCCATTATCATTTTAGGTGATGAAATTTTTTAATTATCAAAAAATCATGACTTTAGCAGAATTTAATATCAAAGCGCCTTATTCTAGAATATTGAGTGGATATTTTAGCTTAGTTTTTCTATTCTAAAGACAATAAATTGGAGGAGGGTTCATCCTGCCCCAGAAAATAATGGGGGAAGCTGGTTTCATGAAGGTTTACCTCTTCCAACCTATAATTATCAAGAAGTTTCGAGATTTCCAAAAATTACATATGAATTTAAAACTTGTTGTGACACATTAAATGATTCTTGAAAAAATCCTGGCACTAAAACTGAAGGAATGCTAAATTTCTCGCAGTTATTATTTCGCAAAAATCGTTTCCAACCAAGAATCAATTAGGATTAAAGTCACAATGCATCTCACTTGAAGTCTCTAAAACTTGACATTTAAAAATAACCTTGCTTAATTAATCTCTAATAAAAAATTGGATCGATAAGTATTCACATCAAAGGGTGAGCTAATAAACTGTCTCCTGGAGAAAAAATCAAATTCGTTTTAATTCCTCTACATATTTATTCTTTGAACATAATACAAAATGACTAATAACAACCAGAGTGATACAATTGAACTATTGTTCTCTGTTTCGTGATTTTTGCTCAAAATGGAGGATTTCTCTTTTATCGTAGATGGAAGAGAGATCATGTCTAAATAAATTTCATGAATTTTTAAAACAAAACGCTAGGACTTCCTGAACACAAATCATGAAGTATAAAGTACATATTCAGTCCTTCAATCAATCTTGCTGAATGATGTATTTCGCAATGCAAAGACAGCTTTTTCAGCGAATCACATCAATATAATTGAAGACCTGTTATGGACAATCTATGGCATCAGTATTTAATAGAATCCCTTATCTCAGGAGATGGAGAATACGTACTAATGTACATATTAGAACTTTTTTATTTTGAGTGCGCGATCTAGCACGTTTTGGATCAAGAGTCATACTGAAAGGTGTATTGCGAAAGAACAGATATATTTCAATGATGTCTGTAATGGTAAAAGGCATATGTAGTTGGCTATTTTTTATATGAGAGAAATGTTAAAAAACAAATGTAAGCTAAATGATACCTTTTTTTTCTTTTGACTAAGAAATTCCTTAGTCATGTGACATCAATTTGTTAGATTCAAAACTTTCCCCAGATTTTTTTGCATGAAAAAAACAAACAACTAGTACGAACAAAGCAAGAAAGTACGCGGGTATCGAATACTCAATACCGAATAAAGAAACTTATTCAATCATCTGATGCTTTTTTTTTTAATCTGCTAGAACTATTACGAAAAAAGAAGGTTCCTGTCCAATCAGGGCTCAAGAAATTACTAAGTAGACTTTCTCATCATGTTTAGTAGCTGCGTTTTTGTCACGGAAGGCTAGGGTTTCCGAAGTAATGCTGAATAGGAAAGAAAGAACCTTTAGCTGTATTTCTATAAGCTTCTCGAACTCTGTATCGTTTGCAACAATGAATGATTTGCTTTTTAGCGATGAACCTTATCAAGAAATATTCGGAACATAATTACAGGCAACCGGTAATGCATGTATTGCCCCTTAAATATCTCTCTCTCAAACACAGAAAAAAATCTAAACGTGCCTATGACGCACCGAATTTTGGGCCTAGAAAACTAGGAACTATGAGCCAAGAATGCTAGATAAGACGAAAAATGACTTTCAACTAATGAAGTAATTTATTGAGTTTTAGAAGACACTTTTATCGATTTTCATGCTAGCTTTGAAATCTAAATTTCACAACGAACTTTCATATAGTATTTAAGATCGACTACTGTATTTACCTACGTATGTACTAATGCCTCACATAAGCATGAAAGCGGCGGCTGCTATAAGAGAACTGAGCGATAAGATATCATTAGACCCTTTATTTTCACTCTCTTGTTGTAACATAAATGTTGAGCCTGCTGAAGAAGAACTAGGGGAAGAAAAAATGTCAACGGTATTACTAGTTTTAGTAGCACTAGACGATATATGTGTTGTAGAGCCCACTTCTGACGTGTTTATAGAAGATGCACCTGAACTGGAACTCACAAACAGGGATGATTCTGATCCTTCTGTTTCAGTTGAGAAAGGAATCTGCGAAGAAAGAGGACAAAATGTAGTGTATACCGTTGAAAAATCACTGACAGTTTGCGGAATTACTGTGGCTGTTTGCGGATAGCATGTATTGTTCGAACACGAGGTAATAGTAATATCAGTTGTCATACTTCTCTCGTACGTTAGTGTTGAATCGATAGGAACACTTTGGTTGTAGCCATACCACGAAGATTCGGAGAAAGCGTTGGAAGCCTACTGAGATGCAGAGACTTGCGATCCGACAGCAGGGGTTGCTACTGAGCTATTGGAAGTACTTGAGCTAGAGGCTGAGGTGAGAATTGAGGTGGAGCTCGAGGCGGAGTCTGTGTTGGAATCAGAACCGGAGTTCGAGGGGGAGTCTGAATTAGAAGCAGAACTAGAGCCCGAGGTGGAACCTGAACCAGAATCGGAACCAGAATCCAAGCCAGCATCCTCTGCGGCATTCGCACCACAATAATCCTCGAGATTACAGGCATAGGGTCCACCCGAGGACTGAAGCCAATCACACTGTTGCTTGATACTTTCATCGCTATCATAAATAGCCATGTCAGTACTTGAATCTGGAGTTCCTTCACCAAATACTACTTATGTCATTTCAAATGCTGTCGCAAAATCTTTTAGAGTCTGCAATGCTTGATCATGCTGACCGGGGTAATACGTAATTGTTGAGCCAACTTCGTTCGAGCACGCAATTCCTTTTCCCTACACACCCAAGTCTTGATTGAAATCGTCAATCCAACCTCCATTGAGTAGTGTTTCATAATTGAATAAAACAGTGATTTGATTCAGAGCTTGTAGTGACATATCTATTTTAATGATTGAATTCTTACTGTGATTATCATTTTGTGCACTTCGTCCAATGTTCTGAAATCGTCGTTTTTTTTAGCCAGCTCCGCCCGATATTCGAATATGCTTTGAAGGTACCATGAATGTTTGTTTACAATTTTCGAGCCTTGCGACAGACAGCGATTTAGCTAAAGGCACGTGTCTACACTTTCCTTGAAGCCTGCGTGTTCTCTAGGTGCTCTAATAATTCTAATTTTTGTAATTTCGGAGTATATTATTTTTTTCGTAGTTCTCTTTAGCCAAGCAATTTCCTGCAGGCGCCTCTTGGAAATGCCAAGTTCCTGATTTGATTATCTTGAATAATTGCACTGTCATTCGTGAACGGTCGTTCTTCATGCGGAAGCTGACATCACTATAAACCTGATTAGCAGAAGAGTCACACCAAAACCTTAGAGATTTACATATGCGTCCACCTGTCACCAAACACACGTTTCCCAAGTTTAGATGCCACAGAAATGTTCGGCCTGGAAAGTTGGAATTCAAAGCCCTAATTACAAAAATGAAAACGTGAAGCCGCAATAATTAATCGCTTAGAGGTGCCGTGCTAAGATAAGAGGTCCAACACTCTTAAAGTACGACATAAGGAGGTGATTGACTATCCGACAAACCCTATAAAGCCGAGAGACATACTGTATGTCCAAAAAACAATCAGACCGGTTTCACAATTACGAATTTATATATTGAGAGATACAAAGCCTATGACAAAAATCTACTTTCTTGTAAATTTCGAGTTCTATTTAACTTGATAAAAAAGAGATTCAATTTTTTCACGTATATCATGTTAGTAACATGAGGAAGGCTACCATCAAGAGCTAACACTCGCAAAAGAGGGGCAAGAACTTTTCAAAGGCACCCAACAGGCTGGCGAGTCACTTCTCAAGCGTTACAGAAAAAAAGCATCAACACATGAGCGCACCTCTGGGCGCTTTTTCCTCATATGATTCTCGCCATCAGAATGCCCCATCTTTCAATCGCAAGTTTTGATAATTAGGATAATCTGTACGACGAAGTTGAGCTGCGAGACGACCTATCTGGTGATGCTCAATTGGAACAAATCTCTCATATCTTAAGCAGGATGCTAAAGGATAAAAATGGACTGGCTGCCGTTTTAGAGACCATGGTGCGACTCACAGCGGTTGTCGTGGGGGGAGAGCGAAGGAAAGTGACGAAAAACACTGCACGCCAATGTGGCTTTCGGGTACGAGCATCTACAATGAGGTTGGCACTGAGGAGATATTAATTCAAATGCTAATTAGCGTAAAGGTTCATCTTTAGAACAAATACGGCGTACCTCTACATCATTGTGAAGGAAATTCTTGAGGGGGGAGGATGAGATGCAGGATGCAAAGATATCATGCGGTCTCTGGGTTTCATTGATGCTGTGAGCGTGTAGTCACGAGTGCCACGCGGGTGTAGAATCATGACCTACTAGGCAATGAGGGCGCAAACCTCTATGAAGTTTAAATGCTTAGTAGAGGCAAATGAGGGGTTGATCGGGTGGAATACCGTAGACTAGTGCAACCGATGAGCTGATGTGTATTATTCACACAGCTATAAGTGACGTACTCTTATTTATGGTGTATGGCTCGTAATACATGTGGCTATGATACCGATCAGTATTGTGAGCCTTGACTGAGCTCTTGTTCTCAGCATTCTATATTTTCAAGCAAAAATTTCTTCTCAATTAGAGGATTGGCAGCTTAAGTGCTGATAGTCGCCCTTTAAGTGAGGTAGCAGAGCAGCCTAAAGTGGAGTTGACGATCATAATTGTAGTGCCTTAAGTGATTATGATAACAATCTTAAAGCGTTACAGTTCAAGTTCCTCAATCTAAACTATCAGGATCAGATGCTTTGTATTTATCGCTAAATTTAATCTATGTGGGCTAGAGCGTCACTCCTACTAATAAAAAAAAGAGCCCATAATACTATATACATTGTTCACTCTTTCAATCTTCAGAAATAGAAAACTTTGATGTGAGAATGTAAGACCGCAAATAATCCTTAAAGGAGTAATACCTTGATACTGCAAATGCATTTCAAATTTCAACTTTTTTACTTATTAAAATGAACAGTGAAAATTTAAGAAGAGTAATGCGAGGAGATAGATTTGAATGACAATTTTCTGACTTATTCCAGTATCTTTTTTTGACAAAAACCATACAAAAGTCTCCAAAGTGTTCGGTGGGTTGAAAGTTCGGTTGGCTTCTACAATAACAAATATAACAAATAGGAGGAAGTATTATCTCAAGATAATCTTTACGGCGTGGATAGCGACCTAAAATTAAAGTTAGTTGGCTCACATAATAATTACTTTAATTGGGACTTAACCATGGCTATTCAGTAAAAAGTTCGTTGCTACCAAATACTGTCGTATTTTATTTATCAGGCTAGTGAATTGTTCTTCGACGTCATCGAAAGCGGTCTACCGTGGTTATCTGTAAACGCTTTTTTAGAATTAGGTGAACCAAAAATCGAGTAGATAATACAGTGACCTCTTCAACTATTAATTAGCTTTATGAAGATTCGAATCTTCAAAGATTAAATTCTCCTTAAAGATCAAGGTGTATCCTCAACTAGATCTTAAAAATTACTGAGCACTACCGAAATTCTAACCAACGCTTGATCTACAAGTGAGTAAATCAAGGCCCCCACTCAATCAGATACTCAAATTCCAAAAGAGGAGTGGCGTGCAATATATGCAGAGGCATTTTACAAGTTCTTGAATTGCTCCTTTTTTGAGTTCGATTGAAAAAAAAAGGCCTTTAGGCTTTCGGTAATTCTCTTATAACGTAATCCTCTTTTTAAAGACTTGCATGATATACCTTTAAAAAAACTAAATGAAAACCGCAATTATTGCTCATGAAAATACTAAACAAGCTGCTCGCAATATAATACTGTCTTCTCAATTCGACTTTCAAAGCTCTCAGCGATCTTAGTAATAAAAAGCTTCCCGAGCTTTCCGGAATGGTACCAAGTGCAATTCGTTCTTCGCAGATGCTGTGCGCCATATCCTAACTCTTGAGAAAAACCACACCATTGAGAAGGACCGAGTAACCCCCTAAATATTTTGTGTCGGAAGGCCTGTGTACGCCAGGCCTAAACTTTTAAGGAACTCCCCCTCTTGCGTGTGTTCTTACGGATGATTCAATCTAAAAAAAAATAAGCAGGTAATTGGCATCGGCTGCGCTATCTAAAAAATTGTCTTTATTGGGCCATTGTTGTTGTAAGGAAAAGTTTTCGACACATTAATAATGAGCAACGACAACAACATTGGGAACTTGGTTTAAATTAACATCACTATGGACATAAATGGTTGAGAAGTAGTTGATTACTGCGCTGTCCGGCTTAGCAATATTATAATTCATCTTTGTAATCAGCGATTAAAGTATCATTGTAAATGATTTACGATGTTGTGCTTTCAATTCATCGAAAATAAGCTTCAACACTTCCTAATATCAAGATGCAATCTGAGGAATCACGCCAAAAACACATGTTTTATAGCTCACACATAAACTATATACCAAAGGATAATTGCATACGAGTAATATGATCAATAATCAGTAAAAGATATATATCACTGTTTTCGTAGTGCAAGCTTGAACAGATAACTAAGGAGAATTGAACATGCCGATTAGCACTCGATCCTTATCCATTATTTAAAATTAAACTCTTCTTATTATCGTCTCACAATAAATCTTAGTTTAGTCCTCTTGATTTCTTCAAGTTACATATCAGGCATGATCGAAAGAGCACTACCAATACCATCTGTTGTTTCAAAAACCTATACAACGAATACTGATCATTGAGAATGACATTCTAACTTTAATAGCATCCGCTCAACAGCATTCTCAACATTAATCGATTCGCATAAATAATAACACACACAAGTATTGTGCTATGTAGAGACACCAGTATCTATTTCTATAAAAGATCCACAACTTATACCGCTCTCTCGGGAAGCTCAGCAGTTTCAAGCTCAAGATCTGTTAGGTCCACCTCCCAATATCAGTTTCAATTATCACTTTTGGGGCACAACCCTTGTCCCCTTCACATACTTTGTGAATTCTACTAATGAGTTACAGGTAATTGGAACGCGGAAATAAAATCTTGATCTAGAACTGATTGCCAAGACTAAACTTTCGAAAAATCTCTTTAAAATTGTGTGCCCTTCTCAGAATCTAGCGCTGCACCTGCTTCTTGCTCAGACTTTGATCACTTAATAACCCCAAATTCCGGTTATAATTCTGCGATCTGCTGGAAATGTTGAAAGACGTCAGCAAAGCCTTAGATCCCAAATATAATTCTAGCTCCACCAAAATTTCTATGTTTTGTCTCCAACTATCAAAAGAGCTATTCTTTCACAGGGTTTGGGATATATTGGAAATTTCAAAATAGGAATCAGGTGTTTTAAAGCAAGGTTGAGCCCGACAGGTTCCAACAACTTACAAGTTCGAAAGCTAATTTCTATGAAGCAAGCATCTCTTGTACGACCAAATCTGATTCTCATTATACTTGAGTAATATTTCTATAACGTACCCTACAATTAATATAGCCTTGAATATAGCAACTGTGTTTTCCTTCAACGTTAACTTACACTTTAAGGCGATCTTTAGAATCATAGCCACCTACAAGTCTAGCTACGTAATCAGTGTAGCGGTTAATTGGGCTTTTCAATTGATTTAGTCTCTGTGACTTCATTAATTACCAGTTCTCAGGCATTCAATCAAGCTGTCAGACCTTGTATCTAACTTAAAAAAACTGCTTCACAGCATACGTACTCGCGTCTTAAACACGCATTCCCAATGTTTGTTACTACACATCATTACACTGGCGATGCATTACCGTTGCAATCATGCAAAGTTGAACGGTTTGATGGTTATAGCTGAACACTCAAGTTCATCAGCCGCAAAAAGCCCCATCTCAAAAATTTCTACAAACGCCACTTACGCCACGTACGCCAGTTGAAAAGACGTGCCAAACTAGATATTGAGGTACCTAGAAATTACCACGTAATCCTCAATCCACAGCATCTCTCGCTTTTTCGCTTTCTCGACTTGAGTTGGATGATTTCGCACTTCAGTGCAACTAGAAATCTCACGTTGCTGCAATACGCCCTCGTTATAATATGTGAAAATGTCCCTTGACTCTTACTTTTTCTATGTACTGTTGTTGACCGTTTTGATGATCACACGTCCCCTCCCCACCCTTTCGCCCCTGTAATGTCCGAACCATGGGATTTACCGCTTCCAAATGTCTTCTTGCATCGCATTCACTGTGGAAATCTACACGCTATCCAATTTAAAGTTATCCAGAGCGTACGTTTGCCTCGTCTGACAGAAATACCAGTAAGAAGCTCCCCCGTCGGCATCCGCATCAGCTCTGCGTCACATCTGAGTCACTTATTTGACTTCCCATATGTAAACGCATCAGCCCTATTAGACTTGCCACATCTGCATAAGGTTCTGTCGTTAGTGTGCAGGAAAACATGGTGCATGTCGCCGTAGAACCCCGCGTATACTCTCGATCAAACAGCTTTCCTCGAACACGCACAAAATCTGCACAAACCCCGTATTGTTTGCTTTTCGGGCCCAATTTGGACTTATCTTTCCTTTTTCTTTGTTACGGGTAAATATTCTGCACATATTTCACCTGCACCACTAATATTGGCGGATAATTGGTTTTCTAACCGAGAAGCCTCACCTCAGATCTGTAATGTAACGCTGATAAAATTTATGCATTATTGATACAGGCACGCAATATCATTCACGGTAATTAAGTCAAAAAAATTCGTATATTATATAGTAGAAAGTTTTGATTAGATACAAGGGTATAATAATATTACCTACAAAGCATGCAATAACCGATCTTGAAATACATATTTTTGCTTATGAATCATTAAAAATTATAAACGTTCCCAGAGAACTAGCTAAATCTACCTCGATTTAACAATGTAATGTGTTCTAACCGAGCAACTTTGAGCTATACCTAGAGGAGCTAAGATTATGTTAAGAATTTCTTATTTTGGTCTTTGTGTTTCCTTGTGCCTGGAATGGCCGTAGCGAACGAATTGCCTGACAAATTTATTTACCTTCTAATTAATCATAGTGCAGACCTTAATCTGCCCTTTGGTAACAATTTCTCAACCGCAATCGTCTATGTATATTATATACTAAATGATTGCTACTAATGAAACAAATCTTTTGACTCACATCAATTCTTCGAACACCTCTATTGCTAACTTCAACTTCCCCTCAGACAAGGCTGAGCTAACAAAGAGAAAAAAAGCAGGAAATGCTCCGCCGAATCATGGTTTTACCAACGGAAAGTTGTCCAGCAGGGCTTTTGAAAGCAATAACGGCAACCAACTAATAGTTGCAAACATAGAGGTAACTCTAATAACTCGTTAAGTTATACTCTACTCGCAACCGCTGATATTCCCGCTAACTTCAATTGGCACGTTTCTCGAAGCATTACTTAAAGAGGTGGTACAAGTAATACCAAAAAGTGCCAACAGATAGGATCTTGAGAGATTCCAATACCTTCTCATTCGGTCGCGCGAATTCGGACAAAAAAACTTGACTGGTAGGATCAGCAGTATCAGTTGTGTAAAGAGATAACCGGGGTCGGAGAGTCTTCAATGTGAGTCCTGGGAACCACATATCCGTGGCAATATGCTTGATAAAGAATCCTACAAACTTAGCACATTTATTGGCGTGGATAATGTACCATGAAACTCTCGTACTGTCAATCAAATGACAGTGGAATGCATAGCGCGATTAGAACGTTTATAGCTAATATGAATTGGTACGGAAATATTGTTATCTCTGTGCTACATAAGTCCTTAATTTTTTCTTTCTGAAATTTCATTAAAAACTAGCCTTCACATAGTTAAGTAAAGTCTTAGAACTCACATATGAATGTTTAAACTTAACCTTACCGCTCACGTAAGATATCTGTCTTATGATGTTTTTCTGGGTTAGACTTCAACTCCTGAGTCAGCCTATGAAACCAATTACGGTCAAACAGCTGAAGTGATTGAACAACTTGGCATGAAGATTTACTTGTGTTACGTGAGAATTTATTTTTCGAAAGTTATTTTCTGAGGGGAAGATTACGTCTCTCGTTTCTGTTGCATTAAAAAGAAAAAGCTTCTCCGGTGCGAAGGAAAATCTTCCAGGTAGGCAAGGCTTTCTGCTTTTTTTCTGAGGTGAAGTTAATAGGTAGCGTGAGCACACAGCAATACCTTAACGTACAACATGCATATGCGCGCAGAGTAATTATTTTTACTAAGCTTAATAAAAGGAGAATCTCACGAGAACATTTCATGATCTTTGTGACATAAGCCCAACCCTCGGTTCGAATAAAATCTTTTACAAATGCTCTTTATGTTTGCAAATCCCAATTTGACGCACCTTGCTGTTTACGGACACAATTCTAGCTTCTCAGCGATACCGGATACCATTTAAAGAGAGTGTTAGTAAAGATCTGTTGACATTATGGTCAAATGAAAAGAATCCAAACTCTCTTCTCATGCGCATTTTTCAGGGCATGAAAGTCCACGTTGCATGGGCATGGCTGATTTTTCAACTTATTCTATTTTCTGGTTCAGCTGACAGTGCAGAAGTTTGCCTTCCATCAGGTGACAGCATACAAGGGTTTAGAGCTAGGGAATACTCATACAAGCTAGGTGATCTAACTGCCGCAAATGATAAATCCTACTTAATGTATGAATATCAAACCGAAGCGACCCTAATTAACGAGTGGTATGGGATCACCGAGCCAAATTTCAAAATGGGAGCAGCTGGAGGATTACAGTATGGAACTTTATACGGACACACTATAACCATCACCAATTTTACCCTAGAACTTGCCGGTTACTACAAGGCACCTCAAACAGGAACTTTCACTTTCTCACTCACTAGCACTGATGATGGTGCAATGCTGATGTTTGATAATAACGGTGCCTTTATATGCTGCTCATCTGACCAAAATAGTCAGAATACATCTGACATTGCCATTTATCAGTTTTATCAGCAGAGCGTGGTCAGTAAAAGCTTTCAGTTAGTTGAGGGTCAATATTATCCTCTCAGGATAACTTACGCCAACGCATTAGAAGTAGCGAGGCTTCAATTATCAGCCACTCTTCCAGATGGAACGGTAAAGACTACATTCGAAGACGTATACTTTTTCGCAGACAGTGAAAGCGAGTCTAGTGCATGTAGTGCAGACCTAGTAACACAATACTATACCGGAACAACTATTTCTACTTCAACTGGCTTGGGTCCGAACACTACTGTTTACGTGAATTTTCCGTACCCATCGGTTCTCAGTACATATACAGGATCAAATCAAAGTACTTCCTATTTGACTAACTCTCTGGGGTCAACGACAGCTGAAGAGATTTTAGTTCCGTCTCAGGCAACGCCTACTACCACCATCCCATGGACGGGTAGTACTAGGACAACCAGTTATATTACCAATAAATCTTCTTCGACCACCCAAGCCGTTGTATACGCTCCTATTGTTACCACAACTACTGCTTGGACAGGATCGAAAACGAGCACTTCATACGGAAAAAACAGCGTAGGGCAAACTACAGAGGTATATATTTTAACTCCTCTCCCTTCTACAGGTTCGGCAACAGTTCCCTGGACCGGGACTTATAATCTATACACACGTCTGACCGATTCTCAAGGCTATACTACCGAAGTTATTTTATTGACGCCTGTCACAAGAATTACCAGTTCATGGTCAGGATCCGTAACTACCACGTCTGTGATCACAGATTCAAATGGGAGTCCTAGTATCGTCGAAGTTCTTACACCTCTCTTGTATACCACAAGTTATCTTGGAGGTGTCAATAACTTAACCACAACGTATTCTACTGGTTTTACAACGTTTACTGGGTCCGATGGTATTATATCCACCGAAACAATATATTATGTTGAAACACCAATTATGGCGACAACTGTTTACACGACTTGGACCGGCACATTCACTTCGACGTACTCGACTGGTGTGACCACATCCACGGGATCTGACGGTATTGAGACCACCGAGACACTCTACTTTGTTGAGACTCCAGCGAAAGGGTTAAACACAACTGTTTACTCTGGAGGAACCGGCACACTCACATCGACCTACTCGACTGGTGTGACCACATTCACCGGGTCTGATGGTGTTGAGACTACCGAAACCCTTTTTTACGTTGAAACTCCTGCCTCCGGATCTGACGTCTACACGCCTTGGACGGGTACATTTACTTCGACGTACTCGACTGGTGTGACTACGTCCACGGGCTCTGACGGTATTGAGACCATCGAGACACTCTACTTTGTTGAAACTCCAGCGAAAGGGTTAAACACAACTGTTTACTCTGGAGGAACCGGCACACTCACATCGACCTACTCGACTGGTGTGACCACATTCACCGGGTCTGATGGTGTCGAGACTACCGAAACCCTTTTTTACGTTGAAACTCCTGCCTCCGGATCTGACGTCTACACGCCTTGGACGGGTACATTCACATCGACGTACTCGACTGGTATGATCACGTTCACTGGGCCGGATGGTGTATCAACCACAGAGACAGTCTTCTATGTCGAAACTCCAACATCAGCCTTCTATAGTAACACAACGACGAAGAACCCTGTCTCATCCTCTCTAGAGAGCAGCACATTTTTCGTCACTACCGAAGCTTCATCATGGCCAACCTCCAATACCGTTCCTGCTTCATCTTTTGGAATGAATAATGATGTATCAACAACTACGTTAACAGGTGAAGTAACGTCATACACTACAACATGTCCCGAGAGCTCGACCTCACAAATAGATAAGCCAGATTCACCAATTATTTCGTCAATCACCTCATCCTTGCCCTTCCAAGGCACCGAGAGTGTTGTTACTACAACGGTATCTGGTGTTGTAACTTCCTTCACAACAACTTGCCCTGAAAGTGATACTGAGAAACCAACTTCTCTCCAAACTTCTAATACAATCTTTAGTGATACTGATTCAGGGGTAGCGACTACATCTAAGTCTGGTAATACCAACACTAAAGAGTTGACCACCAGTAGTGCGACTACATCTCCAAACTCAGACAATCCACAGGTAACATCCACCACATATTCTGAGAAAGTTGAATCGACTGCTATATCGCAAAGTGGAGCGTCTAAGAACGTAGTGTCCACATCTACTTCCTCTCACGAAGCTTCCTCTGAAGCTTATGGTAATGGAAATGAAGTACCAACTCAAACTTCCTCTCAAGAAGCTGGAAGCTCAGGAACCGCAATTGAATCTAGTACTTATTCTACGTCCAGCCCAAATTTGAACGTTGGTACATTGGTGTCCCAGTTTACTGTTTCTCAACAAACTAGCCTGGCCAATATTGTAACAGGTGCAAGTCATTCACTAGCTTCAATTTCAACTTACGAGGGCCTGGCAAACAAGGTTAGAACTGGGCTGCTTTTGCTCCTACCTCTTGCTCTTTTGTAAGAGTCGAGACATGATACCCAATTAAAAAAGATGTCACTACTTCAAACAATTCGCGATGCACTAAATCTACAATTTATACATCATCAGCTTGCTAGCGAAAACTATGAAAAGGAAAATTGTTGTCAAAGTATAGAATAGAATACATTTTATAGACTATATTCTAGTAAAGTTTTCTCCAAATTTTAATATGAGGCATGAAATGACTGACTGATTTTGGTAACTCTCGTGTATTTAACAAATAAGAAAGTGGTACAATCCCTTTTCCTTCACACTCCTATTAGCTGCGGTTTACTTGGCATGATTCAGTTTTTTTGAAGGGTTTAAGAAACATACGCATCACTCATCACGAAATCCATTTTTGCCCATCTTAAATACGTCGTAAGCCGCACGTTCCTCCGCCCATTTCGTTTTTTTTCTAAACTTTGTAGTTGCATTTTGGTTCCCTTTTCAATGCAAAAAATGACGTGTCGGGTAACCAATGTGGGAAGAAACATAGATGTCGCTTTAACCGAAGTAGAAATAAATATGCCTACATTGCTGCAGCCCGTTTAGTATGTGATTTCTAGATAGGGTAGACTCCTTTCCCAATACAAATTGAAATAATCTTTCGCTATCAATTATCTGGGTTATTGACATTTTGATGACAACAGACATCTAAGTCACATAAACATAGACCCTTAATAGACAAACGATGAGATTATCTGAGGGGGTTTTCGTTTTATTTTGATCTAGGCGTGAGGGAATCTCTGCAGGAAACCGATTTAAAAAATACCCACACTGTATTTGGAGGCATACTTTATCAAATATAAGTGAAAGAACAGTTCTCAGATAACCATTTTGCATTATAGGGGTCGTTGATTTAGATACACACTTTTGTGCATAGAAAAGATCTGAGGGGTAAAGGTTTTGAGAACGTCCATGGTCCTAGAAAGTATTTCCCATTAACGCTCTTAAGCGAAAGAAGAGAGAATATACAATACGCAATATGTAATTTTCCTAGAATACGCTAAGAGATATATTTAAGAGGACAGGCGAGGAGGACGTCCATTTGCCAACGCTACAAAGTGTCCCCAGGTGATGAGCTCATTGGTACAATCATCTCTGTTGATCTGGATTTCAATTAGAGTTGGGCCTTCAACGTTTGAATTTGCCTTTTCTATGGCATCAGCTAACTCTCCCGCAGTACGCACTTGGAAACCTTTCGCTTTCCCATCATTAGCATTAAATGCCTCCACCAATGCGGCATAATTCCAATTCTTGATATTATTGTAGGGACCATCATGAATTTCTACCTCAATAGTGTACCCAAAGTTATTTATCAAGAAGATAATAATTGGCTTTTTGAGTCTAACCATTAGGGAAACCTCTTGAGCTGTCATTTGGAAGGATCCGTCACCAACCATTGTAATAATCTTCCTCTCGGGAGCGCCAACAGCGTAGCCTACACATGCGGGAATAGACCATCCAATGTGACCCCACTGCATTTCGATCTCGAAACATGCACCCCTTGTGAGGTCCATTTGAATTCCATTGAACCAAGAGTCACCAGTCTCTGCGAAAAGAGTGGTCTCAGAAGTGATAAGCTTATGAATTTGACGAACCATCTCCTTACGAGTGATAGGGGCTGTTGGTCGAGCTGCTTCAATGGTAGGTGATGTGGGACGCAAGCGATTGTACTCAATTAAGCTTTTATCGTTTGTTGAGATACGATCAGCCAATGCATTCAAGAAGTCGCTTAAGGCAATTTGATCAAAATAATGACCTGAAAACTTGACATCGTCGAATCCGGCCTCTAAGCGGTGCGCAGATGATTGAAGAGAAGTCCAACCAGTAGTACTGTAGTCGGTAAATACACAGCCAGCGCAAATCGTCAAGTCAGACCATTCTATAATTGCGTCTGCTTTTTTAGTACTCACTTGCCCCCAATATACTCCGCAGAATTGAGGATGATCCTCAGGAAAGAGTGACTTAGCGGCAGGAAGAACTGCAACAGCACATCCTAGAGCTTCGGCTAACCGTATGAAAGCCTGTTCGGCCCCAGCACATTTTAACTTAGGCCCAGCGAGCAACGTGGGCTTCAAGCGACTTTCAATAAACTTGATTGAGGAAGTCACAGCTGCTTCAAGGGCTTTCGGGTTTGTCTCCAAGGGACAAAGCACCGCCTCGATTGGTCCTGGTGGGGCGCAGGAAGCCGAGGACATATTAGTTGGAACCTCAATATAGCAGGGCTTCTTTTGGGTAAGGCTTTCGCGAATGGCATAGTCAATCAGTCTAGGAGCATCTTCGGCATTCTTCAACTGGACTGCAGCACACGTGATTCTTTGAGCCATTTCATATTGGTAGTCGAAACTGTGAGTTCCGATTGTATGGTGAAGTAAATGATGGTCACCTTCATCATTCGTATTTGGAGAGCCGCTAATCAAAATAACTGGCAAGTTTTCTCCGTAGGCACTGCCAATTCCATCAAATGCCGAGAAAGCACCAACGCTGAAGGTAACAATTACTGCAGCTATTCCTTTTGCTCGAGCATATCCTTCAGCAGCAAAAGAGCAATTAAGCTCGTTACTACAATTCACTTCCTGTAAGTTTGGGTTCTCCTGCAATTTGTCCAGAAGAACTAGATTGTAGTCACCAGGGACCACAAAGTGATTTTTTATTCCGATTTGCGCAAGTCTTGTTGCAATATAGCTTCCAATGGTTGTTGCCATCATTAAAGATTAAGCGATTGATTTATTTTTCTGTTTGAGACAGATATCTTGTTACTTGGCACTCCCTTATATACTGTAGAAATGAGACTTAGCAAAACACGGAGCACAGGCCACTTCAGCAATGTGACGTTTTAGCAATGCCTAAATCTGTGTTAACTTAGTGGTAGCATGCATATCTATTGTTCGAAAGCAGGCGGCTATAGAAATCCCACGCTAGTGGGGAATTTGTGCCTGTACTACTGCTACGAATTGCTTTTTCCCCGGAGTTATGTACGAATAACGTGCAGGATGAAGGCTTGGCAAAAAAATGCCCACGCTATAGACATTGCAACACTCAGAAGTCATTTTGCACTAGAATACAGCACCGACCTCCTGCAAAATTACATATTCGAAATATGATGCACTCAGAGTTAGTTCCGGATACCCAACAAGCAATCTTAAGTGCTTTTAGACTTTTCATCTAGTTTTGCGGTCCAAAGATCTAAAAAGAATGAAATGACGCAAGAGTGCCCAGAGTATGATTTTTAGCTAGAGTAGCTGTAAACAAGTTAATACATAGGAAATGCGAAATCTTTCAATTTCAAATTGTTATGAGGGTATTAGGAAGGCATTATCAATTGTCCAAAAAGAAAGTACCGGGCTCTTTGGAGAAGAGAATATTTATGTAAAGCGGAAGAGATAACCAACCATTATTGAATTTCGTAACCTACTGCCAGTGTAGTAGTAATGCTAAATAAAGACGCTCATGACTGTGATTTGGCACGGTTACGGTAAACTATGAACTGTAAAAAAAAAAGTAGATTGATGTGTAGTATAGAATCTTATGACGCAGTACTAGGATAAAAATGCCCTTTTAGAAGCAATGAACACGTAATTCAACCCTCGTAGTAGATATCTATGTGAAAAATAATTGTAAAAGTGGAAATATATTTTTATTTATGGCTCGCAGCTAAAACCTCTTTTAAGATATCAAGTGGTGATCTTAGTCAATGAAGGGCACATAAGGGGTGCGCTGTAGTGCCTCTAACGTGGCATATCCCGCGTGGGATTTAGTAATAATGTACGAATATAGGCACTTGGTTATATGCGCCAAGGCTTCGGACATCCATTCTGCCCCAAACAACGAGATAGAGCGCCGAGACATTGGCATCCCAGAGCAAAAACATGGAGAATATCGACGAACAGTTTATTAAACCCAATTGCCTCAATTGATACACAAAATGTTGCTTCAAAAGGTATATAAATATGCCTTGTGATGGTCATTCAAAACTCCTTCTAATGTTAAATACACCACAAACAGCCCTAATACGTCTTCAACTGAGATGTCCAAAAGCACACAAAGCCCAGCTCTGAAAACTGATTTAAGACCCGCAACTATCGCAATTGTAGGTGTGGGAAGCGTAGGTGCTACGACTGCTTACACACTACAGCTTAGTGGAATGGTAGCTGATATCGTTTTGATTGATATCAACAAAGATAAAGCGGAGGGTGAATTTATGGATTTGAACCACGCTGCCCCCATGACAACTGAAACTCAGGTGAGAGTTGGAGATTATCCAGATTGTGCTGATGCGGCAATTGTGATTATTACTGGCGGTGCTAACCAAAAGCCAGGTCAAACGAGAATGGAATTAGCAGCAAAAAATGCTAAAATTATGGAGGAAATAATTCCAAATGTTGTGAAGTACGCTCCCGACACAATTTTACTAATTGCCACAAATCCTGTTGACGTTCTAACCTATGCAAGCTACAAGCTGTCGGGTTTTCCTGCGAGTAGGATTATTGGGTCTGGCACTCTTTTGGACTCGACTAGGCTCAGATGTAATATTGGCAGATATTACGGTATTTCATCAGACAGTGTAGAAGCTAGCATCATCGGAGAACATGGTGATTCAGAGCTTGCGGTGTGGTCCAGAGCAACAATTGCGGGCATGAGCCTTGCTGAATTCTCTGCAGCTACTCAGCAAAAGTATAACAAAGAGTCTCTGCATAAAATATTCGAACATACACGTGATGCAGCTTACAACATTATAAAGCGTAAAGGATACACCGCGTACGGAATTGCGGCTGCTCTGACTCGCATTGTGGAAGCCATTTTGAGAGATGAAGGATCTCTGCTAACAGTTTCGATTGTTGGAAATTACTATGGAGTTAAGGATGTGGCTTTGAGTGTTCCAACAAAAGTGGGAAGAGACGGCGCACACCACATTATGGACTTAATTTTGAATCAAGATGAAACCGACAGAATGAAGAGCTCTGCAAAAAAAATCAGATCTGCCTGCGAATCTTTGGGGCTCGATTAGTCAATAGTTACCGTTTAATGCTTTTTCCTAGTGTATTACAGCAGCAAATATTTAGGTACCACTTCACCTCATACCTATGAAAATACATATTTAGAAAACATATATCTTCAAACATTATTCCCCTCGTGGCTAGTTCTTAGCGAGCAGCAAGAATGCAGTTTAGAGGAGTCCAAATGTGATTCAAAATACTTTCTCTCTAAGAGATTCTCGAATGGCAAATCAAGGCACTACGCCTTCTAAAAGGTCAGGTACCTTTACCATCTTTTGAGAATCAGCAGTTTATGGTAGAAACAGATTATGTCTTATATTCATACTAACTATTGAGATGTTGCAAATAGTTCGAGAACATATCGTGACTTTCCATTACCATTAAAGACTGTGAACCACTGTAATTTGATCACTACGCATTTTCATGAATTATCTCATAAATTCACCAAAAATTTTCTTCAATCAGAATACGAAATGTCATGTCAGTATTATTTAGACGTCTTTTCTTTCTCAAGTTGATTTCTCGAAAGTTTTTTGTCCTTTTCCCAAGAAGCCGTAGAAAAAAGCTAATATAATATTGTACGAGATTTCAGGAGGGCCGTTATGCATTAAATAGCTCCCCACGTTCCCGCAGGCAAAGGAGGTTAATTTCAATTGCCACAACGAAACTGTTCTATGGAAAGGATTTGGTATATACAAGCTATTCTTTTGGATGACTAAACGTCACAATGGGCTAAAACTATCTTTTTATGTCAACTTCAAAAATTTGAAGAAACAGTTCTTTAGAGGCATTTCGAAATCTCGATTTGGGAATCTCGCAAAATGCACCTGTCGAATGGAAAGTAATAAATTTCTGAGAAACGAGTGATATGACCTCCTTAGCCCAGGGAACTAGCTCTTCGCTACATTTTAGGCACGCACCATTATTTACAATGATAATAGGAGATCATAAATTACTTAACTAGAGACATGACTGTTTACGTCATGCTTGTGCATAAAACAAAGATGTATGACGCAAAACCGTTTGTCTACTACTCGATGATAAATTTTTCTCGTACGTAGCCGCACTAAGAAGCGGAAATGGATGATCTCAAGTCTGGGGCCAAACACAACAAGCAAATGCAAATGTCTGGATTCTCGTTGATCTCCACAGAATATTGCGCAATGCCAAGTGAAAAACAAGGCGCATTTTCGATAAAAAAAGCTAAGCCTCATGAACGTAAATCGCGCATCTCACTGTGGGGTATGGATGTTAAGAGGCCAAAATTTTATTCACCCTCTCAAACAACAGAGATCGAAGTAATCGCTAGTGGATTTTCCGCACAAATTCACAGTTCCAGCTGTATCACTTAGATTGATTCAAGCATACTTTGGAGGTGAGGATGTGGCTTTCTATCCTAAGATGTTCTGACCATTTTTTGCTATAAATTCTGTTCAAAAAAGATGGGATAGAGGGGTATAAAATCATCACGTGAAAAAGTGAACCTTGAAAAACTTTATGGTTAGCAAGTATATTGCGCAATGCCAAGTGAAAAACAAGGCGCATTTTCGATAAAAAAAGCTAAGCCTCATGAACGTAAATCGCGCATCTCACTGTGGGGTATGGATGTTAAGAGGCCAAAATTTTATTCACCCTCTCAAACAACAGAGATCGAAGTAATCGCTAGTGGATTTTCCGCACAAATTCACAGTTCCAGCTGTATCACTTAGATTGATTCAAGCATACTTTGGAGGTGAGGATGTGGCTTTCTATCCTAAGATGTTCTGACCATTTTTTGCTATAAATTCTGTTCAAAAAAGATGGGATAGAGGGGTATAAAATCATCACGTGAAAAAGTGAACCTTGAAAAACTTTATGGTTAGCAAGTATATCGGAGCGACAAATGACGGCATAGGTGTTGAGGACAATGAGAATGGCCTCAAAGAAAATGAAAGTCAAGCCAAATTACCAGCAATATCAGAGTCCCAAAAATCCTGAATGTTGCTGCAATGGGCTTTGGTAGTCTAGGATCAATTTATGGTGACAT